GAGTCCTCTCCCCATGCCCATCTTCCATTTTTATGAGGCCATGGCCCTTGTTGGGTCCTTTCTCATCCCAACCCGCCCGATCGTCTTGCACCACTTTATGGGGTCGCACTTGGCGCGCATACATTGCCCAGTAGCGGGGCCGATGGGCGAGTATCTCGGCTCTGGGTCCAGTTTTACCAAAACCACAAACCTCGACCTGATTTCTGACCAACGCTCCTACCCATTTGGTTGCGTGTATTTATGTTAGCTAGACGGGATGCTTTGGATTGGCCTCCGCCCTGCCAACGGACAGTTGCCCTCGCGAATTTATGGGCCATAGGGTCCGCGTGCTTTCACTCTACAGCCCCCTGATCAGCCGGTCTAGTGGTTTCGAGGTGTCTAGCAGGAATCCACTGGGGGAGTGGACGAAATTTGGGCGTTATTTAAGAGTATCTCTACAGTTTTGTAAAAAAAAATAAATTACGAATTTTGACCACTTCCTAGTCCCTTTAAAGCGCCAGTAAGCCCAGGGGCTACATACCAATACGCAAAACAGATGACCAACTGGCAACCCCGCATCGGCCGCCCAGCTAATGGGATATATTTGTGATGTGTTGGCGGCAAGAAGCGGAAAAGGGGGACATGGCTCTGACGGTAATTCGCAGAAATCCCCCTTGGGAATCCCTTCTTTCGGGTGACTCCACCCGTCGACGGGTCATTCAGATCGAATTTGGGAGGGCAGGAAGTGGGCCAACAGTCAAGGCGGGGGTATATGGATGTAGCCGGGTGTTTTATGGCGTTGTCGGGCGTATTTAGAATTCCATAATGATGCGCCGTCATTCCTTTTTCGGGTTGGGTGGGGGAATGATGGGCAAGTGTGACATGATGGCTACAATTGGGCCATGCATCCACGATGGTTTGGGGGCTTGTTGATTAGGGACCCGGGTGGGGCCAACCCAACAATGTCCAAGTATTATTCCTTCTTCCCGAAAACATATAATGTCAGGATGGATCCACTCTTGCTCAAATATTATCTAGAACATAAATATAAATTTTCTTTAACATCATAAAACATACTATTTTCGCTATAAAATACTTTCCTTAAGCCTTTAGGTGGCACTCCTTTAATTTGTGGCCAATAGGCTCGCTCCCCTTACATACGAATTTTGACTTCCAAGGCCCTTTAAACCGGCTTTCAACCTAACTCAAAACCTCCCAACCCCTTTGGAGATTAAAGGGAAGGTCTCTCCCGAATTAGCCTGAGCTCTGGCTCGCGTGTTGACCGGTGTGTGTCCCTTTATGGTTGTTTTGTTGCCCCGTCATCCCCTTTTTACCGACTCTCTCTCCCTGGTTCTCTCTCTTTCACATTACACGGACTGCCCTTTTGGCCCCCTCCATCCGTCGACTAGTTGTTGTGTTCTACCCTTTCCCGCAACACGAGTCCAAACTAAGCCAACGTGCAACTGCACTTTTCATTCATACCCCGGCTCTATTCTGGATTCAAACTCTCATTTTGAAGGCTAGAACTCGGGCTATAGCTGTAATATTGTCGCTAGTATCTGGAACTCGTGATGCGAGCAATGTGCCAAACTGTGCATCGTATGCCAATATGTTCTCATTTTGACGAGATTGACAACGTGGCCGTCGCTAGCTTTACTCTGTTAGAATCAAACGTGTGCATAGTACTGCTGTGTACTCGACACTTCCACCGTAGTTCTTTATCTTGCTTTTCGGTTTCAGAGAATTAGTTTTTAAGAATTTCGGATTTGTAAGGCAGAAATATCTACAACATCTTTGAAAATCTATTTTTGTAGGTGCTTACAGTTTCCATTTAACCCCAAAAACCCATCACATTTACACACATTCACCATTGAAATCCCGACAGGCCAAAAATGGCACCTCTCCGCCAGCCGCCCGATCTGATCGGTGCCTAGCGATCGGGGCGAGGTGAGATCACTTTTCGACGTTTTTCGTGTGGCTGGGGGCTCCCACTTGGCCCGGGTTCAACTCTGTTTGCCCGGTCTAGGCACTAGATGGGAAAGAGAGTTAGAAAGAGGAGAGAAGCCGCAACTGAAAAGGGGAGATGGCGGGGAGCGGGTAGGCGAGAGGCCACAGTCTTTCGGGGAAAGAGTAAGAGGACCCAGGGATGGATGGCGAGGGGGTAAACGATAAATCGGGCACGAGACTCGGCTCCGTCTGGCCTCGCTGAACTGGCTCACTGCCAGCCCTAGCCGATCAGCAGCAATTTTTCGATTTTTGAGGGGAGTTAATGGGCGGTGAAGATTATTTTAAGGGGTTTAACGAGATGGGCAAGGCAGTGCTACGGATTTATCCGCATCGTGAAACAAAAAGCAGGGCTCTTTTGGCAAACTTTAGAGGGCAACTTGGCGGATTCTGGAACCAATCTAGCAAGGAAAAGCAGACCTATGTGTTGCGCGTCGCCTCGCGGTGTATCATGCCTTGTCAACCCCTTTAAAATTATGTTAAACGGCCCGAATTAGTGTGTTATGGCCTCATTGCTTAATTTATTACTGCAGAACTACTTTCAATAAGGTATCGATGAACTTTTCGTTAATGCCTTAATTCCTGTATGTTTATTGATATTATATAGATTAAGTATATTTTTATGGATAGAACATTTACGTCCATTACTATTTTTACCTGAAATACAGGACTAAAATTAACAGATCCAATCTCTCTCGCGCAGGGGACCATGCTAGACCTCCCCCTCTGGGTGTTCGGTGTTGTTTTTCGGAATTTGTTTTTCACCGTTGGCTGAAAGGAGGCCGGGGAGAGCCCCCTTCCCGACCCACGTGTGGACGGAGCGGGGGCACAGCATAGTGCACGTAAACAGCTCACCCACCTCGCGCCACACCAACTCGCATATCCCGTACCAAAACCGTCAAAATGGAATTGCGTACTATACAGCTCCTATATTTCTAAAAAGGACTTATTAATCCTATCGTATCTAGCTTGTTTCTTATTAGATTTTTTTATTTTCTTGCGGGCAGGAATATGCAGAATTAATACTTTCCTAGCCCACAGACCTAGCGATTTTGCAGCCCTGGTACCCTCCATTTCTCCTAATTTTTGTTACGTCACAGTGCCCATATATTTCTGTATATATCCGCTCTGCAATTCCCCGGGACCCACCCCCGGTTTCCAGGAGACAAATCATAAATCCTGGAGCCTGGGCCCCAAAGTGAAAGGCTGGGGGTTGAGGCTTGAAGTGGACTCATTTACCCACCCTCCAACTCCCCCCTCAATACCTGCGAATATACCATAAAATTGCGCCCCGGGGATTTGAGTCGCCTTTTGCTGGACTGACTAGGCCGCCCTGGGCCGGGGCAATTCGTTACATTCAAACGGGCCCTCGATTCGACAGCGTTGTAGATGTGTTTTGCATTGGGAAATGGGATTTTAGGCTGGGGATTTGTGGTTCGAATAAGTAATAAGATTTGTATGAAATATCATGATTTCATAGTGCCTTTTATTATGTCAAAATTGTCGGTGCTGGACTGTTAGCGGGGGGGAGGGGTAGCAAGAGGAAACCAAAATTTTCCATCTCTTTCTCTCCCTTTCTCTCCATTCTTTTCTCTCCATGCGGGTCTATGACAAAAATAAATATCAACCACTTTAATTGCTTTAACACAGTTTTTCGATATGAAAAATTTATAACACAATTATAAAAATTGTCGAGAATTTTTGAATTTTTGGCTAACAAGGTCAAATTTTTGATTTATGTGTCAGAAAAAGTGGCGGATTACTGCCGTAATAGCTATTCGATTCACTTTTTTATTTAATTTAAGGTATATTTTTCCGGAAATTCCCATTTTTCCGACCTTTCTCTCCCTGCCATTATTGGACCCGATCAGCTGACTCGACCCCATCCCCCCTCCGCCCTATTCAACCCCCCAAAAAACCACCCCCCATCCCACCTCCAATATTCCCCCTTACCATCCCTTTTTCTCCCTCGCCGGAAATTCTCACTTACTTTATGCACATTTCATAGGGTCCACCGTCTCCGTGTATTGCCCCCCTCCCTATAGGTGACGGTGGCTGTTGGGGGGCCCTTGATAATTACCCTGAGCCCCCCACCGTCACTCTAATTGGGGGCGCTTGCCGGATAGACATACACAAATACATATATGTGCGTGTGTGGCTGAATTCGAGGTAAAAACTCCGCCGCCACCTCGGCGCAACCACAAAATCGTTGTGCGGTCCGGGGAAAGGCTAGAGAGGGTGTTTTGACAAGCGCAGAGAGTTCAGAACATTTTTGTAGCTTTCAAAAAATATTTATGCTTTCCGAACTTTAAGGGGAAAGGTGGTTTTGGGTTACCTTTCTAGTTGTTTCTAGAGGAGGCACTTTTTTAGCTACTAGACTTACTAGCTGATCTAACAGTTTGGCTCTTTTCGTATAAATTCGTAGCCCCGCTACCCCTTTAAATCACCAATCCAAAACTACAGATTTCGAAAACCGACCCCAAAACCGAACACCCCCCCACCCGACCTGCCACATCCGAAAAATGTTGACAAATTTGGGTGAATGCGCATTCCCTTTGTCCTCTCCCTTTCCCCCTATTCGGCGCCCCATTCTACCGGCAATCGGGGCCATTCTGACCCGGGCAACCCCCTCCCAAATACGCCCAATTAGCCCGGGCACCGATTCGCGGATGCCGGATGCGCCCCGGGAATCTGGTTTTGCTTGATGTTGTGTCGCACTTCCGTTTCATTGGGTTAACCCTGGATTTGATGCATTGCCGGATAGCCATCCCATAAGTTGTAGCAAGCCTCTAAAGAACTACTTGGCCTAGTACCCTAAGCCTCTCCCTTGGGGCCATTTCGCCGCGAACACCCACCGCATTCGAGTCTCGATTCAATTTCTTCCAATCAGGCCCATCCTCCCCCTTCTCCAGCAGGGCACTCAAAAAAACCGGAACTCTCGATCCATATCATCTAGTCGAAATGGGCAAAAAAACCTATTGCGATTTCTCTGACTCAGCTCTTTGGATTGAACCTCTATGGTCGCGTCACCCGTCGACCCTATAATAATTCCATTATTTCAGAGCCTCTTCTCTTCGCTCGTGCCACAGCTTCAATCGTCAGACATTGGAGCACAAATCGACAATAAGGTGCGGGGTACAGAGCTTGGGCGGGGTGGCTATAGGCCCCACTCCACACCCATAAATCCCAAAGTCGCGTGGTCTCGAATCATTAGCGGTATTGGGTGTGGGCAGTAGTTGTGACATGCTCGTAGTATACCACCGGAATCCCGGACCCCCGAGCCCAAACAACCATCAACATTACAGGCTCTCCACTCAGACAACCCATTCTCTGGGCTTTCCGTATTGGCAAATCTGAAAAGTGAGTTAAATCTCGTAGTATGGTTTTTTAATTTATGACATTTAGTAATTTGGAATTTAATTTTCAATCAAAATTTTTAGCAACGAACACTGCCACCACGACGCCCTTCGACCCAGTACCATTGACGATCTCCGAATTGACCGGAGTTCCCTTAAAACAGATGCCTCAATCGCCCCACAGCCGGTGGGTTTTTAGTTTATATCCAACTCTGGACCCTCTATTAATGCTGGTATAAATATCCTTTTTTTTTAGTGCTACCGGTGGGGTGGTAGCGGCTCGACGAGGTATGACCTATACTGTGGCTTCTCCTGGTGCACCAGGAGCTCCAATTGGTAGGTTTTTTCTATATTTTCATCACCCTCAAATTTTCATATTCGTCTACCCTCCTCATACTCATTTTTCAGCTACTCCCCTTCAAACAGCGAACGCGCAAGCGGCACCGAAAAACCCGAAACTCTACAAAACCGAGATGTGTCGAACGTGGATGGAGCAGGGACGCTGCAACTATGGCGAACGGTACGAGATTCCCGAATAAAACAATAATTTGAGCACTCTTAGCTGCCAATACGCGCACGGCGAGCACGAGAAGCGCTATGTACCCAGACATCCCAAATACAAAACCGAGATGTGCCAGTCGTTCCACAAAACCGGATACTGCCCCTATGGACATCGGTGTCACTTCATTCACAGGTAATTTTTGTCCAGCAAATTTATAACTTGATAAAATTTTTAATTTTAGTCTAAAGTCATCTCATGTCAAAATTGTACCTAATTTTCTGAGACTTCCGGCCTGAGCTTATAATAAATTTCAGTGAGACCGAGCTCCAACACCATCAACGGGACCGTGAGGTGAACCTGCGCGCTAATTTGAACAACTTGACACCGCTGCCCATCGCCCCGCCCAACCAACTACTCGGACAGGTTTGGATTTACCCACTAATGCCTTGTTGTCAAAAACATAAAAATAATAATTAAAATATTTACTTAAGTCGCTACTCTCTTCGGGCTCACCACTCCTCAGCCATCTCTCACAAACGGGCTACGGATCCGCCGGCGAAAGCCCCTCGAGCTCAAATGCCGACAGCGGCTCAGAATCGCCCGCTGGCTCCTTCTCACCGGGTCTCGACCTCGATGAGGCGTGCTTGAACCCGTTGGCAGCTGCCTTTGGTAAGAACGAGCTTGAAAAGTAATTTACAAATCGTTGCAGGCCTCAGTCAGACGAGCCGCATGCTCCCATACGGAGGCTATATGATGCCCCATCTTGCCGCTCATCACCTGGCGCCTCAGCGTTTCCTCCCCGGACAGGGCGGATTCACGGATCATTTCCCTGGGTAGAAAGCGTTCGATATAATTTGAATCTGAAATTGTAGAACGAGTCCGACCTCATCTTCATCAACGACGACAAAGGCCGAAGAGGAGAAAGATGATAGCCGTATGGGTGCCCTGCTCGAAGACATTGTTGCCTGGTCTGTCGAAGAGAGGCCCGAAAAACCCGGTCGTCTTCCGGTATTCGCGCAGCTCTCCAATCCATCCCAATAGAGCACATCCCATCCATCAATGTACTGCATTTTGCTGTGTTTTTGTGCTTACCTCCCCCTCAGTCGCTATCCTTTCTTAGAGCCCATCGTCACCTCGCTAGTTCCATGTACAGACTACATGGGTGAATGTCTAGCTTTCATCGCCAGCCTATATTATTTTGAATAGTATCCCTCGACTAGTTTTAGCCCTTTAATTGTTAGCCTGCACGTACCCTTTTTATTCCGGTCGATTTGACTTTACTGGCGAATATTCTTGGAAGTTCAAAGTCACCGGTGCCCCCCCCCATTAAGCTTTTTGTTGCTTCTCCCGACTGCACAGCCCCCGTGAAACAAACAACACAAATCCTTTCCCCTTGATTTTCATTTCCAATCAAAAACAACAACCACTCCGTGCCTCCATAGAGTCCAGCTGCATTTTTGTGCCTTTCCCCCACACAGTAATTTCTCTACTTACAGGAAATAAATCCCAGCTATTATTCCCCCACTCCCAATTTTTTTAAGTTATAATTCTAATGTATTCTATATCGACCCTCCACTTCACTCGACTCTTTTGTAACTTATTTTCATATCGGAAGCGTGGCTGTCCACAAAAATTCAGTTCTAATTTTTGGCTTTTTGCTGGATATGCCCACTTCCGCCATCATGCATTCATTCTCGTTATCTAAACTGCCGGTGCCTAATAACTGAATGTGTCCAGAAATAAGCCCAATATAACGGTACAACCCCCTCCCCCCTCCGTACTTCACCTTCTTCTTCGATACCCGCCCACTTTCACAGCTATAAATTATTCACCCGCGATAATAACCATTAAATATCCTTAACAACACCATTTGAATAAAGTTCTTTATAAAGCTGTTTAATAATGCATATTACAGATAAATATAACCTATAAAGTTAGACAAAAATATTACTTTTATTTTTACAGATCCTTTAATAATTTTTAAAGGCTTTTTTTGTCCTTCCAAAGCAATAATTTCGTTTTTACGGTTTATTATATACTATAACAATCTCATGCTATTCTGGTATTGAAAACTCCAAAAAATCAAAAAAACCCTCTTATCAAAAATGTTATGCATAACAAACCAACAACGCTCCGTTGTTTCCAAGTGAGCACGAGCTCTCCCCAAGCATCGGGTGAGCAAGAGGGGCCCAGTGAGATCGGAGCTAATCCTAGCAATCGATAGCCCTTGAGCAAGAAGGGGGCCCCAGGTGCGGACATCTCTAGAGGGACCCCCAAGTCCATCAGCTGTCATATTCACATTCACTACACAGAGTACCGAATATTCCATAAAGCTCCAGAATCCATGCTTCAGACTCCGATTGGGTTAGAAGATAGCGACAGCGAGAATGAGCGCTTTAAAAGGTGCTCCGTTCATATACAGGTTTGTCGATTGCTTTGTGACAACGCTATGAAAGAGAAAAAAAGAGGAACGAGAAGTGAACCTAAAATAGATTCGAAATGCTCAATTTTCTTTATTTTTCACGGATTTAGAGCTGGACCTATATATTCTGCGGTATTTCAATATTCCTCTGTATCGTAGCGATGTCAGTTGGGACGATGGCCCTCATCTGGCCGGAATGGCATGAATGGCTGAGCATCTACCGTCAATATTTAGCCGTGGGTATCTTGAAACAAGACCGCCAGAGTTGTTTTTCCGATTTATTTATTCATTTAAGCCAAACCGTTACACCTTTTTAGTAAAATTCCGTTATATTCAAAGTGAAAATCTGTTTAGAAATCTCAAAAAACTGTCTAAAATTTTCACATGTGGTAAAAACGTATATTTCTGGCTTTCTAAATAGGCTTTTGTATAATTTTACCGTTACCGGAAACATTAAACCGTGAAGTTCCGGAAAAAAACCATTTTTTTAAATCACGCATCGCCCTTTTCCAGTACCTACGTCGTAGTGATCCATCATTATATTGGTTCTACTACAAAATCTTTTTTACAACATGGATACTCATCCATGTAACGCATTTCATCACGATCATTTTGACGATCGTTGGTATCCAGGTAAGAAAATGCAACAAAACCTAAAGTAAGTCAGCTCGTTCGTCCGGCACTACTCCTACCACAGCTCTTTCACCTCATGGTCCATTTGGGAGTATTATTCTTATTATTGGCAGGTGCGCTCCAAACGTGGATGCAGGTCAAATCCATTTACTTTTAGGGATTCTCATCATATGTTCAACCGCAGCGAAAGCAGCCTGGTTTAGTATATTTCTTGTTATAACCCTTCTTACTCCAGTTTGGTAAGAAACCACTTTCTAATTATAGCCTATTTTAGCGCCAACTTATATGTGCTAGTCGTATTCCACGAATTCTTATACGAGAAGTACGATGCATGGCTGACCGTCATGGCCAACACCAAACAAGTGCATTTTAAAGAAAAGTGACGTGTCATAAGGAATAAAGTGCTAAACCGTCGACAAAGGACTGAGAAAGACTTTTATACAAATTCTGATCAAATATTTACATCTAACCGTTATTTGGTGGCCCGTCTTTCCAATGTGATAATTGTTGGGTTGGATGAAAATCGGGTATCGTCTCCGTCACATAGCAGAACTCCGGAGGAGCTTGCATATTTGTGTAGGTGCCGGTGGTAGATATCGTCTCTTCATTGACAACCTAAAAATAAGAAACCGTAAAGTGTAAAACTTGAACCGATCAGAAACTACTGGATGTGCCAAAATAAGTACCCCCTCTAGCTTTCCGGGCGAAGCTCAGGTCGATCCGCTTTTAAACCATTCGAACCGCAAGAAAACAAGGGAGTTCTCACCTCTCCTTGATGAAATAACAAGTCTTGTTCCGCATATTCGTCATATGTTACGTATTGTACTTCAGGCGGATGTACAAGCGACTGTTGACGCGAAGTTCCAGGGCCCACTGACAAAATATAATTGAACCTCGGTCAACTCTCACCGGAAAGCGACATCTGTTTTAACGGTGGTTCGCCGCCAAAGACACGACTCGAGGGCACCCTGATATAACGAATCTAAAGGAAATTGAAAAGCGTTCCACGGAACGAACGGGCTGAGGTGGTACACGTGCCACGGGTGCCGCACGTTGAGGGATACATTCAGAGGCTGAGGCACGCACAAACTAAAAGAAAATGCGTCAGCCAAGTAAGACGAAACGTACTGTGGGCTTTGCCAAGCGCCGTAATGTCACCCTCCTGTCACCGAACATTATCGTCTTCGTGCCGGGTGAAGTCGTCACCGTATTGACTGTCGTATGTTGCGTTTCTAAATCAGAGCATTGCTGTGTTAAACCTTACAACTGACCCTGGCTGGTTGATGGGCGAGGATGGGGCTCGGGATCAGTGGAGACCGTCTCTTCACCACATACATCGATACGTTCATCCTGCAAAAGCCATTTTAGGTAATGGTTAAAAACCACCTCAGTGTAAATTTCATCGGATTCATCAGCAGCTCCCTGGATTTGTTCTTCCGGTGCAACCTTCTCGTCTAACGTATTCCTCAGCGGGTTCAAAACCCAAGAGACGAACTAAACGAATAAGGCTAAATCACTCGAAACTTACCAGCCGAGTACAGAGCTCACGATTGACAATCTCGCTTGCCACCTCTACTTGTTCATCGGTAAAATCGTCCTGGTTCGTGAAGATGAAGCCTCAAAATAAGATATAGTTTTTTCCTAAAAATTCCTAGCAACTCACCGTCCTCCGTATTTTGAAGATGCAGCTGCATAGAACGCAACACAACATTGTAGTAATAGGCACGAATGTATTCCAATATGTACATGATACAATCGACCTTTGAGGCAAATCGTTGTTCTACAAAAGATGAGCAAAAGTGGATTGATCTTACCATCGGTCCGTTGGCCAAATTCTGGATCGTGCAACGTGCTTATTTTGAGGTCAGGCGGCCAGAACGCCAATTTCTCACGCGGCAACCAGGTTTCGCTTGCCTAGAAGACAGTTAAACTGTTATATTTGTATTACCTTTGGTTTAAAGAAAAGCATCGGAAATGTGCACCGCTGCATCTCCTTATAAAAATATTGGGTCAGCGAACTTTCTTCCGATTCCTACAAAAAACATACCCATACATTCATTCGTAGCAAAATTACCTTCTCAGCCAACTCTTCCAATTCACTGGAATCTCTTGGAGAAAAGACAGGAACTCTCAATGTATTCTAAACAACAATATTATAATGGAGTCTAGGAATACCTTTAGATGTGTTTTTGGTGGGTTCTCGTGGCATATTTCATCTTTCAAGTTTGACTTTAATCCTGCCCGAACGAGGTCCTTGGAGCCGTAGAAAGTGAGAGATGGATTGTCAGGCCGCGGATCATACGCCACTAAAAGAACAATGAGAAAAACCTATTGAAACTACCAAGCATGAAGTGCATCTCAGAACGATGATTGAGCTCCACAAGATGGCGAAGAGTCTGGCCCATCGACCGTCGAAGATTCATCACTGACATCAATGTATCTAAGATCAGAGGGTCAAACTGATCTAATTTGAACCTAGACGCTAAAGAAGAAACGCTAAAACTTACCAGTTCCAACATGCCGTCTGACAAAGCGTTTGCCGCGCTTGATCATCTCAATCGTACGCTGGCTTCGGAAGCCAGCCGTCGGCGCCATGCTATAAAGGAAGGATAGTTATAAAAACTATTGGTGCTAATGCAGTTAGGGGGGGCAGTCCAAAATTGGTAGTAAGGGGTTACGAGGCGCTCCGCTCATGCTACTTGGTTTTCACCTAAGCCTAGGCTTATCTTAGCTTTAACTAAGCCTAGCTTAGGCTTAGGCTTAATCCTAAGCCCAAGCTAAGCTTATCTTGAACTTCAAATTGACTTACGAGGTCAAAATGGGGCATTTATGGGTTAGCTTGGAACTAAGCTTAGCTTGGCTCAAGCTAAGCTCAGGCTTCGTTTGTACGAAGCTAAGCCTAGGCAACGAGGCAGCACAGGTTGGAATTTCGAAAACGTCGCGGCTACCCCGGGGTAATCGACTACGGAGAGCACGATGGGAGAGCCTAATAAAGCTTTCCCGGATTCTAATTTTTCGCATGCAAATCATGACTTTCCGGAAGTGTTATCTCTTCCACAAGCTCGGAGGAATCGGACACAGAGCTGTTCTCCTAGTCGATTCCCCGGTGGCGAGCGTTTTTTGAAATTCCAACGATTCCCTTCCCTTTTAGGCTTAGCTTAACTTTTCCAGAAGCTTCGAGTTTAAAAACGGCATTTGGAGCGTCTCGTAGTCAAAATCCAGACACAAGTGCATTAGCACCAAACTAATAAAAACAAAACAAGAAGATAATTTGAGAAGCATTTGCATTTTGCCCGAGGAGGATTTCATTGCGTGTACACTAGACGGGGGAGACGGGACGGCGAAGAAAGATGAGAGAGGCGAGGAGGGATGGGAGAAAAGAGCGCTATGGGGGCGGCTGTTCTGCTGTGCGAAATACTTTGATTCCTTTGGGCTATTCGCTATCGGCTTATTGTAACTTCAAGCAGAAAAAAAGAAACGTCGGTTTTAATAAACTTGTAGAAAAATGCTCTCCCGTGGGGACTAAAAATTGGCGTTGAACGGGATCGCATCCGAATCGTTTTTTAGCAGCCCAAAAGCCACATTGGCTGTTTAGAATCTGTAGGATACAAGACATATAGGGGGGGAAAATAGCGATGTATCAAATTCATAATAATTACCGTTTTAAGGGGCACTTCAGGGCTAAGAAAAAGCAAGGTTTGGCCGCGGCCGGGGGTCGAACCCGGTCCCCCCTCGGGAGGCGCGGATGGATTCAAGCATCACACGACTTTCCGTCAGCGCTGGAACTGAAGTGCAATTTAGATCTTTCGCGGTAGGGGGTCAAATTTGTCACTTCGAGCCCCTTTAATAGTTTGTAATTATTAACTATTTCACTGAAAACTATTATATCTGTTTGTACCCGTTACAATACCCAACGCTTTGTTCTTTAAATGTCACCTTGTTGTTATTTCAGAGACGCAACATCAGGGGGAAAAATTTATTGGAGACAAACGCGCCAAAAACAACAATTTCTGGCCAACTACAAAAAGAGAAATCATGATAGTAACGTTCTCTTCCTATCTAAATACAAATCAAAATCGCAATTGTAATAAATGGAGTTCATAAGTTACAAACGATCAAACTACCGAGAGAATGAGGGTCGGAAATGTATTTTCGGCTCTTTTGCTGCTTATTGACCGTGGGTCTTGGCGAGCTCTTCAGCCTTCTTGAAAACGTCGTCGATTCCTCCTTGCATGTAGAAGGCAACTTCCGGCAAGTGGTCGAGCTCTCCTATAAATTTGGAATTTCGATAGTATCGTACTTTTAGTAATGTTTTTAAGAATAAATTATGTTTTTTGTCATTTTGTCCATTTGTATGAAAACCTACCCTTCAAAATCATCTGGAAGCCACGGATGGTCTCCTCCAGGCTGACGAACTTTCCAACGTGTCCAGTGAACACCTCGGCGACTTGGAAGGGCTGGGACAGGAAACGCTGGATCTTGCGAGCACGAGACACGGTCAGCTTATCATCTTCCGACAGTTCATCCATACCCAGGATGGCAATGATGTCCTGAAGCGACTTGTAGTCCTGAAGGATCTTCTGCACTCCACGTGCAATGTCGTAGTGGTGGTGTCCGACAATGTTCGGGTCCATGATACGGGAGGTCGAGTCGAGCGGGTCGACGGCCGGGTAGATGGCCAATTCGGCGATACCACGAGACAACACAGTGGTGGCGTCAAGATGGGCGAAGGTGGTGGCCGGAGCAGGGTCAGTCAAGTCATCAGCGGGCACGTAGATGGCCTGCACGGAGGTGATGGATCCCTTCTTGGTGGTGGTAATGCGCTCCTGCATTTGACCTGGAAAAGAGAGATATATATTTGGTATTTTCTTTATTATAATTTTCCCCACTCGTGCGCCACCTGGCTCACTATGTCCAAAAATTCGTAATAAACCATTTTTAACCCTCGAACGCATAATTAACTATTTATAACCCCAAATTAATAAAATCCATCACTCTAAATTGCATTTAGCACGGTTAAATTGACCTAAAACCGTTGAGAAATAAGCTCTAGCTCCTTATAATTTTGAGCTATAGTTGTTGGCTGCTGACATACGGGCATACGTGACAGCAAAATCATTATAATCCTTACCCATGTCAGTGGCGAGGGTTGGCTGGTAACCGACAGCAGATGGGATACGTCCGAGCAGGGCAGACACTTCGGAACCGGCCTGGGTGAAACGGAAGATGTTGTCGATGAAGAGAAGCACATCCTGTCCCTCTTGATCACGGAAATATTCAGCGACAGTCAGTCCAGTCAAGCACACACGGGCACGGGCACCTGGGGGCTCGTTCATCTGTCCGTACACCAGCGATACTTTCGAGTTGTTGCCCTTCAGGTCGATGACACCTCCCTCAATCATTTCGTGGTAGAGATCGTTTCCTTCACGGGTTCGTTCTCCGACACCGGCAAAGACGGAGTAACCTCCGTGAGCCTTGGCGACGTTGTTGATCAGCTCCATGATAAGCACAGTCTTTCCGACACCAGCACCACCGAACAGTCCAATCTTTCCTCCCTTGGCGTACGGGGCCAACAGATCGACGACCTTGATGCCAGTCACGAGAATCTCCTGTTCGACGGACATTTCGACGAATTCGGGAGCTTCAGCGTGGATGGGAGCACGATGCTTGGAGGGGATGGGTCCGCGCTCATCGATGGGCTCTCCGATGACGTTCATGATTCTGCCGAGAGTCTCGGGTCCGACGGGGATCTTGATCGGATCTCCGGTATCAACGACTTCCTGGCCACGGACGAGACCCTCAGTTCCGTCCATAGCAATGCAGCGGACGACATTGTCACCTAATGAAGGAATTAGCTTTGTGATGCTGGCCTACCCAAGTGTTGGGAGACTTCGAGAATCAGACGCGGGGAGCGTCCGGTGACCTCAAGTCCGTTGAGAATCGGGGGCAGGTTCTCGTCGAACTGCACGTCGACGACGGCACCGATGACAGCGACCAGACGTCCCTTCGAGAGACCGGTAGCAGCGGCGGGGGCCTTAAGGCAATCGATTATCGGGTCTTGGGGGTATCACCTACCTTCTTCGCCTCAGCCTGGATGGCCGACGAGGTGTGCAGCTCCTTCTTATCGGTTGTGGAGGTGATGGTGCGAACTGAAACCGCTTATAAAGGGCTGACAATGGCTGCTACTTACCGCTCTGCACAGCCGGGACCATGCGCTGGACGTTCGATTGCACGAGGCGGGCCGTGGCCCTTCGGCTCATCATGGCAAGCGGACGAGAAGCCATCCCGTTTTATACCCTCTGAATTGTACATATTTATGGTATTGGAATTTGGCTATCAATTGAAGGAAGGAAAATTCGAAAAATCAGGTTTTTAAAATTTCAAATAATTATTCAGTATGAGGATTTTTTTCGGTGGCGGAAAGCGTCTGGGCATGCAGCTACATATCTCGCCTAGAAAATGGGAGACACTGTAAAATTTCCATGAAAAATTGTGCCAATTAAGTAGCTAACCAAACTAGCTGTGGCCTAGGGCTTGACCCTTGCGTTGGACCGATCGATAATCGGACCATCTCTAAAATATGCGACTGCTGGCTTTGGTAGCTTGGGAGATAGGTGAAATCGATAGGATCTGGATTGTAGAAATATCACTTTCTACTGGTGTATACACATTAGTTTGTAAATTCCCGTAAAAGTCTTGAAGGATTTGTGTCCAATTTCATGTTGCAAAATTCGGAATGAATCAACTTATAGCGTTCAGAGCTTTTTTCTGTTAAATTTCAATGCAAGAAACTCAAATGAACGTATTTGTCCGATGCAGATTTATGTGGGAATATCATAGCAGAAATCGGCAGTTGAGGGTGAAGAAGGTCAATTGATGCTAGCCTAAAGCTCGGCTCAAGAATTTTGAATTGTGTGTAAATGTAAAAAACTGAAATGGAAGGCCTACATCAGACCAAATCTCAAGCACGGGCGGATGCTGAGAATTTGTGCAAAATGAACGCGGGGCGAACAACTTTCAGCGGGCGCACAATTCCACGGCTTCGGGTCGATTGGATGGTTTCGTACTAGGGAGGAGCGGGGGGTTGTCGAGGGAATGCGCTGCACATTGGTCCAAAGGATCCGAAAGTACTGCTGAGAAAACAGGGCGTAACGCAGACCCCACACAGCGTATTCCCAGGAGGTATCGTGAAGTCGAATCTAAATACAGCAAAAAAATTACCGGCAAGTTCCAGAAATACCCGGTAGTCGCAGCCATTTCGGAAAATCGATAACCTTTGAGGTTCGATTGAAGAAATTTCCGATGTGGGAAGGAAAAAATAAGTATGATTTGCAAAAACATCTGCACTAAAGGTGAGACTGCCCCATAGTTAGAATCGCTTTAGATTATTGGTGGCTAGACCTGATTAATTGGAGCAGCCGAGATCGATCTAAACAAAAAAAACCGTCGTATGCCCCAGAATGCCATGAATGCAGGAACCCCGTTGATTGTAATCATGCCGAAAAGTGATTTATTCTTAGTGTACCCAAAAACATTCCGAAAAGTTATCACAGTTCAAAACACCAGACGATGCAGAATCTGCATTGCAGACTTTTGGCACGTAATAAAGTATTTTTTTCTTCTTTATGAGAAGTTGTATGCGGGCCAAGTTAGGAAGAATGTAACAATCACATGATATGTACTTTCATCGAAATGTCGAACCGGTCAGAAGTCCTCCCAGGCGTCACTATCCTTTTTGGCGGGGGCCGCAGCCTAAACGAATCTTTTTGCACACACGCAGGAATCTCCATATCACAAATTGATTTCTTCAATAGATAATCTTTTACCTTGGTAATGCCGCTGGTTCGCTGTGCCTTCTTCGCCGCCAATTCCTTTTTCCTTGCCTCATTCCTCGCAGCAAGCTCCGCCCGACGCTCTTCACGAGATTTCCCGGTCGAATTAACAGCAGGCTGTGACGGCACGGCAGCTAAACAATTATCTTAATTGAAAATATCATTCTTACAGTCCCAGCCGCCCCAGTCGTCAGATTTCGTGCCCGGGTCTTGTTTGGCGTAATCATCAGTCAGACCCCAACCATCTTTTCCTAAAGGTAAGAATCATTTCATCACGAAAAGCTACCATCCGAATTGACAGAGCCCTTCTTCTCATCGCTGATCCCAAGCAAAACATCCAGGTCATCTGTATATCATCATGTAATATAATGTTGCAGTTTTACCATTTTTAGATGTCTTCGGCTGCACCTTGGCGTTCAGTTTGAGGCCACCTCCAGCGGGCTTTGGCTTTAGGCCTTTGACTGCCGCAGGAATCGGCGCGGCCGGTTTAGGCTCGACATCGAACCCCAGTCCCCAATCGTCGTCATCGGCTACGATGTCTAGAAAAATACAAATAGATGACACTTGATACGACTACGCACCATCATCCGCAGAAACGTCCCAGCCTTGCGATTCGGCTGAGCCGGAAGTCGTCGGGAAGTAATTTGGATATGGTGCAGCAGGGGCTTCAGGCGCGCTTGAAACTAAATTGAAAAGCACAAAGATTGAAATAAGTGACATGTATCTAACCTGGATTTTGCCTGTGTGGCAGGGCATCATCTTTCTTGCCGGCAACTTCGCCTTCCTTCTTGACAACGGTCTCCGAAGGCAGAGTTCCTTTGTAAATCTTTCCGGAAAGCGATTTCAGTGCCCACGACGCCCATTGAGGAACCTACAAAATGTCCTCATCAAATCATAGTTAGAATTACCTTGTCCGATCCAAAAATTCCTTTTCCACCGGCCTTGACCTGAGCTTCAAGTTCTGGGATAATTTCCGGATTCTCGCTGGCTTTTTCCAGGTTATCAAGAAACCCTTTCAGGGCCTTGAAAGCTTGATCGCGAACCTAAAAAACCGATGATAAGATGGCTATTTTAACACCAACTTGTTTTTCAGGATCACAGGTGAGTGGACCAAGGGCAGGAACAATTCTATTCGCGACCTGAATCACCTACATTGCCTTCCAGACACAAAAGTACCTCAACCAATGAATAAAATTGCTGGGTTGCCGAAAGAGCCAAAACAGCGGCGATACGAGCTGGTGGGAAAGGATCTTTCATACCCCTAAAAGCAGAATGAAACCAAAGGAATGTTTTTACCTAGTAAAAGCGCCGATCAAAATCTTTTGCCGATTAGCAGGCTCCAAGAAACAGCCAATCTTTCCAAGGCAAATTGTTGTGTTGGTCCGAATGCCGCCTTGTTCGTCCGTGCCTGGACGAAAATTGAGTACGGAATCAACACATTACCTTGCAAGCGAGCCAAATGCTTCATCAATTCGTTATTCAGGTTGTGAACATTTAACTTCTCGGCTAACGAAACCATCGCCTTAACAGTGCTTTCACGCACAGCAGGAGATGTATCCGAAAAACCAGTGGCCAGGTTGCTAAAAAGCGTTTAAAAAACATATGGATGCCTACCTAAAGATTTTCTCATTGACAATTTGAGGCGTCAAGTGTGTGGCAAATTCGTCAATACTCTCTAGCAGCTTGACACGAGTCGCGCGATCGGGCGAACTAAACACAATTGTTTTCGAGAAGAATCAACCTGAATACCTGAATAGCTTCACCAAGCAAGGGACAATCTTCCGTTGATATTCTTGCTCATCTAGCAGATGACTAAGTTTGAAGAGTGGTATCAGGATGCTTGGGCCCGCGTCTCCAAATTCGTACGACTAAATCCGATGCAGAGCAAAACATGAACACTACCAGCAACAATTTCGGAAGAATCTTGTACTTGGAAACGCCATCCGGGAAAATCCCGAGGTGGTCGCGAAGGTTGGCGAAGAAGGCTTGTTTCTCGTGGGCTTCCTGAATACCAGATTTATAAAAAGGCGCTATTGTTGACCTTAAGCTGGAACTCCTCAAGGAACAACAGCGTATCGACAAAGCGATTTTTGCATAGACCGCCACCTTTCCGGCAATCTAAAAGAATCACTCTTTCGAATTACGAATACCAAAAATGAGTTCTGCAGCATTGAGGCGCGAAGCTGTCGGTGAAGCAACTCTCTTGTAGAAATCCTGGAGCCTTGTCGGGATCCTAAAAAATCAAATAGCGCTTGAGGATACCAGAGAGCTCGCTTACTTTCCAGGAGGAGGTGGTTTATGAGGGAATTCACGAAACCCGTTGAAAATCTGCCAAACGACGAATCCAAGCTGGCGCAGGTCCGTATTTGCCGTGCTAAAGAGATAATTCAAACATGAAAGAATAATGGACCTGAACGCAGCAGTTTTATCCAGATTAGCCAATTTCCAGTCTCCGGCAGGTGTCACGTAAATACTGTCGGAGAGACGCTCGTGAGAAACATTCGCCTCGTGCAAAAACTTCAGCGTGTTCTAAAAAAACGTTGCTGCAAAGGAGTAAGCCACTCACCAACACTTGGTAGATGCCCCAGCACGTGCCAAACAACAACTGTTCTTCGGTGAACGAATTCTCTTCGATGTAAAGATTGAGCGGCAGACATGGCTCCGTGATCAAATAGACCGTACCGTCTAGCTAAGAACACAAAATGAATAGATTTTTGAACCATTGTACCTCAGTGCTTTCCAAATACGTCAAAATTCCCGGGTGTCTCATAGTTTTCAGCTTCTGAATTTGAAGCTTCAACGTCCTTCCAGCTTCCGTGGCTTGTTCAGCCGAGAACAGCGTGGCTTTTTCTTCCGGCTCAGCCTAAAAAGTTCGATCAGTACAAGGAAGACCAGAATACCTTTTTGCAACTAGGTGCGATATCGACGTTCGAGATGGTGGCGATAGATTTCCGCGTCAAGTCGTAGGGGAACTGGTGCTTCGGATCCCTTTGGAACAAGGAACTAATCAACGACGCCATCGTTTGATTGCCAGTTAGCGCTGAAAACGAGGGTATAGCCGAGATTTGAAGGGACGGACGGCCCATTTCATTTCAGGAAAACGAGTTTAGGCAATAAAACGTAGAGTTTAGACCCACTAAGACGCAAAAATTTGGGAGCGCAGGCAGCCTAACAAAACGGGGTTGAAATCTTTTGCATGACTGTTCCGAACCGCTAAACCAAGTCAAGAATCGGAAGGATTTTCAGGTTTTCCAAACATGGCACGTAATCCATTCTCCGTGTCTGTCACCCAACCGCCTCTCGGGAAAAGAACATGCCCGGTAGCAAAAGCCCTCCAAAGAGCAAGGGTGCTATGAAGGGACCCTTATGGAAATGTTTACAGCTTAACGGACCCCAAAAAAATCTGGCCTCAAAATTATTAGGCGAGCCAGCCCCGGTGACTTGCATTGCAAATTGTTGGCCAATTTTCTAGGCACATGTTCCTTTTCACACGAGAATGGAGTTGGAAAAATGGTACCAAATGTGGTCGCAATGCTAAATACAAGGCCACGCAGGAAACAAAAACTGAAAAAACTTACTAGGAGTGAAATTGATGCGATAAGGGCGCATCTTGGAATGTTAGAGGGCAGGCAAAAAAAGAGGAAGGCGAAAAGGAACGAAAATGAAATGCAAGCGCTCCGGTTCCGCGTTACAACCCGAACTACCGTACGTTTCGTGCGTATCCAGCCGTACTTTTTCGCTGAAAATTCCGAATTTACAATTTTTTAAAAAGACCGAAGTAAAATCGTTTTGCGCTTTTACGTTTCTCTTTCACGTAGTTGACAACTAAGCGCTGTAAGCTGCGCTTATTTTCTAAGCAATCCCGCGCATATCATCCCCGGCCATCCAACATATCTTTTGCGCCCAGCAAGTGGACTGCGGTTTGTAGTCTAGTGTGTTCGGATTGATAAACGGCGTAAGAGGTGGCGAGAAAAGATACAATCTGCTCGCCAATTTTGGCAACTCGAAAACCGAGAAGTAGTCTATAGGCTGTAGTAATTATTCACATCATTCGATAAGCCTCTGCTGATCCAAAAGTGGCTAATGCCGGTGTTATCGAAGTTCTTTGGATCGCAGCTTGGACTGAAAGTGCTGACAACGAATTGCTATGAAACTTGCCATACATGGGAACCGGATTGCTCGCTCGCAATTCAGGCATGCTTAGACGTTCGACGGCATTTTGAAAATTTCAGCAAGCTGTTCCCGAGGCTTTTCGTTTTTGCTTGCGAACCTATGGCACATTCTATATCGTAGGTTTGAACTATTTACACAGGACAATATTCAGCTCGGTGAACTCGTTCGCGCGAAAGGGGACCCTAGAAAATTACGCTTCCGCAAGCTTCTGCTCTCGATTTTGCAAAGCTCTTGTTTCCTGACGACGAATTTGGTGGCGTATTTGTTTTTTATGTGCAGGATACGGTAAGTGGGATTGGTCAAAGATTGAAATTTGCCTAGACATTTGCTGGGATTTTGGGTCTGGCCAACACTGGGGTTAACGAATGGAATTCTATCATCATTTACGGCTATTCTTATCGAAAAGGCTTCTAGACGACCTGCATTAGCGCTTTATTTAACGAACCTGGTAAGGAAAGTTTTGCTAAATTATTTTAACTAGTTTTTTTAACTTAATTACGCAGTGGAACTTTTAGGCCTCAGAAACCTTCTTCCGCCAAGCCGTTAACCATGGTTACATTTCGTATATTCCCAATGGGCAATGGATTGTGGGCATTTTTCTTAGTGCCGATAGGAATATTTAGGTTTTTGCGTTGGGTCTGGGCTTATACTATCTTTTAAAATCAGACAACCGCATCCCCGCGCCCGGAATTCTGGAGTAAGTTTAGAATAATTAACCATTTTTGTAGAAAAATTCAGGGAATTGAAGAGCATAGTGTGCTGCCAAAATGGATTTGGGCCCGATTTCCGGAGACGTGGAAAGCCACGTTCAAAGGGCTTCGTGGATATCCAAAAGCAGATACTTGTCTTCATCCCCATAGTTGTGTTTCATCGGTTGTTGAGGTGGGAATTACCTCTAAAGTCGACATCAATACTTTCAGCCGTCGATTCGCAATTTCTTGATCGGCTTTGCAGCTTCAAGTTTGTTAACGGTTTTTAAGAATTTTGGAGTTCTTCGCAAATCACCTTTGAAGGTATACAGATTTAAGTGAAGAAGAAAGAGATCGCTTTCAGTTGTTGCCATTACTAGTTGCAAAATCGAACCTACGTATACCCGGATTTTTGGCATCACTACCCTTTTTATACAATGTAAGATGAGAGTATGCTTCTCAAGAGATTGATAATGCTCAGACGACAAGCTGCCTGATCGAGCATCAAGTTCCAAATTTTAAATGGAAGCCGGCGATTGCTGGGTTGGTTTCCGGTGCAGGGATGCGGCTATTCCCAAATGTAACAATCGCTATGTACATGTTTTGGAAGGCTATTGAGGTGAGTTACAGTGAAATTCTATACTTTTATGCTTCTAGCATTTGTATGACGACCTGGTGGCTCGTGGCTATATTCCGAAGTTTCGGCACGGAGCTATTATGCTGTATACATTCGCTACTGGCTACGTTTTGTTTGTTGCTGCGATCGAGCCGCATGCATTGCGCACGGGATATTACAAATTTTTGATGGGGTTATCTGGAAATCGGTGAGTTTTAGAGGGTTACGATATTTATTACCGTATTTCCTTTAACATAACCTCAAAGATTCCATTTTTTTTCAATAAAGCTTTAAAAAATTCCAAATCTAGACTCGCTGTGTTCAACCGTCGACTTTTCGATGAGGTCGGCTTCCGCAGCTCGAAGATGTTTCCGAACTGGCGTCCACGTTTGAATGCAGCGTATTTGACGCAGAACCCGGAATTGTACCTAGGACCAAGATGATTACTAGGATACGCTTGCCCACTCACGGGTCTAAAATAAATATGGGAGATCTGTCAACGGCACTCAAGAAAATAGGAGAGACTTAGGGTCAGTCTTGGGATATGGGATAGCTATGAAAGTCGGATCGTTTGCTCTCAGAGGTTGCCAAAAATCCGACGGAAAAACCACTTTTTATAAAAAATTGGGTGGCTAAGCACCAAAGTAAACGTGTACTGGGCTGTTAGCAGGGGAAAGTAATTTTGTGTTTTTGTGTATACCTGACTCTTAGGAATAAATAGTGGATTTTTCAAATTTTTAGTAGTCCTAGTTTTTTAACCTTTGATTATTTGTTTAAATTTATTGTTGATTGAGCTGATTTTGATTCGTTTTGATTGTTTGCCAATTTTCGAAAACTGTACAGGTTTTTATGAGCCGTTTATATCTAAAAACTGCGAAAATGCTATAAAATGGTCTATATATTTTTAAGACGTTACTGTACTACTGGGAAAATTTCTTGTTTTTACTACTCGTCCCCCCGCCCCGTTAACAGTCCAGTACCAGTAAATTCACAACAAGATGAGATGGTTACGGCGCACAAATTTTCGGACAAATAATTTTGGATTTCTAGTTTTACTACCTAGTTTTCTATTAAATTCCAGACTCGCCTAGCCCTTTAAAAATGGGGCACCCGGAAAAATACACTTTATTTGCTAGACTTTCGATTAAGGAGGCAAGCCGTGCCTTTAATTCCCGGATCCACAGCCTGAAACAAGGGATGAGAGTACTTATTGGTGTACCCCCAGGGTATGGAAGCTGCAACGCTTGGCGGGCAGAGGTTTGTGAGGTGTGAAAATGGGGTGTGGAGGATGTGTGTAAAAAGGGGTTGGAAAAGAGACGGATGGAGGGGAGGGAGAGGTCCGCGCGCTTGCTTGGAGTGCCCATTGCGCAGTAATGTCCTTGCTTCCACTTGGGTCCACCTCCAATCGGGGAGCTGCATGGCCCCGACAGCTGGGTGGAATTTGTGTCCATTTTTATCTATTTGTATCAATTAATGTCACAATGTACCTTTCGCTTTTTGTTAAAAAATCGGTTTTGAATTTTAAAGGGGCAGTTTACAAGAGCACCTCTATACTCCAGGTTGAAACCCCGATTAACCTACCTGATAGAGCTTTTCACGCTGTACACGATACAAATATTTATTTTTGTCGAAAACAACCGGAAAGCCGCTAAAAATAGCTTTAAAGGGACAGGGACGGCACCGCTCGGACTGCTTTGCTCGTATTTCTGGCAGGTAGCCAGAAGCGCAGAGAGTGCGCCCCAGGCACCCACATTCCCACGTAACCGATTGATTTATGCCGTCTTATCGGTTTAAAGTTGTTGCAGGATTCGGCGTATGCCGCGCATAGCCGAACCTAACTTACCATCCAATACTAAACCCTGGATGCCTTAAAAAAATTTGAGAAACCGCTGGATTTTCAGCGAAACCTGGAATTCTCCGCTTCCCAAAAAACCCCCGACTTTTCAAGCATTTCGTGTTTATTTTCGGAAGCATGAGCACTCTGCAGACCTTCCGCCACCCCGTCCGACCCCCGGGGCCATCCGATATTTTCCGGTGGCAACTCGATAGCTAGGGCCCTTTCTGGCAGCAAAGGGCCCATTCTAGCCGACCAAAAATGGCAATCCAATCGCGGATTACCTGGTCGTACGGCCAACCGAATGTCCGCATTATATAGTGGGACCATTATTCTTGAGGGTGGGGTGGAATTATCGAGTGTTTTTTTTGCTATTTTGCAGGCTTGAAAATCGGCTGAACATGTGCTTTCTACAGTATTTATAAAGACTAGCTATATAATTTTATGAGTTACTACCATTTTTCCCGACCAATGAGCGCCAGCTCTAACTATTCCATACGCATGCATACCTAATTACCGTAACCGGATAACTTTTCCAAACAATTCCCCTTCCCGTTCGAAGCCCTCCACGCTGAATAAAACATATTTTCCAATATCCATTTTGAATTCCCCCAACACCCCAAAAACCAATTCCGATGCAGCATTCTTCTTTTCGACTGCGTGTCGATTCACGATGAATGGGATGACGGCTAAGCAAATTAGCCCTTACAATGAGAGTCTGTTCCCCCAAATTTTTGAGATGTGCTGGTGACGAACAGAATTCGAATTCCCGTTTTCTTCCGCTTCTAAAGTAACTGCTGTCTCATTTCCGTGAATTTCCTGTTTACGAATAGTAGTGTAGTCTATCCTCCACCGTCGTGGTGGGTCTAGAGAAGCCATCGTTCCGCTCAACGATGCTCATCAAAATCTTGCCCGTTCTTTTCCTCTTAACTGAGTGACCGGTGCAATTATGTGGGGAGTGTGGTGAGACAGTTGTCCACAATCCCTTTCCCCTACCCATCAACACCCTAGATCCAGCTATCCACTACTTTTTTCCAGGAGGCTACAAATTTTTTCCGGGTCTGACCCTCGTTGTCATCGATTCTCTACTTTTTACGCCTTCGGTTTCTTCTTTCGGAGCTGCCGGAGAGAAAGGCGCTATGCATTTTTGATTTATTTCTGGGCTCGGGGGTTCCAATGAGCGAAGGCATTTCCGGTTCTTTGAATCAAATTTGAGGTATTCTCGGTTTCTTGTACTCTCTTACACTAGTTTACATAGAATAAAGCAGACTTCCTATTTTTCTTAAAAAGCACTTGACATTTGGCCTTTTATTGGTTCCGGGTCAGGCCAATTCCAATCAAACCCAAAATTCCCCGTCCTCTCCATTTTACGGCCCGAAGCGTTTGCACTAGCACAAGATAGTATTTGGAAAAACCATTAGGGCACCCTCGAGATTCGAGGCGAATAGGCTCATCCATCTCTCAGAATCGGGAACCAAAAGCGCCGAAAAAGGGCGGAAAGCAAATGGAAGGGCTAGAGAGGAAGGATTGAAGGGGTGGGGAAGGCTAAAGGAAGGGTGACAGATTGGAATTGGGCCCCCAATGCGGTCGGGGGGAATGGCTGATCTTTGCTGTGATATGCAAATCCTTCACTTGGGGGTGTGGTTTCGGGGTAGTATGCGGCTAGAAATTGGTTTATTCGGGTTCAGGATGCTTTATTCTGCTTCCAGCGTCTGTTTAGCATTTTTAATCATATTTTCTTTGCCTCTGCTTTATTTTCTGACGCTGAAAATTAACGCCAAAAAGCCAAAAACAACCGTTGCTAAAGAAATCCACTGATAATGAGGGCAGACAAGAGGAAAGTAAACAGCTCATAAGTGTCTGAATTTTTGTGTGTTGGCAATTTGTAAATAACAGCCGGTACAGCCGGTACAGACGGTACAGCCGGTACAGCCGGTACAGCCGGTACAGCCGGTACAGCCGGTACAGCCGGTACAGCCGGTACGGCCGGTACAGCCGGTACAGCCGTTTCGCGGTATATGTAATTTACGGATTTTATTGTTGTTATTTATTAAAATTAAAGTAAAATTTACTATAATATGTCGTAATTAGCCATTTAGAGCGCCAGAGAGCAGTTTATAGGAGAATGGAGCTATTCGGGGCTGTAATATCTGCATTATTCACCGTTTTTAGAGAGACTCTTGATTTGAGCGTTAAAACAATTAGTTAATACATAAAATTGATTTCACTGACTTCATTCAAGGTTACAGAAGCCTTTATAGTGTAGCATCGCTTGTCGGAGCCCAGTTTTGATTTTTCTGTGCCTTATTGCTCGTTTTTAGTCCTTTAACATATGGTTTCTCGAAGGTAGTAATGTTGGAAGGTTGAATTATGGTTTTTATCGTTGTTAATGTTGACAGACTTTCATTGTAGTGTGCTATTAACTCCGAAACTATAAATTGTGCTTAGATCAATTGTTGACGCAGGCGCACGTGGCGGGCGGTTTTGGCTCCAGGGTAGAAGCTTACTAGGCGCTTTGCTGAAATTACTCGGGTTTTAATTGAAGAAGGAGCTTGCTTAGTATGCTTAACTGAAGCACTAGCGTAGCGGATCTTAGCTTTAATAGACCGCCCGTCTCAAAAACAAGTAAGTTGGCGAGCCTCGCGTACAGCCCAGCGCAACGTGGCTTAAGCGACGCTTAGACTTGGTCATACTAAAGTTTGGCAGAAGCTAGCTTAGTTTTCCCTTAAGCTTAGAGCTTAGAAACATCGTTTGAAGATACTTGCGTTAAAAATTCTCTGCATGACGAGCTAAAAGTTTCTTGGCTGCTAAAAACGTTGCTGCTCGGCTGTGCTCATAAAGGGAAAAGCCGAAACAGATGAGCAGAATTAGCTAGTAAGTTATAAACTTACAAATAAAATAGCGAATAGGCTCCCTCAGTTTAGTTTAACAATTCATCCTGAAAATCAAAGCTTTAAAGGTGAGCCAATAGAAGCCAAGCCTACGCGGTGGCTTAGTTTCGCTGACAACCACGTCAAAGCTGCGTTAAACTTAGTTATAAGAAAACAATAAGCTTTTAGCGCAGCTAAACGGTGTTTAGGCTTGGAAATTCGGTCGGTCACGAGCTAACCACTTATGCTACCCCAACCATACACGCTTGCCAAGAACAAACTAGCTGCTATAATTGAATTATTCTGCCAGGATTACAACGTATTTGCACTGGAAATGAATAATAATGCACAGAAAGGGCAGCAACTGGACTCCGACAAGCGATGCTTACCTAGAAAAGCTTCTGTTACGTTACAGAAAGAAACTGAAATCAATAATATGTATTAACTAAATTATTGAATGAAAACAATGAAAGAATCTATGCTAAAAACGGTGTATAATGCAGATATTACGGCCCCAAATAACTCAATTCACCTATAAAGTACTCCTGGCGGTTAGCTGACCAATTACGACATATTATAGTAAAACTAACTTTAATTTTAATAAATAACACCAATAATGAATCACATATACCGCGAACGGCTGTACCTACGTGTACCGGTGTACCGGCCTACCGGTTACCGGCTGTACCGGTTACCGGCTGTACCGGCTTACCGGCTTACCGGTGACCGTGTTATATACTAATTGCCTGGTTTTTGTATCGATTCATGGCTTCCAGTTTTAGCTTTAAAAGGAGATCTGGGGCCCAGACATTCACTCCAACGTAAAAGAATGGAATAACTTCCGCTCTATGCCCTCCGGGGGGACAATGCCGACTATGCGGGTATGCCACCCCTAACTTCCGAATACATTACCCGGCTAGGGACAGCAAGCATTCGCAGGTTTTTCTAACGTATTTTTCGTTCGGTCCGACTTTTATTTTTCCAAAGGTTTATGCAAAGTAGTCGTTTAAAGCGGCCTATTTTTATTTGTCGAAAATCATTTTGGGCGAAATAAGGTTTTGTCGAATTTCCAAGGCCTTTTAAGCCTCGATTTCGACTTCTTCTTAAGCATTTCAAAAATTGAAATTTGGTGTATTGAAATTTGGGTATAATGGGTTTCGACAAACTGATAGCAACTCGTTCAAGGAGGTGCTAAACAAACTGGCCATTTTCGGTCAGCTTTAACATTCCTTTAAAAGTGCCTTTTCTTCATACTTCTATTTTTTAATGTATTTTTAAATCCTGAATGTCTGCCCCCTCGCCATTCCCCCTCCTAGCCTAAGGAAAATATTTCACTCTACTACGGCGCTCCATAGGGATTTCCGGTGAGCATATGCAAATGCCCACTGCCCGTCGACGTGCCCAAGAAATTCGAAAAGGGGGGCTTCTCGATCTTGGAAGGGGAGGGCTTCTCCTTCGCTAAGCCATTACTCCCAAACTGACCAGCCTCCGTTCCGTTCCTTTCCGCAAAATCTAAGCCGCCTAGTAAACAGAACAAATTGAGCACATTTCATTGGCTAGTCTTTGACATTGAGACACGCTTTTTAACGAAGCAGATTAAATGTTTTAATTTTTTCATATTTTGATGTTAATGTCTCTGAAAAGTTAGTTTTATGCCTTTTAGACATGGCCTCAATTTCTCGTCCACCAGCCACAAATTTGCGAGCCGCACAAGCTGAGCATCTAGATGCGATGAAGGAGTCGCTAAGGAGTATTAATGCCAAGGTCTGTGCTACAATTCAGCTTTATTTTAGGCTTTATTACTTAAAATAGCAATCCCCATAATTCCAGGACGTCGTACCAATTCTTGTTGCTCGTCGTGTCTTGCAGAGCTTTGAAATGACAAAAGTTTACGATCAGGTGGGAGTTGATGAATTTTAAATTAAAGGGGAATTTTCGGTTTCTGTTATCCGAATCCCCTTAAAATTATTTAGATAAAAAAGACGAAGTAGTAGATAAAGTTACTACTTACGTACGGTACGTCCAAACCGCTTTTCCACCAACAAGATCCTCAAATTAAAAACTTTTTAGAACGCTCTAGTGCCAAGTCGAGCTTTATAAACTTTCCAATTTTCCAGGAATCCGGCCAAGAACAAATGGATGCACTAATCGACATTCTGAAAACAAAGACACATTGGATGGGCCCGATGACGGATGCATTGATTAGAAACGGCCAAGGACTCATCGCACAGCAGCTCATCCAGCTTCAAACCGCCAAAAATACCTAATTCACGCTGTAACAATTCAAATTCCCGGCAACTGATATCATCGGTAATGTGATTGCATTTTTTCGCTATTGTACGTATAAAACCATTTAGTGATTCAATATATAAAATTTTCGATTATTGATTGGCTGGCTAATTTTGGTGCTGAAGTTGGAGCGGAAATAGGCGTATTCCTTGCCTTCGGCCGGCCTATTTGGTGGACTTCTTCGATGGCAAACAGTTTTTAAATTTGAAATTTGTTTGCAGAGCGATAAAATAGGCGTTTTTGCAAAGGAGATTTTAGTAAGAACCGGAAACTGAATTAAATTAAAAAATGCGAGCACGTCACATAAATGCATTAATTTTGAAGGTTGGCCTTTTTCCATGAACAATGAAGACGTTTATTGTGCTGTCGTGCTTTTAAGAGAGCCAGCGGATGTGAGGCTGCTTGATAGGGGGGAAGAATGAGAAAAAGGAGGTGGAGGAGGACGAATGGGGGGGAGGGCCAGATGACGCGTGTTGAGGCCATGATATGGGGGATGACTACGGGACGATACATGTAGACGGGACGGAATCGACTCTGCCCGGGACAAGACACACGTCAATTCGATCGTATTCAAAGGGCCCAGGGACAACAAGTTTAATCGTATAGGGGGTGAGCAGTCCTTCACACACGCAGAGTCGATCTCCTCGAGGTTGGGCCTCTGAGCCTAAAATTTTTGAATTTATAAGGGGATTTCGGGCAGACAAAAAAAGGTCGCGCTGGCATTTCGACATTTCAGGTTTAACATCGGCGAAATCGAACAGGGGGGGGGTTTAAAACTTCAGACCTAGTACCGTGTTTTGGTTATTCAAGAATAAACTTTGTTTTACGTTAATTGACGCTAAAAACGGTTTACTGGGAGCTGAAGCTAACGCACAATCTGTGAAAATTTTGCTCACGTTTGAATGGGTGATATTTTTCTATTCAAAAACCGCACCTATTGGCTGACATCAGAGGTGAGGAGGTCATCAGGCGATCGGTCGGCTCGCTTCTCACCGGGTTGCACTTTAGCGATCTCCTCCATCACCGGCACCGGGCCGCTGCAAATAAAAGGAAATATATCACGAATTTATTAGCAACACAGCTGCAATTTGATTTATCGCTGTTATAACGATTTATTTCCGGTACTAGGCACCAAAGATCAGGCTGCAGGACCGGGAACTGGTGTCACTTTTTTCGGGATTAAGTATATTGTTTGTGTGGGTTTCTGGGATGCGTGATGATTTTAGGAGGCGCCGGATTGAAAGGGCGTTGATTTTAAATGAACGTTTTAGAAATGTGGGTGGGTGAGTAGGGTTTAACGGTTCATCCTAGTATCCCTGTTTAAACTATTTGAGATAGAGTGAAAGAGAAAGAGAGAAAGAGAGAGAGAGAGAGAGAGAGAGAGGAGAGAAGGAGAGAGTGTGAGAGTGAGAGAGCGAGAGAAAGCGAGAGAGATTGGGAGAGAGTGAGTGAGCGAGAGAGATTGGTAGAGAGAGATAGAAAGAAAGAGAGATCGAGTTAATCAGAGAGTGGGAGAGCGAGAGAGAGAGCGTGCGTGAGTGGGAGAGAGGAGAGGAGAGAGAGTGGGGAGAGAGAGAGAGAGAGTGGGAGATAGAGATAGAGAGAGCAGGAGAGAGTGCGGGAGTGAGAGAGAGAGAGGACGCGAGAGAGTGTGGGAGAGAGAGTGGGAGAGAGATAGAGAGAGCGGGAGAGAGAGTGAGAGAGTGAGAGAGAGGGCGCGAGAGAGAGTGGGAGAGAGAGCGAGAGAGTGGGTGAGATAGGTGCGCCTCAAGTCTAAGCCGAAGCCGAAACGAAAAGCTCTCAAACTGCTCACCTTCCAGGAGCCCCATGTCCGGGGTAGATCCTGATCGGCGGCTCGTTCGGCGAGTTCTCCTCCGAAATGAATCTGAAATAAATGGAAATATTCTATCATCCGTTTAATTTCATAGTATAATTTTAATTTGACAACTTAAAACCTACCCCTGAAGTCTTTTGGAACCGATGCACTGGGCGAACATTGGCACCATCAACGACAAGGCCAAGATGATAGCCCCCGAGGCAAACAGGAGGAACCCTGAAATAAAATATATTTTGAATTACTTTAGTTGCAAACCTGTGGTCTTCCAGTGCCTCATAGGGTCACGCATGAAGGGCTCCATCTTTTCGCGCGGGATGTAGAGATTGCCTTCGTCATCCTAAAAATGTGACTCTTAAAATCTATTTCTAAAATCTTTTTGTTTTGTTTTACTCTTAATTAATCAATATTATTTATCTAAATCGGAAACCGTGATTTATTGAGCATTAACATGAAAAATGTCACGTTTTTGCCCCCAGCGTTAAAAGAACTGTAAATGTTTCTACAATTGCTAAAGGGCTAGTTCAGCCAATCAAACAAAAGAATTTCCGCGGCCAGGAGTCGAACCCCCCCCCGCTTTGGCCCCCTCCCCCTCCCCCCGACTCTAATAGCTTCGTAATGGGGGGTTCGAGCGACTGTGACTAGGTCCATAGTTTCCCAAGGTACCAGCCCAAGCTCTGAAAGTTGAACTAGCCCTTTAACAAAAAAACGGATATCGACTAATTTTTTTATGGCATTTAAATAAAAAATAGGAAAAGAAAATTGTTATTGTTTACCTGGAAAACCGCGATGTGGCTGATGGAATCCTCAAGCGGCTCTTGGGGCCAGGTGTAGCCGATGATGATCCCAACGGCACCACTCAACTAAAACTCGTAATATAGTGCCATTATCTTTTAATAAAACAAGGCCGGTGATAACAATCAATCCACCGTACCAGCAGGAAGAGTCCGATGATGGTGCAGATGCGGCACACAAAAAGACCGCGACGTTGCGATGGCGGGGGTGGAAGGAGATACCTTAAAAATATGGTATTTATGGAATTAAAAGATGGGCCGTGGAAGTGTCAAAGTTACAATTTAAGTCAACTTACCAGGCGCCGGTTTGCTCGACATCATCGGGGGTTGGGGAGTAGTAGAAATTATGAAGGTAGCTTTTGATTCCGAAGCCCTGCGGGGGTCCCGTCACAGCATCCACCTACAATTCATTTAAATAAGACATCAAAGTGCAAAAATTCCTTTCCGACTTTAATAATGCAACTTGTACTGTACTTATGTGCTTCTTTAGGCTTAGACTTAGACTTAGCTAGCTTAGGCCTAGATTATGCTTAGCTTAGGTTTATCTTAGGCTTAGCTTTGGTTTAGCTTTGGCTTAGCTTCGGCTTCTGTAAAGTGTTTTTACTCAGGCTGGCGTTTTAGAATGGGACCAAGCCTATCTTGTGCAGAATTTTTCGCTGATTCAGAATCTGGTTTCCAAATTTGCTGCCGACCTTTATTTAAAAAGTTATTTTACTTTTAGGCTAAAAAAATTGACTAAATCTGGATTTTTGCGTTATTTTTTGTTTTTGTCTTCTCCGTCGTTATAAGTTCGGTGATATTGTTGGTGGGGGAAAAAAAGAAATTTTTTAAAAAAAATTTTTTTTTTTAAAAAAACGCCTCGCTTAGCTTTGGCTTAGACGAGGCTTAGGCTTAGGCTTAGGCCTAGGCTTAGGTTTAGACATGGAATATAACCTACCAGAGCCGTGGGCTTGTTGGCGGGTGGACTCAGTTTGTCCTTCTTCGCCGCCGTCCCAAGTCGGAAGCCAGTCATCCTCGCATAAACGAGGGTCGACGGCTACAAAAACAATTCCATAACCTCATCAATTACAATTAGAAAAAGATCGTAGTGTTATTTCACAAAGTTAGCAATCGGAATAAAGCAACATTCCAATCCCCAGCCCACCCCGTTCTATGAAATCATTGAAAATCCATGCCTACGCCACCCCTCAAAAACCGCTGCAATTATGAAGCCCCGAAATTTGAAACCCCGGCCCCGCGAGCCAACTTCCGAAAAAGACGATGGGCGAAAAACGGCTTCTGCACGCTCTAGAATCTATTTCTGGCATGGGGATACTTTAGAAAATTAGCTTTATGGACTGACGGGGGAACCCGGAAGTTATGTTGGTTTTTGATAGTGATGTTCAAAGGCTACTCACCTGAACGTTTAGGAATTAATGGAGAGAGCAAATGTTTGGGTTTTGAAGGTGGACTATACGATTCTCGGCGCGCGGAATTTGAGTTCCATTATGCTAATTAGTAGAGCGGAAGGAGGGGTAAGGGGAAAGGGAGGGGTCGTAGAAATTTATAGGAAAAGGCTGTAGGCGGTCGTTTTCTTGACCGATGAATCTATGGGTTTCATTTTGGAGGATGGGTAGGGCTCTGGGGGTGAATTGAGGCGAAGGGGTAGGAATTTGGGGGGGCTGGTTAGATGCAAATTACGGGTCTCTGGGGGATGTCAAATTATTTTTAAGGGATTGAAAATGCAATAAAGTATCGAGATTTTTGGGCTTATGGAAGAGGAATTGAAGGTTTGGCTAATCACGAAGAAGCATATTGATACTTAGATATATAAAATTTTAGTGACATCATCACCCTTACAGAGGTCTTTATCATTCTAGATTTTGCTAAAATTTCAATAGACATTGCGCCGAATTTGATTATAATCTAATTCTATAGAATATAATTCCATGGGTAGAAATCTCACTATCCCAAATTGGATGAGCTATAAACTACTTCCGGTATTATAAAAAAAACCAAAAAACCGATAAAATCTTTCGATATATTCAAAAACTTGCATACGGAATTACGGTATATTGAATTTCAGCGTAATCGGTTTGGATAAACTATTGTTTTGCGTCATGTATCTGATGTCTAGTCCAACGTTAGTAAATCAAAGCTCTTTGCAATTCCCTCAAAATACAATCAAGGTTCGTAAGATTAAAAACGAATTAACGGGGTGAGCGAAAACTCGGACTACTCTCTGCCGTGACGTATCGATGAATATAAAAGAGAAAAGAGGGCCCCTGATCGGCGAATGTGGGCCCCTCTCACCAGAGCAGAGCCTCATGTCCCTTATAGGGAGAGGGAGGGCCCCCTTCTATAGCCTGGGCCCCACCAGGGCCCTCGCCATCGATCCATCCCCCTCCCACCCAGTGCCCCTACCACACACATACATACAAACACACATACCTCCGCACACACATTTTTTCTGAACAAACAGCAACATCTGAATGGATGATGTCAGGAGGAGAATTTATGGAGGGAGAAAGAGAAATTTGGTTCTTTTGCATTATCGGGGGGGAAGCGGCCGCGTTGAAAAGCTGAGTTGTAAAATGTAATTTATTTTAATAGTATCTTTAGTAAAATGTTCGTGGGCCTGGAAAGCGGGTTTGAGTATAAAAAAAAACTTCGAAGTCGTTCTGTTTTACGTTAAAAAACGCGCGTCTTACAGGAAAGCACTTTATACCGAAAAATGCTAAAAACCTAAATAAATATAATACCACAAATAGTATAATACACCCCGTTTTTATCGCATTTTCAAGAACTTTTGCGTGCTACAAAAACCATCCTAATATCAGTTTCTCCGGATCGCTAGAGGGTTTTTTTTGTATCGTAATCCCATACCTTCTACGAAAAATCACCCAAGTTATGCCATTAAAATAACGGCAAAAAACCAAAAATCCATCAAAACAGAATCCACATTCAACCTTGCATTGCAACACTTTATAACCCTTCAATTCACCGCTCAGCTCCAATGCCCATTGGCGGTCCCCAACCGGAAGTCGGTGGTTCGGACCCGCTCACACCTGGAATTCCCTCCTTTTTTGGAGACACCCTTGGCAGGTGCAAAACAATGGGACTGATGTATCCTATCCTATAAGCGAGAAAAGTATGTGTGTTTTTGTACAGCCGATTTCTCGGCCGTTAGGCCGAATTTCCGGCTGATTTTTGGCATGGAGGTGGAGAAACACATTTGTCAGTAACGCATTTTTTTATTTTTCGAAATTCCTTCATTTAACGATTTTACAAGCAAAATAGTGCAAAATCCTTAACAACTTGGCCGAAAAAAGGTTTGTTCAGAGGATATCTCTCGAGCCAAATGGAATTAGGCGCTAATTTTTGGAGGGCAGATTGAAAATTACATTCTCCTGTGATATAATTCTGGGTTTGGCAGATTTTGTAATCTAAAATTTTATGAGCATTTTCCAAAAGGTCCTTAACAAAATGGGCCAAGAGCCGTGGTGTCGGGCATAACTCGAAGCCCTGATGGAATTCCGGGCTGAAATTTAGACCATTTAGGCAATCAAAAGGGGGATCATCGCATCTATTATCTTTACAAATTTTCAGCGGATTGTGACTCAAAAATGGAATTTTGTAAAGTGGCCAGAAGGCCTCCGCCGGGGCATTTGGTCGGCCCTTTGCCTCGCGCCCCTCCCCAGAACGGAAGGGCCTTTCCCGCCCCTGTCCCCATGTGCCTCTTGGTGTATGGGGTTAGCTCCCGGGCTACCACGCGGGAGGACATAGGTTCGGATCCTGGGCCAAGTTGGCTTTGCTTTTTGGTAGTTTAGCGCAAAACATCGTTCTATGCTATCGCATGCGAGGTTTAGGCCTGACCTCGATCAGCGCCGCAGGCGAAGAAAAGGTCTTGACCCAGGCTCCGCGCCGCAGGCTAGGATGGGTCCTGATCTAGGCTCTTGCGCCGCAGGCCAGGTCCTGGAGAACAACCAGTAATTAGCGCCGCAGGCAAAAAGTTTCTAGCGCGAGGTTTAGGCCTGGCTCTCGCTCTAGCGCCGCAGGCCAAAGAAAGGGTCCTTGATCCAGGCTCTCGCGCCGCAGGCCAAAGGATGGCTCCTTGACCAACGTACTTGCGCCGCAGGCAAAAAGGAAGGTGTTCAAATTCATGGTTCCTGGACGGGGTCCAGTGGAAAAGGGCCGCGAAGCGGTCTTTTTCCACTGGTTCTACATAAAATTAGGGGGGGGTGAAGACCATTCGCCTACATCGATTTTCCGCTAGATTTTCGAGGAAAATTCAGTTGTAAAACCACTATGATTCTCTTAGCTATCGAAGTTAAAAGACCGCTTCGCGGCTTCGAATTGGTTAAGTACAGTTCTTTTCCTATTGTTTGGTCTATCGTTTATCGAAATAGGGAAATTTGGAAAATCTCTTTTGTCATGCATCTGTGTAGTCATGATCACAATGTCATTACACCTAATGACGGATCCTACACCCCTTAAATTCTGCGCGAACCGAGTTACTACTGGAACATTTGTCGGACGTGCACGAAAACGGGGGCACACACATCCACTATTTTTCATATCTAGCAATATTTCTTTGCAAGGCGGTCCTATGAAGGCCGGTGATGCGTCACTTCCTGGGTGCCAATGATCCCATAAACGACATCCGCATTTTTGCCCCGGGGCAATTTGGGGCTTACTGGCGGGCGGGCGGTGACACTTTGACTGACGGCATTTCTTCTTGGCCCTTTCCTCTAATCACTCCATCTTTTTATAAAAACGGAACCCCTTTCTTGACCCCGGGAGCCGTGCCAAAAGCTTTCTTTGGTTTTTTGCAATTTGTTGGGTCTGGCGCTAACGGATGATTGTTTCTTGCTTGGAACGCCGATGTTTTGGCGCGGAAATTTTTGACAAAGGACCTTATCAGAGGCTTATAATCTTATCTATTTTCCCGTACGGGTCGACCAAGGTTGGCGCGCACCGAATGGGACCATTTTTTCTCAAACGCTGGGCAATGGATTTAATTTTTGGGGTTGGTCTGCGATGTCTGGCTAATTAAGTAGAAAGTAGATTTAGTTGCCTAAATAGTAAATATGATTATCTAGAATCCCGTAAAACCCTCTATTTTGCCGTGTTTTACCCGTCCCAGCCGAAAGCCAAATTTCGAGCCGTGTTGCGATCCATCCCAATCGATCGGGGATGGAAACGACAGAGAAGAAAGGAACAGACCCCTTTTTGCCATCCCCCCAAAAATAGACACATTTTTTTTTTTTGCCGTCCAGCAAGGGATACAAATTCAAAGTGCCCGTTTTCTTAGAATTTTTGCCATTTTTCCTCCACCTTTCACTCTATATTCCATACAGTTGATTCCCCCTGAAAATCACCACTTTCCGAGAAAACCACCAATTCCTTGATTCCATTCTATTGCCATGGATACGCTTTTTCTCATCCGTCCCCAAAAAATTAAGGTGCCGTGAGATCGAGACTAATATTGGGGGGTTTGCCTGGAAAAGGAGAGCGGAAATGAGGTTGTTATGACAGCTGGTCGGCCAGCTAATACTCGTACAGCTCAGGGGGGAACAACGAAACTGGTTCTCGAGACCACTGAATATTCCCAAATCGATTCGTAATTGGAGGGTTGTCAAACGGAAAACCAGGGTTGTTAGTTGTCCAAACAGGATAATATTATTTTTATTTTTATCTAGGCTAATTAGGGATTTAAAACTGTTTAAGTTGTGCTGTTTGAAAGGGACTGTAATATACCACTTCTTTCTGAAACCAAAAGCCGCTACAATTTATTTTTAGAAATAGTCTAATTTTATCTATGCTACATTAAGAGTTAAAACTCATTGAAATTATCTGTCGGAAAAGCATTGGTTTTGTAGTTTGGTGGAGGTTTAAATGACATTATCCTAGGAAAAGCTGCCAAAATTTGGCTGTAGCTGAAGGTCTAAAAGACTGTATTTTATTTATGCTAAATTAAGCGTTAATGCTTCTTGAAGTTACCGTATGCAAAATTCTAGTGAAGTTAAAATTACATGTTTATCTCTCTTCACGGTTGTGCCTTGGAAATTTGCATAATCTCCTTGAATTCAGCTTATCTGTTTTCCAAGCTTAAAAACTATAAAATCAAATTAACAGGGTGAATGAAAGAAATCGAGGTGGGCGCATCACCAGCTGCCTACCTCGAAGATGGGGCGATTCGCTGGGGTAACGAGATGCTCCTCTTGTCCAACATCCTCACATTCCAGCCATCCAGTAGTGACGGTAACTCGTCAAAAACTCTCCTTTAATTTGTTTTTGCCTTTACTATAGATGGCCCTCGAATCCAAATCATCACCTACGAGACAGCGCCGAAAAATCGGCGGCAAGAGCGGAAGTAGGGCAACTTTTTGCTTCCTTACGTATTTTTTTAGTTATTTGCTGAAATTCAAATCGAATAAAGTGGCTGATGAGTGGAGTGAAAAACTGGAAGCAAAATTGAAGCGAAGGATACCACGTAAGTAAATTTTACAAAACTAAACAAGTTTTGAGTTTTAGTGTTATTATTCTAATATATTTTGATTAGTATTTTAATATTCTTTCGTTGAATTGGACACTTTTTCAGCACACCTTGTCGACCGGAAACTGCGAAACCGGGTGCTGGTCCTAGTCAATCCATATTCAGGCCAGAAGAAAGCAATCAAAGTGAGTTTTTGGGTATTGGGCTGTTAGCGGGGGGGTACGGGCGGGCTTTTAGCGCGAGGGAAAAATAATTTTTGTCTGTCCACTATACCTCATACGTGTTGATAATACATAATATAATTTTATTGTATTTTTAGTAGTTATTGACTGCTAAAAACTTATAAAGGAAAAGGGGGGGGGGGGGGGGGGGGGGGTGAAAATTATTTTTAGAAAGTTGGAAAATTCAAAATTTTTTAGAATTAGTTTATGCGTTTTTACATATTGTATAAAATACTATAACCGAATTTATTTTTGTTCTTGGACCGTACGGAAAGGAGGGTCGATTCCCCGAGAAAAAAATTGGACGGGGGCCCCAACGGCCGAAGTGACCACACACACACACACACAGATACACCAAAATTCATAAGAGGACTGAAATTTTTTTCCCCACCAAGAATCCAGTACCGTTTCTTGTAATTTCCATCAGCCTGACGCTTTTAGTGCTGGGAAGAGGAGGCAAAGCCAACGCTGGAAAAAGCTAAAATTGATTATGATCATCGGGAGACAGGTATTTCAGTGAAATAAACCAGTGAAAATTTTATTTTAGAACAGGTTGGACACGGTACAGCAATAGCCCTGGAATGCCCGATCGATCGATATGATGCTGTATTAATTGTTAGTGGGGATGGATTGGTGGCAGAGGTAAGTAGAGAGAATTACTACCCTTTTAGATACCTTAAAACTTGTGGAAAAGGGTGCATAGACAAACGACAGTTTTTCCTTTAGTTTGTCAACGGACTCCTCCTCCGTAAAGACCGTACCCGTGCCCTAAAAATACCAATCTGTCATATCCCTGGCGGTACCTCAAATGCCCTCGCTGCAGCTGTATGTTTTGTTTGCAAGTAAGTACCGTACCCCATCACTGTTTACGTCTTTCCAGTGAAAAATTCCCAGCTTGGAATCTATTCCCTCGCGAGATGACATTAATGGTAGCTCGTCCAAGGTTCATGCCATTGAGGTTAGCACATCTCTTTAATTTCACAAACCCGATTCAAGACTATTCCGCGTCGATACTGAATACAACGGGTCGAAGCCAATGTTCCTTAGTGCTGCATGGGGCCTAATTGCAGATATCGGTAAATTTAAAATTGTGTCAGTTGACTTTATGATTTTAGACATTGGAAGTGAGCGGTTCCGGTGGGCGGGGTTAATGCGTCTCCATATGGAGGCTTGGATCCGGGTTATGAGTAAGCAAAATATTCTGCTTCAACTAAAACACGAATTATAGGGTTACCTCAGACCTGCAAATATCGGTGTCGAATTTCCTATGTGCCGCTCGGTGACGAGAAGGTTGCTCGAAAAACATTGTTAAAGTATGACGCGGCACGTCACCTGTTTGGCCGTGACCATTTTGAATATGCCGACATTGAACCGGTGGGTTTTTATTCAAAATATTTGAGATTTAATGTTCTATGAATAACTAAATTTTAGGCGACTGGCCAAGAAGAAATCCTTCAAGAACATTTTTCTTCCTTGGATGCGGCCCTGTGCGACCAAGAGAGTTATGAGGTAAATATCGATTTTCCGGTCAAATATATCCTTTTCTATGATTAAGATTCCACCCCTTTCCGAACCAGTCGGCCCTGAATGGCGAGTGATAGAAACGGAAATGGCCATGGCTTGTATATTCACACTATCGCATCTCAGTTCCGATGGCCCCTTCATCCCTCATCTCGCCTTGATGATTCTTTTATGTAAATCGTCCTAAATATAATTCTTAAATTAATTTAATTTTAAGGTACTTGGCATTAGTGGAATGGGGCACGATCAGGAACCGCTTCCAAATTGCCGATCTTCTTGTTAGAATGGATGGGTCGAATCATCTGTTAAACACTGCTTTCCAGGTCGCCTTAAACACTTTCTCGAATTTCCTTTGAGACTCTTAAACTTCAATTTCGGATTTCAATCCTAATTTTTCTAGCTAATCCCTGTACGAGCCTGCCGTATCGAGCCTATAGGCCCTCAAGAATGCTCGGGATATTTTGCAGTTGATGGAGAGGCTCTGAAAAACAATTCGAAATTTCAGGTAATTTCCCGAGCTGCAAATACACTCCAGAAAATATGTAGTAGTTTACAATGCTCTTTCCAGGTTGTCCCAATCGCTCATAGTGCAACGGTTATCGGCCGAGACGAGGTGTAACAATTCATTATCGGGTGCTGGTTTTTCGGTGATATGCACAAAACACGATAAATTTGTTGAGGTTACCTTATTTGGGGGGGTAAAAGCTTTATCGATGGCAGTGTCATTTTATGTCTACATTTCTAGCGAATACTGGCAATGAGGATCAAGTGAAGGGAGAGTTGACATTATAATAAAATCAAGTACAAAATGGAATTGGATACGGTAGATCTACCGTACCCGGTAAAAGGTCGTCAATTCGTGCCAGAAACATGATTTCATACTTTCGAATCGATCGAAGCAGGGCACGTAGGAGAGGTCAAGAGGTGTTACACGTCCTGGAAATTATTATTCAACCAATAAAGTAAAAATTTTTAAAGGAGCATACAAGTTTGAAAGCCCTACCTGGTCTCTGGTCACAGAAAAGCAAACACTTTTCTCCCGCCAAGGTCGTCGTCACTCCATTTCGCGCACAACAAGCTGTGTGGTCACGACCCTAAATGGCACCCCATTTACCGTATAGCTCGAACTCCCTAACCTGGGCTGCACAGAACTGCATCTCGGACATGGCGGCCAGGGGGCAGGCATCTTGTTTGAAGTACATCCGGGAGAGCTTCAAAATTTTCCAGTTGACTTATCGAATGCTACGAACTACCGTATCTTTATTGAACGCTCCGTAGTTGCACTTTTGCAGGCAGGCATCTGGTAGTTGACGGTCCATACAGCATTCGAAGAACGCGCGATTTGGGTTCTGAAGTGAAGGAGGGTATTTAGAACTTAGCATTTATAAAAAAATATTACGTTCTTATTATGTATAGTTTTGTATAGGTAATTTTTAATAAAAAAAGTCACCAGAGGCTCTCCCGATCCGCCGCGTCTCAAAGAAGCCGCTGTCTCTGAGACCTCGCTCAATTCTTCCTGCGAATCGGTGCGCGATTTTTCGGCCAATCTGAAAAAAACGCTGATATTAGAGGAAATACTGTATATAGCTAACGCCCTTATTCTCTTGGAACTTACTTTTGCCTTAAAATCTGCCGATCCGCCTCAATCTTCGATCCACGCGCTCGATCGCGACTGGGTTGGTATAGTTTCGAGCCTAAATATGAAATTCGGATATATCAGATATCTAGGTATATTTCTACCTCTTGCCCTCATTCGATAACATCCATAACTACCACATTGATATCCACGCGCCGCACAGCCACAACCCCCAGGAGGTGGAGGTGGTGGAGCACATCCACCGTATGCCCCGCAAACCCCGTTCGATGCGCACTAAAAACGCATATTTTTTTATTAAAACAGTCAATCTCACAATGAAAAAATACCTGAAAACTGTCCTTTTGTAGAGCTGCAAAGATGACAACCAGCAACGCAAAACTTGCCCAAACCATCTGACCAGGTGGTACTCTAAAATTCAAAAATTCTAGAATTCTATTAGAAGTAAATCTCAAGAATCAAAGGTAACAGCGAAAAGGGAAGAAAACCGGGGAAGCGCTGCCATAAGCGAGCAAAAATTGCAGCAGCGAGCTTCCCAAATTGCCCAAAATTACCGATTCGGAGAAAGCAAAGTTTTTGTGAGGCAATCGAAGGTTACCGGGAGGGTTGCTTGTTGTTTCGCTGATATTTTTGAGAGAAAAATGTTGGTGCATTTGATGATGGAAGGGGGTTGCGGTTATGTGGCCGTATTTGGCAATTTGCGCGAGCGAGAGAAACCGTCGTCGAGCATCAGGGTTGGGAATGAAATGATCATACTTGCATTCTTTATCTCTCTTCCCCCCCCCCCGCCAATAAACAAGGACATTCAATGGCAGAGAAATCATAGGATTTGTCAGGATGGGGGAGGGAACACCTAGATGGGTGTGAAAAACTGCAGGTTCAAAACCCAAGGAAAATTTTTGGTGACGTGCATACGATAGGGTAATTGGAAAGCATTTTTTTGGAAAAGATAGGATAGCGGAGGTCGGTAATAAAATAACGCGAGGCTGAAAATTCCTTTATGATAAAAATACTAATAGGCTCTTCCTGATCCCAAAGAAAGCTTTTAGCGTGTTTTTCGACGCTCTATTAAATTAAAATTGCGAAAACCCAACAAAATTTAGAATATTCGAACCATTGTTCGTTCGGAAATCGTCGAAAATTTCACTTTTGGAAGGCAGCCACAATCTAACGACTCGTCGAAGCGAAACCTCCTAAGATACAACCGCCTTTCCCCTCAACCGATTCACCAGGATCTCTGAAGTCAAAAACAAAACTCCCCCCTTGGAACCAAAGCCAGAAATTCCCCCGAAACCTCAGAAATGCAAACCAAAAATAAATTCATAGATATTTATTCATAATCGTTTTCTCACGACAAATCAGCCCAAAGCTGTCTTGTCACAAAATCAAATTTGTATTTCTGCATCGTGTTCGTCCAGAAGTTATACGCGTCCTTGAACATTCCTAAACAAAAACTACCTTCTACTAATGACCCTTACTTACCGTTTGCCTCATTTGGCTTTTGCTTCAAGCTGTAATAATTAAAGGTTGATGGATTAAACGCCTTCCAACCAGGGTTTCTAGAATGATTACACAGTTACAGTTAACCCGTTTTGTTACCCGGTTTTGATGAAACTTTTGATGAATGCGACCATGTTGTTTGAAACAAGCCAATCATCACTGTTAAATTGGAAGTTATCGTTTAGTCCAAGGCAATATGGCATTTCAGATACGTGAGTTGAGCCTTAATTTGAAACATTTTCAGCGTGTAAGTTTGCTCCGGATTACAGTTTAATTTATCTTAAACCAACCTTGACAAGGGCTATCCACTGGCCAGGTTGCTTGGTTGTAATAATCAAGACGATAGGTGTAAACCTTTGCATTTGCCTAAAGGAAAAATTATACTTTAAAAAATGCCTTGCATTTGTTTTTGCGATCGCTTCCCTCATTGCCGGGGCATTGAAAAATGTGTCAGTCCACAGCTGAAAAAAATGGGCATTCAAAATATTGGCAAGTTCTTGCCTTCACATATTGCTCAACCCAGAATTTGTGATCACTGGAATTGGTATAACCTTGTGAATAGAAATTGTAGATTGTCTATATTTAAATTTTAATTGATATGAGATTTATAGACTAAAAACCTTGGCGGCAGACTCTGCTTCCCCTGAATATCCTCGATTCGAGATCCAGGTTTCGATCAAATCGTAGAGTGCATCGGCCGTCATATATTGATATTCAGCTGCTGGGATGCTGAAGGCAAACAGGTTCGATAGAACTAAAACCGATTAAAGCAAGTGGCAGCCCAGCTGACCGAAGAGACGGCCCTCGACTTGGTTCAGTCCGACCAACGTCGGTAGTGCGGGTGAGGATTTGATAGCTGCTTCGACATCTTCGGTAAAGAAATCCCCGTCAAATAAGGGAGAATATTCAACAATATCCACATCATTTGGCAAACATTTCTGACGGTGTTGTACAATTTTCTATATCTTTGTCATTTACCCCGGTTACTGCATAGAACTGGTCGATCGTTTTGCTTTGCAAGCATCTTAAATGGATATTTTCAAATTTTGGAAGCATAGCCAATATAAGATTTTGAGCTTCTAATACGCCCTTCTTATGAATTTTAAACGCGGCTAATCGATAAAGCCAACTTCTTAATGTCTCCTTGAGTTGGACATCCCAATTTGAGCAACACCGTCCTCGTCGCTTGAATCACAAAAGGGCCCCTAGCAAAAGCAGCAATCGGTGATCCGCTTTGCTCATATGCCTGCGAAAATAAGCCTAAAAAGCACAACGTGTTTCTTCATTTCCAGTTTTTACCCCTCGATTTTGGCGAGATGGTATGCTGACCAACCGATGATGACCCAGCAGAGGTACCCCAGATCGTCACTTGTTTCGAATTTCCTATTTTACATTAATATGTAGCAGATCGTCACATACCACCGAAGCGGCCGACATTATCCTGAACCCATTTGAGTGCCATATTTTGGTCCCACAACCCAAGATTTGCTGGTAGTTGTGTGTTGTTTAAGGTCATAAAGCCTGAATGATCCGGTTAGAAGATTGTTGTCCGCCTACCCATCCATCCAAGTCGATATTGGATCGATATAAAAACAATTCCCGAAACAGCGTATACCTACAAAAATAGCTGGATTCTTATTTTCCCGATGAGTCACTTCTACGCAATATTTTTTATTTGCTAACCTCTCGTATAGCTTTCGCATTCTGTTGCCCGGTACCAGATTGATAGGCTCCACCATGAATATAGACGACCACCGGAAGCTGTTGCCCCTAGAAATCCTTATAAAAGTAACTTCTTTCTTTTTGTTTCTGCTTAACGCTAAACATACTGTGAGGGACGGGGTCCAGATATTCAGCCTAAGACAATCCTCCGAGATAGCCCAGCTTGGCCTAGAAGCAACATTTTAAGACGAATTTTAGGTCCAGTTTTACTTGACGCATTGTACACATGCTAGTGGATAGCTGGTCGCATTGTAAGGTGTAGTCCAGGGACGTGGCGTTTGCGGTTTCTACAAAATTATGTAAAAAAACATGTATCGAAATTACGACAATTCCACGCAAAGCTAATATTCAAAATTATAGCATTAAATTAGGGATTTGAATTTTACTTATGTATGAAATTATTTTGAGCTGAAATTAAAATCCTTATCGCTCTTTTTTTGATGCCTCGTCGAATAACGCCGAAAATATGATCATATTATAATGAAATAACAGCAGCACCTCGAACCGAAGATTCCCAAGTGGCGGCTCGGCAAACGGGACCCCGAGGAATTCGTAAACTTTTTGCTGCTCCTGGACGATGTAGGTTGTCCCTTGGATCGGACCGTACTTTGTGATGACGGTCGGTATTTGCGAATAACAAGCCGAAACCGTGAGCAACAGCAGGAAGCAACCCCTCATTTTGAGGCTGACGGAATGGACGGCGAACGCGATTCGAAGAGGCGATAAGGCGGCGGTCACGTCTTCCCTTCCGTGTTGCCGATTGGACCGTAGATTAATGAAGTGACAAAGTCATAACTTGATAGATGACCGCTAAAGTGTAGCAGGAAACAAAGATGGTTGTTGAAGTCTTGGTAAAATATCATACAATACATAAAAATATAGTTGTAAGTCTGTCCTAAGGTTGCAAATTCCGCCAGTATGTCCAAGGCTCCTGCTCAGGCACAGGTTGATTTCTGCGTCTATGATTTCGTTTATTGCACATATAGCTATTTAAAAGCTATTCTTTTCTATGTTAAAATCAAGGGTTTTTCCGGTCTCCATTTTTGTTAGGAAAAAAATTAGCATACGCCGGAAGTGTCCAACTTTATAAAAAGGCAACCGACAAGGTATTTTTACACTATTTTGTCATCCGGCTTCTTGAAGAATTATCGAAACTCTACACTTTCAATTGCCCCAGACAGCACCTGGTTGTAGATTTAAAAACATCTAGATATTGAATGGGATAATTAGCATAAAAGCTATGTGTGCCATCAGCCCTCCAGCCAAAATTCTGCACCCAAAATCCGCTCTCATCCGCTAAGGTCAAAAAATATGCAATTTCATTTTTATCACGATGACCTCATCAGCATTCCTATGGTAATTGCCGTGTTCTGAACATCTGTTCTGCGTGTCCGTATCAACACTAAACGCCGCTATCTGCCCGCGCTCGCCGAATATTCAAACGTCTGTCTCGAGCCATTGCCGAAATCATTTTTGCTACCTTTCCAATTTTGGACCGTTGTCTCTAAATTGAAGTAATCTCCTGACCTTAAAGTTACCTCCATTTACTGTTAAGATACCACTCTTATGCCAAGCTATTTACTTGACCCCAAGGCAATGATGAATTTAGATACAGCCACCTTAAAACTGCTTAATAACCCTCAAAAAAATTCTCCATTGCTATGAAATACCTATTTTAAAGCTACTTCAAAGCCTACTAAATAGCTTAATGATAATTTTAACCAAACCTCTCACTTAATACCACTTCAACATTTGCTATTTCAGTAACTCTCTGAGAGCGCTCGGATTTCAAGATGAATCGCGAGAAGCGTATCAACCCGGTTAGCCCATTATCTGCGGCGTCGCCTCGTCATCGGATCCCGAAAAAGGTAGGTTCAAAATCACATAAACATCAATACATATTGCTTTGTTTGTAACTTTTACTAGCAAAGTACTGCTTTTAAAGGGACGGGCAAGATGGAGCTATAGATTTTCCATAACATGCGTGCCCCCAGTTCCCTTTCATTTAATGTACTGCGAAAAAGTGGTATATGAGTTGCGTGTCGCTGGCGCTTCTAAATTCATGGGAGATTAGCGATCATAAAAATCCGTAGCCTTGACTTGCCCGGCTTTTTAAATGGTTTGAGACGATTCTATCCCGTTACTCGTAAACCCAATGCTTAAAAATTCATTAGTCAGAAATTTTAATACGCATAAACTTAAAAATTAGTAAGCTGATTTATCATGAAGCTGTTATTCACAAATTTCATTAATCAGAGGTTTCGATACTAATAGTTTTCAAGGAGGGGAAACTGGTTAATGAGTTGGATTATGAGTGATGGATTTGCTCCGTTTGCGGCAGCATGAGGAATTAAAATTGATGATATCTTTGTATAACTCTTAATTATTTAATACTTGACTTTAATACAGACATAATATTATTTTGTATATAGCATTGAATTTAGATGGTGGCCGATGCAAACCTTGATGAAACGTCGTTAGATCAGACGCTGCAGCCATTTTCTGACACCGTGCTTGATACCACGGAAGATCTGGATTGCTCAACCTCAACTATACAAGAACAATTCTCAAATGTGACTCTTTCAAATGTGACCCTGTCGATTGATCCGGAAATTTACAAGCCGGATATCAATCTCGATGACACGGCTCTCGAGCAAACATTTTCAATGGTTGGGACGGAGAACAAGCTCACCCTGGAGTCGTTGATTGAAGAAGCTGATGAAGAAAGTGGGGAAGAAGATGGAAGCGAAGAAGATGATAACGAAGAAGAAATGAACCAAACCCTCGTCGATTCAACCCTTGACGATGCTGCTGCCCATGTCGAAGAAGCTGTACAATTTGTCGGACTCAGCACGGTAGATGAAGAATCAAATGACGCAGCATCGGAAAAATCCCCGACTCGCGCACTTCCGCTCGAGCCTTTGCCACCGATCGACGAGCCAGAATTGTCGTTTACGCGTCATGATGATTCATTCGGACTCTACGACATTCCCACTAATTATGAGGAGTTCAAAAACCTGAAGGACGGCGACGATCCTGCCCGACAACGCGAAGACGTCGCTTGGTTCCAGGAAACCCTGGCGAACAAGACATTTGAAGAGGCTGAAGAGGCTGAAGAGACTAATGATATGCCAGCGGCAGATAATTCAAATACAGGCTCACGAGGCAAATATGAAGACTTCGACGAATCAATGTAAGCTCACATCTTTATTTGATTTTTGTTTTGAATTTATTTATGGAAATAATGGCTTATTTTAGGATTTCTTTCCTTCAACATGAGACTCGAGCTGCTGAAGCGGTTTGTAACGAACAACAGCAGGTGGGTTGTTTAGAACGACTTGTTCTCAAAAACTAGAATTTCATGATGTCGAAATTTAGACTTAGGAAATATCATAATCTCGAAATTAGTAATATTTCTCCATTCAAAACATGCTATTTAATGATTTTTCGATATATTTGTTCGTGATAAACCTCGACATATTAAAATTTCGACATGACACAATTTATTATTATGAATTTCGGCATTTTGATAGCAAATCGTTACTGATTATGGCTATCAAGCGCGTCGCGTGTCACATAGCCCTTAGGGGAATCCATATCCAACAATTCAAAGTATTTATCGCTGGCTTGCCTGTCCCTTTAACTAACCAATCGACTCTTTATAGGTCGTTGCCCAACTTCAACAAGAATTAGCGGTCAAGCAGCAACTCATCGAACAGATTCGTGAAGAAACTGAACTTCTTCGCCAGGGCGTCGTGGAAAGTGATTCGATGGTAACTGGTTTCATGTTTATACACTCCCCATCCTAGTTCAAAAGCGAGCTGAAGAAAGTCAGCGAGGCACACAAAATTGAGCTGAATGAGCAACGAAACGAGGTGTTTATTTTGGAGATTAATCTGCTTTCCAATTCTTTGGTCAACTATTACCCCTTGTTTAGCTTATGGAACTGCAAATGTTTTTGGAAGATGCACAGAAGAAGCACCGTGCAGAGTCGGAAATCTGGGAAAGCAACGCCGCGGAGAAGGCTGCGGAGTACGAGAAGCTCACTAATGTATACCGGGAAAGTCTGACTGACTTGGTCGATGCCAAGGAAACCATCAGAAAGCTTGAAGACCACATCCTAGAGCTTGAAAAGGTTCGTTGAAAATTTTTGAGCAAGGAATAGTTCCGAGGGTATAGCTTACTAAACCTTTGATTTTAGAAAGCTACTGAAGAAGTCCTAGGCGAGAGTCTTGCCCTTATTGAGAAACAAGCTGAACTCGAGTTGCGCATCAAAGAACTTGAGCTCAATGAAGGCGAGACGTCGAAGAAACTCGAGAAATACGACGAGAATCTCATGGAGTGCAACAGGAAGCTTGAAGAATCCAAAGCAAAGATTGAGGCCTTTGAACAACAAGTCGTCGAACTCGAAAAGTACAATCTTGATCTTGTTCAAGAACGTGATGCCCTCCAGGAAAAGGTTTGCATCCTGTTTTTGCTTAATTTCTCTGTATTTCTAGATTGCCGCTGCCCAAGCTGTTCCTGAAGAGGCGTTGCTGGAATATCAACAAGACTTGGAATCCCTACGTTCTGAAATGGCGAAGAAATCTGCCGACGCGGAAAAGCTGCAGCAAGAATATGACGACATTCTCGTCAAGTGGAATGCTGCAACTGCTACGATCAACAATCTAGAAGATCGTCTGACCGTTGAAGTTAATGTAAAACAAGGACTTTTGGATGAAAAGAAGGTTCTAGAAGAGGAGGTGGGTATTTTTGGATACGCAATATCACTAATATTTTTAAATGATTAAAAATCGCGTTTTCAGTGTTCGACTTTCCGCAAGTTGCTCGAGGAGGCCGAGACGAAACAACAGGAGGAGATCGTTTTGCTGCGAGCCGAAATCGCACAAAAGACAGAAGAGGCTGATGCCTTACGGCGCGAGCACCAGACAAAGCTAGCCGGAGTGGAGGCAACTGTGGAGGAATTGGAAACCCGTCTCCGCGCTGATGACAACACGAATAAGGGTCTTCTCGACGAGAAAATGCAATTAGAAAATGAGGTAGGTGTATTGGTCAAAAATTCTGAGGTTACATACCTTTAATAAGCTTATAATGCAGCCTTTCAAGTCCCTTTCAAAATCCATTAACTGGAATTGTAGGTATCGGAGGCCCGACGACTCCTCGAAGAGAGCCAACAGAAGTCTCAGCAAGAAATCGCTGTCCTCGAGCAGCGCATTGCCGGAAACACTGACGAACTGAGAGCTGAAATTGATGCGCTTGCAAAGCAGCTCGACGATGCCAGATCTGGACTTGAAGGAATGACCAGGCGTGCTGATGATCTGGCCAAAACCAACGACGAGCTCACTGAAGGCAAGCGCCAATCGCAAGAGGAGGTCAGTTTAGACAGCTTCAAAAAAGTTGTTTATCGACTCTGTATCCCAGAAAAAAATATACTTTGAATTTGTTCAGGTCGACGAATGCCAACGAGAAATGGCCGCCTTGGAAGAAAAACTCTCGACTCTATCGTCTCAACTGGCTGAGAAGTCGTCGGCGATGGACCTGTTGAAGGCTGAACATGAAAGGACAACTGCCGAAAAACAAACCATGTCCGAAGCCATTGCCGACCAAGTCAAGCAGCTTGTAAGTTAGAAAAATAAATCCAACCAAGCTCTATTTAGCAAGAACAAACTGCTTTGCTTGACGATCAGAAGAGCCTTTGCGCGGATTACGAACAGCGTCTCGCAGAAGCTGAAGCCCGCGACAAAGAGAGCCTGCATCGCGCCGAAGAGGAGATTGAGAAGTTGAACATTCTCGTGCTGCAATTGAACAAGGACAAGGATCTTCTGGTGGATGATAATAAGGTTTGTAAAAAGCATTCTGCCTAGAACAACTTGTTTAGACAATGACTGGCACGCTTGACAACATTCGAGCCAAGCTTGAAACAACCACCGAAAAACTCCATATGACGGAAGAGCGACTGACGTCCAGCGAAATTCAATTGATGGATTCCGAGACCCAAGTATGCTTGCTCATTAATTTCATGTTCACATTTTCACATTTTCGCATCAATACTTATCGATACGCTGCTCATAAGTTCATATATTCTGTTTAGTTTGCCCGCACCCAAGCAGCCCTTGAGGATGAGGTAGAGGAGCAAAAAAGGGTGGCCCAGTCCTTGAAAGCCGAAATGGCTTCTAAGGCCGAGGAGACCGAGCAGCTGCTTGTACAAAACGCAGATGTCGTTGAGAAACTGAAGGAAGCTGAGGCGAAGATGCAAAATATGCAGACAAGGTTGGAAGAACAACTTCAGGAGATCCGGAGTCTCCAAGAGGAAAAGAACGGCTTCAACGAAGAAGTAAGCTAATTAATTTTTAGACCGATTTGAATAGTGTTTTCTGGTACATTCAATGCTTTCAGATCGAACGTTTGGGAAAGCAGCTGGATGAAGTTGATGATCTTGAGGCTGACTACTTAAAGCAGATCTCCGACCTGCGCAACCAACTTTATAAGGTGAAATCGTCATGGGCATTCTTTTTAACGAAAACATTTTAGCCGAAAAATGAAGCCGGTCCGGGTCTGTTGTCTGTATTGAAAGGTGGTGTTGAGGCTCTCTCGCCAGATTCGATTCACGAGGATCACGGCAAAGAAAATGTATGCCATAGCTTAAAAATGGCTTTGGTTCAAATCTCTGCTTCTTACAAGACAATTATTTCAGAGAGCCACAACTCCTTGCACGTCAAAGATTGAGTCACCCGGTGTTTTGCATACACCCACCACGGAGTAAGTTTAAGAAAAGTCTGGTACTTTTCGAGTTGCGGTGGGGGTGGGGAAAAAGGAAATTTTGGTGTGGTTCTTTAGTTTTTCACGGTTAAACTAGCGCTTTTGCTAAATTTTCTAAATAAATTAATTCAACTCTAATTCGTTTAGTCGAACAATGGGAGTGGAATTGGAAGCTACGAAGCTCGCAACCCCGGCGCGACAAAGTGAGAAACGTCAAAAGCGCGGCACGCCAAATCGCAGTTGCGCGCAACAATGAGCAACTCCATGTGTTTTTCGGTTGTCTAAATTTATCTCTCAAAGATGTTTTTCGCGATGGAATAAACGACAGAATTTATTTCCATTTCCAATTTTACAGTGAGATCGAGTAATCGAGTGTCATAAAGGATATTTAATTGAGCAAGAGGAGCAAAGCCAGAGATAAGGAAAATATGGGGCTGATTATTCGGACGTCGTTGCACATGAATCCTTTGCAGTAACATTGCGATACGTACTCTACGCCCACTTCATGAGTGTAGTGATCTGGCGATTGATAGCATCTGGAAATGTACTCCTCTAGGTCTATATAAATGCTGATAAAACCGAACCACTGTGTTTTCATTAGTTCTAATACAAACCTATCATCACTAGGCGGCGGATGTACAGTAGAATTGATCAACTTATCATAACATCCCCTCAACATGTAAAGCTCGATCCCGCCTGCAAAATCGCATATATTTTTAATCTCATCACACTCACCATCGCTTTGAATTTTGGCGCTCGTAAACTTGAAACATTTGCCCTGGCACGAAACGGCCGCCCGATCGGCATACGCCTTCAAAGGGTCCAGCACGCAGCTCATCGGGGCTAATGGAGGCTGCAAAATAGGAATAAAGAAAGCTACTTTTCCTTGCGTACCCTCTGGCCTGCATCGACAAATTTCAGCCCCTGTATACGGGACATAAAATAGGTCCAATCCGGCGCGCTAACGCACGAAAAACATTCATCTATAATTGAAATTTTGCTCAGGCAGCCAGAAATCATTCGGCTCTGGTTCGTTAGCGGGGGGTGATTTTTTGCAGGGGTGTTTTTTCATTTTTTTTTGGTCGGAAATGTATGAAAAATAGTCAAATATGTAAAAAAAATACATTGAAAAATGTTTTGGTAATTTCGTAATAATGGGAAACTGCTAAAACCACTATAAACCCCAACTATGATTTTTTTGAAAATCACTAATGGACTGAATAAAGAAAGCCAGTTCCCTCTCCCACACTCAAGCCCCCCCCGCTAACAAACCAGGACCAACCACTCACCGGCAATTACGTTTCCAATCAGCGGAAACAACAACCCGGCGGTCCACTTCATCTACACTGCAACATAAAAAAGTGTTTGGGGTCCGCTTCTTAGCCAAAGTGATAAGAGGGGTATTTAGGATGCTTTACGAGCAGCTTTGGCGCTCATGTGAAAGGTGAAGGAGAGAGAGAACGAGCCTTTTTGCGATAGGTCAAAGCTACTTTTGAGCACGATCTCAGGGATTCAAATGAGATCATTGGAATTGAATTATTTGAATTTCTGTTCGATCTTGGAACAACGGTGATATTGTAACGAATAGCCTCAAGATATGAAGGGCCCCTAATATGGTTGGTGACAACGAAGTGAGGCACGCGTGTGATTCAGCCCTTCGTCCTCCGGCTCAACCCTTCCCAACCACATAACGCCCGTCCTTCCCCCTTCGATGTTTATCCAATGGCCCGTCTCCACAGCAAAGCCGCTTGCCTGGAACGCTAGCAAGGGACCGTCCGTGTCGCCGCACAATCCGCTGATTTTTTACGGAAAAACACAGCCAACAATCACCAATGGATGGCTGGGGCTGGCAACGAATGAATTTAAAATTGCTGAAATGAAAATCATGTCACGTTTGGCGAGTTGGCTTGGCTTAGAATTGATTTAGGCTTCGCTTCGACTCGTTTTAGACTTAGGTTTAGGCGTAGTCTTCGCTTAGACTGGGCTTAGACGTAGGCTTACTAGGCTTGGCTTCGGCTTGGCATCGGCTTGGAATAGGCGTGGCTTGGGTTTGGCTTGAGCTTGGCTTAAGCCTGGGTTGGGCTTGGCTTCGGCTTGGCTTATGCTTGGCGTAAGCTTACCGTGTATAAGCTGCCGTATGTGTTGGTGCGCATTGGAAGATTCCGATAGGTTAAATCCAAAAAACGACCAGAATAGCCCAAAAATGGCCTCAAAACATTGTTTTCTCACTATTGTTTCTTGTCGTAATTCCAATTCGTAATCCATGCGTTTTCCGAATTGATATCCTCCCTTCCAGCTAGTATGTACATATTTATTCAACGGCATTTACACATTTTAAGCGGAATGTTTGGGCATGCGTTACTTAATTACTGGTGGATCCAATAGTATTCACAGGCGCGCTCGACGTTCTGCGTGTTCCGGGCGGCTTCTTTCATCAGGTCGTGCTTCTCGAATCCCATGCTGTGCAGGGTGTCGTACTAAAATATGCGGGTTATTCTGCCTAAGTAGGAGAGGTGTTTAAAATATACTTTTCATTTAAAGTATTGATTAGATTTTATTTTTTTCTTTACTTACGATGCCAGCGGCGACGTAGCCAAGCTCTTGGCGCTCACGCGGAGTGAGGGTCGGACGAGCTGGAGGAGCCGGTTGGGGCTGCAGAGGATGAGGATGACCACGACGGGAGCGCCTCATTCCGGGTGGGCCCCAGATACCGAAGCCGGGGAATGGCTGCTAAAGATGGTAAATTATTGAAAGTAGGTTAGGTGGTAAATTAGGTTGTAACTACTGTAAATTTCGGATATAAAATCGTACCTTATGACCGAACATAGACATTGGGTGGGGAGGAATTCCCTGGGTCGGCCATGCTGGCTGTTCAAAGCCTAAAGTTTGATAATATAGAATTTAGGATTTGAAGAATGTCGAAATTTCAATTTTAGATAAAGTCCCGTTTTTCACTTTTCACCAGCGCTATTTCCACCGTTATTTCTTATAATTTATATCTACAATTAATCTTCGTATCTACCACACTTACCCATCTGTGGAATCGGCGGATAAACTGGAGCGGCCTGTCCTCCTAGCGGATGCGGTGGAACGTACTGGTTCGACTGGACAGGCATCGGATGCGCAACCGGAGCCGTGTCAACCTCGATCAAACGCGCATCGGAACCCTCTGAAGTCGGTGCGTTGGCCGTCTGAGTTGGCTGGGCTTGGTTGGTCATCTCCTCGATGTGCTTCAGCTCTTCGGCGCTCAACTCCTCGAAATTCATCTGCTCCTCAACGGTGGCTTCCGGGATCGTGACTGTCGGTTGTTGCTGTGCAGGTTCCGGCTGAAGCACTGGCGGCTCATCAGCGTTCTGCGCCGGTTGTTCGGCCGGCTTCTGTGTCTCAGTCGGCTTCTCTTGCTTCGGGTCGAGGCCGAAGTTAGCCAGAGCTTCCTGTAGATGTCCCATGAATGTGCGGAATTCTTCCTTGGCACGTTGGCAGTTTTCCTGTGCCTTGTTCTTCATATCTTCACCGGCAGCTGCTCCATCGTTGGCTCCATTCCAGAAGGTGCTCTGCAGTCCAGAAAGGGCCTCCTCGGCAAGGTCGAGGGTAAACGATGGAACGCGCATGATACGGCTACGGTAACGCAAGTCAGATGGGATCGGAGTGGCGTCGGGGGAGACGATGCGCATCATGACATGTTGCTTGTGCTGAATTATTGTGAAATTGATTGACTGCTTTAGTAATGCATACCTCATCTCCCTGTTCACATTTGGCGCAAAGATCGTAGTCCGGGCAGACGAGACATTTGAAACGATGACCCACAATTTGCTCATCACAGCCATCACAAACAACTCCTGGGTGCGCAGCACCAGTCGTGTTTTGCGGCTTCTAAAATGGTAGGTTGCATGTTTGCAGGATGGGCAGCCTACCTTATTCTCGGGCTGCTTAACCGGCTTCTTCTGCTCCGGCTTGGCCGCTGAATAGATGCGCAGTAGGTCGCCATCCATTTCACGGATAGCCATGCCCATATCGCACTCCGATTCGATACGGATCAGATCTTCATCGTAATCTGAAATAGGGAGTTGTGATGATGACCGATAGCTATTAATTTCCCACGCATGCCTTGAAAATACAATAGAATTTGTGTTTCGAAACTTTTGTGGTTTGAGTTTCGACATCGAGATCGAACTCACCGGTCCAGCAGAGGTCATAATCAGCATTTTTCTCAAGGCTGTGGCACTTCGCCAGCAGGGCTTCGAAGGCTTTTCCTTTCTCAATTGGCAGGACGAAGCGACGGAAAACACCAAAGTGTTCCCACTTGACCATCAGGCCCTCAGCCAGCAGCTCGAAATCAGCGGAATCAGGCATGTTTGATGTACGACGGGGGTCGATCTGAAAGTCGGAATGAGGTGGATTGGGGCAAGCTGCTGAGTATATATGGTGAAAATAGAAGGTTTCTGGCAGGAGTTAGAGTGGTCTGGAAGTGGGGGAATGCTGACAAATGGGAAGGAGGCGTGGCCTTGCTTTGGGTATTGAGAAATCGCTTACCAGTGAAATTCAAGCCGATAGCGGCTCTTTCAAAACGGGGAGAACGCAAAAGATCGATATTTTTGGGCATAATACGATGATTTTGCGATCGATTGGTTGATAAACTTGGAGATTACTATAGGTTTCATACGAGCAGTATTAGTGAATGTTGAGCTAGGAAGAAGGGGATCTAAAAATTCTATCGCTAGAAGATCTGTATTAACCAATTCCTACAAAAACCGACAAAGCAATACAAAAAAGTATGCGTATGTGCATTCTAAATAACGGTGTGTTGACCGTAATCGAAGCTGTTCACCGCCGCTACAGGCTAGTTGGGTACTTCCCAATTCCTGATTCATACATGCACACAATACTGAAACGGTGATCCATTGAAAATCCCGGTCTTTATTGTTTCGTTAGATAAATTCTAATATTACAACGGAAATGTGTTTTTGATAGCTAGATAGGAATAGGATAATTGAAGTTTTTGTGGCTCTCATTAGCAATACGGCCTGAAAACGCTAGATACGCTAGATCTGCTAGATCCAATGGAATTTCTGGGATTTGAATGGGTTAATTGTTTGGGTTATCTCGTTGTAAGCTGAATTTACTTGCGGTGTTGAAATCAGCTGACGGCTAAGACAGGCGCCGCGGCCGAGCAAGGGTGGAGGGCCGCGTTGCGGTACCACCCGGCGAAATCAAGGTTATTTGCTGCTGATACCCGCAAGTCTGATACCGTTTTAGTTTTTTGAAAACATTCCCGTTTTATGCCAAACCCATTCTCTTAATCTTCCCAATTACCCCTAATGGATTCATCGTCGTAACGTTGTGTTTAAACCTATCTAGCAGCTTTTCACATCCTTCTTTGTGCGCACACTTCAATTCGTTTTCCTCTCAAATTCCAACGCATACATATGTTTATTTCCAGGCCGGACCATCGGCAGATTATACGCCAGTTATGGGAGCGCTTTTAGCTGTGCCGGGATGCGCTGCATCGGTTTGTGTTTTCTTTAAAAAACTATCTGATTTGTTTAGATGGCCTGCTGCTTCGGCTCTTCGGCGTGTTCATTGTGCTGCGCGGCATGCCCTTCTTCGCGTAACTCTACTACAACTCGCATCATGTATTTTTCATTGGTTTACTGAAAAAAGTTTTAGGTACGCTCTGATGTTGTTCGTCGGCACGATCGTTTCCTGCGTAATGTTAGCACCATCGATTCAGCACAAATTGGCTGAGGTTTGTTGTTTGGGTTTCTAGCAGGATGTAGGTCTGAAAGCCGGTGCTGCTTCTTTGTGAGTTAATTTTTGTGTTTTAGAACAAATGGTTCTGCGATGGTCTCGACAAGATGGCTGGTATTAATTGTGGACACGCGACCGGTTTTCAAGCTGTATATAGGTTAGAACAATTTCATGGATTCATACTGGTTTTTAGGGTTTGTGCCGGGATGGCTTCGTTCTTCTTTATCTTCACCTTGCTGATGTTCGGCGTCAAATCCTCACGAGATCCTCGAGCTTACATACAGAATGGGTCAGTTGAAAGTTGAGCTTCGTTTACAGACTTGTATTTAGGTTTTGGTTCTTCAAATACATAATTATGACTGGCATAATCGTCGCCTATTTCTACATGAGCAGCGAAACCTTGGCTGAACGTGAGTTTTTCTTTTAAGTTAGTTCATTATCTTTTCTAGCGCTGATGTGGTTTGGCATGATCGGTGGCTTCCTATTTATCCTCATCCAATTGATCCTGATTGTCGACTTTGCACATGGCTTGGCTGAGAGCTGGGTCGAAAAGTAAGCCTCCTCTAACGTCTTTACCTCTGGGATTAGGTACGAGGAAGAAGAGTCGCGCTCCTGTTACGCCGGATTGCTCGCATTCACTTTTGGTTGCTACGCTATCGCGATTGTGGCCATGGTGCTGATGTTTGTCTTCTACGCATCGGTAAACGATTATCATCTATTGCGATCAGCTTGAATTTAGGGCGGAACTTGCGCATTGCCGAAGTTTTTCATCTCGTTCAATTTGATCGCATGCGTCATTGTTTCGGTTATCTCGATCTTGCCGAACATCCAGGTGTGAATATCGTAGCAATAGTTAATTTTGTGTTCAGGAAAATATGCCGCGCAGTGGCTTGCTGCAGTCGGCCATCATTTCCTGCTACGTGATGTATCTGACGTGGGCTGCTCTCACTAACAATCCTGGCAAGTTTCATTGTGTCCGGATCAAACAATCGTTTAGATAAGCAATGCAACCCTTCATTGATCAGCATTTTCGTGCATAACGCTACAGATCCCGGCAAAAAGGAAGAGGTGAAGTTTTTGGAGATTCGAAATTGGCCCTGGGCGATCTTTACCATCTTACCTGCTTTACTGTTGTTTTTAGGGCTACGGCACCCCGATGCCAGCTCAATCAATTGTCTCGCTGGTACTATGGTTCCTGTGTCTGCTCTACGCCTCAATCCGCAATTCGACGAACACTTCACTTGGAAAAATCACGGGAGGCACCGACGGTGAGGACATTGCCATGTCCGATCATCATCCGATCGTTTCATCAGGTACGCCGCGCGCCCATTAGTTGTTAATTTATCAGAGAGCCTTTTAACATGGAGTCACTTTTAACCCTTTTTTCCCAAATAACCCGATTCTGATTTTTTTAATGATTGGGCGTGCAGGCGGAACCGATATTAAGGCTTTGACGGCGGAAACTGCGGCTTGACCATTTTCTCGAGGAAAGTGCAGTTTATACTGCAAAAAGATAGTTTAATTTGCTTAAAAGCTTTGGCTGGTAGTTTTGAATTCGCGCCATGTCAATTTCAGGGTGTGATTGGTGGTAAAGGATTTGAACGAGCTTCCGTGTTTTATTCATTTTTTAGATGGTACGACTGAATCGAACGACCATGACGTTGAAAAAGTGTGGGACAACGAAAAGGTTTGTTTGCATTTGGTTTGCGTTGGTGGCTAGTGGGGGGTGTGTATAACTGAGGGTATTGATCGGCGGGGCTCTGCCAATCTCAATACGTGTCCCTGTATTCGTCGACTTGAATTGGGTTTTTTGGAACATAGCACTTTCGCCACAATTTTCTTAAATTTGGAGCTGAATCTTATGGTTCCGTTTTTAATCACCGGGAAGACCGAGTTCTGTAGCTGTCGAAAGAATTAATTTACAATTTCCAGGATGGCGTCGCTTACTCCTACTCGTTCTTCCACTTCATGTTTGGGCTCGCCTCATTGTACGTGATGATGACTCTTACAAGCTGGTATAGGTAAGCATTCCGATGGCGTTCCCCTTATAAGTTTTATAGCCCCTCATCGGACCTGTCGAAGCTGAATGCGAACATGAGCTCGGTATGGGTGAAGATCGTTTCTTCCTGGATGTGCATCGCCCTCTACGCGTGGACGTTGGTGGCACCGAGCGTGTTCCCGGATCGTGACTTTTAACGAATCTCTGCTTGTTTAGCTACCGGTATTGAACATGTACAACATACGCTTTCTCAACCCGGGCTATTCAAACTGTACTTACTTTGATCGGTTCTGTATGTACATTGGATTTTGTATAATAAATGACGTTGGAATTTTGGTGTACATGGTCTGGCTACTGTTTCGGGTGATTTTGCCAAAAAATTACCTTCTATTCGATTAGACGTGCATTATCATTCTCTTGTATTTAGGCAACTAGATTTAGGAAGGGCAAATATGGACATCTCGAAGATGGAACGTTACTACGGACCCGTTAGTTATGACTGCTCAATTTATACGCCACTTTAGGTTTCGCACGCCAACTTGGGCCCGTTGACCGTCAGCCTTTGCGGAATGGGACTCTTCTTCATGGCCCTATTCTTCGTCCACGAAGTACGTTGCTTTATGCGATGGCCAAACCCTGTTTAGGTCACATCCACGAAATACACACGCAAGATCACCAGTGAGCTCTTCTTTGCGACGATGGCCTCGATCTTCCTCGGTTTTGGAACACTCTTCCTCCTCCTCTGGGTTGGCATCTACGTATGAACTCCGGAGAACCGTTCTTGTTGTTTTCTGTGATACGCCTCCACTTCCGGGAAATGTTGTTCTCTGTACTTTTGCTTCTAATTCATTTATTTAATAAATTATGACCACGGGAATTGAGTAAATCACATTCATTATCACAATGGAAATACACATCTGAGGATCAAGCCTTCGCCGAAAGATGTATATGGAATTTCACAGTGGGGAGGAGTTCTGTAGAATGCGTGACGAGCGCCTGGATTCCAAGTGCCGAGAGCGCGCCTCTGATGATACCACAAGGCATGACGAGATAGACCAGAGCGTCCTGAATGAAAAATAAAGAGCCGAATAGCGTTCTATTTACCTGCGTATACTGTGCTCCCTCGGCAAACGAAGAGATAAATGGGAAGCGATTATCTTGAACCACATACGTACCCTAGAAAAAAGCTAATCAATAATTGCGCAACTTAGTTACCTGATGATTGGTCCGAAGATTATCGACCTGCCTTCCAAAAACATTGATCCAAAACTCCTTGCAAACAAATTTCATAATCTAAAATGGATCATAGTTATCGAAACAAATGCAATACCTCTAATTCAGTGGTGATACGCGGTAAATCCTTGCAAATCTTCTCCGCCAGAAGATATCCTACGCGGACGCCCATAGATTCCAAACGTGTGGCAGCATTTCTCTGAAAAGAAACATTCCTGGAAAGTTAAGAAAGAAACTTACGCTAGCCAAAGCTTTATAGACGAGTGCATTCGAAGACTTGTCGATGCCTTCGAGTGCCTCTCTAGAAATACAACATGTACGAGATGTGGCCGAATTCAAAGATTCGCTACACGGCAAATACGCAAAAGATACCTCGGGTTAATCACATTTGCTAACGCTTCTTGCTCCCTCGCATATCGAACGACCTCCATGTGCAGAAGTTCAAAAGGTAATGGCATACTAAACAAGGAATTGGTTTCAGCTGATACTAATATGTTCAGAGGTAGTATAGCAATCGGAAAGCTGTCGCTTGCAACACCCAGAAACCTTTCAACGTTTTATTCAAAACAAATGCTGCAATCACAAGTATTCATTCATCGTCAAAAGAATCGTAATCCGGGTCTCCTGGTTCAGGTTTTGCTTTCTTTTTCGCAGGTTGATTCTAAAAACCGTCTTAAAGAGGCTCGGAAGGCTCGCAACGACAAGGTTTATGGGGGAGGGCTCCTCAACAGACCTCGTCTCGTAATATATTTTGACACTCCAGGGCATAATTAGTCCGGATGCGTCACCGTTGCTGCACGGACTACAGCGCTTCAAACGTCACACCTGCACGGATTATGCCCTGTTGTCAAAAATAGAAAATTAGGAGACGAATGTGTCGACCAGCCTTCCCCATAAACCTAATCGACACGGGCCGTCCGAGCCTCTTTACCGCGACACATCTATTACCTCTTTGCACGGGTCGTTTGCCTTCTCGCCGAACTGCTCCTTCCAAATATCTTGACTTTTCGGCGAACTAAGTAAGGGTTATTATTTGTCGGAAAAAAACTTACAAAAATAGCATTCCAGGGCTTGGTGGAACCTTCTGCGGCGGGGCTTGTTGACTCTAAAATTCACGTTTTGACCTGAAGCAAGAAATATACCGGTTCCTGATTCTGCATGCTAGCCGCGCGCAAGGAACGGCGTGGGGCGCGGGGTTTAACAGAAAACCGAGGTGTAGCATTTGGCTAAATAAGTCAAACGTAAATCATAATAAAAAAAGCAATTATACCGTGGCCAGCACCGGTCGCTTCGCGTCCCTTGCAGAATCTGGGCTCAATGGAGAGTATGGGTGCCGCGGAGTGGCTAAAAGTTGACATGCAGAAGTTTAAAACGACTACCTGTTGTCGGAGTTTCTGGTTCAATCATTTGTGTGAATTTGCCGCTGCATCCGGGCGAATCATACCTAAAAAAAGTAACAAGCAAAGCGATTACACTTACCAATAAACCTGCATCGGCTTCGCTTTCCAGTCAGTGTCCGTTTTGGCCGTCGGCTCCGACGCCATCACATCGAGCAATGCAGGGCGGGCTCGTCCTGTAAAAACACAAATTAATCTCTAGGATTTACAAGATTGAAATTGAAAACAAAAGAATAAATGCGCATAATCCCGTGCAAAAGGTTTTCAGCGGCTTGAGTAGCAGAATAGCGGTCAGGCTATATAGGAACTTCACAAACTGGCTAAAGCGCGCACAAGAAGTTGTTATATCGCGAGTTTAGTTTGTAACTGTAAAAACGCTAAAGGAAAACGTGGGCTCAAAGAAGCAAAAGTTTGGTAAATTCAAAGGCAGGGCGGCATCGTCTGAAAAGGCGCTACAAATCAGACATGCAAGGGGGAGCGCAGCGTACCTTCAACAACCGAGGTTCCGCCGGCGTTTCACAGATCATCTACTAAAAAATGAAAGTGTTTAGCAAATTATGAGGTCGTAGTTTCGATAAATCAACATTGTTCATATGAAGAAACGCGGGACTTCATGTGTACACTATCGAGACAGCTTTATTCCGCGTTATTTCCATTCAAATTTAGATCCATTGCGACCGGAGTTGCTGGAAGTATAGTAGTGTTTCATCGGTCGGATGTATCTAAAAACAGCTGTCCGGGTTTTCAGCAGCCCTTACTTTTGAAGAGGTATGGAGCGACAATTCGAAATTCCAGCGGGGTTCTTCGGGCACCATGAAGCGCCCAAATATTGTTTTCAAAATACGCGTGTATTTTTTCCGATACATTGGAATAGTCCGTAGAATCAAGAATTGGATGCCAATCACGTATCTAGGGCATTGTTTAAATGGGTTTTGGGGAACCTACATTGCGGATACCCCCTCGACAATCACAATATGGAGCTCTCCGATCGGTGTGCCATGTTCAAAAAGTATCAATGGACCCATAAAAAGAACCGCAAAAATTGAAACGACTATGCTATGCGAAAAGACACCGGGTCGCATCATCTGAAAATAAATTCATTATGCCAATAAATTTTTGACCCACCTTCAGCGCTCGCACATTTTCTTCGAGCTGGAAACGCATACTTAACGTATAGCCTTGCGGATCGTCGGTTATGTGGCTTAATCTTTTGCGGTTCCACGAGTATAAGTACACGTATGACTAAATTTGCGTTCACCACCCACGTCACCCTCACCATTCCAGCAATTGAGGCGCTGCCGAAAATAAATAATAGCATGTAGAAAAACATTTTGCGCGAAATGAATATACCCACTAAACGGAGCAATCAGGAATGGATTTCCTAGCTTACTAAAAGTGTATAAACACCCGAATATTTGCCCAAAAGTTGCTAAGCTGACGTGGAGGATAAAGTCAACCCAGAAATGGCGCTCATTTTCGTAATTTTCTGAAGAAAGTTTTGATTGAGGATGGGGAATTACCCAAGAAATAGGTGGCCACGGCACGTTCTGCGATAAAAGCAAATAGTAAACAGACGGCACAGAAGAATACAATGCTACGGAAGAGAGATGCAGCGATTAGGGGGAGGTCCTTCATCGAATTACCTGAAAATCGGATAGCTTTAGGGGGCTTTAATTGTAATTACCGGTAATTGGGATCCATCCAAATTGATAGAATATTAGTACGATTCGTGCTAATTCAGCCACGGTCCATGCGCAGAGGACAAAGCCGAGGATGTGTCGAAGGTTTTGTGGAAGGCGGCAGTTGTATAGACAACGTATATAAAGAGCTGAAACAGAAAGGATAGTTTCAAAGAAATATGGAAGCCTTAGAAGTGTAGATTTTAGTTTCTATTCCTTTAAAAATATCGCACCCTCTCTCTCTCTCTCTCTCTCTCTCTCCGTCCTCTTTCCCTCTCTCTCTCTCTCTCTCTCTCTCTTTCTCTCGCCGTTTCTTTCTACGCACAAAGAGCCCACCCGCGTTGAGTTATCATAGCATTCATAAACCTACCAACTGCAACGTCAAAGAATGCACAATTCCAACTATTTCGAACAAAAAGCATACAAGAAATATTCGATAACATATGACATCATTCGACAAAACATTTATATCATAAATCCCAGTGAGCACCATCGGCACTTCTCCTGGATATAACATCCGGATAGAGAATTAAGTCTATTAACCGGGCACCGCAATCAATATAGCCTAATAATGACACTTAGCAATAATGTAAACACTTTTTTGAACGTTGGATCGAAAGGCTGAGGGGGATTGACCTCAATTTTGGATCCTGCCGTTTTCATCTTTTATTAATATGCACCTGGCCCCAGCGGTAACCAATTTTTCAGGCACCTGCACTGCATTTGTGTTGCTCGAACTTGGGTAAGTTTTATGCGAATGCAAAAGCGACTCAAAGTTCGTTCTTTGGATCGAGGCCTCGGGCGGTTGAGACCAATTTTTGGTAGTATTTGGCGCTGGCTTTTGGGGTTCTGGTCTTTTCCGGTGATTCGAAATCGACTCTGAAATCGGGAGATTTGAAGGTATATTTGGTCTTAGGCTACCTAAATAGTCCAAACTTCATTTCAAAGCCGTCGAGCCATTCAAAGTTGTCAAGGAGGGACCACGCGGTGTAGCCGATTACGGAAGAACCTTTTTCAATGGCTAAGCAATAATAAATGGTTGGTAATTTGCAGCGTATTCCAACCTTGCCCGACTTCTGCCACATGTTCACGGATATATTTAACCCGGTGATAATCCTGAAGCGGATCAGCAAATGCCGATGCGGGCATCATGTCAGCGCAACCATTTTCCCTAATTTAAAATTCAAGTAAAAACCTGGAAGTAAATACTAACGTCAATAAAACCGGAACATCGCTATATCGCTCTTTCACAATCTCTAACAATTTCCCAAGCCCAAACGGCGTATTCCGAGCCCATGTATCTCCACTAATTCTAAACCGGAACTTGCGACAATTTTAGCTAGAGCCTGCCTTTCATAATTATCAGGATAAATCGCGAATTGTCCATCTCGAGCCATAAAGGATTGTGGGCCTCCAGATGGCCTGCCAACCTTCATTGTTATGTAGAAATTAGTTCCCAAAAAGTCGGAGGAGCCTTGAAAAGTCGTTTTAGATTGATTTTTAAAGGACCTTTTAAAAGCCGCTTCTCTTCATCAGTAAATTTGGGTAGAATTGTAGATAGGCCCTCCTCAACGGCCATTGCGTCTAGCCGTTGACGCATCGCTGGCGGGTAATCACCTATTATTACACTTAATAAAGACGAGGTTGGTTTTTTCTCTACCGCTTCCAAATATCGGATCATTAATCCAGAAGAAGTGCCAGTTTTGGAACATTTTTGTGGCGGTGACGTCTTCTGGTCCAGCGCTAATCGGCTCGCTGAATCTACCACCGGAGATGATGCCGACGAGTCCTGAAAAAAAATCGATATATGTACAGGGAGCAAGAGCACGGGCACCCCAAGCCTAAACTATGCCTAAGCTAGCGAACTACATAAATTAATTCTAGTACCTTTCTGCTCTTCATAGAATTTCTCTCGATAAAGTCTATAAACTCTAGCATGTGCCAAAAGTTTGTGATGAGCAACCAGGTATGGAACCTAAAAAATCTGTTAAATGGATATGTTCAAGTGCTTAAATAGTTTAAATAGTTTTAGGCTTATAAAGAACCTGATGTGCCGTAAGATTCCATCTCCCATGATCGGTATTCAGAGAGAAATCTGGCAAATGTTCCATTGGAACCACCGAGAACATGGCGTAGAAAATGATCTCGTTAAAGGTCAGCCAGACATCAACCTGGTTTCCAGATTACGGTTTTTGATTGATGCCTACCAAGTCTCCGAAGTGTTTGAAGCATACTTCCGCAAATTCGGTGAACCAGTCGATTGAATCGGGATTTAGGAAACCGCCTTCTTCGTATAAGGGGAGTGGCATATCGTAATGGAAAAGAGTGACCTAATGGTAACAATTAATTGAGAATTTGCAGAATAAACTAGATGTTTAGATGGCACTTTACTATGACAAAACTTACAATGGGCTTGATCCCATGTTTCACCAACTCTTCACATAATTCTCGATAGTACCGTATACCAGCCTCATTAACTTGATCCGCGCGCCCAGTGGGTAGAATTCGCGACCAAGAAATTGAGAACCGATAATGTGATACCTTAACCACGCTTAAAAAACTAGCCGAGACTAACCCCAAGCGCTTTCAACAGCTCCACGTCTTCTTTCCATTTTTTGTAGGCCTCACAAGAAAGGTTTGGGTGTGGGTCTCCTTTTATTCTGCCTGGCATCTCTCGGATACGATCCCAAACCGAGACACCGCGACCTGGAGGGAAAATACAAAATTAACAGCGTTTTAAGGGGATAGTGACAGCATCCGTTGCCTTAAAGCACCCACCATCAACATCATTAGAGCCTTCAACTTGAAAATCCGCCGTCGCTATCGCCCAAATAAAGTCCTTTGGAAATTTGTCCAGATTTTTTGGTAATTCCCCGTTTTCCATATCTACAACTGTTATTTTTCTGGGGTTCTATCCGTACCTTTAAAAAAGGTTATAAGGAAAATCGAAGCAATAAAGATGACCAAAAATAGATGCACAGAATGGAGGCGATTGTAGAAATCAGAAAGGGCTATCATTTGGACATTGCGAATACCGGGTAGGCACTATTTACCCGGTGGAGTGAGGGATTGTGGTGGGGTTAGAGATTATTGACGAGAGAGGGCACTTTTGGCTCGCTTTTCGGTGAAATAATCTGCTGGGCCCCGGACGGTGGTGTCAAACTGATAACTGTTCTTTGTTTCGTCTTTGGGGTGATGCCCTCTTAATTGAGAAAAACAGCAATGTGTATAAATTACTTAAATTTCTCACAGTTTTCATAGATTTCAAAAATTGGTCAAAGAAGCCGAGGTTTCGCTGCATTTCTTTTGAAGTTCTACGCCTTTTCCCGCTGGTTCCCGTTATAGAATCCAAAATATCCGGGCGCCATCTTCCTTATTGCCCCGAGGACATTTAGGTTCTCGTAGCCAGGGGGATTTAGCGAGCAAAACCGATATTTCGTAGAAATCGTACCGATCGAAGGGTGGAGTCGAAGAGGGGGGATCTGGCTTGAGATAGCTAGCCTCGTTCCACTATATCTTGGCTCTTTTTCTGTTTATCCGGATAAAGGGCGTAGAATTAGGCTGTGGCTTGGAGAGGGATTTTTGAAGATTGTAATGCGTGTGGCATTGAACGCTTTTAGACATACGGGCCCTGAACATTTGCATACAATTTTTTTAGTAGAAGCGTATTATCTCACAAAAATACATTCATCGAATATAGTTCATTAAATTTCAACTAGCTGAAAAAATATTAGGAGGTTTATATGCTAATTTTCGGTCAGAAAAAATTAATGAGAGTAAAAAAAACGATGAGTTTTAATTAGGCCCCTTAAATGCCACCAAATTCGTTCATTTCCACAGATATTACGGTCCTTTTAATCTACGTAATACATTGTACAGTGTCTCGTGCCATCCCCTCTCACCCCTCTATTGCTTTGTCACTCCCGACACTTTCTCTTTCAATTTCCATTCCCCTTCTCGGGTTGATCGTGCGTCGATTTGCAAACCAGCTTTGCCATGCGGCTGCCGGCCAGCTTTTCGGTCCACTAACGAATTTAGGAGGATAGAGGGGATCAGCTGTTTATTATCGCACATTAACGCGTTATTAGGTGGATTTTGAAGAGGTCGACGAGGAGTGGGTCGTTACCACTTTCCGCCTGAAAGTATTTGACAGTTAAGGCCCTGAAACTCGCTAAATTACCTTCCGTTTCTTGACCGGCAGGAGCTAGATTGACGCTCTGATCAGCTACAGGGGCATTTCCGCCTTGCGAATAACCAGCGGACGCTATTTTTTTGGATTAAAAGACTCACTAATAGCATACCCTGCTCTCCACCGACTTGCTGTGCTCCTTGGGCTGGACCGGAATATTGTCCTGGGAATGGCCCAGCTGAAAGTTTTTAATCTTTCGTGCTTAAGTCCCGTTTACAAAAATCAAAAAGTCTTACTTGCGTATCCACCGACTTGAGGAACGAAGGCATAACCCCCACCAACTGCCGGTTGATAGGGCACACTAGGCATCTGGCAGCCTAAAAGAATTCGAAAATTTCGCAAATTTGACTTACCACCCCCGCAGCCTCCACAAAAGTTCAAGCACCCAGATACGGTAGCAACGAGAGCTAGAAGCGGCCAGAGATGCATGTTGATATTGGTGGAATGACCACCTGATCAAGCTTTCCGGCGAAATTTACATCCCGCACCATGATACCGGACCCGGGATTTGATAACAGCAGCTGTCTGGAAGGGAACCAGATCATGATCGCGTGAATAAGCTCAAAAACGAGTCTCATTGTATATTTACGTAAGGATTTCCCAATACAGAATTTCATATGTTGCGTTGTTTCTCCTATCCAAAAAAATCTCTAGCTACCATGCTCCGCAAAAATATTAGCTGATAGATGAGGAGAGAACAACGGGGTGTAGACGGAGAGAAAAGAAAAAAAAGAGAGACTAGAAGATGACCTACCACCCAGGGTGGCATTGAGGGCCGATTTTCGCAGATCGGATCGTTTGGCGAAGTGTCGGGTCGGCACAACGATGCTCACCACGTTGCCACCAGGCGGTTGTCGCGCTTCCGGTTCTGTGATTTCTTAGAGAGGAGGAGGAATGGAGGAATTACGATACTGAGGGTAGCGGAGAGGGTGACCGAGAGAAAGAGAAAGATCCAGAGAGTGAGAAAGAAACTAAAAAAAAGCCTGAAGGGCGCGATAATGTCAAAGCCTTTGAAATTCACGAAAAATTTCATTTCAAAACTTTTAATGCCTTTGAGAGAGCCAGAGGACGCTACGAATACAGAATTTCTAAAATCCGGAAAAGAAACAGTATTCTAAGCTTACTAGACCCTGTGAAAGTTCCAAAGATTTTCATATATACGGTTGATGGGTCTTAAAACGAGCTTTAAATTTCCAAGTTACACCTCTGAATACCGATCGCACTAACACCTCACTGTTCCGCCACATCGTGATATCGAACTTGTTAAGATGCCTTTGTATCTCTCTCTCTCTCTCGCTTCTTTCTCTCTCTCTATCTCTCGCTCGCACCTCACAGTATTGGTACATCAGGTCACATACCACCACACGCCCCTCATTGTATTTTGATTCCAAATAAAACCGATACAAAAACCACAGTACTCCGTTGTTTTGTTGTGATTCGTACACAGTATGTGTCGGTCAATGTGTTTGGTATGGGGCTCTGAAGCCTAAGCTTAGGAGGATGGAAGGCGATGAGCGGGGGTGAATTTCGGTTCGAAGCCAAGCAGCTCCGGTGGGAGGGCGTAGGTGAAAGCCCCAAGGGCACGGTCCAGCCCCCATTTTGCAGGGCTGTGGTGGGGTGTATATAAGCGTTGACGCTGCGGTGGGAGGTATCGGCTTCGGTTCGACCAGCAAACAACATGCGATTCGCTTTCTTCGTTGCCCTGATCGGCGTTGCCGCGGCGTGCATTGGAGCTGGAGGTGGTGGATGCGGATGCGGCGCGTAAGTTATTAAAAATATAGCTTAAGAGGTATTACTACGCATACACCTCATAACGCAGCGTGATTGAGTCATCAAATCGTTTAATATACTCTTTAAAAGGCCTAAGACGTAAAAATCAACCCGTTATTTCATTATTAAACATTAATATACTACAATACCTTTCATATTCCAGTCCTCCTCCTCCCCCATGCCCACCACCATCACCATGCGGATGCGGAGGCGGAGGCGGTGGCCTCGCCCTCCCCCCGCTCGCCCTCCCCTCTCTCCCCAGCCTCGGAGGCGGTGGCGGCTGCGGTAAGTGCCTGTCGCTATAACCTTAAAATTTGATACCTCCGTTTCTATATGATATTATATTATATTTTATCTTCTATTTCAGGATGCGGAGCCCCTCCCCCATCCCCTTGCGGCTGCGGAGGAAAATAAGCAGCTCCTCTCCTCCCATCATCATAATTTATCGGAATTTCAAAAGGATAAATATTTTCTTTCCACAAATTTGCTTCATTTTGTAAACTAAGCACTTCAAAATGCAATTGAAAGTGTAAATAACATGACACCCACTAAGAAACAGACCAGAAGCCGATTAGCAGTTTTGAGGTACTGGATTGTTAGCAGGGGGGAAACTAATTTTTCCTGTAATCTTGTACGGTGCAATAGCAAAATATCAACCACTTTTATAGCTTTTTCCAAAGTTATAAACATAAACGCTGTAAAAAATATGGCTCTTTGATAAAGATATATAAAAAAGAAAAAAGATAAAATGTTGAAAGTCTTTTATTTGTAGACTTCTAGCAGCCAAATCCAACAAAAAAATGTATAAAATACAAGATTTATTATTTACAGGTAGGTTTAGACGGAAAGGAAAAATTAGATTTCCCGCTGCTAAAATCCCTCCCCTGCAAACAGTCTAGTACCAGCATTCGGGCATACATTTTGTTCAGTCGGATTATCTTCGAAAAATATTTATTACGGTATATATACACTTTTTCAATGCCCAGTCCGAGCTTCAGCCTCCATAGCCGTAACATCCCCAAGATTCAGAATCGCCTTCACGCACTTTGGGCCCCCATCCATAGTACATTTATGTGATGGTGGACAAACTGTCGCTTCACAAGCTTATAAATATAGTATAAACTAATTGTTGTGAAATAATATACAATTTTTGTAGGCTAAAGGCTACTTACTATGCGGAGCGACGCATTTCCCGGTCTTCCGGCATGATCGTCCGATACAAGATACCGTACGCTCGACGCATACTTGACCGGAAGGACATTCCACTCCAACGCAACCTAAATTAAGTGAAATTTGTAAGATCTAAAGGGTAAAACAAAACCATTATCGCTATCCTCGACACATGCAAGAATTGGGGTACATGACCCAGAAAGGCAGCGAGAAGCCGTGATGGCAATGCAATAACGTCCCGGTGGACAGAATTTGTCAACGCATGCTGAAATCGAAAATTTAACTGCTAAATGTAACAAAATAGAACTAAATTAAATTAATTAAAACGTGTTTAACTTACAACCAAAGTCTCTAGATTTGTCAGCAGTCAATGCGATACCAAGGAAAAGCTAGAAAATATGGTAATATTACTTCAAGAAAACATACCGTTAAAAGGAGTGCGGACTTCATCACGAAATTTGAATACACCTATATATAAAATGCTCTTCATTATATGCCCCTTTATATACGCAGTCGTCTTTTGTTTTGCTATGCCCTGGGTGAGATGCTATCGTCGGAAGATTTCCCATTTTCTGGATGTTCTTTCTTTGCGATTGCGCCTGCCAGGACATTTCCTGGATTTACAGCATGGCAACAAAGAAAAGACAGGTTAGAGATTCTTAAAATCAAACTAAAATCATTGTTTTTTAGTTTTTTTTTTGTTTGTTTGTTAGAATGGTTCTTTGTATCGGGGTCATAAATCCGTGTCGAAATGGCGGCTTTGAACATCCAAGGCGAGTCGACCCAATAACGTATGCATTCGAATTGTTCGCATTTCCGAGGGCTTCCCCGAGGATCGGAATTCCTCGCAAAAAATCTGAACCCATTCTGATTCTTACTTTTCTTGGCGGAATTTTTTTTGAGAGGATGGGGCGAAAAGAAGGGGGTTTGGCGGCAATTATGGCTGGTAGGCCCGTGATTTTGAAGAAGAGACGCAGTTATTTGGAGATTTTTAAAGAAGTGAGTATAGTTTAGAAAAAGTTTAGCGTTTTTGGTTAAAAGATATCGAAACTAGTCTATTTTAGACGTTTTTCTCGATCGCCCCGCATTTGGGTCTCGTCGCGGCGAATATCATTTATGTTCTAGTAGGGGCCCATGTATTTGTGGCTTTAGAAGGACCGCATGAGGTAACGGAAAGTTTTAAACATTTTTATGATGGAAAAATCTTAAAACCAGAATTATAGGAATTCATTCGAACAGACACTGAGAAATTTGTCGCTACCGAAAGAATGGAACTTATTGATGCGGTCGAAAACGCTCATTTGACGATAAAAAGTAAGAAAATAAAACTTCTATTAAATTTATGATAAATTTAGATGAAACCCTCTTAAAAATAAGAATTGACCAAATAATGGATAGCTACACCGAGCGAATAATGCACACTTTTTACGATCCGGTAGGTGTGTTATTTCATGTGAAAATACTGTTTCAGCTACGCGCAAATTATTTTGAGTCAGAGGCGCTTTATAATGGTAGTTATCAGCGGATGTGGTCCGATTCCGCGGCTTTATTGTTCACCTCGACTACCGTAATCCCTGTTGGTCAGTTTTAACCAATTTCCTTATGCCCATAAATACGATTTTTTAGGTTTTGGGCTAGTAACCCCAATGACCGGCTGGGGTCGTGCTTTTCTCTGCACATATGCCGTCATTGGCTTACCACTCGCCCTCATTACCATGTCTGACATTGGCAAATTCCTTAGCAATCTTGGATCGGAAGTTGTTAAGGTACGCCGCAGACACATTTCTATAAAGAGCGCCATTTCTCCATTTAGAGTGAAGCAATCTATTCTTGCACTCTTCTCTTTTTACTCCCAGCTTACCCAATCCTGTGGGGAATTATGATAAGCTACATGACAAAATGCTCGATGGTCGATGCAATATACTACTGTAGTATTACAATTTTTACGATTGGATATGGAGATATGACGTTCGATGATTGACGCATTAATAGGATATCTTTACACTTCCAGGCCTCCAGTTTCTCTTCCAACGCTACTGCTCTTTATTGTGTTCGGTGTCATCCTAGTCACTTTAACAATCGATGTCGTGGCAGCAAATGCTATTCATAATATCCACTATTTAGGGCGACAGGTCGGAGCTTGTAGTTTATGGTTTTTAGATGTACATTTTAGGTTGGCAACGCCAAGGTGATTGCTGGAAAAATGCTGGCGGTTAGTCCAATACCTGAATCTTTGAAATTCAAGTCTAGATGGCCCAGAAAATCAACATCAATCGGGGACTCGAGCTGGGGATCAGCCAGCTGGGAGCGTTTGCGAAATTTGGAGTTATGATGAGGGTAGGTTACAGTATTACAGGCATCTAAGAATTGATTTTTAGATAGATGGTAATGGTAATGGGCCAAAAGCAGATGTTAGCCCATCGATTCATTCACCATTGGCTTATGATCCGCCTGGTTTAATGCCATTTGCAGATGAGAAGTCGTATAAGGTTTGTTTTGAAATATGTTCGATCCCTAAATATATTTTATTAAATTTTTAAAACTGTTTCTAAACTTTGGTTATCATTCCATCGTAGTAGCTGCCTGGATACAAAATATAAACATTCTTTTCAAAGTTGAATGCTAATTTCAGTTATTCCTCGATACTTCCCGCGCCAGCACCCCTCAATATCCACCAAAACCGGAAGAAGAGTTTTCTTTTATTGATGATAAATAAAAATGAAGTTTTTTCTATGTTCCACTTTGCATGTAACGCGGTCCTAAGCATATCGCGTTACAGGACAGCTTTTAAAATCCAAAAAGCATGCCATTCGGCGCCAAAAGCTTGTCAAAATTTCGAAAACCTGCAATTTTTGTTTTTAAAATGAAGTTTTCGGGAAAAATCGTGGTGAAGAGCACCTTCTTCGTATTTTTTCTAACTATCTGGCTGAAATGGAGATGAAAAATACATATCGTCTTAATTTCTGATTTTCAAAAAATAAATAAATCTCTCCTTTAAAAGTTCGTGCAATAAAATCACGTAACAAACGGCGTCCGGGGGGTAATTGGAGCCTCACCTTTCGGGTCCGCACCCGATTGTTGTATTTCGAAGGATCTGTGGCCGGTCGGGGGGTTAGAAGGGAGGGTAGAAGGGGGGGGATGATGTCGCGGGGGGAAGGGACTCTATTTACGATGTGGATCCTCTCATTTTTCCCCGGGCACAAATATCCGGAGCTGCTGCTGGCTGGGTGGGAGATCCCGATGACCACTGGCTGAACTGACACACACACACGGACAGACAAACACATTTGGGTGGGCTGAAGCTTGCGTCTTTCGGGGGTTGGCCAAGCTGCATTGGTGGTTGATCCTGATCTTTTGACCATATCTCCTGATGATCTTTATTTTTGTTATTTAAGCTTGTTCAATGAGCTAAGCCTATGTCTATGCCTAAGACTTACCTAAGCCTGGGGCTAATCCTAAGACTAAGCCTTAATCAAGCCTAGGCCTAACTAGGAAGTACCTGAACTTGGTTTTTACCTTAGAAAAAACGGGAAATGCTATCCGACCTAGTTTTTTGCGCTGACCAAGAATCTGTTTTCAAATCCACGCACTAAGAATTACTCGCTCCCGACCTTTTGCTGCTCGGTTCGAGACCCCGCCCTACCAGACTCTGCTAAACTTCCATAGCTTTTCTTACAAACATTTTGCTTTTCCGTTTTCCTTTCTGCTCCCATGGGGGCTAGGTTTTCGAATCTTCGAACATCTCTTTTTTTCTCCTTTTTGGGGTTTTTTTTTTTTTTGGGGGTGTCGCGACGGCTTACTACATTACTCCTTTTTTTGGGATGTCCCATATCCCGGAGGCCCCCACGCCTATGGTTATCCGAATATTGGACCAGTTCACGATACCACCTAGATTTATAGCCTTTTAAAATAAATTTTTCTACTTTGACAGTGCTTAGTGTGTGGGTTTTCAACGGAAGCTTGATCAGCGCAACAAGCGAGCTTGCTCTTTTTAAGCAAAAAAACTAGTTCAATTACTTCCCTAGTAAGCTTAAGCTTACATAGCAGCGCAAGCCTAAGCCTTGCCACCTTTTATTACCGAAATTGTACACTTTCGAGTGTTTTTCTGTAGTTCCGTCATTCTGAAACTACAGTCACGCCTCAACCTCAAGCTCCACTTCGTCCAAATTACCAAAATCTTCATTAATACAGCCCCTTCCCCTTCTTCCCCTAATCACAATCGATTTCAGCTCAAAAATGCCAAGATGTCACCACTCCACATATTTCTAACAGCCCTAATACTTCCGGCATTCTGTAGCCGCGCTGAGAATCAATTGTACAGGTGGAAAAAAAACCAAACGCCAAAAATTTTTCGGTCTACTTTTTTAGGGATCTCCAACAAACTTATTCCAAGTTAGTACGGCCTGTCAAAAATGATTCCGAGGCTGTGTAAGTCTTTCATTTTTTAAGAATATTTGTGCTTTAGGAGGGTTGAAATGAAAGTGTTTCTGCAACAAATAGTTTCCGTAGATGGCAAAAACCAAATTATCGAGCTAAATGCGTGGTTGAAATTTGTAAGTAGAGTGTGTAACGTTTCTCAAGGGTTACTGAATTTCCAGATTTGGACCGATTATCGATTATCGTGGAATCCGGCAAAATACGAGAATATTACCAGCGTACGGTTTGCTGGAGGGGAGAACCAGATTTGGCGACCGGATATTTTGCTTTATAATAGGTAATAGTAGCTATACTGTATCGTTCGGTTTGGAATTCTTAATAAATCCATATTTTACAGCGCCAATGAAGATTTTGATGCCACTTTCAAGTCCAATGAAGTCGTTTACAGTACCGGGGAGGTGAATTGGGTAGGTATCACTTTCTAAAATCAGGCAAACGTTACGCATATATACGTACTTACGTAATTGGAATAGGTGCCTCCCGGAATTTTTCGAGCTAGCTGCAAAATGGACATCACCTATTTTCCATTCGATGATCAGGCATGAGATTTTCGGCTTCCGGTATATTTTTAGATATGTTTCCTCAAATTCGGTTCCTGGACTTATAACGGCTACGCCCTTGATCTGCAAATACACATGCCGGATGATGAGGGTCATTTGAATTTTTGTAATTAAATTAAATTGCCTTTTAGCTGCAGAAATGGACCTCTCAACGTACATTCCAAGTGGCGAATGGCAATTGCTAAGTAGGTTTTACACAGACGCAATCCTAATTTAAGGTTTATTTAGGCGCCCCAGCTGTACGTGAAGTAACTTTCAACACCTGTTGCCCAGAACCATACCCTACTGTCACCTTTTTTATGCATTTAAGGTTTTTACTGACCCTTTTCAAAACCTTAAATTTAGAAGAAGAGCCGTGTTTTACATTTTTAACATTGTCTGCCCGTCCTTGCTAATATCTACGATGACATTAATGGGATTTTGTCTGCCGGCCCATGATATGAGTGAAAAGATCAGTTATCGTAGGTCTTTTCATTTCATAAAACTAAATACCTAAATTTCAATGCATTTTAGAAATGACCATCCTACTTTCAATCTGCTTTTTTGTAACAATTGTGAGTGAAATGACGCCACCTACTTCTGAGGCTGTCCCGTTGCTTGGTTTGTCGAAAATTCGGTGTTTCGCAACTTAAATATCCAAATTTCAGGTCTCTTCTTTTCGGTGCTTACTTTAATTGTCTCAGTCTCAACGTGCTTTACCGTAAATGTTCTCAACTTTCGGTACCGACAACCCGGAAATAAAGACATGCCAAAGATGGTATGAATAATCATAGACTACACCGCTTTTCAGTTCTACTCGGTCTTTCTCATTTGGCTTCCATGGCTTTTATTAATGCGCAGACCAGGTAAGTAGCTAATTTATTTTAGATTTTTGGGTTCGAAAAACTTGTAATTACAAAATCAATTGCATTTCAGGGTTTAGCTATGAAAAGAAGAAAGAAAGGAAGCTGAATGATGAAGAAGAAGCCGCCGAGGAGACGGATGAAGCTGTTGATACGGACGTAGGAAACCTGAATTTTGTGGCTGACAGTATTTGAATGTCTTTCTAGTACCCCTGCTGTTGTACTCATGATGATTCGCCGGTTTCGATCACAACGGCTTCAACATCATGTTATACGGGAACTTCCGGAACACAGCCACTTTTGAGTCGGATGTATAGGCAATTCAATACTTATTTTCAAAGAAATATGCATTTAGTATGCCAGCAGAACATTTAAATCTTACTCGCAAAGTCGGAGAAGGGATATTACCAAAGCAATTTTCGGTTTTTAAACGGTAATCTTTGGAAGCAATTCCAGATTTTTTTAGAACTCAAAGCCAAAGAGTCCGACGTGTTTCACAGTTTGAAAAATACATCCAAAAATGTAAAGATATTGCCGGAGATCAAAGTAAGTTTGCAATCAATTCTAATATATTGATTCAGCCAATTTTTATTATTGTGAGTATACGTTGGCTGTAATCGATTATTACACACATATTCATCGCAAATTGAGAGAAGTCCGGAAGCGATTAGCCCGCAAGAAGGTTTTACATTATAAAATGGTACGTTAACACATCCATTTGAAAAATTTAATCCGAATTGAATCCAGGAAGAATGGAAATTTGCGGCAATGGCTTTGGATCGATTCTGTCTAGTACTATTCACATTCTTTATCTCTGTCTGTATGATATCAATCAGTTTTGTCACCCCACATTTTGATCTGGAATTCCAGGATTAAGGCCGTTATTCAATTCAGGATCTTTTCGCCGGGTCATCAACAAAATGCCTTGTGTGTTTGCTCAAAACCCCCCTATTTTTGCCAAATTCATTCATTGATTTTTTTAATAAAATTTTATCCCTTATTTGGACAATGAGTATCACACGGTATACATACATCAATGTGGAGTGATGAGCAAGGATAAGTGAATATGTAAATATGTGTAGTACGAGGTGTACCACCGTTTTTCTACCATTCAATCGCGAGGTTTTCGTATAGATGCTTATGGCGAGAAAATGAGGAGCACCAGGATTCTTTTCCGACCTCACGCATTGCATCCAATACCTAGATTTTTACGATCAGTGGTTTCTAAAAGGTGGATGACTTACCGTATCCAATTGTTCCTTGGTATGTGCAGCCGATACACAAATCCTGACGCGAGCTTCGGTCATGTCAGTGGCCGGAAATGAGACAACAACTACCCCGATACCCCTCGCAAGCATCTGTCGACCATAAAATCTAGAATTTTGGGCTCCTGGCTAGATTCTAACAAACGAACCCGCATACGGTAGGATAGTAAATGAGGACCGGGACAACAGGACTGTCATCCGAACCATAGACAATGTATCCCATCTGCTTCAGCCTCAACCGGAAGTATCGAGAATTCCGGGCAAGCCGTTCGACGCGTTTTTGTCCTGAAAGTAAAAAGACGTAACCTATTCGGAATTAACTTAATGATTAACGGACTGAAAAGCTTTACAAACCATCATTTGTTCCATCGCGTCCCATGATAATTGACATCGATGTGAAAATTTGTTCAGCAATGGGAGGAGCCATTGGGCCAGAGTAGTAACCGGTTGGGGACGCCACTCGAAGATGGTCGATGACGCGCTGTAATTTATTTTATTAGAGGAATTTATTAAGAAAATTCAAAAATGGTAACATTATTTCGTCTTGACTTTTGGACTTTTTAAGAAATTCCATACCTTAGAACCAGCAATATAACCACCAGCAGCCCCAAAACTTTTCGTAAACGTTCCCATCAAAATGTCGACATCCTTCGGATCACAGTCCCAATACTCAACACAACCACGCCCCGAACGTCCCATTGCTCCTACCAATTATTTATTAAGAGTTCTAAAAAGCTACTCACCAATTGAGTGTGCTTCATCCAAATACAAATAAGCGCCGTACTTCTTCTTCAACTCGATAATTCCGGGCAGGTTTGAGATCGAACCCTCCATCGAATAGATGCCTTCCACAATGATTAGAATCTACAAATCAAGAATTGAAAATTCCACTGTTAAGGTACCTTTCGATACGGTCTATACGTCTTCGGGTTACCGTATGCAATCGCGTCTCTCAGCAATTTTTCCAGGGATTTCATATCTGAAATATTTTGTCATTCTTTCATCAGAAAAAACCTACCGTTATGCTTGAAGACTTTGGTGCTTGCACCCGATAGACGACAACCCAAAATCAGGGAGGCGTGGTTGTATTGATCGGAGATGATCAAGGAATGCTGAAAATTACTTTAAAATAATTTTAGTTACAGTACCTTATCAACCAGACATGGTGCATTCATCGAGTTTGTGGCAAAGCCCATCGAGAAGCAGATGGAATCTTCGACTCCGAGGAATTCGGCCACAAGAGTTTCAAGTCGGGCCTGTGAATGGGACCGGCCTGGATGGAGAATTTTTTGTTTGTTAAAAAACTGTAAGAATTACCATTTTCATGGACAGTGCTGCAGTTGGCGAGTCCTTCTTGGTTGATAATGGCGGCTGAGGTATCGGCGCATGGGCCTTTACAAAGGATTAAGCTGGACAAATGATGAAGCAATATTTAAAATTATATTAAATTATTAGTATATTTAAAATTATATTAAATTATTTTAATTTATTATATTTTTTGTAAATTTATTTTTTTAAGTTCGGTTTTTGCCAAATCTATGGCAAAGATTCTTATTTTTATTTGTTTATTTGCAATAAATATCTTAGTTTAGGTTATTTTGCGCTAAAATTAAAGCTTTTCAGGATTTTAACTTCCGTTTTTAAAATGTCAAAAAATGGCGAAAATTCTGGTCGTGGGTGGGAAATCGACCTTCACAAATCCCTTAAACCCACCTTCATTTTGCGCAAATCCCAAATAATTGTACGACCCGACGTTGATGACGCTTGACTGGGTGCCCTTCATCCTAAATGGAAACATATTCCTAGACCGTACTTGTCTTCCCCTTAATTCTTTGTCAGTATTTCAGACCGGTGGCAGAAACCCCGGGCAGGCTTATCAATAGCTGCAAGACTATGGCTCGTTTTGACAGGTCACCCGTCAAGGAAATCCCCCAAAAATAACTGTCGTCCCAGTCGTGAGATCGGAAGTGCAAAATCAGTGATGAAACACCGAGCGAGCAATGCACAAAGTAAACGAAAGGGGCCAAAAGTAAACTTACTTGAACGTCCAGCCACCATCGTCAGTGTAGCGGTCGAGAAGGTTTACCTGAATTTAAACTTTTAAATTGCAGATTTAAGACTTACGGTAGCTCCAGGCACACTGCCAATCGGACGCTCGAAAACATCTCGGACTCGCACATAGCAATTTCTTTGGTAGACGGCGGCAAAATCATCGAAGAGTGGGGTGAATTGCTGCAGATCGACGGATTGAGATGATTTAAAGTGAAGGCTCTCACCTTTTGCTTGTCCAGCTCGACCTTAATGTGGCTTGTCTCGATGCCCCAGTTCCGAAGAAATTCCCTGACGTAGGCAAACATGATCAGCACCACCCAAGTCAGGTAGACGGTTAGTGCACGCCAACGGGAGATCTAAATAAATATTGTTACGTGCTTGATGGATCACTAGAGACACACAATTTAGCTTTTCAAAACTCACATGTTCAAACTCATTTGGCGCTCGTTCCCTCGTCGCCCAGCCATCCGAAGTCGAAAAAGTCTTCACCCGTCTCGCCCGCATCCTGGCATCTTCTGCGTCAGCCTGTAAAATTAGAATAAATATGCATCTAATCCAGATCAAAAATTTTTTAACTAATTTGTTTAAATCTCAACCTACCTCAGCATCCAGCTGTGCCTGATCGACGATCGGTTTCTGATGATCCTCATCCTCTTCCTCTCCGCCCTCCTCTTGCCGCTTATGCCAGGCGCATTCCAAAATGTCTGTACGCTCGGCGAGTTGCCTAAAATTTAAATAATTCGCAGCTTTTTAGTACACAAAAGAGAGGATGTCCAAAAACATCCTTTTTAACTCGAAGGAGAAGGGTCAAATCGGAATGATCCTTGTGGAGACCTTGAGCCAAACTAGCAGCCAGGAAACGCCAGAAAATTTTACAAAGTAGCTGCTAAATATTCCCGTTTAATAAAAATATGGCTATGAAAATTATTGGAAATTCGTCGTTTTAATGACCTTCGATTTGTATAACTATCATGCCGATATGGACCCTATCGACCGAGTTAAAGGGGTTGCTTTGGACACCCTAGCTTCCCCCTTCCTCACCTGGCCATAAAATCATCAATGCAAATTGCCCTTGCCTTTTTCGACATGTTTACAGCTTTTCAAGACTCGAAATCCCAAATTCAAGCTAATAGAAATACGAGCAGGCGTTCGTATCAAAGTATCAAGGGGGCGAGGTACTAGTGTTGTCTCTCTCCCTCCCCGTCCTTCCGATCAGGGCAGGGGTCACGCCAGACACACCAAAAATATAGCGAACGGAAAATAGAAGATATTAGAGGGAGGGAACAGACACTGCCGCGAGGGATCCAATACAGGGGGAGGGGGGGCAGCAAGGCACTTTTTGATAAAACGGGGGGGTGGGATACTACGCCACAAGTCAATGAACAGTCTTTCACATCACCCCATTCATCGCAGGTCTTCGCCCAATTCCCAGTTGCAACTCCCATCATTATAGTCCGGCGATGGGGAAGAGCGGATTTTGCTTCTTTTAAAGGGATTGCGAAGTGGAAGTTGGTAAATGAACACTGGCCGATGACAAAAAGGAAGCCATTTTCCTATGCCAATAAATTTTTAAGCCAACTAAATTTCGGGATACTGTTTTTTCAAAATTCGAAAAACTTCCGTATGTACCAAAATCGACAAATTTAGAAAACTACCAACAAATTAGGATGCAAAATTTTTTACAATCATGGTTTAAAGACACGGTGCCATTAGCTAGTCCATATTTCTAAATTAAAAAGTGTATTCATTCACTCTCTAATTTTTTTAAAGGGGTCGTAAAGCCAAATTGTCGAGGAAAAGTATCGACAACCTGAATGCCCTAGATATAAATTTAGACAATCATTTCTTTTGCGAAGGGATTTTAAAGATACGGTCCCAGTTGCATTTCTTTTTTGTTCTGTTTCCCATAATCCCAAGTTAAAAAAAATGCACTCACTCTCTCTCAACCTCCGATTCATCTTCAAAACTGGAAGAAGAGGAAGGCTCATCCGAAATATCGGAGTGGGGCAGCTCCTAAAAATATTCATAAAATAACTTATATAATAGAACCGCAAGATTCCCAAAACCTACTTTCGATAAGCGTTCAGTATCTATAATCGGCGTTGCTGCATGTTCAGCCAATTCATCACCATCAATCAGCAGTCCCTTCTTGTTCTGCCGGAAGTGGAAGGCCTTCTGGTGAAAAATTCTGAATGGTTTCCTGGTCGCCGCATCCCCTGCTGGCATTTTTTCACCCTGGAATTTTTATATTGCAACCAAAATTTAAAAAGACTCAACAGGGAATGGAAAACGAGTTTTTGGGCCGAGGAACTAGATTTTTTCGGCTTATGCTTTTCCTCTTGCACTCGGCGACGGCTAAACAAGCATTGTTCATCTCCGATTTCACACTCCGATAAAAAATGATACGTCGTTAGGCGTGGAATCAGTGCAAGTGTCGGTGTGACTCGAAGGCACTAAACCCGCCAGAAAAAGCTGGTCGTAAAGCCGACGTGCGTGAATCACCGGAATAGACGTGGGGCCCCGTGCAAAGGCAGAACACAAATCAGAAGGGCATAGCCGGGGCTATTTTGGAAGTGGCCAGGCAGCACCAAATTTCAGAAGCCCTGCACCCCGTTTGTGATTGGTGTCGAGCCGCGAGGGGGATATCCCATAGCAACACGTCAACAATCCAGAACGGGCAAGGGGCAGGGGAAAACAAAAATACGACAATGAAAACAACAAAAAAAGCGTTAGCGCATCTAAGTGCTCCAGGAAAATTTTTGTTAAAGAAGCAGGCAAGGCATGGTTATGGATTTTTTTTGGTATGTGCCGTGGCGATGTTATTGGTTCGCGCAACCTGTGATTTTTTACAAGATTCCACAATGTTTTCCAAGAAATATGGATAATTGTTTTCCCAACTAAATTGTATCTAGTTTTAGTTTGTGCGAGATCCAAGTGAAGTTAATACCCATAGAGGGTGCCCACAAAGCAACCCTCCGGTATTTGGTCGTCTTACATCCAATCCGACCCAAAATTGGACCAGCGGCGTATCAGATGCTAAATAACCACAATCATCACTGACAGCCCCATAGCTACAGTAGTTTACGAGTTGCAGCAAAAATTAACTGTCTTATCAGCTTTTCATAGGGTCCTTATGGAGAATATGTCTATATTCTTCGAAACTAATGGGGATCTTCGAGATTTTTACTGAAAACAAGTAAAAAACCCCAGATTAGGCTAATTTACAGGTTTTTGAAACACAAAAGCTTTCACGTAATGAAGCGAAATGAGGCTAGCCGGAACACGATCTAAATAGTTTTACGAGGACCGTCATACTTAACGGGCTATAACTTGGGATTCTGGTCATTTAGGGTCTGACAATTGTGAGCAACCTATGTTCTAATTTTGGGAACATAATAGTCTGGCCAAAGACCTTTCATCCCAGCACCCTTAAAGTGCCTGCTTTAGCCGTGGCAACTGCTTTAAATCAAATTTAAAGACAAGTCCTCACAAAACTGCATCGTGTGGAGAAGCTCTAACCTTCCAATAAGATTGGAGTTCAGCAGAGAAGCCCCAATATATACCCCGCAAACATACAAACAAACCTTTCGCAACGCGATCAAATGAACAAAGTCGACTTGAACGGGAACCAAAAGTTAAAACCGTTAGATGAATCATCTAACCTTCAACCGTGGTAAGCGTTGTGAAATGGAGGGGTGGGAAAGCTCTGGCATTGGGACAGTCTCGGACCCAACCCTCACACACACACAAGAAGGTGCAAATATTTGGTCATAAGCGTACGGTCTGGCTGTGGCCCCTGCCTTGGTCCTTCATCTCCCTTTTTCTCTAATTCTCTGAGCCCTCGTCGGCTTTCTGTATCTCTGTCTCTCTACCCTCCGAATCTAAGGACATGTGTCTTTCTGGTAAAGCACACAAGAGGCTCCAAAAAATCGGTGCTAGACTTCGGTGCGCAGAAAAGCGCACAGATAGTGTGATAATGATTTTGACCAATTGAAGGGATATACACTCAGTAAAATAACTATAAAGGCAGTGGTTTTTGTCGAATATCTCGGCGGTGTTTTCACTTATCGAGATGCAATTTTCAGAATAGGCTTTTGAAGAGCCACTTGATATCCTGTACAAATCCGAATCAAATCCGTTCGTGGAAAGTCCGATTTTTGGCAAATGTCGGTTTCGAAACTGTAAAAAAACTATAAAGGCAGTCGAAAGAAATTCATTCAAAATTCCCAAATTAGTTTCTTTGCAAATTTACAATACAATCATGGTTGCTAGACCGTTTTCTATTAAAAATTATTTTCTAGCATTAATGATAGCCCATTTTTTTGTGATTCGACCCGCCATGGTCAGGCCAGCTGATGCCTCCCATCTTGTAACGTTCTTTAAAAAAATTCCTTTGTCGGAGCACTATTCTGGCCAGTCCTTAGCTTGGTTTGGGGCTCTAGTATTGTGGGCCAATTGGAAACGCAATTTGAAACGTCAAGAAAGCGGAGGCAATTCTATAATGTAATCTCTCACAGGTGCGGAGGCGACTAGAAATTGCTTAAATCCCAGCTGAACTCTTAATTTTCGTGCAGGGTGACTTAGGCTGCTTGGAGACGACTGCTCCATGTAATTGTGCAGCTGAACGCAATGTTTATAAGCTGGCATCTATTCGGAGACAAAAATTAAAGACACAAGAGAGTCGAGCTTGCATCGGGGATTTCGAAGGCGTTCCACGGATCCACCGATCGGCCGAACCTACGGCCCTGGTTACGATTCAATCGTGGTTTACGTGTTTCTTAATCTTGACATGGCTTTTATTTAGGCCGGGAAGCATAGCGACAAAACTTAAGGTTAATCCGAGCTGTCACTGATGCCACCCCCGATAATGTTGAGTTTCAGGCGTCTTGGACGTCAATTTTCGCCACTGCCACGTGTTTTAAAGAGCAAATATAGTAGCAGGCAGGCATAGAGCATCATATAATTTCCTTAAAAACAAAAATATAGTCCGCTTCTTGAAGCCGTTGTGAAATTAAGCCTGGAGTTCGAATTTCGCCGTGACAAATATCATTACTATTTGTCCACGCGAGCACCTGGGCTGCTTTCGGTGCCGTTTCCAATTGGCCCCCAATACTAGAGAATACTAGAGCCCCAAACCAAGCTAAGGACGCGGTCAGAATAGTGCTCCGACAAAGGAATTTTTTTAAAGGACGTTACAAGATGGGAGGCATCAGCTGGCCTGACCATGGCGGGTCGAATCACAAAAAATGGGCTGCCATCAATGCTAGAAAACAATTTTTAATAGAAAACGGTCTAGCAACCATGATTGTATTGTAAATTTGCAAAGAAACTAATTTGGGAATTTTTGAATGAATTTCTTTCGACTGCCTTTATGGTTTTTTTACAGTTTCGAAAACGTCATTTGCCAAAAATCGGATTTTCCACGAACGGATTTGATTCGGATTTGTACAGGATATCAAGTGGCTCTTCAAAAGCCTATTCTGAAAATTGCATCTCGATAAGTGAAAACACCGCCGAGATATTCGACAAAAACCACTGCCTTTATAGTTATTTTACTGAGTGTATAAAATACCAGATAGTTACAGTCGCTTCGCGACTGCAACCATCTGGCCTTCGGGCTACCCTACATGTCCTACTCCACCACATCCTTGCCTACCTCCAACAATACCCACGCTAAGGCTTCAGATAGCCCCCCATAGCCGAAATCCCCTTCAAAAACTACCTAAAAACCATCCTGATAGCTTTAGATACCTTCCCTAGCCGAAATCCTTTTAAAAACAAAAATCACGACCGGCCGGATGGAATGAGAGAAAAAAAGAAATGAAGTCCCGCGTGAAAATTTTCATTCACGAAACGCGCGCCACCTGGCTCACTATGTCCAAAATCCGCCCAACCTCCGTCCCCCACCCTTTTACTAAGGAAAAACTTTCAAAGTTAATTTTAATAATTTGAATTAAAACGTTTTCATTATTTTTTATCAGTTTGGGGGTTTCTCACCGCGCTCTATCCGAATCCGAAGAGAGCTAAGCTCTAGCTCTTTTCCCCTTCGAGTTGAATTCGGGACATGACGGACGGACGGACGGACAGACACCCCTACCTTTTTATTATAGTTGATATCTGCTTGCAGGTGGAGACGAGGAGGGGAAGATGAGTTCAAGGAGGTCATTGACCTTTATAAAGATGTTAACACTGCGTACGCCAAATTCGAAGGAAAATGAAAAATCACACGGAAATTTTATTCTCACGCACACTCTCGGAAGTTTGCATCTGAAAAAATTTATAATTCGGGAATCTAGATACAGTAAACCCGGTAGTTTGTGTCCCAAAAGTACAATTTATTTTTCGCTGCATTAGTATAGCTATTCATGTTTTTCTGTCACTTATTTTAGCTAATTATCATATTTCCTTAAATATAAGCCTCCTTTATGCAATTTTACGGCTTATTTTCGCCATGTTGGTCAATAGTTGGTCGCCCCCCTCCTAGCAGCTAAACGGTGGAAAAATCAGTATCACAGACCTATATTAGAGGAAATACGCTATTCCTATTTTGATGTCGTCTTACCAATTTCTCGGACTTATCAACTATATGATGAACCGATCTAAACATACGGCACCTGTCATGTGTAATATACCCTTCCAGCGGGCTCATAGCCGTGTGTGTTCATTTCCGTGTTTTTCCGCTCACTTCGATCAGACTGGCCGGCCATTCCTCAGCCTCCCCATCCCTTTAAAACGAAAACCCTCCCTCAGGGCGGCCACACGGTCAGTTGGTGCTTAAGAGCAATAGGAGAGGGAGAGAGTGAGAGAGAGAGCGAGAGAGAGAGCGATACGGGGGATAGTGCTGTACGATGTGAAGAAGCCGGGCCAAGATCGGTCTCTAAAAGAACACTTCCCGCAACAAGACACCTCACACACTCCATACCACCTTTCGATTGCTCAGAAACACATTTGGCACCGCCGGCCAGTTGCTTCCTAAAAAATGCCCGAACGAGGATCAGCTGAACGTGAGTGGCTAATTTTTTTCTTACGGTAATCCGGGCTCAATATATAACCATTTTTGTATTTAAAAATTTAAAGCCTAAAACGGCTATTTTTATAAAAATTTAAGCTCTTTCAGGTATGGTTGCATTGCGAAGAGGCTCCATCGAACAACATGTCACGTCAGATTCGAAGAAACAGCTAGGCAGAGGCACTTCCTATGATTTTAGCTCCGGTCGGTAATTTGCATATGCTAATCCATTTTCTTCTCGCTGTGATTTCACAACCGGTACATACAATTTATGGCTATTTTGTGGGGGTTTATTGCGGTGGGACGAATGGGATGAAGGATTCGGCGCCATTTCCGGTGCATCCAGCTTCCCCGTATCCCGAGACATCCTTGTCGTAGTAGTGGAGATGGTCGTTGATGGACAGATCAGTTAGGTTTCCGTCCGAGCAGGACCTATAAACGGGTTTATGTAGTTATCGGAACGACTTACTTGCTGTCATCAGCCTCACACAACGTGTAGGTAGCTCCCGATCCCATATCTCCCTTGAAGAACACCTAAAAATTCAAGATTTAGTGCTTAGTTTTGCCTAGATCGCTTAGCTAAAATCTAAATGTATGGGTTATACTTTAATTTTTAGACAATACCTTCAATTCGTTTAAATTATGTCCTCACCTCGCTCATATGATGCGAATAGCCCATCAATTCCACGGGGACGTGAACCACCATATCATGAGAATGGGTGATTCGCAGGGTGTACGGTACCTAAATATAAATATTTTACGCTTGTTAGAGCGTTTCCTTACGTTGGTATCATGCCACTTGGCCCAGGCTGCATCACCAGTACGCGGTTGTCCAAGGGTGACCAACTAAAGTGAAGTTATTAGAGGAACATGCGGATGTCGATTAGCGGGTTTGGAAGCGGCCTGGAGCCGAAGCCTAAGCCTAATCCTTTGCTAAGCCTAAACCCAACCCTATTTGATGACTTTAATATTTCCACTCACTCGAATCAGCGCCTTCTCGTACAGTCCAGTAGCAGAGATGTAGGAAGCTGCCAGGGACGCCATCGCTCCACCAAGAGAATGGCCGGTGATCTAAAAATAATAATCAATGTATTTGAGTTAATTTTGATACGTAGAGCTGATAGTTGGGGTATTTGTTCTTCAACGTTATGAAGTCGTCCTTCATGCCGGCATTCCATACAGCCAGGAATGCTTGGTAGAAGTACTTGTTCACGTTGCCGCCGGCGACGAATGGGACCTAATTAGCATAAGTTATTTTGGTTAACTTTTATGGGTTAAATTTTAAGCCTGCGTATCCTGACTTAGAAATTAGCTCTGACCTTCTCGTGGAAGATACTCTGATCGGCCTCCTGTACAAGCTGTAAGAAAGCATTGGTCCCTCGGAATGAGATGACAATCGCCTTCTGATTTGGTAGCACTGCTGTGAAGCCTGAGCAAGTATCCTTCTTCACCGAATCACAAGCCGTAGTTACTTGACGTTGAATCTAGAGAATTTTTTTTAGAATCCTGCTTTGTTAACCTACCGTTCCTTTGAACAGATTTGTCAGGCAAATCTGGGGGCTGGGAGAATATGCAGCGCCAGACAATGGCAACATAATACCCCGGGCAAGTTTATCATCGTAAGCCGTTCGGTCCTGGAATTATGTACATACTTTAATGGGCAACCAGTTTTGAAAAAGCCTTTTAACCAAGCCCAGTCTGTGACTTAAAAGCCCTCACTTTTCTTCGCTCGTTCGAAATCCTGTCAAAAAAAATTAAAACGATCTCCAACTGCCGTCTTATATTAATACCCCCCGCTTATGGCGTATGTTAATTGCTTCCTAACGAGCGATAACCGTGATTCTCACAAAAAGTTAATTTTGAATAGCGAAAATTAGTGTGCTGCATTAACATACTCCTGGCTTGACGATGTCAAACGGCATTGACAAAGCCGTGGCAACAAGACCAAGTACACCCAAGGACCACCGCATGTCTGAAAACCGTTTTTTAATTGCTTTCAAGAACAATTTGAGACCCAAAAGAACAAGGAACAATGTCAAGACCCAATACTTTGGTCTCCCAGCATGGAAGCCATGTGGTAAAGTAGTGAAGAATGAATGGCATCGCAATTTCAGAGACCTAACCCGTGATACGGGCCTAAAACGGAAAAGCTGACACCGCGTCAACCCGGATCAGACTGATAACGGCGGCTCCGGAACTGGACGGTTTAGCTCTCATCAAAAGAGTTGGTGGAAGATCAGACCAATAATCGGATTAGATCGCAGCACATTTTTACGTCAAAAATGGGGTGTTTTTTCTTGATCATTCGATCAGGCGGGAAGTGTGATTAGGAGCGTGGCGTCGCCTCCATCTCTAAACGAAAAAAAGCCCTCGATTCAATTAGAGTAATTCCAGGTTCCCCAAAATCCACGAGCAATGCCGAGATGTTTACTTATGGCCGTCGGGACTCGCTTACGAGGACACGATTTCTATTAGTGAGAACGAGCTGCTCCTCCTCGAAAGAAGCCTTCCAAAGAGTCACTCTGCCTGGTGGATCTGACGTTGCGCAGTTGAAGTCAACGCTTCAGAAAGCCACAAGGTCGCCAACTCCCTGTACACATGTATACACATTACCACATATGGTATGGGTTTGTTACCTTTACTTTTTTAGCACCATTTTCTCTCAATCTCTCCCTCCCTCTCTCTCTCTCTCGCTCTCTCTCTCTCCCTCTATTAAAATCACAACTTTTTAAAGGAACTCGTCACTGACGTCAGTCAAATCATTCAATTCGCCGATTGCCAAAAAGTCGTCGCCAGCTTCTCCGATGAAATCCCAGAGATGGACGTAGTGAATGGACTAAAGGCAAGTGTCTGTCTGTCTGTCTGTCTGTCTTGCTGTCTTTTGTTTGTCCTCTTCTTCAGCCGTTCCTGCAATTAGCTCTCGCGTATATTTGTCCCTATCCTCCCCATCTCCTCTTTTCTTTCAGCCCATTCTCCGTACGCACCTCAAGCCAGGCAACCAGTGCTATTTTTTTACTTCACGCCTGCCTTTCGAAAGTTCAAGGCTTTGGGTGTCACAATCCCTTTAAAACTAGGTTTTCGAAAGTTTTTAAATGTTACATTGCTGCGGGATTTCGCATCAAAAGTAGAGAACCAAGAAATATCCTACTATATATAAAAAAATAGTGTCTGTGTGTGTGTGATGTGTGTGCATGCATGCAACTCCGCAGCGTGTTCCAGTAGTGCTCAATAAGGGAGAGTTAAGGGCAGTTGATACGTCATAGGTGCGTAATGGTCTGGGGAGCCGCACGCAATAAAATTTTGAAAAATTATATGTTTTCGACGTTAAAATTAAGTTTTTGTTGAAAAATCGGACAGCCTCTTTGTTAGGAAACAATTAACATACGCCGGAAGTTGCGGTAGCCTATATAAGGGAAGGCAGCGTTTCTCATTTTGTGATCGAAAATCGTGAGAATTATGCAAAGTGAAGAATATCATGGCATCACACGGGGCCAGGGTTGAAAAGTCGCGAAGCGGCTTTTCAACCCTGGTCTTTAGATAAAAAATTTTAGTCCTAAATAAAACTTACATTTTTATTACTTAATCGATTCTGAAAGATAATTCTGGCCCCATGGTAAATTCCCTGTTATTCTATGTGTACCAAAATTTCCGCCTTCCATCTGCCGACCCGATTGACTAATTACTATGCCCTTCCGTTTTTCTGGCTCAGTCTGGGGCTCAAGACCAAAGCGATCTGTTCGTAATCTACCCCCCTGGCCAGCTTTTGGTGTGTAAGAGTTGCGGGAAATGGCCAACCAACACCCAGTCGAGACCCCTGAGATCCCCTTCCCGTCGATAGTTCTACCCCGTAGCTACCTGAAAAATGCCGCCGATCCCTGAGGTCGCATCCCTAAATGATGTCACCCTAACGCAGGCCCCGGAATCGGCTGACCGCATTCGGAAGGTCGTACTCAAAGCGCCGAGGCTGCGGACGGCTAAAAGATATGTAGTCGAAACAGCTTCTTCCTCATCGGCTTCTTCTGATGATGAGGCTTCTGATTCTCAGTCGAATTCGGTCATCCGAAAGACGAAGGTAGTCATTAAGTAACGAGGTACAGCGCTTCGCGACTGCAACCATCTGGCCTTCGGGCTACCCTACATGCCCCACCCCACCACATCCACCCACCCCATCAATACCCCCCAGGCTGAAACCCCTTCAAAAACTACCTAAATACCTCCGATGGTCAGATACCCCCCATGGCTGAAACCCCTTCAAAAACTACCAAAACCTTCCCGATGGCTTCAGAACCTCCCCTAGCCGAAACCCCTTCAGAAACTACCAAATACCTCCGATGGCCAGATACCCCCCAGCCGAAACCCCTTCAAAAACTACCTAAATACCTTCCTGATGGCTCAGAACCCCCAGGCTGAAACCCCTTCAAAAACTACATAAATACCTTCCGATGGCTCAGATACCCCCCAGCCGAAACCCCTTCAAAAACTACAAAATACCTCCCGATGGTTTAAGATACCTCCCAGCCGAAACCCCTAAAAAGCTACCTAAATACCTTCCCGATGGCTTCAGATACCTCCCCTAGCCGAAACCCCTTCAGAAACTACCTAAATACCTTCCTGATGGCTCAGATACCCCCCAGGCTGAAACCCCTTCAAAACTACCTAAATACCTTCCCGATGGCTCAGATACCTCCCCTAGCCGAAATCCCCTTCAAAAACTACCTAAATACCTCCTGATGGCTTCAGATACCCCCAGGCTGAAACCCCTCAAAAACTACCTAAATACCTTCCCGATGGTTTAAGATACCTCCCCAGGCGGAACCCTTAAAAAACAAAAATAACGACCGACCGGATGGAAGAGAGCAAAAAGAATGAAATCCCCCGTGAAAATTTTCATCCACGAAACGCGCCACCTGGCTCACTATGTCCAAAATCACCCCAACCACCCCTTTACTAAGGAAAACCTTCAAAGTTAATAATAATTTAAACTAAAACTTTTCATAATTTTTACAGTTTGGGGGTTCTGACCACGCTCTATCCGAACCGAAGAGAGCTAAGCCTAGCTCCTTCCCCTTCGAGTTGAATTCGGCCAGACGGACGGACGGACGGACGGACAGAGACCACAGCAAAATTATTATAGTTGATACTAGAACCCATTTAAAATGGAAAGAAATTTAAATATCAATATCCTAGTTTTTCTGCTATTTTGCATTTTTATCCTCGCTCGCAACAGACTAAGCTTACTTTCCCCCCGAGCGGTAACCTGACTCGCTTATCGCTTTTTGCAGCTCCTGACACTTTTCGGGGGACCTTGCGTGTTTTTTGTGCAGCCTGTGTGTCGGGGTGGGTATAGGAGGGGAGTGAGGCTGTAACAGAGAGGCCGTTCCCTCCTTGTCCCTCCCTTTCTATCGATTTATACCTTTATTTACTGTTTTCAAAATTCGTTGCTTTTTAGGCCAGAATGGCTGATAATAATACTGAGCAGGAGATTGATATCCCAGCTGCTGGCGAGGTGAGGGCGTATAGGGGGAAGCGGTTTTTAAGTTTTGGGCTTTGCCATTGCATATTTGTTAGTTCAACAGGCTTCGCTTTAACTTTTTACGGACCTTTTGACTAGCAAAAACAAGAATAGAAAACTTGGGTTAAAAAGCTGTATTTTTTAAATTGAACCTAAATTTTAATTTAGGAAGTGCCCGTTGCGGGCTCGGCACCAAAAGAAGTTGAATACCCACAAGCCATCCCCGTTGATCACTTTGATAAAGAAAAAATTGCCGAAGCCGTCGATCTCACCCCTGCCCCTCAACCTGTACCGGAAGTAGCTCCCGTGGAGTCTCAGGTTTGTTATTTTCCATACACAGACACGTATTTATTTTGCAATATTTTTTACTTACTTTATTTAGTCTCCAATCGATGCTCGGACCCATATGTCTGTTGATTCGGAGAATGGTGACTACGTGAAAGTGGAGGAACCGGAAGAAGAAGTGGAGACCAAGGAAAAGACGCCGGAAATTGAGGAAGAAGAGGAGACACCAACACCTCCTCCATCACCACAACCACGAGAGCCGTCACCGGTTCGAACTATTCCGGTCGTTCCGATTCCGGAGCCTAAGGTTCGTTTACGAAGATTGCTTAAAAGGGCCGGTTTTTTTGCATTGCTTGATTGCTTTAATTGATAAAAATAAATTTCTTATTTCAGCCCGACGCTTCCCCCATCGAACCAAAGAAAGGCTGCCCACCGATTTTCAAGGATAAAAACACGCTCCTCCTGGCGGCCGCTGGCGGTGTGGTTGTGGCTCTGCTGCTAGTAGCCCTCCGGAATCGACGCTAGCTTGTATTTTCTCTTTATTTCTCTGTCTCACTCTCCGCTCGGGTGTTCCCTCGTCATAGAGCAGATATAGACATTTATTTCATAAATTCTCGAATTACCACTACCCGTATGAAGATTTACAATCAACCAATCACAAGATAACACCCACGTAACACAAGATAAGCCACGTTTGAAAGGCACACCAAAAAGCTAAGTATTTTGGTATACCGAATTCCCTTCAAATATAATAATCACAAGTCAAGATAAATCTCCGTCCCGTTTTGCCTAATTCTTCTCCAATCTTCGGGCCAAAATTGCACCGGGTCCAGCTCTTTCTCAACCCCATCTTTCTTCGAGAACTGCCCATTGTACAGCACCGTACTTCCGCGTGCCAAGTATGCCAGCCACCAGCCGTACGTTGAAGAAGCGGCTGAATATTTTTAAATTTTAAAGTTAGAAGTTCGTTACCTGTCAAAACTACAGTATCACAATAGAGCTGGGAGAACACCCAGTCAATATGGGGGACCCAATCTTTGTGCTGAGCAGCAACGTGGATCGCGTAGTCCACGCCGACAACCTAAAAAAAAATGCAGGTTCCTTCGCCTTCCACGTGCCTTTAATACGTATAAAAATAGCATACCGATTTTACAATGTCCTTTTCCCAGCTCAAGTCATTGCCAAGGAGTACGGCAGCCACGGTTAAATTGGTATTCTGTCGGGCTAAAATTAAATTTTCGATGTTGGAGTTTCGATTCGATACCGTAATCGACTCCAAATCTGATGGCCGCAGTAGTGAATTCCTCTGTGGAATGCTGATGCAGCGTCGATTTTACAAAGTCACCCCGTCGCACGTGGACACAAACACTAAAATTAAAATAGGGTTTTACAGTTTCGGTAAGTCTAAAAAGAACGCAGGATCAAACTACAAAAGCGCCTACTTGTGTGATGAATCCAAATTAAATTTTGCGGCAACCATTTGCGTTTTTGCGAGGTTAAAATCGTTAGGGTGGAATGCTACAAGCCGGCGAACTTCTTCACGACCGAGATGACGAAAATAATAAAAACTCTAGAATTTAAATAAAGACCCAAGAACCGTTTAAACCTGCATATAAACTAGCCGCACAAAAACATTGACATCAGCAGCAACTTTGGAGAAAATTGGTCCCACGTCAGTGTATTTGCAACAGCCTTGATACGGGATGTCCACAGTTACTTCGTTGCGCTAGAATTTGGATATTGATTTTACTGGCTAAAGATCATCGGCACGTACCATCGATTTAATGGTAATCGGAAGGAAAATGTTCGGGAACGACTTTTGCCATTTTAACATAATTTCCACCATGCTGTTTTGAAGATGAAGGGCTGGGTGTCTGAAAAAAATTGCATTTGATAGGTACAGGGCGCTTAAAAAAACTGTACTACGATGATTTTAAACATCTAGACCTTTCACCAACCTGCTAGAAACATTTGCAATGCCGATAAATGAGATCCATTCAAACATAAAGTTCCCGACCCCACCTCCAAATTTTGAGGCATGAAAATCAGCGAAAAGGTATTTTTCCGAGCATACTGTAAGTTTGGTAAGAAAATTTTTGGAAATTAACTTACTCGGCTTTTCAATAGCTGGATGCGAAGTTTCTATTGAATTCCAGACTCTAGGTGATACGGTAGCTTGCGAATGCGTGGCTTTAACTAAAGAAATCAGTTGAAGTCAGATATACCTCACCATTTACAATGGTGTCAATAGGTTTTGGGTGGAATTTCGGGACGATTTACTGTCACTTCATCATCTGATGGTACGTAGGGTCGGAATTGGATTTTACTAAATCTAGATATAACTGGGAATTATGGTTGAACCTGGTTTGCTCTGGGCTCAAATAGACATCGGCTGAGCGGAAATAGACAAAAATGACGCCGATTAGGATCAAAAGAAGTACCGGAACGACGGCCGATCGACTGCGGCCTACACCCATTCACATCCCCGACAAAATGGACAGGGTATCTAGAAAACGTGATAGAAAAACTGCATAAATTGAATACAAATTTAAATAAAATAAAACATGAATTTGATTCAGGTTCTGGACTGTTCGCGGGGGGCGGGGCTTTTTAGCCGGGAAGGAATTAAATTCCTCTACTAATTTAGGATCGCCCTGTAACGAAATATAGAGCCGTTTTTATAGATATTTTATAGATATATATATATATATTATTTTACACAGTTTTTAGAAATGAAAAGTCTATATTTTCCAAAAATTTTGAATTGTTGTTCAAAAATCCATGAAAAATGACCAAAAGGTAAAAATTTTCGAATCTTCAAACTTATTCAAAATCTTTTTTATAACGTTCTGGTAATCAAAAACTGCTAAAACACTATAAAAAAACATAATATATGATCAACAGATCGGCAAAGAAGAAACAGCTAATAGTCCAGAACCTTAATTCATTATTACAATCAAATTTCAAGAAAAAACATCGAAACAAAATCCAGATTGAAACTAAAACCCGAGCGTCAAAACATTCTAACGCTCCCCGGTACCGACGGCCAGGTTGCCAATCCTGTAATGAGTTGGGGGAACACCACCGGCCGAGTCTGGTATGCAGCATGTTAATTGGCCGTCAGTCCGTATTCCCGGGGAAATCGGCGGGTAGACCGCCGAGGGGAATTGGCTGTTGCCCCAGGACACGATATGGCTTCTCACCCAATACGTCGGAAGCCCAGGAAATTTGAGCGGAATTATTTTCCAGAACTTCCCAAATGACGCAAACTACGATGGGTTGCTATCGAAAATATGGAATTGGCCATCGCCGGTGAGAAAAAATGGGCTAAATAGGGATAAAATAAAATTTCGGCTTTGCTGGATTTCTATATATTTCACATGTTTTAAAACAGCAAAAGGCAAGCACCGCGCGCCATTCAAATACGTAGATTTGACTTGGCAAATAGGCACGTCTTTAAAAAGCCGAGACCTGTTTTATTTGCATAACGTTGCTCACAAGCCGAATCGATAGAGATATGCTTTTGGCAACATTATTTCGGCGCCATATGAGGCTACGTATAGTCAGAAACTTAGAAAAGAAAAAGCCACCGCACTTGGTATTCTTTTGCGTTCAGCGTGACACAGAATATGCTATTATTAATGCTATTATTAGAAAACGCCCGACACCTTTTGCCCGCCGATTACTAAAAAATAAAGGTACAAAGTTTTTGTGGGTCTGGCCTAAACTGAAGAAGCAACCAGAGTTCTCGTGTTATATTGCTGGTTCGGCCAAACCCGTTAAAACGCGGGGAAATCAATGCTGTACGCGTTGTTATCAGCATTCGGCACTATTGCCTAGAAAGCCCTAAACGAGAGCCGAAATACCGGCCCGGATGGTGGCTTCTGCATCTTGAATATTGAACGATATTGGCGGTGTTGGCATAAAATGTTTTCATAGGATCGAGTCGAGCGTTTGAATAAAAATTGTATCGTCTGAATAGTGTGGCAGTTCAAAGAATGAGGTGCCACCAAGTGCTATTTTGAGTAAGGGGAATAATGACAGAAATCCATAGTACTGTATGCTCGGTTGTTTTTAAAAATCCTACCTTATATAATTTTGTGTAATTTTGTGTGTGTGGGTGTTGCTTTTTAGACGCGCTTTTTTGGGGGGTTCTCTGTTAAAAAATTTAATTATTCTTTCTAGTGATTGGGGGAATTTGTTTTTTTCGTTTTTTTTTGTTTTTAAAAAAAAAAATAATGTAGCAAAAATAACAGGAAAAACGATTGCTTTCCCTGATGTTGGCAGCAGGCACCAGGCAGCAGGCCAGATAACGGGGGAGAAACACCATTTGTCGGCATTTCGGTATTTTTTGAGGCGTTCTGTTGGTGATTTAATAAAGCATGGAAAACATAGCCATCGCTTAGATTTCATGCGGAAATAACGTAATCTAAATTAGCTATTTGAAAATGCAAAACCATTGTCCCCCATGATGTAATATATACGCATAAGTTTATCATTTGTTCGGAATTTTCGCCTTTTTGTCGGGATTTCATGAATGCTACCGGATGTGTCGGGCCGAAAATTCAATCCATAAACTTAAATTCAGTTTGAAAAACCCAATTTAAATTTATGGGTTACTATATTGAAAGTCTTTATTAAATACCTCTCGTTTTACATCGTTTCAAAATAGCAACTTAAACCTTAAAATTACAAAATTTGTTTCTACCCCGCTATTCCCCTTCCCCCCGTTAAGCAACCTTTACCCTCCCATACAACTACTACATTCTGCAATGATCGTCACCGAATATTCGTCATCTGGTTTTGCGAAGTTTGCACGCGGCCAATGGAGATAAGGAGAGACCACTGTCCGAGAAACCGCCAAAAATTGGACTTACAAGATGGGAACGGTCCACATATTGTTGTTTGTATTTCTGGCCACTGCTTTTGCAGATTATTGCCCATCCGGTTATGTTAATTCCAATGGGGTCGGTTGACTTAACACGCTTTTAAGTTAACACGTTTGATTCCAATCTTTTTACCTTTTTTTATCCCAGATCTGCCTGTGGGGTAGTACACCACACGGAGATGGAACGATAGATTCGGCTCGCCATCAATGCGCCCTAAATGGAGCCCAACTCCCAAAAATCACCGATGCTTTCTATAACTCCCAAATTGCACAAATTCCAAAGAACGGTTAGTGAATAGATTTTTCGGTCTTTTTAATGACCGGAATTCTATTCAGATACAAGCTCCGATCGAACATTTTTGATTGGTGTTATCAAGGGAGCTGATGGGAATTGGACGTATGCCGATGGAACACAGCTAGCATATCAAAAATGGGCGCCGGGTAACGAATTTTCGAAAATCTATTTCCCAAAATCATTTTGTCGAAATTCATTTTTATGAAATAGTTTTTCGAAAAATTAGCGTCTAGCTTTTAACGCAACAAGGTTTCAAAAGCTAAGTCAGCTTGGAAAGGTGATTGTATAACATGCTTTTTGTGGCTTATTTCATTTCGGCGAAAATAATTTTGTCGAAATTCACTTGTCGAAAATAATTTTTCGGCATTTCATATTGCCGAAAATCCTTTTCGCCACGATTATACATCTCAAACATTCGGCAAATTGTAGTTTCCGTGCATTGATCGAGAAAATAATTGACATAATGAAATTTCGATAAATTGAATTTTTCCATACTGATAGCAAATTGGATTTTGGAAACAATGAACTTTTCCACCTTTCAGGTCAACCCGACAACCGTGATTCTTGCGCAATCATCGATAATTCAACCTTTTGGTACTCGCGAAGCTGCTCCAAACCGTCGAAGCTGATCTGTGCTCTTGGTATTTTTAAATAAACAGTTAATTACGTAGCCATAGCGCCCCAACCGACCGCTCGTTGCCAGCCAGGCTGGATATTTTTTAACCAAAGCTGCTATTGGTTCCAGGTACCTTCCTTCAAACAATTCTTTGAGAGGGATTTTAAGGACCTGACCTTCAACTCTGACCAACAATGGAACCTTTTCAACTTTGACGATGCGCAGCAGGCTTGTAATGCTTCCGGTTCACAACTGGTTTCGATTCATTCAAAGATTGAGGCCGATTTTGTGTACGGTATGTTGAATGCTCAAGTTTTTCACAAGAATTGTGAATGTAGACCTTGTCTACGCGCACTTTGTCAACGAAACTGTTGCTGGATATGACAGACCATGTGATTGGGGGTGGACCTGGATTGGTAAATATTCTAATTTCCTTGATTTTGAATAATTTTTCGCTAGGTCTTGCCCACTCACCCTCACCCAATTCAACATTCTGGCTTGATGGGTCTCCCCTGGATTACTGTGGTTTCGGGAACGGAGATTGTGTGATTGCCGAGATGTATGACTGCGGCTTTGAGGTGGCGGCTCTTGTTTTGTTTTCTAATAATGAAATAATAGGTTCATAATGATGCATCTTGCTACCCGAAGCAGCCTAAAATGTGGAACTGGTGGTTGGCAGGGTTTCACTACTCGCGTTATATCTGCAAAAAGGGCACCATTAATTGAATAAATTTGTGCATCATCTGATCTTGTACATCAGATGCTTTTTAACAGAAATGGCTCTCTAAATGCTACAAAAACAACATATTTGCCCTAATAACCCTTCAGACCCATAATTACTCAATTTCCTCTCCACCTCGGCCGCGTTAATTGTAGTTGCCCCTAGTTCACGCGGCCACAAAATGATTTCCGGTGCCTTAGAGGGCTTTATACCCAGGGCCAGACTTTTGGCCCTATCCTGGGCCCTCGGCGCGCCCCACCGTTTCCATAGATCCCTTCATCAGCAGCCGATGGCTTCGTATGCTTCTCTGTACATAATTCTACTCTCCCCCCCCCCTCTTTCGCTACATGTAGTCTCTCCCCTCCTCTTTTGAATTTGGCTTCTATTTGCACAACACCACCGGCGAGACAGACTTATGCCATGCCGAGCGCCGAGCGACCAGGATTTTTGGGGCGCGCGCTCTATTTTGTGATTCGTGGTTTTGGTTGATGAACTATCGAAAGATGGGTGTGTTTCATTTTTGGAATAAAAAGATTTCGTATAAGGTCATTAGAAAATTAAAAGTTTTTAAAACGACCTTGAATTCGGGGGGCGAGCTAAAATGCGCTGTTTTCGCGCCATGCGCGTCATTTCCGGAAAAAGTAACCAAATTTTTGGACTTTCAGTCTGAGCCTAGAGCTAAGCGTAAGTTCAATCCTAAGTCAACGCCTAAGCCTAAGCCTAAGTCCAAGCCCAAGCCCAGGTCTAAGCCTAAGCCCAAGTTAAGCCCAAGTTAAGCCTAAGTCCAAGCCTAAGCCGAATTCTGAGCCTAAGCCTATGCCTAAAGCTAAGCATAAAAGCCTATGCCTAAGCCGAAGCCTAGGTTCAAGACTCCGCCTAAGCTTAAGCCTAAGCCTCAACCTAAGCCTGACACCTCTAATCCTAACCCTGATCCTAATCCCAAGCCTAGGCGTCCCCAAAATAACCTATGTTGTGTTTTGTGACTGAACTCAGAGTCGGTGTGATCCCGCCTAGCGAAAGCATCTCTATCCACCGCTTTTTCGCCTCCTTGCCAGCCTGTTCGATTTTTATTCCCTTTGACTGGGGGAGGCCGGGGCGCGATCAAATGGGGGCTTTAAAAATTGGGACGCTATGATTCACCCAACAATCATAGTCACAACAGATCAGGGTATAGTTTGGCGACGGATAGTCAGAAGTCATTTGGTGATCTTGATGAGGCTTATAGAATTTCATAAGTTGTTGGAGTTGCAAGGTTAGAGAAGAAGAAAAATTTTATGCGAAAGTAGAACTTTTTGAAAAATAGTGATTTGATGATTTTTGATGATTTAGTTATAACTTTGGCCATTTGGCGCCTAAGGACGTATGCTGGAAAAAACTTTACTTTACTTGTTTAATTGGAACATGCATACAAAAGTTGCATTAAAGTACCCCAATAAGCTTATAGTTCAAGTTTTTAATCATGATATTCAATTTTCCTACCTTTCTACGTCATAACATTACTTTTTATAATAAAAATCAGTTTCAGGCATACTCCCCCCTCTCTTGCTCAACGTAGGAAACGGCCCATTTTGTGCCGAGGGTGGTTTGGTGAAGGCGTCAAATTTCGAGCACCATTGGCAAACAGCCCCGATATGGAGACGGAGCAACAGCAGCAGCCAGGTAGGAAAAGAGAGCCGGCGACCGCCATTTTCTTTCGCTTATACCCACGCGATCTCGTATTCTAATTTCTAACCACCTCTAATATTATGGTGCGCACAAGTTTTACGGAGGCATTGCAGAATCCGCTGGATTTCGGTTGGTGATGGGTTATTTAAGGTTGGGGGTTAGAAATAATAGACTATAAATTCCTTAAACTAATTAATACGGTTTTTGTGATGGTTTCTAAGGCATTAAGAAGTTGATTAAAATTTGTAGTCGCGGTATCTCTAAAATTTTGACGATTAACGACTTTCCCGGCTTTTACTGGGTTCAAACGAATTACCACCGCCTCTCACTTTCCGCTGCTCCTCTTTCCCCTCAAACATTAATTAAAACCCAAAAACCATGAAATCCCCCCACATTCCCAACATATTCAAGCACAAAAATGCGGCGCCATTCTTACACATTCCCCCCGCAGGAGATTATGTCCAATTTGGCGAGGCGATCCATGGTATATCCATCGGAATGGATCACACAGAAAAGAACCGGTTACACGATACAGACAACTACACACAACCACCACATCTCACCTATAATTATCCACGCCCTCATGCGCACCGTTGGCTTGCGGGGGAGAGCTGAAAATCCGCGAAATATCCTCCCCCACCTCTACCTGCTCAATCCGCTGGCTGGCTGGCTGGTTGGCTGTGGCACAAAACAATTAGGGTCACAGTTCGCGAGCCTCTGTATGCTTTAAAGGTGACTCAAAAGTGGGCGGCGCGTTTCAGAACGTATGCAAAGCTCTTGCTTTTCCACGCGATGTTGTTTTTAGGGCTTAGAAAAAGGGGGGTATAAATTTCAGTAGTATCACTTGATACCTCACTACCTCACTACCTCACTAGCTCACTGTTTCGCAAAAAAGGATAGCATCTTATGTCATGTATCTTTGTATTTTACGGGCAGATACGCATTTTACAAGCTTGGTTTAACTTTATAAAAATAAAACAACTGGCCTAATAAAGTTACCTTTATGATTTTTATATAACCAAATTTCAGCTGGCTAAACTTTAACGACCATTTATTTATGTTAAGTAGCATAAGGGCTTTTTCGTAGGATGCGACAAATTGAATTTTTTAACAGCATTGAATAATTGATATTGCGATCAGCAACTTTTAATCCGTTTGTTTTTTATGTTGAAAAATCGGAGTTAAAATCCTTTCTATAAAAATAGTCTGGCTCATAAACAGATAGATTTCAAATTCAATGAAGTTTGTTTGAATCATTTGCGAACCCTAAAAAAGCCGATTTTTTTTATCGAAAGTTGTAAAACGTGAAACGCTAGTTTCGAAGCCGGTTTTACGTTAAACACCTGTGACTACTTATTTCCCACCCTCTCATAGGTATCACCAATACGGAACCAATCTCCACCCACAGCACCAACCCAATCATCCCCCCCTCCGGCTATTTGTTTGTGTAGAAAGGGGGGACGTGTCAAATGGACTGTTTGGGCCTCCTAGAAGACCTCTTCTCCCCCCCTCTTGGACCCTCGAAAGATCGGCCCGGATGACAACGACAATCATCGGCACACCCACATCGCGCATATCCGAGCAATTTTGACGTTTCGGCATAAGCCGTTGTCTTACTGTAGCGCCTTTTCATGCAGACTCGAGAAAATAGAGAATGTCCCATGAAAAATGATTCCGCTGGTATTTCGACCATTCGGGGCCTATCTACTTGAAATTTCAACCCATCTATTTAAATTCCAAAATTTCCGAGCAATTTAAAATGTTCACAAAAACTTTCAGACCACTAGCTACCGTAGTTTTTGTGTTATTGAAAAAATACTGTCTATCCAACATTTTCACTTCATTTTTCGCAATTCTTTTTGACTTTACATTAATTAACATAGCTTTTTGGCTTTAAATCCCTGGTTACTCCTAACCTCCTGTTCGATTATACCTGCTAAAATTATTTAAATGGCCTATTTTGAAGCAAAAAAATTCTCCACATGTGGGAGCATCAGAAAATGTCTTGTCTTTAAATGTATCCACTTTTTGCCTTTATATTGATCGTGAACCAGACTCAATAGACTTTCCCGTCTAAATAAAACCAATGACCAGCCCCAAATTATCCTATTCTTCACCCATTTTAGTCGTACAAAAAGTCCGGGCATTTTCCGGTCCAACAAAAAAGTTCGTAGCCGTGTTTCCGGATAGTCCGGGGCCCCTCTCCATTTTGCCTGTGCCCCACCGGAGGACAGGTGATGGACGACAAGCAAATAATGGTCGGCCTTTTTGATGTTCTTCCTTGCTATCTCTCTCATTCTCTCTCTCTCTCTCTCCATCTTGCAGTCTCTATTCTCTAGCCACGAAGAAGGGGATGTCCCGAATAGGCCCCCGCGAATCCCCCCCCCTGACTGGGTCACGATCGTCGTCTGAATCATTCAAGCGAGGATTTGCCCCCGTTGATATTCCAGTATCCGATGGAGGGATCATTGGATCATTCGAATCTTGTATCTATCAGTCCATCGTTAAATGAGAAGACGCCACATGTATCAAAAGCTATGCAGGCATTTTGGGGTTCGATCTTTCATCCAGCAATTTGATCCAGTTCATATTCAAATTTGTAGTTTTTTTCAAGATCTCCAATTTATCATACATTGACGCTCAAAGCAGGCGCTGCAACCGTGATTTCCGTGTAAAGATTCTCAGATTTCTGGTGGAATTGATTTGAATAATTCCCGGCTCTACTCCATACTGACGTATTCCTCTTTGCTCGTAATCCTAGTGTATCACGTAGCGCTGCCTGATGTACATGGACGGGAAGCGAGAAATCCCCCCCCCAAAAGGGGGGAAAGCGAGGGGGAGAAGGAGGGGGGAGGAAGAAAAAGGAAAAGAAGAAAAGGGAAAAGAGGTGAAAAAAAAAAGGGGGGGGAAAAAACATGGACGGCTTTGGCAAAATGTGTTCCCTCACAATAGGACGTATTGTCGGCGATGCCTAGGGGCATGTTTTAGCCTCCAAGCCATCGATGGACACACTCTTTCTAGGTTTACAGGCTTTTCCTTCTGAACCATCCATTTAGACATTAACTCATCAAAAGAGACTCCTATTTTCGAAACGTCTATTGTAGTCTAGCGTACACGATGTTGCCAGTCCCATGTTTTTTTAATCCAGGCGATAGCATCTTCTCTCACTTGGGAAAAGTTTAGCCATAGTGACTCAGACGGTTATTTTCTGTATCCATTCAATTCTAAATTGATTTCCCATGGAATTTGAGGGTATAGGTTTATTAAATAATAGTGCTAAATAGTAAATTCCTAGTAAGAAAGTTAAAATCACGTGGATAAACTAAAAACTCGCAAAAAATTTTCAGAGTCTCCAATGATGGAAGGAAAATTCCGGCCACGGGTACATGTCTTCGGGCCTTTCGAGCAGATACTCAGATACCTTGGTGTTGATCTGACCGATTCTATATTTAGGTAGCCACTAATATCTTTTAAAATTTATGATAATTATTGTTTCAGTTGGGAAGAAAGCCGGAAGAGGGGTCGACGATGTCGCGCCGCCCTTTCCACCATTGTCTTCCTTTTCATTCTCTTTGTATTTTTTGCCAAATTTGTTATGATTATGTCGATCGATGCAAAGGTATATCTTTAATAGAATTCAATTTACCGTTATTATACTTTTAAGGCGTTCACAATGGGATGGGCAGAATCGAACATTGACGCGGGCATCTTTTTGTTCGGGATTGCTTCTACAGTATGCCTAGCCATTTGGACACATTGCCAATATCCACGCGAGTTCCAGGAAAAACTTGATGCCCTGGAAGAGGTAAGAAAATAATTATAATCCAACAATAATTACATAATTCTAGGGACCAGTTCGATCGGAAGAAAGCTTTGCAAAGACACATGTGAAAGCATTTATCTTCAGCCTAATCCTGCTCACCGTCTATATATTACCAGCTGGGGAGGGGCATATTTTCCAGCGTGATGTTAATTCGACGCTACCGTATGTCAAAAATATACTTTTCTAAAGAACGTGGCTTTGAGGACGTATCAGTACGATTCGTCGAATTTTTGGGGAGCCGAGCCTCTGATTCGAGCTTTGATTGGTGGGTTGACTCTGACATTTATATTAATCGTATTATGTCTGAAAAAATAGCTAATTGAAAAACCTAATTTACATTGTTTTTAGGCTTCGTTTCATGCGTTTCAATCGCAATTTACGTCATTTCTACCCATGCAATGGGACGCAAGCTCAAAGCCTTCAATAACGATCTTAAAGAAGCCTCTGAAGCCGGGAAATTAAATGTTTGTCTCGCTGATACAATTTAAAATTATATTTATTTAGGACCAAGACACCCTGAGCAACTACTCAAGCCGCCAACACGAAATCCTGGAGCTTGTCCGGTACTCCCATGGCCATATCGGGAAATTGGCCACCTTTGGGCTTGTTGGGGCCGCTATAATCCAGGTATTAACTAAAAAATAACGTAAATTCTAGTTTCTAGGCAAATGGAATGTTTTTTATTATTGGCCATAGAGCCGACATTACTGGAGCGTTCTTTGGGCTGATTTCCGGTTTTATGATTGTTTCTGGTGGTATTCTTGGGTTGTCAATAATGGTGCCGGCGAAGCTTCAACAAAAGGTAGGAGAAGTTGTGAGGTGTGGTATTAAAATGGCTTCTAGATCTCGGAAGTCGAGAGCATTTTGCTGTTCGATCGAGTGCTGTGGGCGGATACGAAGAGCGAGTCTTGCCAATCAATGGCATTGGCCATGGTGCGGCGGGCACAGTCGGATAGTCTGAAAATCACAATTATGCATGCATACCTGTTGGATCAACGTCTGCCGCATAAGGTGCGTTAACAGATGAAATTAACGCATTAAGAGGATTTTCAGTTGTTGATGATCATCCCGTTGATGGGCAACATTTTCGTCGGGCTCGAGCGTTTGTTCCCACCAAAGAACGACAGCTGATGTGGAGCTAAAAAAATTTACTTAAATTCTTGCGATCGTCATGGATAAAGTATTAAATGAAGATAGGATAACCCCTTATTAATACAAAATGCAAATATTAAAATTCGGACCCGAACCCGCATAAAAAATTAGGTTTTTGCCGTATGCAAATCAGGTTTTATCGACCCCTAAAACCGGATTTCTGACAATTTCTTGTATGGTTTGTTGCTGCAACGTATTCAAGCCATTTGTAAAAAGTGGAAAATTGGCAGAGCGCTTTTTCCTTATCCTTAAATTTCCAATTTCTTGTTTCTGACTTTCTACACTCTTTAAAAAACAGCACGTGCATGCCCTTTTCCCTCAATCCTCCCTCGATTTATCCAAAAGATAGCAAGCAGCCAGAGTCATAGACTCGCTAGCTAATCGCCCTCCCCTAGAAAAAAGGATGTCAGCGCGATTCGAGCCCCATTTCCTACCAAGGAGAAGAAGGGAAAGGCGGATCACCCTCCCCCCTTTCCAAACGTGCTCACGAGGCCATATCGGGGCATCTGAAGCCCCCAAGGGACCATGCTTTCCCCCCTCCAACTTCGAAGCTCCATAAATAAGCTGACGCCACCCCGCTTTCCCGCCTTCGAAGGAAAAGCACCGCCTTCACCTTATTCTTCGACTGGCTTGGTTGCCAGCCCTAACACTTCAAATAGTACATCAGTCTCCTGGCGCGTCGGGCCCCACATTCTACGCTTGTTTGTGTCGCTAAAGTTTTTCTGGGTACGGTAGCGGGGAGGGAGGGTGTTTGTGGTGTCTAGGCTTTGTTTTTGGGGGATAGGCTTTACACTGGCGTCATTGCTGAGGTTGATTCGAGTCTGTATTGGGATCGTATATTTGGTTATGTGGTGCCCTGGGGGTGCCTTTGATTTGATAGATGGTAGGGGCGGGGTCAATGGTGTTGATGCCGAAACGTTCCTGTGGACGGGGTTGTTTGTTTCAAAACTAGAAGTGTTGGAAAAGCGAGCTGGCCTAACTAGCAAATTCTTTCGCGTTAAAATGTTTTTTTATAATATTTTAGGGGTTGCTATCTTAATTTCAAAATGTAAAGCCGATTTTATAATGTCGAAATCTCAGCATGACGAAATTAACGTGATAAAATTTCCCGAGGAACCACCTAATCCTCTGCAAAAATTTCGCCCATGGAAAACTTCGGCATCATGATCTTCGACATTATGAAAACAAATCTTGTTTTAGTAAACCTTGATGTGCAAAAAGCAAAAAATCTTTAGACAATCTAAAAGTCCAAAATTTTCGTCCATTGCCAAATATTTTTTTTACAAAAATCATTTCAAAAACTTTCGCAATTTCTTTATCAACTTTGTATACTTAATGCCGTGTAAAAACTACTTCAAAAGTGTATGTTTCCTCATTGGAACCCTACGCGGCAATACGCCAAAGTAAGCCCCCCCACTCACCGTCTAGAACCAAAACCTGGCCGAACCGTATAATATTTTTGGCTTGATCCTTTCATTGACTGTTCTCCTATTTCTTCTCCACGTAACCCGGTCATGTTATATTCAAATTGGAGCGCAAATAGGCCACTTTCGAGGCGTCCCGTCAGTCAGTAGCGAGCCGCTTCTCCTTGTTCGTTGACTCTCCTCTGACGCTCGCCATCCGGCGAACCGATTTCCTCCGGTGATCAGTGGATGACGGCTGTCCCTCCCCCCCCCTTCTCCTCCTACGACATCCTTTTTGCTGATTTAGCAGAAGATTTTTATAGCGTGAAAAAGGTCATAGCTTTTCGAACGCGGAACAAAATCTTTAGATACCTCGTCATGGTTTGGCCGTGTAGCTGTATTGGTCAATTTTTATTACTAGTACCATGTCCCTTAAAAATCACAAAATCCAGTTTTGTAACCCCAGTGACGCAACCAGGTCAACTTTTTTAACCAACCCGGGTCTATTAGTGATTCCACAACGGGGGTAGACTTGAGAGAAAAAGGGAAAACATCCTGGAAGTTTCTGCCCAACCAGGGGTAGCCCCCCGCCAAGAATCAGCCATTGTGTCCACCAGAAGGGCTGAATCCGATTTCCGAAGCAGTCGGAGGGGGTTGGGGTAGGGATGGGAAGGGGAGCTTCTTCTTCTTCTTGTTCGGAAACGCTCGAATGGGCACTGGCTGGGGCTGACGTCTTGGATTCATGGGGAGGTTGAAGTCGATGTTCCGCACTCTTCTTCCAGGGTACACGTGCCAATTTTGACGAAGTTCTTGCTGACCCTTTTCATTTATTTATTTTTTTATGCGCGTTTTATAAACTCTGCCTCACGTTGGACCACGAACAATCTGAAATTTGTATGGTGCTTTTCGAATTTCGATGCAAAAAAACGAAAAACACGTCCATCGTTAGATCATTCCGAATTTAATGACGTATCATCTATATCTTTCAATTCTTTCACTATTGAGATATCCTACGTGTATCGTGGTGAAAGTTACAAGCAAAGTGTCATAAATAAATATTATTTTCTATCTTTTTTAATCCTCTATGGCAGTTTATCCTGTTGTTCTTTCCCCTTGTCTACACTTTGTACAATTATTTACTGCCCGTCCCTGATCCTAGAAAATTACCGCCCAAGCCCTCATCCATGTTTGGGTGTTTAGCAATTAACTTTTCATCCCCTGCCTCTTCCGCTACAGCCCGGGTATTTCCGGTTGAAAAGCCGTTCGCCCACACGGCTTTTTGGTGTTGGAATGGCTGATGGGGGTGATGAGTGGATATGGACTAACCCGCCGGCTATTTGGCTATCTGCAATGGATGCAAACTAGTCGAACCCCCACCTATTCAGCCCCTTCCGCCACTCGATTTCCGGTCTTCCGTCTTTAAAAGTTGCCAATTGGTCAGGCTGGGGCTCTACGGAGAACCCATAAACGAAAATAAGCCATTTCCGCTTGCAACTCCCTTTAAAACACATCTCTTTTTTTCTGCTTGCAAACTGGGACCAAAAGGGTTCAGATTAACTGAGCGCTGAAATATGCACGGAGGAACCACCCACTCTGGTTTTTCGGGCCACTCCGACGTGTATCCGGGCCATACCTCCCGGAAGGGACCAAAAATGGCCCGAACCTAAAAAAGTGGCCCCTCGAATTATCGGGCGCTCTCTCTCCCTTCTCACTCTCTGTCTCGATTTCTCTTACCTATCTATTTCTTAGGCTCATTTTCGAAGCTTGGAGCGGAGATAAATTTTGCAGCTACCACACTATTCTCTACCATACTGTAGTTTAATCCCAAAATCAAAAACCACTTTCCCTGACTTCGTTTTTGTGCTTTTTCTCACTGCTGAAATCGAAGAATTTCACGGCAAACCATTCCAAAATGTTGAAAGGAAAATGCTGTGGCAATGGCGGCGAAACATGACGCCGCGTCTCCCAGGACCCTTAGAGGCCCACAATAGGGCCCACAGCTCTTCTCCTCACACTATCCCATCATTTTAATGCCATTCCTTCTTTTGTACCCCAATTTTTCATCCAGATGTTTCGATAATTCCCTGAAATCCGCCCGGGTAATTTACTTTTCTTATTTTCCCGGGTACGCTGGGAATATTCACGGCCCCCGTCTGGGGGATTTCTTATGAATTTTGCAACAACCCCCACATTCTCGATTGAATAGATGTGCCACATAAGGAAAAAAGGTTTTTCGAACTTTATTTTGACAGGAATCTTCTTCCAAACAGCCGGCACGCCTCGGTCAGCCCTTCTTGTGGTGCTGATGAATATTCCAGGCCAGCCCGTCCGCACTTCTTCCAGCCAATCCACCACCCCCTCTCGCTCGCTTCTAGTTATTTTGGGGCCTAGCCGGGCTGTTCGTCATTCCAATATAGTCGTTCCAGAACCTTAAGAAATCCGATACGTTATATCCTTGAGGGTGGGCGCGCTAAACTTGGAGTTTTCTATCATTCTGAAACTGCTGTAATCTCATACGTTATTGGCTAAGCAGTTGATTTTTATCCCCACCCCAAACTTCACATCAAAAACCTTCAAAAATTATTTGCCGCCCTGAGAAAATGATGTCCCCCATGCAGCCGCCTTCCCAAATTAAAAATTCCCCGAATTTTGGCGCACATTTTGTGCATAGACATCCCCCTTTAGAAAACCCAGGCCCTCTATTCCGACTTTTGATCACGTTTAGAAATTATTAAAGACCAGAGAGGAATAGTCTTGGTCAATTTTTCACGTAAAAAGATCGACTCCAGCGACAATAATCCGTGGGCGCAGCGGGTACGGTTTGGCAGGATGCTCTCATCAATATTTCATCTCGCTTCGAAACGGCTTCCTTTTTTCTGGAACCTCTAAAAAATGACCCACGCTTTTCCTTTCGCCAATGCGTCACGTTTGGGCCGCTATCGAATTCTTACCAGAATATTATTGATCTTTTATCTTAATTCTTCGGTTCTGGGCTTGCCTTCTTGCCAGTTTCTTTCTTAGATTCCCTATATCTTTGCAGCTTGACGACGTGGGTAGATGATGAGCGTCAGATGGCCCTCGTTCGGTCTTCCATTGGCCCTTGTTACAATATCCGTTCTGGTGGCCGTCGGTAAGTTGATTTATCTCTTTGCCTCGCAAATGCTGTTTCTCAAACAGCTTCTTATACAACAATGTCGATCGTCCATTCATCCATTTTCGCAGCCAGATTCCCCCTTTTTCTTGGCTGCATGCCCGAATGGCAGGCACTTTTTTGGACTTGAGACCCCCCTTGGGACCCATTGCCCATTCTTAGGCCTAAAGCCAAAAACTTGGGGTTCACATAGGCTCCACATCCCAAGTTGCTAGGGGGGGGCATTTGCTGAAATTTATGCAACAAGGAAGTCGTTTCAGATCGGTCCCACTTCTTTGACTTCCGCGCTATATGTCTAAAAACAGCTAGACAGACCGAATGCTCGATGCGCAACGATTGCGCTAACCAGACGCAAGCGAGCGCTCCCCCTAACGAGATTTCTCATCGCAGTCTCGTTCGCATTCGTCACACGCGATCTTTAAGCGCCAACAATCACAAATGCTACTCGCGTGCCGAGAGCTTGGCTTGAATTTCGGCCCAGACAAAGGCCGCCAATCCGAAACTCCACCTAAAAATCAACGGCAAGGGACTTACTAATATCCTGAATTTCAGGGTCATGTGCTCCGAGTGCGGTTGAAAAGGCAGCTGAGCCGTCGACAGATAGGTAGGTTTCGACTTCAATTTCCGCATGCCACTTCTTGAAGAGACCGCGCTCGCTTGCGTAACTTGATTCCCCGTACTCATCCTCGTGGTCGTCAGAATTAGATTTACGTTGGCCCAGAAAACCGGGTTTCCGGGCGGTAAATGGGCACCAGCAAAAAATACTGATGGCCCCAGGCCGTGAATTTGCGTTGGCTAGCTAGTGTCTCTCAAGGATATACAACAGGGAGGCTATCTAAACTTACAAAGAAAAGGGCACACTGACGTAACGGTGGATTTTGTTACTTGCTTGCCGGCATTTCCCAAGGCTGTTTCTCAATGGTAGGGACGTGTTGCAGCTTGGACAAGCGCGGTGGAGCCCGGGCCTTCCGTGGAATGGATGCGTTCTTCCCCTCGGCGAAACGGCTTTCCGGTGGATCGCCGTATTTCTTCCTCGACAAACGAGCTGGTGGGCGCGCCTTCCATTCTGGCGGACGAGGCTCGTGGGGTGGAGGCCTCGGAGGCTTCAGGTAGGTCTTAGTGGAAAGCCTTAGCTCTAGTCGCTAAAATTTTGTATGAACCGCTCGTTGTAGGTTAGAACGACGAGGCGGCGGGCGTGCTTTTGCAGGCGATTGGAGCGGTGATGCGATGGCCAGGTAACTTTCACTACCTCAAAAGTACACTACTGGATCCCAGGTACTATGACTCGCCGTACCTCTACAAACGCTCCCTGGACGCGTACAACTACCTGCCCTATGAAGGCTATTACTAGTCGCTTGATTATTGCTTCAATCCAGTCGCCGATCTCACTTCACAGTAAAGATAATGATCTCATTTTAAACATTCGATTCCGTCATGCTGCTTCAATGTGCCACTGTTTAATAAACGGTTATATTGTTTTTATCATCAAAGCACTCAATTTGGAAGGCAGCTGTCAACGGCAACACTTTGCAAACAGGCGCCGCGAAAAAAAGAATAATATCAACGGGTAAAAAGCTCGTACGGGGAAATGACACAGGGGCAAGTATTCACAAAACTCACAAAAAGTGAATAACGAGGTAGGCAAATTCAGTTGGCGATAGCGTGGGCGGGCAAAGCCTCGTAGACGTCATTTTTCGCCGGGTTGTTCGGGTCTACATCGTGAACTTGATCCGATGGTCGACGGCCAGATTTCTCCTCAAGCTCCTAAAAAAATAATTTGAACAAATGATGAAATGTAGCCCGCCAGACAAGAAAAACGACAAATAATGCTAACCTGAATCAACTTTCCGGATTCCTTGAACACTTTTCCTGGCTTGAAAACGAGCATCTTCGAGAAAAATCCGAGCTAAAACATCATTTCATAAACAACGTTCTAAAAACGAACATCTTTAACCGGATATAGGACGTGCATGTGGAGATGGTTTACTCGGACCATTGGTGGCCAATGGAATCCAATGCGCAACATATCCTCCACCTAAGATAAAGATAAAAACAATCCAAACGAAATATACCGTATCAGCTTCACCTTTCGCTTTCAGTTCAACGCGTAAAACCTCGCGGCCGGCCGTTTCCATCTCTTTGACTAAAAAAAGAATGTAACTTTCGAAAAGAAAAAAACCCGTGCCAAAGCCGAGATGCAAAAAAACTTACTGAGGTCAACATCAGCATACGTAAGGTCGGTCGGCTTGTTGATGTGAGCGCGTGAAAGAACCAGGTAGTGATGTGGAGCCTTCGGGCTTTTATCCTTGATCACCACGCACTAAAAATTTATAAATCTTACATTTTAAAATGATCTAATGCTTTGTTTCGTCAAACTACACTACACTTGCAGAAGTCAAACGAATGCGCGCCAAAATAAAGTCCGCGAGCAAACATCAAGGATCCATTAAAGCATACCTTATCGCTGGTGGCCAAGTGCTGATCCTTCTTGTTTGTTACAATGTCGCAAAAGGAACAGCCGGAAACGCCGTGCATCTTTCTGAAAATAAACGATAATATAAGAAGCTCAAGAAGCCCCGTGGAATAACAAGCTGAACACCAGCAATCGAAGAAAAATATACTATTTTCGCATCATTGTGAGGGCCCCGAGAAGGTGAATTCCAAATACGAGGAGGAACTGCTAAGAGAAAAACCAAATAGAGCCCATACGCCCTTCGAATGTTTGTTTTAAATGAATGAGGGTCGTTTGTGAAAGTTTCGAAAACCATCTGGGTTAATGCGTAAGAGAATAAAGACGCAATAGCAACGCAATAAATTGACTGCGCAAACAAAAAAAAGTGAAAGAAGAGTGTATACTTCCTTTTCTTGTTGGTTGCAACCAAAAAAAAGGAAAAAAACCACAAGGATGACGGGGCACAAAATGTTTTTACCACTACAAAAACTGTATTCTAAGTAGCCAGCGCTGCAAGAACATAGCCCTTTATAAATAGCAAGAAAATACCTGTAGATTAAATAAATTCCGGCTGTGGTGATCGTTGTACAAAGCATCGTGAGACTTCCAATTTGGAAAGCAACGCCGTTTTGACAAAAATGGCCTAGGAGAATCAATGGCGGAAAGAACGATCCACAACCACATACGCGTAGTATACGGACAACGGATAAAGTGAACTAAAAAAGGAAAATGTAAACTGTCCAAACTGATTCCCGCGTCGATTATTGTTGTGAGCTCTATATATTTAGTATACTAGCTAGATAGATAGCTAGATAGACCCGGTAAAATACAGAAAATGGGTAAAAAGCCTCGTGCATAGCTTGTTTATGTGGAAAAAGAAGCCGATGCGGTGAAGAAAACATGGAACAAAATGTTCTGCGAACGCGAAATTTACCAGAGGTAAACCTATCAACAATTAAATTATTTTCTTAAAAGCGGCAAAGCGATAACATAAAAAAACCGCGCCGTTTCCTCCCAGATTCACCAGAAACTATTTTTGTTTACGCGCTTTGGGGGTCGGGAGAAAGGGGGAGAAAGCCTCTTTCCACAGCTCATCGATCGCCACAAAGAGAGAAAATGAGGCTGCGAAAAAATGCGTGACATACATCATCAAGTCTACAGAATAAATGATCCAACGCACGGCGACGTATTTTTCCGAATGGTGAATCCATTTTTCAACCGTGCCGTCCAAAAATGCCGCCGAAAAGCAATCAAGCGCGTGAGTTGACGCTCAGAACCGGTTTTGTTGTACCACGGTTTTGGAGGTTGAGCAGGAGCGCCGACTATTTTGTATTACTACGCCCGAGCGGAGATTCTGTCATAAATACCTTGAAGGTTTATTTATTTGTCTAGGAAAAAAACAAAGGATTTTCACAAAAAAAAGCTGGAGGAATCGAGGTCAAATTTTCTAAACTGCGCTTGAAATCTGCTACCGGAAAATTGACTTCACAGGAAGTCTGAATCGCTTTTTGCCATAAAATTCTGTGGGATACGGTGTGTTGGCCAGAAGCGAGTATATAAAAGGCGTTTATTCGCAAATATTCACTAATAGGACCTTCTCGAGCCAGGAATTGGGTCAATGGACAGCGTTAAAGAAATGAATTATATATACCAGCCGAGCGAAGTCAATTGAATGTCTTAGCAATCGCAGGGGCACGGAAAAGTTTTTCCGCAAACCACATGCCTGCCTGCAACAACGCTGAAGTACATCAATTGAAGGATGGAGTGGGGGTGGGGTGCGGGAAACATAACGTGATAGGGTCTGAAAACGGGAAAGTAGGAACAGGAAATAATCGCATCCACGTCGACTAATAACGGGATGCACAGAACTGGTGGGAGGGGTGGTAGGTGGCAAATCCGTATGAATTCACAGGTGGAGAATACGGTGTAGAGAGGTGGATTCGGTGCTAACGTGGAGAACAGACGGTGATGACAACTGGCACTTTGAGAAACAGATGGATGGAAGGACGGATGTTTGATAGGGACAATCAATGGGTTACAGAGCGGGGAATTTTTCGATACACAGACCTAGACACAGAGTGGGTGTGGGAATTACCAGCCTCCAGATGAAATTCACAGCGCACAAGAAGAATTTTACGGATTGCCAGTGAGAGTAGAGATCAGGAAAAGGTCCGCAGGGATCCGAAGATACTATCATTTAAACACAGAAATGAAATGGCATGGTTGCCTTGGCTGGCGGCCGTTTAACTGGACGGAATTCTGGGTGGGAAGGGCTAAAGTCCATTATTAGCATACACCGGCTTGCATCGCAAGAAATATCCAGACAACACGAGTTTGAGCAACGACGGTCGACGCGTCATAAACGTTTAGGGGACCAGTTGACCATTTGACCATTCATCATAAACATTATCCCAGTGTTAAATCGGGGTGCCCCGAAAAGACCTGAAAAATCCAAATCCCTGATAGCAGTGAAAGAAGCCACCTTTCCAAGACTGTCTGCTCCTGCGGAACCGATTAATGGACGAGACGGATGGAACGCTATAGAGTTGACAGCGGCATCAAACTTCTTCCGATGAGCGGCAATCTCCTAAAAAAATATTAGGGCTCGATTTGGGAAGCAAACCTGGAGGCAAACGCGTTTTTCCAGATCCCAAACACGTAGTGAGCCATCATGACTGCCGGACAGCAAATATAGACCATTAGGATCGACAGCCAATGAAGAAATCGATTCAACATGCCCAACAGCCGAATGGATCAGCTCACCTGAAAAAAGAAAACTGGTACTACATACAATCCACCATACCAGTGCGATTGTCGAAATAGCGAATTTTTCGATCATTCCCAGCGGTGATTGCAGTAGGCATTGTTGGATGGGAAATTATTTTGTTCACGTTCAAACCGGGGCCAGTTTCTGCAATAGATAGGTTAGATCCGCGTTTGTAGGCCGACAGAACAGCGCTTAACGATAATAATAATAATAAAACAAACCGTCGAATTTAAAGCGAACAACATTCTCGCCCGTCTCCACATCAAGAATACCGGCAATGTTGTTAGAGAAACCAGCCAGTAGTTGAGTCGGTTCCGTGGAAACAAAATCGACAGAGGTTGGGGTACTTCCTTCTTCCCATCCTCTCCAGGTCGCCAACAACGTCGTGTCGCACATGCTGGCTATAGATTTCAGGCCTTTAGAAAGGAAATGCGAGCTGTACCTGGCTCCCAAAACCGAATGGTCTGATCAGCCGATGCCGAGACCAGGCGATTGTCCGATGAATGGTAAGCAAGATCCCAAATAACGTCGGTGTGTCCTTCCAAACGGTCAAGTAGCACTTCGGAATCTGAAGACAGGTCGACTAACAATGTAAAAACCTTACCAAATCTGTCATAGATCTCTCGCTTCTTTGACGGGGGTCGCCAACAGCAGATGGTAGCATCATGGCCAGCCGTGTAGACTACTTCGCCAGTTGGTGATAAATCCATGCAGACAATGGGGCCTTCGTGTCCTCGGAATGTGTAGAGGGGCTCACATTCACCTTAATGGATGGTTAAAGACGGTATCAGCTTTCGCGTCTCATAAAATCACGATTTAATAATGTACCATTTGCACTGCAATCCAAGCCTAAGCAATAATCCGCTACAATCACAAAAACTCACTGATTTCCTTATTCTTCACTTCCAAGTTCCACATTTTACAAGTGCCATCTTCCGACACAGTAAACACTGTAGGCTCAACAGGATGAAACTAAAAACGCCGTCCGCCAATCAAAAAAAACCACCTGCATTGCGCGGACAGAATCCAGATGAGAACGAAGTGTGAGACAAAGATTCCATTTTGGAGTTTCACGCACATTCTCCTCCTAATCACATCACATCAAATCTTTTATTGCAAAGAACGGGTATACCTCATCGTTCGCAAAATTATCTTTAATATCTATAGAATCATCAGCAATCCCTAGAGCATCAGTAATGTCCATGTATTCGCCGCGCTTGCTACTTGGTTCGCCGAGCTTTGGAAACCCGCTATTGTTACCTAACAAAAAAAATTAGTCTATGAAGATGAAAAACCTCGGTCGTCTTTGTCTTGAGAGTTCTGAAAAGGTGATTCCTCTTCTTGGTAGGCCGGGTTACGCAGTCTCTTCTCTTGCCTGAAAACCAAAATGAAAGAATGGGGGGAACACGTACTTATAGCGTTCCTTCAATGCCTCGATACGATCCGCGTGAATGTTGTGCCAATTATCACCAATTCCTGTGCCACCATTGTTCGTGTCTCCACCCTAAACAGATATCAGTTTCGAAAAAAACGCAAGCAGTACATTAAGGAAGTCGAATTCTCCCAGTGCATCAGCTGCGTCCATGTCCAGATCGTTACGACGGCCATCATCAAGACTACTGAAACAATTTGTTGCGGGACAAGAAAAAGCTTCACCTGTCCATACGCTCTTTTTTAGCTTTCACATCGTCTTCAGAACCGTCTTCCACCATTTCAGCCAGAGATTTTGTGCGGAAAGTGCGCACATCGACCACGGCCTCAGAGTAGCCGATTTCCTAAAATGATAAATATTTCCTGGTTTCGGGGGAAAATCAATAGCTGAGAATGGCAACAACTTTGCCAGCAAAACTAGACATTTAAGCAGCAGGTAACGTAAAGACTTTCGGAATTGATGCACGGATATCCTTCGAAGCGAAAAGGCTCACATTGAGATATTGTCTGAGCAATACACGTCCTTTATGGAAAGGAAGCACATTTGCCCCAATCGTATCCGACATATTCTCATCGTCATTAACGGTTCGCTCTAAAAAACCGTTTAAAGATTGAAAAGGAAAGAATCACCTGGACACTTCTTGTAAAAGTCGAAGTCGGCAGGCTCCTCTCCGTTGTGCGTCAGTCGGTACAACTTCAGCCTATCAAAACAATACAAAACCATCGTATAATTATCATACCTCTCTTGTTTTAAACAATATTCAAGCATCTTCACACGTCTGATCAAATCGTGTTTGAGATTGTCCTGTCCCTTCCGTTCGCCTTGCAGAAAGCTGATCCTTGCCTAAACGTCGGGTTTTAAATCACATAACCAAAAATACATGCAACTCGGAGCGCTCCATCTCCCATTTCGCCCGCTCCATCTCATATTGTCCCCATTCGTGTTGTAGAAAGTGTAAAACTCCGTGCATCGTATACTGGGCTTTCTAAACGTGGGGTTTAGTAGTTATATGGAAAATGAAAGTCATTGGAACAAAAAAAGCGCGGTGCATGTCCCAGCTCCTTGACTTTCTCACGCAACAAAAAATTTAATGTGCTACCTCTTTCGGCACTTCTTCCTTGATATCCGAGCTGCTCGGAGTTGGAGGCAAGCCACCGGCGTTGATCACCATGTCTGTTCTGAAAGAAGACTATTAGGGCGTTTTTCAGAATTACGTTAAAAGAAAACAAAAAAGCCAACACAATAAAAGCAAATAAAACGGGGTCGGAATCTGTGAATTTTGCTGAATAGAAGCGTTGGAGATCAATTGTCAATTCGAATCCAAGTAATGTCATCTGGCGCACAAAGTACAGAGTACTGATTCGTAGTGCAAAGCTTTGTAACTTCGAAATTATGCGGACAGATAATAAATCCAAAAATCAAAATTGTAGCTATCGTCAGGCCATTCATTAATAACGAGTCGGGGGCAGACTTGCGGGTGTTTGGTTCTAAAAGCTGGTCGAGAGCCGGCTGGCCAGTAAATTGTGGGTTGTAAGAAGAGCTTATCGGGATGAAATGAGGTAAAAGGCAGGTGGAAGGAAGCCTCCGAGCATTTGGGAGGGCTCGATACACAGCCGAAGGATTCTTTGGCACCGCTCTCTCTCATTCTGCGCTCTAGCCATGGGTCGAATAGGCGCCCCCACGAATAAACCACCGATCCACGCTTTAGCCGAGCAGCGCCCGAGAGGACTGCAAGAAGCCGCCCAAAAACGGTCTTTCCGGGCCGCGAGAGTTAAAAAGGAGACAGATAGACACGATAAAATGCATGTTAGTTGCGTTTGATGTTTGACTTTTGTTCAAGACCAATTGTCGCGTTTGAACGAGTTTAAAATCCAGCAAACGACATGCCAGCAACCAGCCAAGTGACAATTCAGAAGCTGTGACATTTCTGAACTGCGAAAACTAAATAGGGACATGTACACTCTAAAATAGTTGTTATTTGTGAGTTTTTGCCCGACATAATTTTCGAGTTTGAGCAAATGGGAAAGCCAGAAACTCGTCCAAACCCGTAATTCAGACAGTCAAACACCTGGAACCGATTGTCTGATATGAATATAGCCTTACAATCACCTTCATCTTCTAAATTATGCCTCAAGCTAGAAATTTTCCCGAAAATATTGTGGTTTATGTCTTTTTTTCTGACTTACCTTAACATATCCCTCCGACAAAAGCGCTTATCAGTTGAGGAAATGGAGCCTTGTGATTGCAAAGGTAAATGGAATTTCTAACACTAGGCATTACCTGAAGAGTTGCTATAACCTTAATGAAGACAATTGATTTGTAGAAGCGTTATCTACTGGAAAAGGTCCGCCAAAAATTGTGGCTTGTTGGGCATGCCCGCGATAAGGGCAGCCCATTGAACGCTACAATTTTCCAGCTGTTGCGAAAAAAATCAATCAGCTAACATAAAACTATGGAACAGTGTCGCTGACTAAATTTTAAGCCCAGGGTTATCTAGTTTCGAAAATACATACATATATTAAATTATTTTCGTGCAGATTCAAGTTTTCTTCGTTTTACAGTCTCCATTAAATATGATGTAAACCGGCTTCGCTCGCTCTCTCCATAGTGCCCCAGCTTTTCCGGTTGAAGGTAGTTTCCATAGCCAATCATCGGATCCGTGCCAACCTTGCAAATAAAATAGTGTAGTTGTGTGGTGGACGGGGTGATAAGGGTATCTGTTCCTCCCATATAATCGCGTCTCAAACTTCCGAATTCGGGTTTGTTTTTCTTATAAAAAGGCACTTGCGCATTGTCCTCAATTTTGGGGCAGTGTTAAATTCAACATGATCACCTATCTTGTTGGTACTGCATTATTGGCGATATTTCTCTACGAATATGTCTTGTAAGTTTCGCAAATATCGTCATTCCGGTTGTGCACCCATTTATAGCTGGCGTATAAAACAGTTTCGACTTCGTAAGGCACTCGGCCTCCAAGGACCGCCGACCAATTTCTTCCTGGGAACACTTGGCGAGCTTTTCTATTTTCTGAAAAAGGTATTTGCTTAAAATAAATCTCATCTAATGGTTTGCCAGTCTGGGTTAGAGGCGTCGACACAATTTGCTGAGGAGAATCATGCAAAATATGGTGATACTTTTGGGTAAGCCTAAAGAAAAAACGAAAACAAACAGATTAGATGGTACAATGGCCCCTTCCTGGATATTGTTACTAGAGATCCAGAATTTGCGCGTGAAGTCTTTATCTCACAATTCGGCAATTTTGTTGATAGGCAGGTTTGGAATGACAATCCCGAAATACAACATCAATACCAATTTCAGACTATTCCTCTCAACGATGCATTCCCATTCTGGGATGGCTTATTGGCGGTATAGCTTACGTTCATAGGAAATGGCAAAAATTAGATTAATTCTGAGGGACATGGTGGTGTCGGCTGGAAAGACATCCGTTCTGTTGTCTCCCCCGTCTTCACGTCTGGCAAATTGAAAAAGGTGACGTATGAAAATTAAAAAGAGGCTTTGGAATTAATAGAATTTTTTGCGATACGACAATGAACACTTTGCAGATGCATCATTTGCTGCTAGAGAGGGTAGATGCGCTTTTGGAAGTTTTGGAGGGGAAAATGGAGAATGGGACGGTATCATTGGAGATATATGAGTACGCTACTTGTGGGTTTCAATTTGCAAATAATTTAGTGAGCTTCAATCATTTACGATGGATACAATTGCCCGAGTCGCGCTCGGGGTTGATTGCGATTCGCTCCATGACCGAAAGGTTCGTTGAAAAACCGCTTGAAAAAATTTGTAGCGGGCAGGATACGTTCTACGTCAATAGCCGCACATTTTTTGCCGAATTTAATCTCGAGGCGTCACCTATCGCCGTTTTATTTGCATGTAAGTGAGAAATAAGATACAAAACCCGGATTTGAGATGTATTCCCCTCCATCGCCCATCATTTCCGGTCATTTACCAGCTTTGCCAAAGCTGAAAAGCTCTTAATAGATCGACTTCGGCAAGTAAATACTGATTTTGTGAGCCAAGCTTATTTCTATAATTTTGGGTGATTGAAAATCGACGGGAGACGTTTTATGAGACAAAAAGCATGGATCTCGTGCAATTGCTTTTGGAGCAAGACTTGGAACGTCAAAAGGGAGAAAAGGTATCGCCAAGAACCCAGAATTTGAATATATCGTTTTAGAAAGCTCCCTTATCAGATGATATTATTATCACAAATTGTTTCCACTTTTTGCTGGCAGGTTAGAGGGCCTGCTTTAACCGGAAGTATACCTTTAATAGGTTATGAAACGACAAGTACTGCTCTTTCATTTGCGATGTGGTGTCTAGCAGAGTCTGAAGAAGCTCAAGAACGACTTTACAACGATATTATAGATACCTTTGGCGAATCCGGGGTCAGTTTTTGTGGGGGACTTTGAAGCTCAACACTTCCATTTCAGGAACTAGATTATGAAAAAGTGATGAAGCTTCCATACCTTGATTGCGTGTTTCGCGAGGTTCTCAGGAGGTAGCATTTCTTTCTCTTTTTCAGCCAAAATTTCGTATGAAGATACCCCCCTGTCGTTCTCTTTACCAGTCGCAAATGTATCCGTGAAACTACGGTAGTGTTTTGGCGGCAATTTAATTTACGAAAAATATAGGTACAAGGCCAATTAGTCCCAAAAGGCGTTACCGTAACCGTGCCTGTTCATGCCATCCAATGGAGTGAGAAATATTGGGATAAGCCCTTCGAATTCCGGCCAGAGAGGTACTCTCTTCTCTCGACTCTTTCCAGAGGTTCACGGGCCAATTTTCAAGATTGTTTTTAGATTCGAAGACCCGGAGGCCAAGAAGAAAATCTCTTGGCTACCATTCGGTTTGGGACCAAGGAATTGTGTTGGAATGAGGTGAAAAAGCCCGGGTTTTTTTTGTAAAAGATCATACCTTAAGATTTGCCGAAATGGAATTTAAGTCCGCCCTTGCTGCGCTGGTGCGTAAATTCAAAATCGGCAAGCAGCCCGATGTACGCTTAAAACTTTTGGTTCTTTGGAAAAGTCGTATTTTAGGCAGTATTGAAGACCCGGCTGCAATTGATCTTGATGCGCCCACTAAACGGCGTGAATATTACGCTGGAGAAACGTTGATTAACGTTGAACTCATTTTGCTTTGTGCATTTTTCAATAAATAAATATTTTTTTGTAATAACAACATTTTGAAAAATCACGTTTGTAATAGTTTTTTGATCTCATACGGTAGGCGGAGAAATTCCAGACGGATGGGATGGCAGCAAAAATCCGATACCGCCCATCGAAAAGCCCATAAGTGGATGGTGGCCTCATTCAAATAGCCCATCAAATATCGCTAATCGAGCCCGGACTATCGCTTAAAAAGGCGTGAAGTTGACGAGTTAGGGCACAAGATGAAGCTCCGCACGATTCTATTGGCCACAGTATTCCTGACTTCTGTTGAAGCTACCTGTAAAGAAGGCTTTACCGAATTTACGGGGACGTGTTACAAGGTGTTACATTTGCGGTTTTATAGTATCTGTTCGTTAAGATCGTCTACACTTGGGTGGGCCAGGCAAAATCCCGGGCAATTTGCCAAGAATTGGGGGCGGATGTAGACCTCGGAACGATTCGTTGTGATTATGAGAATCAAGCCGTTTGGAGTAAGTTTACGGGATACGGTAGCTACTACGCTCTTTTGAGCGTTCCTTTGAACTCGAAAAACGTGCTATCTTTTCTAGAGCTTTACAATGGCGATTCCACGCTCACCTCGCTGGCTGCAGCTCAAAGAAAAGTTGTCGGTTTTCGGCAGGGTTACCCGACCGAAAACTGGTATGCTGTGGTGGGATATGGAATCAGGATACGGTAGCAAACAATATTTTAGCAAATTTGGATCGGTTTGACTGGAAATACGATGAAGCAGAAGAAGACACAAACGTGGGTTTGGTGATATATTTCAGGCATTTTAAAGGGACTGGGAAGCGAAAATTTCTATTAACCGTTTTTCAGTTGGTACTGGGATTCCAACTCGACCTACCGTAACTGGGCAAAGGACGAACCGAACAATCTGGTGGATATGGGCGAGAATTGTGCCGAAGTTAGCGCTTCACCAGATTCTTTAAAAATTCGACATACAGTACTACATCCAACCGGACGCCAACTACAAACAGATGTGGAATGATTACAAGTGCACCGTCAAGAACATTTTCGCATTGTGCGAGCAGTTTGTGGTTGGTCCGTGTTAGGTATTTTTGTAGGTTTTTTTATAGGCTACGAGTGGAAATGGTTGCGGTTATAATCGGAAGGTGAGGTTTAAAGAGCAAGATTTGAGTTTATATTTGGTTTTAAGGACACTACAACAACAACTACTACTACAACTACAACAACAACAACAACAACGACTACGACCAGTTAGTTGTTACATAGCTTTTAAAGGTATAGAGAAGTCAAAATACTTGAATATAGAACTTACGGTTTCCCATTTCTGGCTTTACTTATACTAATAATCCAAGTTCAGCTACGACAACAACAACCACGACCACAACTACTACAAGTAAGCACCTAATCTATTGTAAGCTGGGCTATTTAGCAACCACCACCACAACTCCGACGACGACAACATCGAGCACTTCGACAACTACTACAACTACTACTACCACCACCACCACAACAACTACAACTCCCAAGGTTTTATCTCTAAAACTCCATTCATTTTTAAGATTTAGACTAAATGTGATGTCCCCGGCTACACCGATGCTGGCGGTACCTGTTACCAAGTAATCTTATCACCCCCTATCTTACCGGAATTTGCTTTTTAGCTAATCCAAATCACCAACCTGACGTACGTACAGGCAAGGGCGCAATGCCAAAGTCTTGGCGGTGATCTTGGCACGATCCGTTGTAACTCGGAGAATGAAGCTGTCTGGAGTAAACCACCGTATCCTCACTTTTTAACTGAAATTCTAGACCTTTGGAGCAGCTCCTCTATCAAAAGCGGTCAACCCGCAGCGTCCTCTGCCTACGGTGCATACAGTGCGGTATCGCTATCGGCAAAAATTAAAATGTAGTCCATTTTAGCAAGTCTGGATCGGTATCTCAAACACGACGGCCGGAGATGTGACTTCCGGACGTTGGCAGAATGGTGATGGATCGACATACAGGCAATTTGCAGTCGGAATAGGAGGACATAACGTTTTTTTTTAGAAACTGGGCGAACGGTGAGCCAAACAACAACGGGATGCCAAATATTGATGAGGGTTGTACGGAGGTCCGGGATTTTTTTACCAAAAATTAAGTGTTTTTCTATAGTATTACATCTCCGGGTCGAACCAGAAGAAGTGGAACGATTACATGTGCGTCTATGGGAACTATGCGGCGCTTTGTGAAGTTGTTACGGTATGAGTTGCTTCAAAACGTACTTTGCTCCCATTTTAGGCTTCAACCGGCTATGGCTGCAAGGCAGGGTTGTAACTGCCAAATTTTGTGGAATAAATTGTTGAAAGAATTTGAGGATAGAGCTAGAAAATGCATTCAAATTTGTAGCAAAGCCATCAAAGTAAGAATATATTCTAATTTTTAATTCCTTGGACTGTTACTGCTTTTCCATAAACTATAGTTCGATGCAGGACCCGATACGTATCCGATACGTATCAATTCCGGTCGCTCGGTTCGATCTATTGTGCCATCCCCCCAATACGTATAATCGGGTCTTGGGTAGCTATCCATTGCTGAATTTATACTGATACTCGTACGCGACTTCTCAAATTTCCTTACACCCCGAGCCGTTCGATTTGAATCATTGCTACTACTACAAGCTTTTGCTATTAGCTTTCATTTGCATTATGGAAGATTGTTGGCTGCCCGAAGAGGTTCAGGTAGGAATAACCTAATTATGAAGAATATTACAGTTTTTAATTATTATTAATATCACAAAAGTATTCTGTATTGTTTTGTTTTTAGGATTAAATTTAAATGTTTCTATTCAGGATGCACCGCCCCTTAACCCGGAAGAACAAGAAGTTATGCGGAAATTAGCAGGTTCGTTTGGTATCCATTTAAACCTAACATTTTAGATGGAATCCAAGGCACATCAATCTCACAAGATCCGATGGATCCCGGCTCTCCCACAATTCGACTATTGAAACGCAAAGCGGAGGTAAGCCACACACCCCATCCTAATCTTAATAACGTGCTTTTTCCAGTCTCCTGACCCAAGCACCGCCGGAAACCGCCCAAAGGCAACACGAAGATCACCGGCTTTCGAGCTTCAGAACACGATCAGCAAACAGCAGATGAACATTCAATTGTTAGATCAGCAGCTAACGGAGGCGAACGACAAGCTGGCTAAGATGGAGCGGGAAATACAGCAACTTAAAAACGACAATGCTGGCTTGCTAGGGAAAGTTACCCAATATCATACTCTACTTCCGGTGCTTCAAAGGATGCAAATTGGGCTTGAGAAGAGTAGCTGAATCCGTCGGGTGCTCAGTTTTCAACGGGTAGCTAGGATTTTTCTTCCATTGTGTGCTACTCATTGTGATTGTCGGTCCGTATTAATTTTGCTGTTATTGAGAAAAATAAAATCTTTGAATTGTTCACTGTTTTAGCTTAAATGGCTGCACTGTATGGCAAATTCGGGATTTTTCGCTTTTTCAGGGAAGTATAACTTTCTGAATTTAAAGGGGTTCGGGTTTGGGCCGCGGCCCCCTTGGGGGGTTTTGGGGGAAGGGGGGGGGGCCGCCACGGGGGGGGGGGGGGGGGGGAACCCCTCCCCGTTGGGGGGGGGAAACGCTTGAAAAAAGGGAAGGGAGAAGAAATTTTTAAGGTCTGTATTTTTGGGGATAAAAGCGAGTGTCATGCATTGTCCTAGACATATATTAGCTTCTTAACACATGAAACCAATCGATTTTTGCTGACACGTCCAACATACCTTTATCTTGCACAAGATATTGCCCAAGCGAGAGGCTCCTCCCCTTCCAACACCCGATCCAGACCGAGAGAAGCCATTTCACCAGACCATACGTATCGACCCCTACTACCCTCGTATTCCCGGTTTATTCCCAATTTCACTTGCTTACATCCCGTAAAATGGGTCAAGAGGTAATTAATAGAAAATTGTTATAAGCAAATTATATACCAAAAAAAATTCCTGGTAGAATAAGCGCTTTAAAATATCCTATAAAAATTAAATAAGCCTAAATATCCATTAAATACATAGCATCTTCTTGTTTTTAGGAACTATTCAACACGGCTTCCTGCGCAAACGATATATTTACTGCAACCATAAGCGCGGATTTAAAGCGAAATGTCAGCCCGGGTCTAGTCGACACAATTGGGAAGGTAAACACGAGAATGCATACTTTTGATAATTAATCTTTGTGGGGCTCAAGTCATAAAAATTAAGGAATTGAATAGCAGGCTTATTTTAGATGGAAATTGACGCTTCGATCCAGGGCCCTCCAGCTTCGATACCTGAGGATGCATTTGATGGTAAGCGCCATTTGTAAGTAACCGTCAAGGAAAAAGTTCGACTATTTCCGAACTCCAAAATGTCATAAATAAAAATACATCATTTAAAGAGAGATTGCTTTTAGAGGCGGATGACTCTTCAGATCAATCCCCAGCTACATCTCCCCTTCATATTGTAAGTCCCAACCGTAATCCCCAAAAACTGCCCAAATTCAGTCTGATCCAAAACCATCGGCACCACGGAGGAAAACTACCCGTCAGTCCAAGGTACAAAACCGGTCTCTAAAAATTCAATTTATTTTAGAACTCTGAACCAACCCCACGAAAATCGCAGCCCAAAACCCCAAAAAAGAAGGTGCCTGACCCCAAGGTAATTTGCATGAATAAGCGATCAAAGGCCATTTAGGCAGAAGCTCTACTCAAAAAGAAGTGTGAGAATGCACAAAAATGGCGACAAACCCAAAAGGCGCTGCGGGAACGACTTCCGAAACTAGAAGCCGAGGTTGAGCTGTTTAAGCGAAAAAATGAAGCCCTGGAAACGGAAGTGATGTTGAAGAATATGAAGATGGAGGAACTGGAGCTGCAGATCAGGGACCTTCATCGTAAAAATGGCAGCTTATTGGCCACGGTACGGTCTACCATGGGTTTTTTTGATGGACTAGGAAGTCCCTCTCACCTTCTTCAGCCTTTTGTGTACCAAATACGTTTTCAGTGTGATGTACTGCAACAGAGACTGCTCAGCATCCACCCACCCCTCATGCCCAACATGACAACATACACAACTCTTTCATAAAAAAAATATTTATTTCTGTTTCATAACAAGCCATACAACCGCACTTAGTTCAATCAGCTACCAAGAAAAGCTATTCCCCATGGACAAAAGTGCCTTCTTATCGGAATCCTGGGGCCGTTGCTTCTCATAGTATTGCTGGAAATAAGATAGGATTCGAGAGAACTTGCAAAATTCTCACATTGAGCTTTTTCAAAAATTTGTCCTGTAGGCAAAGGTCACATCTAGGTCTATCTCCTGGTTTCGCGGCAAGCATGCTTGCAATCAGGGGATTGAACTGGTTGACTGAAATATTATTTTATTTTGAAATACGCCGAAATTAGAGCATACTGTCAAGTCCTTTCATATCTTTTTCAAGGCGCTCTTTGGCCCTTCCCAACTGTTCCTCCAAATCCTCGCACATTTCGTTCCCGCTTTTTCTAAACATGCATATATCTTTCAAAAAAGCTCGAAATTTCCGAAGACAGACATAGCTTCCAGACCTGGCAATTAAATTGAAGAAACAGTCTTACTGTGTCGCCATCCTATTGATGCGCCTTGCAACAGTGGCAGTGGTTTCCTGAATTGCTCGTTTCTCACTTAAATATATAGTACCTCTCCATCCGGCTTCATCAACTTCTCACCCAGCATTTCCACAGCTACTACAGCTGCAGCCCAAACATCTACTCTCACATCACATACGCTATTAGCTTCAAACATCTCTGGTGCGTCATAGATTCGTGTACGACCTTCTCTCGTATCAGGAGGTTCACTAGCAAGGAGCGGATAAATGTCAATTTATGAACCGTACCTCCCCCGGCCGATATCCAAAAATTTTACGACAAAATCTGATGGGCAAATTCCAATGCTGCGGGGGCAGACGTTCTGAAAGTTGAAAATAAATCAGCATCAGATTTCGTACTCCATGAGTGATGCCCCTTTGGTGTAAATGGTCAAGGCCACGAAGCATTTGAGTCATCAGCGAGGCCACATGCCAAATATGTCGCTTCTTCGGTGGCTTCGCCGGGTCTCGGTCGTTTTTGGACAAGTGTCTAGATTTTCTAAAATTAACACCAGCCCAACGACGCACTCGAAGAACCGTTCCAGGGTATAATCCATTCTTTCAATGACGATCCATATATGTGTCGGCTCAATGCACAGTTCATCCATTTCGACGACTTTTTCATAAAAGGTTGCTATCTAAATTAAATTTCAAGGGTTAAACTAAGTTAGTTGATAGCGACGCGTAGCGGTCATATTAAGTACGTTACGTTTTCGTGGGCCAAAAACCGGAAATTCTCAATTTCTTTCTTCAGCTTCGACCATGCTTGGTGGTTGTCCAACTCCTTGACTGGGTATCTGGAAGCAGATGGCATATATTATTCCCTATTAATTGAAAATACCGTTTCATAACTACTCGCTTTGGCTTGTCATTATTCTGCCAGATCGAATTTCCCCGCCCTAAATTCATGATGACATAAAAGCATAATAGTAACAAACACTATATACGACGACATTCTTTGCCCTTTCGCAATGGCGTGGAAATAATCTCCATCCTTTGAGGCACGATAGAATTTATCATCCTAAATTACTCTCCCTAAAATCCCCGATAAATCCAAACTCGATCAGGTGAATAGTTAGGCGGAACAAAAATTTCTTGAATATCTTCATCCGAGCCGGCCGACTTTTTAAAGACAAGCGTACACTTCTTCACTTCGGCTGAAAAATTTTACTGGACCAGAAAAACCGATGGGCTATTTAATTTAGTCCGAACAGGTTAAAAATCATTAATGAATTGGCTCACGCTCGTCGACCTCCATCGTGATTGTGCCTGCCATTTGCCTGTGTAATTATACTGCCTGGAATCGGCGTATTTTTATAGCGTCTATTTAAAATTGATGTAACTAAACCGGCCCTTTGGAATGTCTTGCAGAAAAAATGGCACCTCACTGCGTAATCGATTCCCAGTTGTAGGCGAGGGGGGCTTATCAGCGTGACACCGAGTTGCCCACGTCCGGATTTTATATTCAAACGATTGTTTAAGAAAAACAACACTCTGAATTCGGTAACGGAAAGGCTGGATGCACAACTTTTGCTTTGCTCATTGATTTAAAGGTGTAGACAAGGCAAGTCGTCCACGACCGCTGTATATCAAGTCGAAATTATTGATTCTGGTGTAACACATTCGGGATTTTTGCCGGAAGCGAAACGTGTTGGCTTTGTTTCAGTTGTCGCCTCTTTTGAGTGAGAAGCATAGGAACAGACGACGACTTGTTTCTGAAGCCGTTGCTGTGAATACACATGGGGACCCACTTGGCCAGAAAGAAGGGTTTACGAGACGCTCCGCTTAATTTTTAACTTAAACCAGGGTTGAAAAGCCGCTTCGCGACTTTTCAACCCTGGCCCCGTCTCAACCCATCGTACCTTGCACTTTGCATAATTCGAATTTCGATGAGAAATAAGGAAAAATGCACCATCTCCTCCGTTATATAGGCTGCCGCCACTTCCGACTTATGCCAATTAATTCCTAACAAAGAGGCTGTCCGGTTTTTTAATAAAAATTTATTTTTAATGTCGAAAATAGCATAATTTGCAAAATCTGATATGCGTGCAGTCATCTCGACTCCATTACGCACCTAATGACGTATCATACGTAGCCTAATACGCTTCCCCCCTTGAGATATCCTCCGGACACCCTGACGGAAGTTGCATGCAAAGTGGCACACACACACACACACACACACACATACAAACACTATTTTTTTATATATAGTAGGATTACGCTTGACTTGGCTTAACTATTTTTTGCTTACGCTGAGGCTTAAGCGCAAGCTGAAGTGCAGCGTATCTTAGCTTCATTTTCTCTGAAGGCCCAAAAATGGACCATGACCAGCTTAGCCACACTCTAGTTTAACTTGGCTTAAGTTAGACTGATAATCGATTTGAATGAATCCAAGCTGAGGCTCAGGCTTTGCCATAAATCTGGAGCTTTAAAAAAGTAGTTTGGAGCTTCTTGTAACCAGACAGCCAGACCTCTAAATATATAAATAGCATTACCACTAAACCTTTTGTAAAAATTCGAAATTCGAAAATTTCCATTCTAGATCGAAAAAGTGTTCAGGCCTTTTGAATATCCAATTTTTGCATTTTCTTCTTTAACTCTGCCTTTAATGGTGATGTTGGTGTGGTAGGTCAACCCTTTGTGATTTTGAACGCCGGAATCGACCTGTACGTTCATAGTTGCCATGTGTCGTGCCTTCGAATGCTGACACTTCCCACTGACTCAAACATTTCGTGGCCAAAAAATCTATTTTCATCAAATTTGACTCACCTTTTCGAATGTTACCTCCATAGACCCCCTCTTATATTGAACATTATCGATTGCCCTCCTAAATTCATACCCCAAAAATCAATAACTTCCCCACGTGTCCAGCAACTAACGCCAAATCAATCATTTCAACATTTTTTACGCATTTGTTTACGACAAAACCTAAACATAAATCAAGCTATCATTGCAGGTGATGGGTACGAAGACTGATGGTGCTCCACCAACCCCGGCCGAATTGGATAAAGCCCTTCTGAAGCTACACCCGACTCCGATTTCACCCATGGGAGTTCAGCAACAACCGCGACCTAAAGAGCCAGTCCCGATTCCAATGGTAATTCCAATTCGGGTACCAGTGAACACAGAAGCCTTAAAACGCCGTACGCTGGCAGATAAAGTTATTCGAGCTAAGGAAAACGGAGCGCTGAACTTCTTCGTAGCCGGAATGCCAGACAATGACTGGAGCTCAAATCGGTATGCAAATGCGTAAGTTCCACAAGAAACACTTGGCTAAACACCTCTCCGATCCGGTACATAGGGTCGTCTTCGAAGATAGTGATATCGGAACTGAATCGGCCAAGCGCCAGTCATCGCTATTTTTAACCAGAACGCCCGCAAGAAAGAATCCCCAGAATCACCCAGACTCGACCGATGTCTCGGATGTTGAACTGGAACATGAAGAAATGGATTCTGTCACCCTGAATTATCTTGAGGCTCAGCGATTAGCACAGCGAAATCAACTCGTTCGCATTGATGGCTATCTCGATGATATGAAAATGCAGCGCGCCGAACTGCAAAGACATCAAGCTTTGATAGAAGCCAACAAAAAGGCAAATAGCTTTGAAACGCATAAGGCTGCTGAAGATGAAGAAAGTTGCGCAAGGATTCGGTTAAAACCTAGACCATTCTGGTGCACCGTCACCCGAGAAAAATTGCCTGAGAAGCCGCCAATCGATTTCCCACAATTTGAGCCCTCAACTTCCAACACAATGTCGAGGTATGCATTTGTGGATGACCGTGTACATATGCGAATTACACCCGGTGTTGAAGAAGTGCCCTTCAGCCGGCGGTCAGAAGCTATTTTCCACCAACTCTCAATTGCGCCTGAACTCAGCAAGCGCAGGAGAATAGACCAGTGCGCATGGAAAAATATTGATCTCATGGGCAGCGAAGAGTCCAGATGCCTACCAAATCCATACATTGTCGAAGAGGAGCCAAAGGCGCGGAGACCATCTGGCTCACTCAAAACCCGGTTCCAGGATGAATCCGAGAAAGATTCAGACTTTGAATATGAAAGTGATGATGAGGTGTGCTTACCGAAATCCAAGCGAAGGGAGGCGCGGAAGAAAGACCGAAAGAAAAGGGCAGAAGACCCAAAACCACGCAGTTCTGTCCCTCAGCGTAGGTTTGATATCGATGACGTAGTAATTGATTACGGAGGAGATTATGGAATATCGGGACTTCCGGAAAAGATTGAATACAAGGAAATCAGCACCCCTGGATTCCGGGAGTTTGTTTTCCCTGAAGATCTCGTGCTCGATTGCGAACCGGAAGCAGCGCGCCAGCAAGACGCCGCTCACCGTCAATTCCTCGAAGAATTACATGCCGAGAAGCTTGCGAACGAACGTCGGGCCCCAGCTGCGGAAAAGAAAACTAAACCCGAATTCACGATAGACGAGTGACAATGTATGGATCGATTTGTTGACAAATCATGCTGTTTGTTCGTTGTTGAGAATAAAATCGAGCTTCATACTTGGCCAGTCTGGTTTTTGATCATTAACCGTAAAGCGCGGTTCTATTATTTGCCCTATTTGTCCTTCCAACTTTTTAAATGATTACTTGGGGGTGTGGCAATATTCTAAAACAAAAAAGCAAAAAGAGTCGAAAGAAAGTTGGCCAATTTTCGTTTTGAGGCCCCCGGTCATTTTCTATTTCACAACCGAATTACTGTAGCCCTCAACGCCACCCTCCCTCGGATTTCAGAACACTCCTTTTTCAAACCTTTTTTGACAAGCAACTTAACTCTCTCCTTTTTTGATAATTTTAATAGCGAAAACCATGTATGAACTTTTATTTAGGTCGAAGGTTACGAACAGGATGGATGAGCACTACGACGCTATCATTTTGGGCACTGGCCTGAAGGTATTTCCTTGTAATCGTCACATTGTTTTTATTAGGAATGTGTCATCTCTGGCATGCTGTCGGTTAGTGGAAAGAAGGTGCTTCACATCGATCGCAACAACTACTATGGAGCCGAAAGTGCCTCCTTGACACCGCTGGAGCAGCTCTACGAGAAGTTCCTTGGTAATTGCCTTCACTTTGGCTATTAAATTTGTAATTATTAGGCACCAATGCTAAGCCTCCACAAGAAATGGGGCGTGGCCGTGATTGGAACGTTGACCTGATCCCGAAGTTCCTTATGGCCAACGGGTCGCTGGTCAAGCTACTGATTCACACCGGTGTCACCCGCTATCTGGAATTCAAGTCGATTGAAGGCAGTTATGTCTACCGTGGAGGAAAGGTGAGTTACTTTTACTTCACATATCCTATTCTTTGTTTCTAGATTTACAAAGTGCCGGCAAACGAAATGGAAGCACTGTCAAGCAGCCTTATGGGAATGTTTGAGAAGCGCCGCTTCAAGGTAATTTTTTTGAAGCTTTGTATACACGCTGTTTAGAAATTCCTTGAATTCACCCAGCAATTTGATCCCCAGAACAAGGCTACTTGGCAAGGCCTAGACCCCAACGTCAACACTATGCAACAGGTATGCAACTTGTATTGAATTCTGAGCCATCGTGTTAGGTGTACGAAAAATTCGGGCTTGACGAGAATACAGCCGACTTCACCGGCCATGCCCTGGCTCTGTATCGGGATGATCAGTAAGCCTCTGTGTTATATTTTGAGCCTGTATGTTTAGATACAAGTCCCTACCTTTTGCGAAGACGATCGAGAAGATTCGTCTTTATTCCGACTCTTTGGCCAGATACGGAAAGTCACCTTACCTCTATCCGCTTTATGGTCTTGGAGAGCTGCCTCAGGTATGACTACCGATCGTTGCGTCAATTTTTATAGGGATTCGCTCGTCTATCTGCTATTTACGGCGGCACCTACATGCTCGATAAACACGTCGATCACATTGTTTACGAGAATGGTAAAGCCGTCGGCGTAAAATGTGGCGAGGAGGTCGTACGTGCCAATCAGGTTTGCATGTTTCGCGTTATAAAAACGATTTGTTCAGATCTATTGCGACCCTTCCTATGCTCCAGACAAGGTGAAGAAAGTTGGACAAGTGGTCCGAGCTATCTGCCTCCTGAACCACACGATCCCCAACACTCACGATTCGTCCAGCTGCCAGATCATCATCCCGCAAAAACAAGTCGGAAGACATTATGGTATTTTTAAGTCTTATTTTGTTATTTTGCCTTAGATATCTATATTTCGATGGTCTCTAATACGAATATGGTGACACCAAAAGGATGGTACATTGCGATGGTGTCAACAACTGTCGAGACGGCCAACCCGCAAGCGGAGATCGTGCCCGGTCTGCAATTGCTGGGCCCAATTGCTGAGAAGTGAGATTTTAACACTACCGTCGATAGTGCTTTAGATTCATCAGCGTTTCTGACGTCTACGAGCCGGTCGACCTCGGAACGGAGTCTCAGGTGTGTTGCTTCTCGAGTACCTAGTAAAAAACTGTCATAGGTCTTTGTCTCGCGCTCCTACGACCCGACCTCGCACTTCGAGACCACCTGCAAAGACATCCTTGAAGTTTTCGAGCGGGGCACGACTACCGAATTCGACTTCAACAAGATCACCCACCTTTCCCTTGAAGATAACGAGTGATCCCGTGAATCCACTAACATTCCACTTTCCATTGCGCGAACAAACTGTCACCTAATCACCATATTTATTCATGAACCTCTGTCATAAGCGTCCATCCTGTTTCGGCCATAGTCCCTCGGTAATGTGATACTTTTCAGTCTTGACAAGTTGAAGATTGTGTTTTTATATTGCAACCATTTTTCGTGTAGAATAAATCTGTGGAACAATTCCCGAGGAGAGCTTGAGTAGTGGTTAGTTTGCCATTGTTTCATTCAAGGAACTTTTTTATCACAGTGGTGCGACGCGTCGCGCCCTTTCCTTCTCATGATGTCTTTTTCTCTGCGTCACTCCATTGCCGTGATCTCTCAAACGCGAGCTTTAGGGTAGCCTGTTGGCTCTTGGATGAGCTGCAATACGCAACTGCAAACGCAGATCAGATACGACTGGGATAGCCGGGCCGACGAACAGATCATCTCTCAGAAGGTGAAGCACATTGCTGCTTGTCTCGCGGAGTTCGGTGCGTTTTTCGATTCATTTATGCACTTCGATTCAAACTCTGTTTGACTGATTATTTGCTGCATCTTTTTACAATTTCCATTTTGATTTAGAAACTTCCTGCCGAAACAAGCTTGCTGCGCTTTCGGACAAGATCTGTCTGCTTGAGAAGAAAGTAGAATTCCTTGAAGCTCGTGTAAGTTGTAATTTATTTTTTTAATTTCCTGCAAATCTAGGTGTCGCGCGGTGATACTCTTTGCTAGGATGTCGCAAATCGGGAAGATAGTCAAGGCTAGCGGCGAAATCGTCCCTCGTCAGGTATTCAGTTAAACGTTTCGTAATTTTTGCTGTTAGATGACCGCAGTCAAGTCGGCTAACAAGGAGCAGGCTCGTGCATCTGTGCTCCAAGTATACAAAGAATTGTGGGTATCGTTTAGTTTATTCAGCCACCACCTTTGACCTTCCTTTCCAAAGATGTGTATTTTTAGGCAGCGCCTGACGCCCAACTTTTGGTGGGATTTCGAGATGACTGACATGCCGTTGCCTGTCTTCCGCGCGGTGCTCAAGCAGCAGTTTGTCAAGAATGCCCATATCCAAGATGTCCGCATCGTCGATCGGCTTGTAGGCGAGGCCCATCAGGTATGCCCGTTTTTTTAAGACAAATAGCCTTTAAATTTTATTCCTTGGGGTACTGTTTTGTGAAAACGGGATGCTTGTGCAAAATGTCATCGTTTTTTCGCAGATGTATACATTCTGGATTTTAGCACATCTACTCCATTCGATACGCCTTCTACAACCCTGACCACGTGCGCAACTACCTATTCCGCGAAAACGTCGAGCCCAAGCCGAAAGACTTCCTTAGCAAATTCCTCATTGGAAAGGATTAAGTTCCTTTATGATTGTTCTTATAGGGGTATGAACAGAGTATCGCTCACTCAAGATTGGCAAGGTCTATGTTAATAGAATTTTTTTGTAATGTTTAGTGTATTGGTCAATAAACGTTTAACGAAGTCTTTATCTACAGTCAAAGCTTCTAGCATAGTTATGTCACAGATGTCCTTCAGGATGCACACTAGGGTTTGGCGTGGTGCGTCTAACCATTGCAAATAGGCGCAATTCACTTTTCCTTCTAGAAAACGGCCGGCGGTCCCTGTATTATTCCTCTTTGCGTAAAACCGGAGTTGGATACCAGCGACATTTTGGAATCCCCAGTAACTACTCGTATATTGATTGATTTACCCTTTCTTTTACGGGGTTCTCAGATGTTGCGGTGTCCTTAAAAGTTGGCTGCGAAAGAAGCTCAATAACGGGCGTCCTTAAAACTTACAAAAGTTCTGGCGTTGCGACCGGAAAGCGGAAAGCTAGAAGAGGGAACATAACAAAAAGTCTAGGTGACAAACGTGTTCATAGCTGAACCCTTATAGCTAAAGGCCCTGCTTATAATCTCGTTTCGATTATAAGTGGTAATTAAAAGAAAAGCGGCAGGTGGCTCAAGAAAGACCTAAAGTCAGAAAGATATACTAGAAGGAATACGCCTGCGGGTGCCCTTTTGGTTTTGACTCCCCAGGCGGCCCAAAATTAGTCTTTAGTTCTAGTCCATCAACAGGTATCGTTTGACTAGAATTCCTTATTATGATGCGTGGAACCGTTGCATTGATTCCGTAGGTCATATGCCTATGATCTAAAGCAGCGTTTTGTTAAGAATGCCCAGACCCATGATGTCCGCACCGTAGATCGTGGCAGGTGGTCGGTGCGACCGTTGTTATAAGACAAATTATCCTTTCAATTGTTTCCATAGGGCGGTGAATTATAAAAAGTCGGGTATGGTTGCGCACCATGTTCTTATACATATATACAGGGACGTAGCGTAATACAGGCCCCGGGCGCCCGGCCCCCCGAAATCGGCAGGGGCCCGAAAATTTCATAAGGGGGGACCCTTATTATTTTTATTTTCTCAAAAATTTTGCTGCCTGCGGCGCTATTTTTTCACGTTTTTACGGCTATTTGTAGAGCTATGCAACCTTCTTTTCAAAAATTTTTGCCTGCGGCGCTGTTTTTTCAGCGATGTTTTGAGTTTTTTGGAAAATTTTTTCGGGGGCCCCCCCCCGAAATTTTTTCTGGCTACGCCCCTGCATATATAGTTGGAGGATATATACTATACTCTGCCGTACCCCCAGGGGGTATACCCCCCATGGGGGTACAAAAGGGGTACAAGGTGGGGGTACAAGGGGTACCCCCCCCCCCAGCAACCCAACAGATTTTTCCAGTGACCTCCCACACATACCACATATCGGTGGCTCGCAAAAAATTCAAGAAGGAATGACGAAGTCCGCCGGAATTTCACCAAGGCAGTTAATAAAATAAGAAACTTGAACTAAACATTTTTAAAATTTTTGTGATTTTTTCCACTTAGAACATATCTGAATTTTACTAAAAACATTATTGAAACTCTTACTATAACGTTACCAGGGGTTTCTGGGTTTATTTCAAAAAGTTTGGTCCCCGATAAACTTTCAACTTAAAAATGTTTAGTTCAAATTTGTTATTTTATTAACTGCCTTGATACAATTCCAGCTGACTTCGTCATTACTTGTTGTATTTTTGCGAGCCACCGATATGTGGTATTTGTGGGAGGTCACTAGAGAAAAATTTGCTGGGCTGCTGGGGGGGTACCCTATTTGTACCCCCACCCGTACCCCTTTGTACCCCACCCCGTACCCCCTTGTACCCCCACCTCGTACCCCTTTTGTACTCCCATGGGGGGTATACCCCCTGGGGGTATGGCAGAGTATAATATATACAAATTATGGATTTTGGCGCGTTGTCGAATTCCTCTCAAAAGTAACCAGTTTCGCGCCTACCTTATGATTGCCTCTGTGGTGTTAAAAACAGAGTAGCGCTTACTAAAAAGTGACAATGTCGATGTGAATGGAAAGCCTTTGTAATGCTTAGTTTGTTGATCAATTCCTTTCTTTTAGTCGGCGCAAACAAAAAACTAAATCATGACTTTGATCGGTCAGTTTCACGGCGAGGCAAAACCTATTTATTACCATTGCTCATTTGCATTTTTTGAGTAACGCATTTTAGAGTGTAGTAGAAAATATTGTCGTGGTGTAGGGAAAATGCAGCTTTTATGGTGATTCGACATCAAAAATTAGCATACGCAGGATTCGAAGTAAGCGCTACAGGAAGGGATACAGTGACTTCACCAGATATGACCGTTCCGCCAACTCAATTTACCTTAACCTCAGCCCCGATGAACAAAAATTGTCTGTGGTTCCCAATCGTTTGGGCGCGAATCCCGCTACCGCACCTAGGTCGGAATTATGCAAAAAATAGTTCGTTCGCATTTTATGCGCCTTATATACCTACGGGTCGATCTAGTGGGACTGGATCGATTTTTCAGAATTTTTATTTTTCGCATCTCGCGACAGAGATGGTCGCTAGAACCTCGGCATACTGAAGGGCACGTTTGAAAATTGTTTTGGGCCATCGGGGCTGTGGTAAAAACTGGCAAAAATGCAATGTCGGATTCTGACAGGAAAGCGTTGTTACTCAGTTTAGAACCTTGATTGAATTTAGCACTTTTTCCTCTCCATGATTGTTCTTTTAGGGAGGGATAGAAACAGAGCTTGACTCGTTCAAGATTGGCCATTTGTATGTTAATGGAACCTTTTTTGTAATGCTGACAATGAGTGTAAGATCCATTTATTTCTTGTAATCACGATGGACAAAAATGGGTTTATTGAGTATTTGGTAATCGCAAGGTTTTCGTAGAATCGCAGATTTTAATAAAAGGCGAAGGAAACCGTTTTTGATTGAAAAATTCGAATCTTTCGGCTGGGCTGAAACTGGATTACCGACAATTTTCCTCTCCGCGGAATTTTATCTTTCCGCCAAATCGAATAGCAATAATACATCGAAATCAAAATAGCAATAATGCATCAGCAAGATACAAACTATACGCGGGATGCGAAAGAAGCGCTGCAGGAAGGCATACAGTCAGAAACCCTGGCTTAGGAAACACTATTACAACGAAATGTTCCTGGGTTTATTAACTCGGCACGCGCGCAGAGATTTTCTGCGTCGAGACTGCGAGCCCTTGCTTCATCCGCTCTCTCCCGCAATTTGCGCTAAAGTAGGTATCATTATAGCTAGGTAGACCTTACGTATAGTATGTGTAAGAACGGGTGCTTCAGCAGTTCGCTGGCCGGCGGCCGTTCTGTTTTATTAACCGTCAGCATCTGAGTCAACAAGTGGAAAAAATCCGTTTCTAAACAGTTGCTAGGTTTGGCACACGATTCTTCTGCTTACTTGTTAATGGTCCTATGTCATCACCAATACGTGGCGCCAGTGTGTTAACAAAAATATCTTTAAGGCTTTGATTTGAAGCATGAGCATGCGACCGATAGGGGACTTTACCAGTTTTCTTTTCCCAAAGTTCACTGCAAGGATATTAGCCGGCCGTATAACTATTTTACCTCAATTCGGCAATTTTTGGGCCGGGGAAGACTTCTCTCATCCTGTCCAATACGGAATAAATGGAGGTACCCCTCGCGGATCGGTCTAATGTATGCGGCATCATCAATTTCAGTCCCAACATTTCGATAGTGACCAATGCCGTTGCCCAGATATCCACTTCTGTGTCGTATTTTTCTTGCACCAGTGCTTCGGGAGCTTTATAGATTAGCGGAGTATCAACATTAATCGTATAAGCATCGTTGGGGAGGATATCTCTAGATCAACGTTGATTGTATACTGGTTGTTGGGAAGAATATCTTTAGAAATGATCTTTACATAGATAGCCGTGCTCGAAAGTATCGTTCCCAATTACCTGACCAATCCAAAGTCAAGAAGTTTGACTACAAACTCCTTTGGATTGATTCCAATATTGCGTGGCGTAATAGCCTAAATTTATGACGGTTGACCATTGTACATTGCCTACACGATGAATGATGCCGTTGCTATGAAGAAAATCGGTCGCCTGCAATAATTGTGTCAACATCGCCCCAAGCTGGTCGATGGATCTTTTCACCGGCTGTTCATCTAGATCCTTTCTACGGAGGTGCCTACAACGCAAGTGTCGAACTCAGCAATAAACCAACTCAAAATATTTTTCCAAGGTGTGATCCATTCGCTCTGTGATAATACAAAAATATTCTGCAGGTCCAGTGGGAGGCTCGGGCCAGGTACCGTAGAATTTGACAATCTGAAAAATATAGGGTGTCCCAATAAAAAACACCCCCCTTTAGCTCGACTCGGAAGTATCGTAGTATGATAGTTAGATCATTCGAAAGCCCTTGAAACGGCAAGTTTGCAACAATTTTCAAAACCATGTTTTTCATGAACCCATTATTTTAGAAGCCAGTTTGTAAAATTTTCCGATTTTCCAGGGTTGCATGCGGGCTAATTTGCCTCAAATTCGCCATACAAATGACCGGAAGTAGCCGTTAATTAGATGCAGAGGCCGGTCCTTAATGTTTTTAAATTCGTTATATCATGCCTCATTTAAATGAAAACATGGTTTTGAATAGTTGAGTTGAATTTTGAGAAGAGTCGCAAATTCGCCGTTTCAAGGGCTTTCGGATGGTGGAACTATTCTTCTGATACGATATTTCTGCGTCGTGTTAGAGAGGGGTGGTGTTTTTATTTGGACACCCCGTACAGTGGATGTCGAAATTACGCTAGTCGACATAATTATGGAAGCATCCAAAATTTTTTCAAAGTGCCTAATGTCGAGTCGGTTTGGTTGGAGTTGAGGTGGGCCCCTCGTCACCTGCCACGATCGCGATCCTTACATTTTCGTGTTGCTTTAGGTGTGCGATGTCCACTTCACGCTTCACGCGACGATATCCATCAACGGTTGACGAGAGCCTAGCCATCGAGTATCTTAAATGAGGTTATGTAATACCGTAGCAGAATATGGGATCAGATTGCCGGAAGTGTGTGTATCATCAACCTACCGCCTTATTGCCACAGATACGACGCCTCCATCTGCTCCTTTCGCAGGCAGCTTAGCGGCTCTTCGAAAAAAATATTCCATAATATATTTTGATCTTACATAATATCAGCGTAGGTTCCCCTGGCGATCACATGAAATTGATCATTGAGGTTCCTCGGACGGAAAAACTCGTCATCCTGAAAATAATACTTGAACTGTTTAGAATTCACCTTGTCTGGTTTGAGCGCTGGTGGAGCTTCAAATGCGAATTCGTCCAAAGCATTGCTAGTATGATCCGAATTGGGCCTGCGAAACACGGCTTGCTGCCGACTATCAATGCAAAGTCGCTCGTTTGCCGTCACCCCCATCCACTATAATGATGATATATTTATAGCTGCGGACCGTTTTGAAAAAAAGGAACAAAAATAATAATAGATCTCCTTTATAGCCTAGTGACAGAAGCAGGGGCGTAGCCAGAAAAAAATTTCGGGGGGGGGCCAAAAAATTTTCCCAAAAACCTCAAAACATTAAAGAGAAAACAGCGCCGCAGGCAAAAAATTTTGAAAAAAAGGTTACATACCGCCGTAAAAACCAGTAGCCGTAAAAAAGGTGAAAAAATAGCGCCGCAGGCCGCAAAATTTTTGAGAAAATAAAAATCATAAGGGCCCTTATGAAATTTTCGGGCCCACGGCCGATTTCGGGGGGCCGGGCCCCGGGGCCGGTATTAGGGACCATGACATTTCCGCCAACGACAATTCCGCCAACGGCCAAAATGCTTGTAAAATGCGCTGTTTCATGCGTGTAACAATCCTAACTATTTTTTTCTCGCCCGGATCTAGCTATTACAGAAGAAATAACAAAAGTATGATGGCTTTTTCTTCAAAATAGGATTTTGCGCCTGAAAAGGCAAAACACGCGATATGATGCCCAAAACAACCCTCCCGCATCGTAATTTCTTCTCTACTAGCATGTACTTACGTTGATTGAATTTATTAATGCCAAAAACACGAAGAAAATCTTTAATTTGGAAAGTTTTGTGTGTTTTTGGCCTCAAATTGGCGGAAATGTCGCTGGCGGAAATGTCATGGTCCCCGGTATTACGCTACGTCCCTGGACAGAAGTAAAATGTTTGTTCTTATAAGTCATACCATACACCGTAGAAGAAAATTTTATAACGAGAATTTGATGCAAGGCTTAGCTTGCGCAACTTGCAACTAAACTAAATATGGTTTCGCGTTAAACGTAAAGTTCTTGACGAGTTCGCATGGTCGGCCTCTATATTCAGGAGCGACAAAATAGCCACGGCCTCACATTTTCGAAATTCGGTGAGAAAAGCAATCGTGAAATCCCCTCAAAATCAAAAGCAGCAAATGATGATTTTCGAACAAAACGATGATTTTCGAACAGATTGGTTTGTCGAGGATATGTACGAGTATCAAAAACACTGTGAACACCCTTTCAGTACGTTGAATCAATCTAATTAGAGCCTAATACCTGGGACCAAAACAAAAAGGCAAGAAGATTTTGCAAGTGATTCAAGGCTGCCTTGGCTCAAAATTCTGCAGAGATAAGGGCCCACGTACCGAGGCTCTGTACCGATAGCACGGGGCAATGACAACAGAACGGGGCATTGACAACAGAACGGGGCATTGGCAATAGAACGGGGCATTGACAACAGAACGGGGCATTGCCAAGTCCCCGCGGCCGCCGGCCAGCAGAACGGGGCATTGGTTTGACCAGGGGGGGCCGGCGGCCAGCAGGACGGGGCATTGCATATTTTCTCAGAAAAACGTATTTTTATGGTCTCTCGCCTACTTTTTTTCCCTGATGATAGATTATAGAAAAATCGACGATACTTGGTATGGACTCCGACTTTACTATGGAAATGGTAGAAAACAGCCTAATTCAAGCAGCTTAGGATAGCGCAAAGGCCTTCGTGTATTAAAGAAATATACCATGCAATCAGAAAAATCAGAAAAAAGACTATCAGTTAGGCTAGTTCAAATAACTAGAAAAATACAGAAAAAAAGTTCGATATCCTGACAAACCCTTTTCCGGGGCCCCAAAAATGACACCAAAACTTTAATATCTCAAATTTCTAGGCTCTGTAGCAGATTCGGAAATCGAGGCGATTATCAGCCTGGTCGCATCTATAAATGTACAAATTCTCATTCCGATCCGTGTTGCGGGGTATTTTGGACTTCCCTAGTTAGAAACGTTCGGCCTGGTTGACAAACAGTTCTGTGAATCCAAACAATATAATCAGAGAAAAAAGTAGGCGAGAGACCATAAAAATACGTTTTTTTGAGAAAATATGCAATGCCCCGTGCTGCTGGCCGCCGGCCGCGGGGACTTGGCAATGCCCCGTTCTGCTGGCAATGCCCCGTTCTGCTGCCATTGCCCCGTTCTGCTGGCTTTGCCCCGTCCTGCTGTCAATGCCCCGTTCTGTTGCCAATGCCCCGTTCTGTTGTCAATGCCCCGTTCTGTTGTCATTGCCCCTGCTATCGGTACAGAGCCCGTTCCGATACGTAGGTCAGATCAGGAATGGCCGACCCACACGCAGGCACTGCCGCCCCAGTTATTTCCGCAACATCACTGTGCTGCATTTCTTGCCGTCATTGAAGACCGTCGTCAAAGTGGTCGAGCTCAAAATGACATCGTTATGTCGAAAATTCGATAAAAGCATTTGATAACCCAAATTTTGGCTGGATAATTTTGTCTACTATTTTAAATATGGAAGTTAGCGGAGATAGACGCGTCTTCCCGGCCCTTGTTTGAGAGTTTCAGCTATTTGGGCTGTGTACCGATTAGTGGTGCGAAGTACATTTCGTCTAACAGAAGTAGTCGAACGAACTAAAAATGACGTTAGATGAAAGCTTTTGACAGCGCCAAATTTTGATCGGAATATTTTGCCTACTTTCAAAAATGGAAGATACAGGGTGTCCCAAAAAAAAAAACGAACCATCTGGCATTTCGCCGTGTTATATCCAATCGGTCCCAAATTTGGAGCAGAGGTTTATCGGACCCTAAATAACAACAATCCTGACTTATAGCCATGTAGCTACAGTCGTTCTCGAGTTATAACGAAAATACTGTTTTTCACGGAATTTTGAACAGTTTTTCGGCTATCTTTTTGGACTTTGCATCGATTTGCATCGAGTTCCGGCCGCGAATCCCTAATTTCGATTAAGAGATGGGGTGATTTGGCGTTGTAAAAATCGCTTAAATCGACATGTTTTTTAACCAATCTTAGTCCGGAAAAAATTTCTTATGGTAAAGAAGGTCTGCCGAATCATTTTCGCTTAACATTTAGTGGGTCTAATCCCACGGAAACACCATGAAAAACGGAAAATAAAGTTTGTTTTTGCTATAACTCGAGAACGACTGTAGCTAGCGGGCTATAAGTCAGGATTGTTGTTATTTAGGGTCTGATACACCGCTGGTCCAAATTTGGGACCGATTGGATGTAACACGGCAAAATGCCCGATGGTTCGTTTTTTTTTGGGACACCCTGTATGTACGCGTCGTACTAGACTTGCGATTCTCAGTTACTTGGGTTATTGACCGAACCCTAATGGTGCCAAATACATTATCCAGTTAACATCAATTCACATACAAATACATACGTCTCATCTAGGATACATCAAATACATAAGAGAGCCCCGAAACGACCACAATGGGTTCAGGACAAATTGATTTTTATGGCGTTTGCAGCAATTGAGCTGGCAACTTCGTAACATTTCAATGTTTCGACCGCTTTCCCGTTGGATAATTGAGAATTTCGCAATAAATTTTTAAATAATTATACCGGGCAAAGCCTTGCGCAAGCCATTCCGTGAATGGTAGGCGACGTATACATGCGTATAAGGTGAGGCTCCAAAGTGGATAGATCGATTGGTTTATCCCCTTATCTCAGTATCAGGAGGGCTCACCAAAGGGATGGCTGGAAATAAATGCTTATTCATTGACTGGCTGGATGCCGCCAATTCGATAGACGTTCGAAAGTCTTGTAAAAGGCCTACATCGTTTATTCGCGCGAATCCAAACGAAAAAATGGGAAATGCTATGGGTCTGGGTGGGTATGTGTGGTGGGTATGGTGGGTGGGTATGGTGGGTGGGTATGGGTCGAAAATTCGAATCTTTCGGCTGGGCTGAAACTGGGTTACCGACAATTTTCCTCTCCGCGGAATTTTATCTTCCCGCCAAATCGAATAGCAATAATACATCGAAATCAAAATAGCAAAAATGCATTAGCTAGATACAAACTATACGCGGCATGCGAAAAAAGCGCTGCAGGAAGGCATACAGTTACTTCAACGGGTATGCTGTCAATTGTGCGACTTGCCTCATCTTCCCCGTCCCGATGGTTCAAAAGTTTTCTAAAGTGCCCAATGGGGCTCGAATCCCACTCTCGTACCTAGTCTGGAATTATACAAAGAAATAATTATTTTATGCGCCGTGTACTTACGGGTGTGTTAATGGGACTGGCTAGAGAATCGTCTACGTGCAGACATATTATAAAACCCAAGAAATAAGATCGGCAGTATCTATCTTTTCGTATAAACATAATATAGGTTGAAATTTGAAAGTTATGAATTTTTAAAGGTTGAAATTCTGACAAAAATTTTCGAAATATTATTTTTTGCGTCTCCCGGAGTGGGAACGATAACGGGAACCTAGATGTATCTAAGGAACTTTGAAAAGATTCTTGGACCATCGGGATTGTGGCTGATGACAAGGCCAGTCCCCGCCTGCCTTTTCGACAGCTTCTAGCCGTGATCTGCCACATAATTTCTTGCAGATGCTGACTCGTAAAGGAACACCCAGCAGTACGGCTCAAAACTGACGAGAACTCAGGGCATCCTGTATCCCTTCCAGCAGTCGCTAGTTTCGACTCCTGTCCTAGCTCTTGTTGGGGAAACCTAGGCTTCGGCAGCCGTCTTCCTGCGAAACGTTCCGGGGTTCAATAGCACGGCCCGAGCGGATTTATTCTCGGTTTCGTGACTGCAATCCTTGGCTTTCTTCCCTCGTTCCCGCAATTTGCGCTAGAAGTCGGTGTTATCGTCGCGAGGTATAATTACGTCTAATATATGTAAGAACGGATGCTTCAACAGTTTGCTAGCCGGCTGTCGTTGTAATCTATCAACCTCTAGCATCTGACTCAACAAGTCGTAGAGATCCGTTTCTGAAAAGGCATTTGGTTAGGGAGGTAATCTTGTTGCTTACTTGTTAATGGTCCGATGTTATCCCCGATGCGTGGCTCCAAAGTAACAAAAATATCTTGTAATTTTTGATTTGGAGTTGGAGCACCCTTCATGTCGGACTGACCAGTCTTGTTCCGCCAAACGATGCTGGAGAAATATTGGCAGACCGGATAACTATTTTACCTCAATTCTTCAATTTTTTGTCCGGAGAAAACATCCCTCATCCTGTCCAACACCAAATCGACCGAAGCGCACTTCGACGACTGTGGCGGCATCATCAGTTTGAGTCCCAACATTTCGATCGCGACCAATGCTGTTGCCCAGATATCCACACCAGTATCATACATTTCTTGCACCAGTGCTTCGGGAGCTTTATAGATTGGCGGAGTATCAACATTAATCGTATAATCGTTGTTGGGGAGGATATCTCTAGAAATCGGGGTATTGACCGTGAAAATTGATACGCTGTACCTGGCCAACCCAAAGTCGAGAAGTTTGATTACGAACTCTTTTTGGTTCATTCCAATATTACGTGGAGTAATATCCTAAAATACAGAACATACAGAGTGCCCCAGCAAGGCACACGTAAGCTTTGACCGCTTCGGAGTTTGGTCTGAAAATTACCCTAACTAGGGAATGTTTTCGGGCGGACATCGGACCCAGCTATGTGAGTATGTGCATCTTGTAGAGCTCGACGAGACGAATCGATTGATGTAACATTTAGCTGCGGATACCTTTTTTTAATAAAGTTTTGGGCGAAACTTGCAAAAAAACACCAATGAATACTGTCACCAACTTCTTTGATGTGGGTGCTGGAGATAAAAACTGAAAAAAAAAGTTAATGTAGTCCTTCGGGATGCAAAATGGAAGCTTTCGACCAAAAAGCAAAAAATAAAAATCGTGAGCGGATCCGTACCCTCGTCACCATCCCCGGACGTCGACAACTAACCCACTAGACTACCAGAGCACGGCGGTTGGGGGTGTGGGGAGGGCTTATGAAAGTATCGCGCAAAACTTTAAACCGCTGTAACTTTATTAAAAAAGGTATCCGCAGCTAAATGTTACATCAATCGATTCGTCTCGTGGAGCTCTACAAGATGCACATACTCACATAGCTGGGTCGGATGTCCGCCCCAAAAAATTCCCTAGTAAAGAAGTATCGGACTCTGCATAACCACAGATCTTCGTTACAGACAGTTAGGTACAGTAGTTTCCGAGTATTTACAAAACAAAATTCGTTTTTATTTCTCTGGCTGTTTCGTGAAATTTCACCCAGGCAATGAAAATACAACAGCGACCGCTCCTTACCCCCATAACCCTTTTCTCGCAGAAAGAATAAATGGGGGGAGCTAATACAGATTGTGACTTGAGAATTGTAGTGCCTATCAGGCTATAATTCAGGTTCGTTATTTCATAGGATCAGATAAAGTTCTGTTCCTAAGTTCAGACCGAATGGATATAAGGCGAGGGGTTTTCTGGGACACTTTGTGTATACTGGCAGGTATTTTGCATACGCGATGAATGATTCCAGTGTTGTGAAGAAACTCGATAGCGTGCAATATTTGCGTCAACAGCGCTCCAAGGTGGCGGATGTCCCGTTTCACTGGCTGGTCGCTGAGGTCCTTCTTGCCCAGATGTCTGAAAAACAAATGGGTGCGGTAAGGGAAAGGAACCAACTCGAAGTACTTTTCCAAGGTGTGATCCATTCGTTCCGAAGCGATACAGTGGTAGAGCGGCCCCGTTTCCGCTTCGTGGGGCTCGGTCCATGTTTCGATACACCTAACAATCTGTAAAGGGACTAGATTGGTACAGTTCTCTAATCTACTATATATAAATTTCTAATGTCCGTACGCCCGTCCGTCCGACCGACCGCCCGACCGGGAATTCAGCCAAATTTTGCATTCAAATTCAAAATTCAAATTGTGGGAGGGCAGAGGGCCAGCGCTGAACCCCCGCGTAGCGGGAGGTCAGCGCTGGTCATTAGAATAATTTCTGACAGCTGAGGCTAAGGTTATCGCTATGCATATAGTCTACGTTACGTTTTCGTGCCGCTGGAGACGCGTGATGTCTATTTCACGCTTCACTCTGCGATATCCGTCAACGGTTCCCGCCAGCCTAGTGAGCCAATAGCTAAAAATAAAATATGTTAAATAATTAAAAAAGTCAAACGGGTAGCAAAATGACCCGTTTAAACTATGGGTGCTAATGCAGTTAGGGGGCAGTCCGAAATTGGTAGTAAGGGGCACGAGCCGTTCCGCTTAGGCTACTTGGTTTTTAGCTGAAGCCTAGGCTTACTTTAGCTTTAACTATGCTTAGCTTAAGCTTAAGCCCAGGCTAAGTTGATCTTGAGCTTGAAATCGCCTTGCGAGGTCAAAATGGGGTTATTTAGAGTTTAGCCTAGAGCTAAGCTTAGGCTTCGTTTGTATGAAACTAAGCCTAGGCTTAATCTTAGCTTAATTTTTCGAGAGACTTCAATTAAAAAAACGGCATTTGGAGCGACTTGTAGTGAAAATCCGGACTGCCCTCCCCCCAACTGCATTAGCACCAAAAGGTGATTCTATATTTTGTTCTACGAGGTCCAGAATCCAGTTTTCCGGGTTCATACCTTACAAGTAGTGATGGGGTTATTCAAATCAAATCCGGGGTCAAATCTCAGGATTTGATTAAGCTTCCGTTTCTTATTCAAATCTCCAAATTTTTGCATGCAAAGAGTTAAAAATGTATCCTTTCTTATGGTTTTGCGCTGAAAAAAGCCCTTTTTCCGTGCTTTGCATGCAAAAATTTGGAGATTTGAATAAGAAACGGAAGCTTAATCAAATCCTGAGATTTGACCCCGGATTTGATTTGAATAACCCCATCACTACTTACAAGCAACGCATATTGACTTACCGTCGGATCGCGACAGCCATATCTGCCTGGTCTGGTGGCCCCCGCACCATCTTAGCCGCTCTTAAACACCTAATATCACGTCTAAAACTTTTCTTACATGATGTCAGCATAGGTTCCTCGGGCAATCACATGGAGCTCATCTTTTAAATGCTTCGGTCGAAAGAATTTGTCATCCTAAAAACCAGAAAATTTGATTTATTGAGCATTTGAGTATGTCATATGTGCAGGGCATCGCACCTTCTGACTTCTGACAACTTTTTTCGAGCTAACCAGGAGCGGTTTTTGAGTGTCATTGGCGAATCACTTCGCCCAAGCTCATTCGATAGAGTATTGAATTCTGAACAATCTCCCGGTGTTGATTTTTGCAAAACGCCTTTCCCTGATTTTATCTAATTAAAAAACTTTAAATGGAATTTTGTCCAACTGTCGGTTCGCCGCATCAAAATCATGGCAGGCCAGCTCTAGGGGAAGAGGCCTTCAGCGCTGCCCCCCTTAGCATCAGCCGTGGGGCGGTGGCTAACGTGGCTGTCTTCCAAAATTTATTTTTCCATCCTTTGCAAGTTCGGTTCTTGTAAATGCAATTTGTTTTGCTTTTTTTATTATAAGTGGCCACGTATTTTTAAACAGGGTGTACTTCCAATTGAGATGATTCACACTTCCTGGACCATAACATTTGTTTTTTGTTGTAAATTTTATTCAATGCGCGCAGAGCAGCCAACGTTGTAATAAGTATTATTTTAAGTCAATGAACTTATCAAAGCGTCTGCAAACGCTTTTATTAACAAAAAGCAAAACAAATTTTCTACCAAGGTACCGAACTTTCCGCAAAGTTGCAAAAAAATTTTGAAGGCGGAAGCCTTAACCAGTCGGCCACGTCCCAGATTGGGGGGGAGGCGGAGAGAGCTCATATAAGGGCGCTCCAGTAGGCTGGCCGTGCCATACGGGGTACGTAAAATTCAATTTTTGGTTTTTTTATTTATAAAATCAAGGGAGAGCCGTTTTGCAAAAATGAACAACGGAGGTTGTTCAGAATTCAATTTTCTATCGAATGAGCTAGGTCGCGAAGTGATTTGCCAATGACACTCAAAAACCTCTCTTTGTAAGACGCCTCGTAATTTTTTCAAAATAGTCATTTATCAGTCTCTAAAAACAGATTCGGAATCAACGCGAAATTCCTCACTAAATAGCCTTGGTGCCGTCTCAAAACCCAATCCATATGAACAAGCGCTTCCTTATCGATTACCGAGGAATTACCGACACTCTTGATCTGGTAAAGCTTACGGCCCTTTTAACCCCAGAACAGCTATGAATTTCGGGTTCCTTCTGTCAACTGACTTGCATTTTTGTAACCCGTATTTTCGATTATATCACCTTGTCGGGCTTGACCGAAACAGGAACCGTGATGGTGAATAATTCTGGGTCTCTGTTCGCATCAGTGCTGGGTCTCCGAAAAACGGCTTCGGTTTTACGCCATCCGTCATTCAGATACATCCTCTCCAAATTCTCATGAAGACGGCTCTCTTTCGCAAAGGCGGTCATTGGCCTAAAGCACTTTCATAAGGAGATTCTGACTTAGAAAATTGCTTGCGATGCCGCGCTGAAAAAAACATTTGTCGAATAGTCGAAAAGTCTCCAGAGATTCGATGGTATACATATTACTTCGATGCGACGGTTTTGGAGGCAAGTTTTTTTCGATGCACATGGAACGCGATATGGCTTGGGGAAGGGGGGTCCGGCAACGCAAATGATAAGGGAAATAGCTATACGGAGTGATACGTATGAGGAAAACGTGTATCGAATGACTTGCACAAGACATTCTCAGATACGTGTTTCCTGACAAATGTGCGTATCGATACGGATGCCACTGTGTAAATCAATATAGTTATCTTATCGCTGCAGAATGGTGTGGCGAAAGCCTCCTTCGGGGCTGGCTAACACAAGCCAAGGGCGGTTGAACCAGCGAGAATACAAAAATGCAAGAAAGGCTTTTATTTGATAGCACGAATCAACGAATCTTGCAGCATGCAAGACCGAAACCGAAAAAAGAATTAAGATGGGGCCTAACGATCGTTGGAAGTAATGCTTGATATTCAGGGTTTCCAAATAAAAAACACCCCCTCTAACTCGATGCAGAAGAATCGGATCGGAATGATAGTTGCACCATTCGAAAGCCCTTGAAACGGTGAGTTTGCAACAATCTTCGAAACCGTGTTTTTATTTAAGCACATCATTTAATTGCGAACTTAAAAATATTTAGAAAGGGTCGCTGCATGTAATTAGCGGCTATTTCCAATCGTTTTGTTTAAAGGGTGGGGATAATCAACGATTACGGCGGAAGGTCTGCGCCCCCCGGGTCCCCTGTTGCCTTTTGTGGGGGATCGACACATGCCGTCGGCAGCCCTTTAAAGAAAATGGCGCAAATTAGCTATCGGACGGGCGAAAAAGCTATTTCCGAAAAATCGCAAAATTTAAAAAAAGGATTGCAAAATGACGCGCTTAAATAAAAACATGATTTTGAACATTGTTGCAAACTCGCCGTTCCAAAGGCTTTTGAATGGTGCAAATTTCATTCCGATCCGATACTTCTGCGTCGAGTTAGAGGGGATGGTTTTATTGGTGCGCCCTGTAATTGGAGCCATGATATGACATGAAAATATGCAGCTTCTCAAACCATACCCGGGTTGCAATCACCCGAATTCATGAAATACCAAAAAAAATCCTTTGAATAAATGATGGTGGTATCTGAGGCTCTACCCTCCTAGGTGAAAGTCTAGCCCAAAATCGGGATTACTCCGGGAGTGAGATAGTTCCATTTTGTTCGAGAATGTCTGTAGGAAGTTTTGCAAAGTTGTCCACGTCTCCGTACGGTTCGCACCCAATGACGAAGAACTGCTTGCCACCTGCTCGTCCATCTCGTATTTTCTCTAAAAGGGGAGCGCGGTTGCATAGATTAAGGTCATGGAACCTACATTCATTTCAGAGAGAAATTCCATTTTCAAGCATTCCGCTGCTGAACTGCGTCGACTTGGATTGATCACGAGGATTGATTCCAGGATCTGGCGAAAAGCCGCGACTGTCAATGGGCCAACGTCCTCTCCAAGCCGATGGTACGGTATTTTGGCATGCAATTTCTCAAAGTTCATCGGGGTGTTTTCGATGATGCCAGCGGATCTGAAAACCGGATTGTTTTGGAAAATGCGGCGTTTAGGCTCACAAAATATTTGTTTCCGGGGCGACATCGGTGTATCTGGCGAGAATTTGCTTCCATGTAGCGAGGGATGAGACCGAACGGTGATAGTTTTCTGGGTGTTCGAGGGTGAATGGGGAGATTCCGAGGAACTCCACTGCACAAACACCCACAGCCCAGATGTCCACTAAATGGCGGTTTTCCTATAGGTAGTGCTAAATCGGGAAGGGCCATAGATGTCCTATGGATCTTTGGCATGCGACAGCCATTCCATCGTGTAATCGTTTATAGCCGCTCGCATTGCGTCCCCCGGGTACGCCAAATTAAATACGAACTTCATAATCAAGTCTTGCCCATTCCTTGAAAGGCCAACAAATAAACAAACACTACCAACTTTTACTGTTAACATTTTCTTCCAACAACGTCTCTGGCGGATCATATTCAGGGCATTCACTTCGCATGGGCTTCCCTGTCAATGGATTTTTACTAAAATTAAAATATTCATTTTTAATTATCCGACTTACCGGCTCGCACCAAAACTCAACAACTTCAGCGTGTACTGTTGCTTCTGGAGCCCAATCTTCTCAGGTCGAATGCCCTAAACGGCAATGTAATACAAAAAAATGGCGAAACCAACCCCATGAACAATCCCATTACTATGCAAAAAATCGAGCGCGCGAAGCATTTGCACCATAAAAGAAGAGACGTGGCGGAAATCGCGTTTCCTTTCGTTTTCCATACCGTCATAACGCTTTAAGTGGCTAAAATAAAGCTTTCGGGTATTGCTCGTAAGCCATACTTTAAATAATGTCGAAGATCACAGTCCATACGCTCAAATAATAACCAAAGATCTGACGGCTTTCCATCTTGGTCTTCATAAAATGACCCATAATAAGAAACAATATACGGATTCTAGAAGATAAAATTTATAAGATTTGTTATATTTCAAACCTTATTGGCTTGGGACTGTAGTAACCATAATTGATTAGTAACACTCTTTACTTTGCTGGGTGAATATTCCAGATGTATCCTAAAATCCGTGAATTTAGCATAATTTCCTATAAACTACCGTTTTGCAACTGCTTTTATTGACTTTAGGTGCTCACCAAAAGTTCCCATCAACTTGCAGGCACTAAAATGGATTAAAATACATGCGATGCGTGGTACAGAAAGATTGAAGCCAAATGGGCGTTAACCTACACATTAACTGATCGTAGTCCATTTTTGCTATCTAGCGCATGTAGTTCGCCGCTTGTTGCCATCTCTGGTCGGAGTTTATCCTCCTAATAAAAATCTGTTAATAAGATTTTAATTTCAAAAAGCCTTTAATCCCCAGAGAAATTTTAATTTAATTTTCCCGGGCACTCAAAGTCAAAACTGAGACTTTCTGGTACCTTTAAATGAGCAAGCCAGCTACGCTACCATGAAGATTTTTCAAAAGAAGTGGATTCTTGCCCGTGAATTACCCATCCCTTTGACACTTACGGTATCTGGATGTATATTTCGTGGAAACGGAAATGAAGTCTTCGAATAGCCACCTCCGTCCGGTGCTTTATAAAAGCAAGGCCTCCTCTCGATTTCTGTTGACGGCTCAAAAGCAAACATCTGAAAATATAAAAAATATCGGCCTGTAATTTTAATAGAATACGATAGACGAGGTAGGATAGTACAACGAAGAGGATAAAGCAAGATTTTGCTAGGTGTTGTCTCTTCAAAGCTTGGTTGGCTTTGTCTCCATATAGAGTGACACTGATTTTGATCCTCGGGAATATCATATATACAGCCGTTATTGTTACATGTGTAAGGAAATTGGCATTTTTACATAGAAACCTGATTTCCGCGCACTGATACGTATATTTTATTGCGATCAGACACCCTGCTCTTTTTATGTCGCCAAATAAATCATCGTGCGCGCCCACCCACGTTGTATTATGATACCACAAAGCTAAAACAGACATGAATTGCGCATCTATTAAAGAAAATCAAAACTTATTGCTAGTGAAATCTTTGATTGAGTCTCACTTTTGGGCGAAGCCTACGAGTAATTAATGTTAGATAAAAACATCATCATATATCACTTCAAATTCTAAGGAATAAACATCCTGTCTCACGACCTCACGACGGTAGCACATTGACAATATCTTATCTAAAGAAATTGGGATAATTTAAAAACCGTCACAAGGTACGCCCGGACCTGGGGCACCAACGTTATTTTTTTTGACCACCGACTCGGTCAATATTTGAGCAGTCTCCACGTCAATCATATTAAAACCTTGCCCAGGAAAACCCCTTGATATTATCCAAATCGATTCACACGACATTTTCCAAGGTGTTAGTTTTCAAGAGTTTTGAAGTGTCAAAACACGAAACAACGCCTTGCAAAAATACACTCAAGGACTGCAAAAAACTTGTCTATGGGATTTCTCACAAATCAAGGTTAAGCAAACGCTTGAATTTGGGGATCACGTAAACTGTTCGGCGGAGTGACGAGGGTTTCCTTTGGACGGCAAGGAATAATGTGTGGAGCTGAGTGGGTTGGATGCAACTAAATAATTCTGATCCAAATTGGGGAAGAGCAAGGGGAAAAAAAGAAGAATATGATGTGACACGGCAAAAAAAGATAGAGAGAGAGAGAGAGAGAGAGAGAGAGAAAGTTAGAAATAGCCACAGTAGAGAGATGGATGATGTCTTGACTTCAGGTCCTGGCACCGTGGGCTTATCCTAAATACCACTCAATATAGTTGCTGCACAAAACTGACCGTTCCGTAGCGGTCCGTAGCGGTCCGTAGAGCGGAACGGTGTCGTCGATTTTTAAGAAGCTGACATGCCGACAGCAGCTTGCTATATAACAATTCTGCAGCAAATTTTGCAAAAGGCAATCATGCTTTCTCTGCCCCTTTAATTTCCAGATCCTCACCGTGCCCATTCTCACCCCCAAACAAAACACACCCAACTTTTGAAGTGCAAGCATCTGTTGCCTACGTGGCTTCACGTCTGCCGGTAGAATGTTGGGAATCTGATGGTTATATTGACATACCCTTCCTTCCGCCCTTAAATGTTCATTCCGAATCTCTCTCGTGACACCAGCTGATCACCCCTTTTTAGATGCTTTCGCTTGCTTTTAGATTATCTTTGACATTGTTGATAGATTTTTACCAGGAATTTTTTCTTTTCTAAATTTGATATTTTGTTAATTTGCTGTTGTGTTATTTACAACATCGAGAATACATATGTTCTCTCCGAGCTAATATACATACAATCCCGAGAGCAAAATCCTTTCCTTCCATCCGGGAACAGCTAATCAAATATTTTTCGACAAGTTTTGCCGCCCAATAAATGTCCTCTATCTGCAATTAAGATATACAATTTATTAGACAAAACGTTTTTGACTGATAATTTTATTACTGATATTGTAACAACGTTAAAGGCGCCTAAATTTAGATGCCGATGATTCGAGTAATACTAGCGGGCCTGAGTTTCACGATTTTCTTCCGAATTTCCAATGCTAATATATTTCCCTTTTCTAATTGCACAAACCTTCGTGATTGCAAGGCGTGCACAATGAGCCAATCCGATCAAAGCCAAAATTGTGTGTAAGTGCCAATATTCCAAACTTTTTGATGATTTTTGTAGTTGGTGCTTACTCTCAAATACTTGCTCAAGTGGCGGCTTTTTATGTCCATCAGGTAATTTAGATATTAAAAAGCGATGTGTCTTTTTTTAGCAACCCAGATTCAATTACCGTACCATTGTCCTACTCGCCCAACATTTATCTACGATGAAACATTTGCGCGTTGGAAAGCAGTACCATTAATAGGAGCATTATATGCCGAGGATAGTAATCAAGTCAATTAACCAATTGAAAAGAAGAATTTTGAATTTTTTTGAAGATCCAACAACTCCTCGAACCATGTTTCAATGACGTGCGGCAATTAAAATATGTGGAAACGACGTGTGATGAATACGCATTGGTACAAATAACGTAAAAAAGTGAAGAAACATCAGCGCTTTAGACCACATGCTCTGCAATGACGTTAACCTTACCTAACGAAAAGGCACATGTAATGGTATTCAGAGGGACAAAGGACTATTTGCAGGTATTGACTGGGAGGGAAAATATTTACTCAACCGTCGGTTCGTTTAGTTGCTCGATGAATTCATCTCTTTCTACTTCCATGCACTTGTGGAGTTTGATGAAGTTGGTGGGAGATCTAAGCGACTATTTTTAGTTATTCTTTTTGGGCGGAAAAGTTGATGGGTACTATTTAAATGCATTTCGGAAGTTGTGGGCTTCGGGTTTGGATGGATGGTTGGAAAGAGCTTTAGCAGTGGATCCCGATTACGATATATGGGTAATTTTTAAAGGGGCTGCGACGACAGCTTTCAGGTAATTGGACATTCCTTGGGAGGCGGATTGGCTTCACTAGCGTCATCCTACATTTCTAAAATGGTAAAAAGGGGTCAGCTCTCCAGAATCATCCAACTGTCCCTTGGCCAACCGAGAGTGGGGGACCTCGATTATGCTAAAAATCATGATAAGTTGGTTAGTGGTGTCCAGTGACTGAATTCAAGGTTTTTAGGTACCGTATTCCTTACGAATAATCCATGCGTTGGATCCAATCCCTCAAATTCCTTTGAAATTCCTTCCAAACTTTCCAAACAACAACTTGACGCACCATAAAACAGAGGTATCGGTTTATTTTGAATGTAGTGTAAAATGACAGGAGTCCTCTCAACTTTTCATTCCAGATTTGGTACCCAGGCTTGATGCTAATAGGCGCCCCATATCGGGTATCCTCCCAACCTGAAGATTTTTTCGGTGATGCCGGAGTGCTAGCGATTAATGTGATTGATCACTTTACAGTATGCTAATTTACACTTGCAATTATACCATAACACCTTACTAGGGAAGTGCAAATAAAAAATCCAGCAAACCGCTTAGCAAAAATATGGCTCTGATAGAGTCGGCGACGGGGATTCCGAAACTGCAATCAGAATTTGCTAAACGCTTAATACAAAATAGTTATGAGCATTTTAATTTTTGCACGACATTATCCGCCCTCCCTTATGAGCCCCACCCAAAGATGGGTGTCCGCCTGTCGAGTGGTGTAGTGGCTAACTAGTATGCCTCTGGGGCGGAGGGACTCTGGTTCGACTCCCCCGGTCATGCAAAACTTTTTGCTTTTTGGCCAAAGTCAACAACTTTAGACTTTTTCAAAGTTTCGTAGTGCGAAATTTAGATTTTTTTAAAATTTTCTTTATTATTGACTGCGTGTAGGCCTGCCTTACGAAAAAATAGAAGTGAATTTTTTAGTGCCCTATCCGCAAGAGTACTGACACTCCCGCCACCACTTTGCAATCAATTTCATAAATTTAAAAATTAAGAGAACGACCTTTTCGACTTCGAAACTTTGAAAAGTCTAAAGTTGTTGACCTTGACCAAAAAGCAAAAAGTTTTGCATGACCGGGGAGTCGAACCAGAGACCATCCGCCCCAGAGGCATGCTAGTTAGCCACTCCACCACTCGACAGGCGGACACCCATCTTTGGGAGGAGCTCATAAGGGAGGGCGGAAAATGTAGTGCAAAACTTAAAAAGCTCATAACTATTTTGTATTAAGCGTTTAGCAAATTCTGATTGCAGTTTCGGGAATCCCCGTCGCCGACTCTATCAGAGCCATATTTTTGCTAAGCGGTTTGCTGGATTTTTTATTTGCACTTCCCTAGTTAGTATTTTGCCGTACCTCTTGCAAGCTGGCATCAAACTGGGTGCACAGCGCTGTGGAAATCTACAGCAAATTTTGATATGTTAATTAAGGTAGGATAGCTTTGAATTCTTCTACTTTACAATTTTAGAATCTCGGTTTGAAGACGGGTCCAGCCGATTTACCGCGAATTGGTTGAGGTTATTGCTTTTGGATATTTATCGTCTGTATATATCGGTTTAAATAAACTTTGAAGTCATGCATTTATCGGCGCCTCCTTCAAAATTTACGAGATCAAGACATAAATATAAAAACTCATTCCAATTACACCGAATGGGAACACATTCCCAAATGAAAGTTCATCAAGTCCCATCATATACTGGATGCTATGCGTGGGGGCAGCTTTTCATCCGTCCGTCTTCACAGCTCGTTAATCGTAATCCCACGTAGCCTTCCTCTCCTTTGCCTCATTCCCTTCTTAGGGGGGAGATGCTGAAGGAATACAAATGGATAGTGGTGGGTCCGTCCGGAAGGCTCTTCGGAATGGGATGGATTATGTGTATCCTGGAAAGAACAACTCGACATTACCCTTCTACACAGCATCTTGTCCCACTACTACCACTACAGAATCCACCTCACTACTACAAATAGGCTTTAGCCTATACGTGTTATGTAAGGTTGAAATGACTTTTTTGTGTGAAAATGAATAAGATACTTTCTCTGCTCGATATTCTTGTATGCGTTACTATTTTCCTATTACAGAAAATTCGGGTATAATGCTCAGACAGCGGGGCAGCCATGCCGTCGCTAGCTACTACGTTATTTTAATGCTGCTTGCCGCCTCGAGCTGTCTACCAATGTGGGTTTGGAGCAAAAAAAACACGCTAAAGCGGGCAAGAAAGCTTGAGCCTAAGCATACACATAGTTTCCGACAGTGCTTCCCATCTAAGCAAATTTAAACGACTGAACGGCAATTTTAAAATTTCGCAATTTTCATCCCAAAACTTTAGCGTCTCGCATACAAGATCCGATCCGGATCTTTCACCCTCCCGTTACGATCGCACCTGTTTCTTCACCCCCCTTGGCTGCGTCTTCCATCGACAGCGGAGGTACTTTACTTTCCAGCCGTGAGTTCCAAAGTTCGAATTATAAAAATACAAGACTGAAACATGGAGCTTTGTACGGAGCGCACTAATCGGCGGCCGGAAATCTTGCATTTGAATCCCATCCGACGACCAGGCCCATCTAAACCATTCAGATATTTTTTCAGAACAATCGGCGACCGTATTTCCCGCCATTTTGGAAGAGCGCGACCGAAAAGAGCCGATTTTGGCCCGTACTTCCTGCCCACATTTGTGCAATATTCCATGGAAAACCCGATCGGCTACTATCATATCGAAGAAGAAGAAGGAGGCCAAACCCCAGATGTGATCCCCGACGAAGATTTCTTTCCACTTGAAATATGAGCCTTAAATATCATTTTTTACGTAAAACAGTTGCGAATTGCTGATCACGTTTCTTACGAGATATCGCAAAATACACGACAAAAACACGGAAAATAGAAGATGTATTGAATTTTAGACAATAGTGTTTCATTAAACGTACAGACACGTTGCTCTTAATCTAAAATCCCGGCAATCCTTGGTTGTTTACGCAAAACACGAGTGTTGAGCGATCGGGGGATCGTTGTTACAGGAGTTAAGCCTGGTTTTGTGTGGGTTAGTGAGTGGACCAGAGAGCGATGTGGATGATCATAAAATGTTGATTGAACAAGGGAACATATCCAGTTTATGGTTGCGTGTTGGCCAAACTTCGTTAGAGAAACATTACAGGTTTTTGTAAATCCATTTTATTCGAATTTTTCGATTCGGACATCTTTGTTGAGACGTAAAAACACCTACATAATTGTCACTACTTAAACTTTCTATTTTAGCTTTCGCATTTCTGCTGCCTTGATCATTGTATAGTATTGATTACGATCCACAATTTCGATGAAATACAATCTCCTATTTCCCAATGCCGAATTTTCATCTTTTGTCTGCCATGTGGTGTCTGCTGCAAAGTGACGAACCGCCAACTAGAATATTCCATGCAGCCCATTTTCCGGGATTCCACCCCTCCTTCTCAATTCTCGTCGTCAAGAAGTGGGCCTGGCAGGCAACAGTTTTTACCGCGAAAAGCAGCACCAGCTTTATCCTACCTGCAAATCACTTCCTTTTTAAATTCTTTGTGTCTATACTAATTGCTGACCGTCATTCTCTACAATAACAATTCCAGAACTAGCCTACAAATGCAGCGACGGGATGCTGATACAAGTCTCCGTGTTTAAGAAAGTCGCCTATTTTATTTTTGCAGCGTGTAAGGAGAATTTTTGAGAGAATTACACCTTTATAACTTTGAAGACTGTATGGTATGGTTTCGAACAATCGAGTGGGATCAAATACTGCAATTTCCACAAGGCCACGGCCAGCATGTCATCAGGTTCGCGGATCGGAGGATACATTTTGATTATTTGATAAGACCTGCTGAAGACATTTGTGCAGGGTAAGAGACTAAGACAATGTCTAAATTTTTTTTAGTTCTCCGAGTCTTGTAGCTATCATTCTATCTGCCCCCGAAGACCAGCAAATCCGCGACGCTATCCGTCAGCAATGGGCGTCCGCAAATTATTCCCAGAAAGTTCAAGTAAGTGGACATTAGTTTTGTTATTCTAATTCCCGACCGCCATTCCCAATACGGAAGCTCCGGCTATTTTTCTTGGGCTAATGAAGGTCTTTGGCATTTAAACCCTAATTTGTATTCAACGCCATTCAGGACGGAGACGTAGAAGTGATGTTCGTTCTTTCACAACCATTACGCGGTTACGAAATGGACTCCGTGGCCAAGGAAGCACAAATTCACGGCGATCTCATCGTGACAAATCTCGCAGAAACTTACGAGAATTTGTTGTATAAGGTGCGAATTCTGTCGTTAAATTAGAGTGCGGTAAGAATTTTAGGTATATGCGCTTTTCCACTGGCAAAAGAATTTTTGCAAGTCTGCCAAATTTCTGCTGAAAGTGGACCAGGATGTTGTTGTACATTTCGATAGGTTGCTCAGTTTTTTGCCTACGGTAATGGGTTCAAATTTTGATGGCAATTGGTTCTTAGGTAGTTCCCCAATTTCCACAAATGTATTGCAAAACTTGGGTGCGGTCGATGCCAAAACGGGATGCTAGTAGTAAATGGTGAGCCAGAGTTTTTATTTCCTAAATTTTTAGAGAGATATGTATGGTTATAGTAGATTAGTGCGTTCTAAAACTAAATACAATCCTAGGTTTGTTGCTGGCTCGCAGTGGAAACGAAAATATTTCCCGACATATTGTGACGGCCCGGCCTATGTACTATCCGCAAATGCGGTACCAGGAATGTTAGGTAAAACAGTAATTTACATCAGTTGCATTTACTTAAACGTTCAGAAGCCATCTCCGAATTCCCACCAATTTTTATCGAAGACGTCTTCTACACGGGAGTTGTGGCGGAACGACTGAGAATCCGAAGAAATCCGCTCGATCGCGTTTTTCACCATACGCGAAGGGTTGGCTTGGCCGTTGTTTAACTTTATTGTCGTGGTTTAGAGCCTTGAACGAACCCAAGTTGCGTGTAGTGGAAAAGGACTACCACTTCTTGCTACAGTACATCCCGTGAAAGGAGCTGAGAAAATAGCTGCATGTAAGGCCTTTAATTCCCATAAATAGACAGTATACTGTACCGTCGCTAATTTTTCCAGATTCCGAAAAAATGAAGACCATTCAATGTCGGTCAGGACCAATAAATGAAATCGCGCATAAAGTTGCCCCAAAACCACCAGCTATCGAACTCCCAGCGGAGGTCGAAAATCTACCCAATTTTTGATCCACGCCTGCATCAGGTAGGCCATTTTATGACATATTAAACAAACTCTTCTCCTGCCAGATAAACGCGGAATTGATTGCCAGCCAACAAAATCGATCTCTTTCTTCATAGCGTATTTTTGTGCCGTGATACCGTATGTAAAATTTATCAGTCTCCCATATCAACATTAATAAACGGGACATTATCAAAGTTTTACCTACTTTTGAGGTATTTTGCAATAAAATACGATTGGTTTCCGGCATGGTCCTTTATCCCAATCCATTTGGGCTGCATTAATAAACGTTGTCGAGCCATTCCTAGCAGCTCCGTAGCCTTCGTGAATATGACCGAAGACATGGAACCTGCAGAAAACAATTGTCTTCTCGAACCCGTAAACTCATAATTACTTGATATTCCTTGCTTCAACAGCTTTTAAAAGCTCCACATCTCCGTAGTTTCGGTCTCGACTGCCGTAGTCCAAATACCCCTTTGGTGGCCCATGCGTAATTAGTATATCCGTATCTTCCGGTATTTTTGCCCATTCATTACTAATTTTTGATGGGTGCATATAGAAGGCGTAATTGGGCGTAATATGAAACGAGGTGGCATAGATTTTGATGCCTTCGATCTACAAAATGGAATACGAAATGAAGGCGCAACACGAAATGGTTCCACCTTAATCTGCTCATTTAGCAAGAGCTGACAATTTGTGAGCACATTTAGTTTGTCTTGACGAAAATCTTCTAACCTGGAATATTTTGTTAAAGAAGCCTAGACTGAGTTGCCTGCTATCGAACCCGGTTTCGTGGTTTCCAGGTATCACAATTTTATAGCGATGCGGGAGGCCCCGAGTTGCTCGTTAAAATTTGATATTGCCAAATAGTCGCCATCATTTGTGAAATCTCCACAGTGAATCAACACATCGCCATCCGGTATCCGATCCTGGTTATTCAAAACGATGAATTCTCATAAATCATAAATTTCCGTTATTAGAAATGAAGCAATTTCCTTATTCATTAATGTTTTTGTTAAACTGACCATAATTTTATCCATTTGTTCATGCGTGTCAGATATAACAACAAATTTAAGGTAAACCGCATCGTTTACCGGTGAATTTACGGCACTACAATATCTTCGAAATTATTGAACGCGTTACTTTTCTTTAGTTAGCTTCAAAAATGCGCTATGTTCTTCCTTGTTCATCAGGCGGCCACTGATTCTGAAATTTTTGAATACAGAGAAGAGGAAAGCAAATAAAATATTTCTTAGAGTCGATGGATTATCGGGATTTGAATTTGAAATAAATGGAGCCCCGGTTCCGTTTAACTGTGGCGAAAGTGGTGGTGATGAGATACTGTGTAAATCGAGAGCGTCCAGACTGTCTAAAACTCGCGCTCGGTGTTACACCTGTCGATCAAAAATCGAGGGAAATGGTAATAAAAACAAAACAGAGACTCCAGAACGAAAACTAAGGAAGCTAATTGAATGGATAGACTTCGGGAATTTTAGTAACTACTTCAGGAACCCTTTTAAAACGCTATGTTTTTGGTGTGGATTCCGGAATTAGCATGATGTCAAAAAAAAGTCGCCAATGCCAAAGAGTCTAATGAACCTCTTTCTTCGCTCTTCCAAATCTCTCTTTAGTCCAATACCCCAAACTTCCCCGAAAACATCTTCTCCAAAGTAACACATTACCAACCCTCCACCCATTTGTTTTCCTCGAATGCCAAGCCGCAAGTGGTCACACAACAGGTACTTAATGTCGTCTTCATGGGTCGGGGAGAACTGTCACTTTTGGAAATGATTGAGAGGAAAAAGGGGGGTGGCAGTCAACCCGATCTACCTCACAAAAGTTCCATTCAGCCACCCCCCGAAACCGGTCGCTACAATCGGGGAGGGCGGCTGCCGCTAAACTGATAACTCACAGTTTATTTTCTGCTGCACCACTTTTGAACTACGGTGTGCTGAGTCGTAAGCGAGCTCCTTTTTAAACAACTTTATTTCTAATGATATTTTTAGCAATGACCATCACCAAGTTAACGCCAGGTAATCAACAAAAATTAGTTGAACTTCGTCGTCTCGTTAAGAACCATCTCACCGAGTAGGTCTCCACTGAATTACTATCATACTACGACTACGATTTTTAGATACTATGATACAGATTTCAATCTCTTACGCTGGCTCCAAGGACATGATAAATTGGAAGTCGAGGAAATTTCCCGGAAATTGATCCATCATTTAGAAATGAGGTTGGCAGCTCTTAAAAATTATAAAAATAGGATTAATTTTTTTTTGTTCCAGAAAATGCCATTGGAACTTGGACCTGATGCATGCACAATCAGAAAAACACCCCATAAATAATTATTGGGTCAACGGTGTCACATGTCTAGCTGGCGAAAAACTGCCAAATACCATCGTTTTTGTGGAGCAGGTAAAAAGAGCTATCGCTGTCTTCCTTTACTAGGGAGGTACTTGAACTTGTTTTTCGCCTGAGAAAACCGGAAACGCTATCTAACGTGGTTTTTTGCGCTGATCAGGAAGCCGTTTTAAAATCCAAACACCAAACTTTGCGAAGTAGAAAAATTGAGGTTGCGGTAGAGGCTTGAGAAGGCTCCGAGCATCATTTCTTGTTCCCCCATAGTGTGCTGTTTGATTTCTGGACGTTTTATCGTCTATGGAACGGATACCTCGATAAATCTCTGCTCGGTGAGAAAGCTAAACCAAAAAGCAAAAGTTTTGCAAAAAAAAGTGGCATTTTAGCAGAGTCTGTCAGGGCGGGGTATCGAACCTGGGAGCAAAAGGTGGGAAGCGAGTGTCATGCAAAACCACTACCACTCAGCCAGGCCCGTAAGAGGGGGGCGAGGGGGGACCCTAATGATTTAATTTTTCCAAAAAATTTTTTTTGCCTGCGGCACTGTTTTTGTCTATTTTTAACACTAGTTTTAGTGTTATAAACCCTATTTTTTTTTAAATTTTGCCTGCGGCGCTGTAGTTTTAGTCATATTAGTGAAAAATTTTTTGGGGTCGCCCCCCCCCCCGAAATTTGGGTCTGTTACGGCCCTGCACTCAGCCATCCTCCCCCCGGTGACAGGGGAATTTGGAATGCCTCATATCCCGGGGGCGCCACCACGTACGGTTATCCGAATAAGGCACCAGTCCGTGATGCTGGTTAGATTTATAGCCTTTTTAAAAAAGATTTTTCTACTTTGAAGAGTGTGTGGATTTTAAAATCGATTCTTGATCAGCACAAAAACCCGTTTTCCCGTTTTGCTAAAGCGAAAAACGAATTCAGGCACTTCCCTAGTCACGAATTTAGTGTGGAAAAACTGACTATTACGGAATGCTGCAAAACAACAGCTTGTCCGAAGTTATGAAGGTATACTTCATATTAAATTTGGTTTCAAAGTTTTGAAAAGGCGCGGTTGCCAATTCTAGAAGATATGCTCCATCGATGTATGGTTTTGGAGCGAAAGACAGGCAAAATTTCAAGGTTTATTTAATATTCAAGTTCAGGTCAACAAGCCTCTATTCTATTCGTGATGGATTTGACGGACATAAAGTATGATAAAAAGCTGTACGATCTTGTGACCGGAAAAATGAAGGAATTGGCCGAGTTTATGGCAGGTACGCAAAATTTTCTAATGCGATTTTCTGATTTTAACTGTTCCCTTCGAATAATTTGTGATTTTCAGATCATTACGTAGAAATGGTGAAGTATTTTGTTGTCGTAAACGTGCCAGCCTTTATTTGGATGCTATGGACAGCAGTAAAGCCATTACTGCCGGAAAGGACAAAGAACAAGGTATTCCATGCCCTTTTTGCATTTTCTAAGCTATTCAGGTCCGGCTTTTATCGTCAGATTGGAGACAAGAAATCCTGGAACTCTGCAATGAGAAAGCCTGTCCGGATTATTGGTAAACCTTACCTACTAAACGAATCCCTTTTAGGAGCAATTCTCAACACAAATTTTACGCCTCGATCCCCACTCCCTTAAAATTTGATGAAATGCCGAACAGATCGATTGAGGAACAAAAACTATTAGAACAGGTACTATAAAATCCAGAAAATTGGATGACAGATTTATCAGGATGCCGATCTAGAAGAAGCTTCAATTCTACCTGGCAGAAACCTAATAATCAGAATAGAATGTCGGAAAGGTGATAGGGTATGTTCGAAAAATCGATGATCCAACATATACTGCCATTTTTAGCTGTCATATTGGATCACCGCCAATCGATGTCTTGGTTTTGGAATTTTCCAAGCTACCGAAGGGGAAACGCTAGACGAGTTATACAAGTAAATACAAACAATAACGCGACTAATACTGTACTGAATTTAATAAAATCCGCCTATTTCAGTGCACCCCAACTAGTCCCAACGTTCTGCTGGCTTCCCGGACCACTTCTGGTCCCAATGCAAGATGTCATTGAAATTGCTGCAGATGGCACTTACACCCTACTCCTTTCAAATCACAAATCGTGGTGGAATACCGTCCGTGTTGTATATAGATTTCGAAAGAATTGAATAAATTGCCAATTTTGTAATTTCCTCGCCTCACTTGAGCCAAATTTCCAAACAGCTCCTACTTCCAAACCCCTACAAATCCGCCCTATTTTCATTGTTTGATGATATTTATGCATGGGTGCGTTTTTAAAATCATCTCCCCCGGCCCCAAGGTCAGATTTTATTCTTTTTCATAAGTTGACATCTGTTCGCACCTCGCATCAATGGCAGGAATGGCACCTCAGGGTATTTGCCTTGCGGCTACTTGGAATGACCTCACGATGGGAGTACTATAGGCATTGATTGGACAGTGCGCGAAATTCTATTGATTTTCGGCCCGAATCTCAATGGCTAATGCAAATATCTGCCTTGGAGGTATTTGGTATCATACTAGCTATTTGGTTTTATCATTATCTAATTTTTTAATGCAAAAACAACAGTAAATTAGAGATCATAGGGCCGTAATTTTTGTGCTATTTTTTTCTGACCAAACCCCAATCCAATGGCGCCTCCAAAAAGAAATGCTCAACCGCTGAAAGCCCGGCCGCGAAAAAGGTTCAGAATCGCATGGCCCCGGCTCTCATCCTTGGCGTCGTTCCTCTGCCCTGCCAAACCCCAAAATGCGTCTCCTTACCCCCCGAAACGGCTTCTGTTTGCCGATTGGATAGACTTACACGACGCCCCGTTTCACACAAACCCCCCGTTACACACCCGAAAATCTCAACTGCCGGATGGGGTGCTTGCCCTTCGGATTACCCCGCAGCACACCTTGCTATTCTAGCGCTCTTTTATGCGGGTAGCTCACTTTTTTTGCTCGCTGCAAATCGTTCCTATTCTGAGGGTTGGGCTGCGTGCCAGCGGTTTCGAAATGATACAGTAGCCTTGTAGATGCTTGGAAATTTCTCGAGATTTTGTAGCTGTTTTCTTTACTAATATGTAAGCTTTATACGTACAATTCCGGGATTACATACACCTTCCAGTCCTCCCCAACTATACATATTGCCTCGGTCATAAAATCATCAAAACATCCAAAACATTCGGTTCCTTATCGTTCCCCCGGTGAATCCAGACTTTGGCTAATGGATCAGCAAACCATAACATCCTCCGTCGCGCCGATAGGAACGTCTTTTTTGTATTCCTAGCTAAAGTGGATGTTTCCGCCGGTTTCCGGACCCCTTTTTCTGACTCATGAAATCAGTATTCATGATATTCCCCAACTGGAAGCATGTGTGACTGTCAGGTTCATTTCTCTTATTCTCCATTTTCCGCCGGGGTGGCGCGCGGCATTTGAATCCCGGCCACTTTGCATGCCGTAACGACACCTGCTGCTTTAGGAATTATACACTTTCACGGCTCGGATGAGCCCCAAAAATTAATCCCAATAGATAAAGTTCCAATGAGCATAAGTGTTATTTAGTCCGGGTTTCTTTAAGTATCTGCATTTTGGCCTTAAATTTCAGATTAAAAGGTTTTCTTGCCTTGCCCGATCTACTTTCACTAATGAAAAAAATTGAGGATGCGTAACTGAAGGCCTAAAAGCATTCCTTTTATATTAAAACTTCCTTTAAATAAATCTAAAACTCCGAAAAGGCACCCAGCTGCCCCGGGGCGGTGCGCGGTATCCCGGATTATAGACTACACGACACCCACTCGTGGGCCCTATTATAGGCCCATGCCCCGCCAAAACACTTTTAATTTGGCCACTTCCTGTTGGAGGTTTTTATGATATCCTGTCAAGTCGTTGATTTCCAACTTTGAAAATACCAAAATCCACCTTCCATGAGGATCAAAAAATTTGTTTTGGACGACTAGAGTGGCCGTTATTTATTTTAGCGTTTCTAGACGTAAGGTCGGTGAACGTTATAGGCTGTTATTTAAAAAGCGGGATATATTTAAATATATAGATATGTTATAGATTTATTACTTGTACGCATTCAATTCGAATTTTTTTCGTGCGCCTTTGCCCGGATTTTTAAAAATTTCTATAAATAACCATCCGTCGTTCTCTCACCAATAAATACCCATGAGGTCTCACCGTCGGTTGTAGGCGAGTGTGTCCCACAAGGGGGTCGACTTGGAGAGTGTCGCAGCCAAGATGTGCGAAGATAAACAGAAATCACCCATGTCTTCTTCCAGTCTCCCCCACTACCCGCCGTTCAATCTGAATCCTAGCTTAGTGCCCTCAAATCTTGCGCTTACGCACTCTCTTTCAGAGACCATAAATTACGGCATCTCGTTCTATTGTGGGTACGTTCTTTACGTCTAATTTTGTAGGTAAAACGAGCGGAATGGTTCTGGCGAAGAACAAATCCCGTACTCGCGAGCAGCGCTCTCCACCTGCCGCGAAGGATGCCCTCTTAAGCCTGAAGCTTGAGCCGGTCATGGTCCGTTTATCCTGCCTTAAATTGGGCTACAAATACCATGACATTCGTTAGGAACAATTATTTCCAGGAACATCGTCAAACCCTATTGCTCTCTTTGCGACGCGCTCTTGCTCCATCGGGTAATTGCAACTGGAGTGATGTGCGGCAACAGTACAAAAAAGCCTCCGGACGTGCTCTCACCACCGAAGAGCTCAATTGGATGGTAAATGCAAATGGAAAATCGCGGTATGCAGAGAGTCCATTCTCATTATACGGTCCACATTTTTAGAATGGAGCTCTTCCAACTTGAATATCGTCACCTTGTCATCCCACTAGACAGTCATGGAAATGTTTGTCCAGCCTCTCTGGCTTTGAAAGTTCATTTCCAGGTTGTACGCCCGGTCTTCAAACGCCAAACTGAGTTTGTTGGAGGCGGCTTGTTTACGAAGAAAGATGATGAGGTCGATTCGGCGTCGGAGGTTTCGCCAATTCCCTCAAGCGATGCCGGTAATTTCTTTAAAAATAGCCTATATATATTTTTCTAGGATCCACCGACGATGTAAATCGTCATATTGACCGCGAGGGAGCTGACTCGGCAGATTCGGCGTTGCATTCCGGAAATGAGGAAACGGTTTCGCTGGACAAGGACATTTCTGCAAGTGATGATCAGTCGGAGTCCTCGAAGATCAAGGAAGCGGTAGTAGAGGAAAAAGAGGCCACAATCCAGGTACAGAAAAAAACAACAAAAAAACCAGCCCCCGTTTTAAGGTCGACGTCGAGCTCGTCTCCAGCGATGCAACCAATCTAGGATGCGCTGAATCCATGGCCGAGAAGTCTCAGGCTGTTGAGGAATTGCGGGCTCGTACCCCAACTGTGGTCGACATCTCCACTACCGACACTTTCCTACGGGAAGCTCAAGGCGCCACAGCGGATCATACCGTTTTCACCGTACGTCTCTCAGGTCTTATAGCAGCCAAAAGCCGAGCCCATTTACAAATTCCGTTTAGAAGCAGCCGAGCTACGCACTCGAAATTGACGCGACGGAAATCTGTGATATTGGAAGTAGCTCATTGGAAGATCTCTCTGCTGAAGCGGCGATGGTGCGCCTCTCCGATAACTTTTACAACATGGCCCCTGAAGAGAGTAAGGAATCACACGACGATCTGGATCAGGAGCTCCCTATTGTCCACGCGGTGCCAGCTGTAGTCGTCGAAGAGCTAACCGCTGACTCGCTGCCGTTTATTCAAGGGAATCCTGTTGAAATCATCACTGTTCCAAATCCACATTGCACGTTAGAGGAAGTGAAAAAGACGTGCAAGGACTTCCGTGCCGAACTGGAGGAGCTGAAAAATGAACAGAATGAAAACCGTCGTGACCTGGCCGAGGTCCAGAAGATCGTTTTGAAGGCGAAACATGTAAGCATTGTTCATTTAAACGCGAGCAACTTAATGCACATGAAAACACCCACCGATTTTAGGCAACGGAGAAGCCGCGACCAACAAACCGATATGAGGATCCGAACAATAGTGACTTCACGGTATCTGATGGGGAAACCGATCACTTGCCCATGCTTTACGCACGCAAGGTGCCAAAGATTGTGGTGGAGGTAAATAGCTAGACATCATACTTCAATTGCCCTTTAGCCGTGCAACAATGAACTTTCGGATGAGGATGACAGTGATGGGTTGGAAGTACTCTCGCCGACTCCCGAGTTACCCGAGCTTCCTATCGAGTTGGACGCTGGTGCTCAGCTGCCGGACGTATTAGATGGGTCACGCCGCGCTCAAAAGCAGCCAAGGTAAAATTGTCTGATTTTTATTAAATAAAATATATGTCAGGCTACTACACCACGCCGGAGGTGTACGATTATGTAATGACTACTCACTCTCACCTCTTTACGCGTGTCTCCGTGGTTATTTTTCTAATGCAGTAATATTAATAACTTGAGTCCACACCATTTTCAGAATTTTCCCAAATTTTTGAGTAAATTTGTTTAAATATACCCCGCCTTAAAGTATTCTCTATACTCCCCCTCCCCTCTTTCATTGATCTCTGGATAAAGTGATGTTCAATTCACTTTCCCGAATAAGTCTTCCTCGACGAATACGTTCACCACGAATGCCATTTGATTGTTGCTTATTCGGTAATGCCCAAGTCTCAATAAATTGTTACACTTTGGACTGTTTTTAAATGTATATTTTGTGCGGAAAGGCTGGGTGGAGGGGTAAGCGATGGCCATGGCCAGCTGGGCACAAACGATAGAATAAGAAAAAATGAGAGGGGAGAGATGAAGAGGTGGATTGGCGGTGGCCAAAGGATTGATCCCCGCACCCCCTTGCAATACCTTCTTCACTAACAAACAACGCTTCAATGTATTGCAAAATCGAGCTTGCTTTAAAAATACCTGAGCTGTCTCTTTCGTGGTGCCTTGGATGTTGCTTTTAAGAATAATTTCTTGTGGAATTATGGCAGTTCATTTATTTGGAAAGACAGGCTTCTTTTTGCCTAGTCCAAGGATTTCAAATCTCTTAATACTACTTCAATAATTCAAGCAATGCGAGGAATTCGAAAAGATTCCTTTTCAGCCTTCCATGGCTGCTTTGATGTCTATGTGCCCCGCTTTGCCGGGCGGCCATTTCGATTCAAGGTCCTCTTACTCAGCGGGTAGCTTGCCAGCTGTCCTGTTTTCGTTGTCGGCCTTCGTAAAAAGTAAACTTTGTCAGCGTGAATTCCTGCAACAAGGCGATTTTTAGAAATCCGAGCTGTGATTTTCAAAGTCAGCTTGCTTTGAGATACGAATAACCTTAGCTTGTTTTGAGATACTAATACCCTTTTGCCTTGAATAATTTTTAGCCCCTCAACTTCTTCACACCCACCGCTTCTTTCACTAAAACTTGGGGGTGGTATGGTTGTCGTCTGGTTTGACAGCTACCTGTTTATCCAAAGGCTTAACCTGCGGACCATTCCAACTCCCCCTACCGGGTGTCCCCTTCGGCGCATTCTGACCGGAAATAGTGGTATGGTGTAGTATTTATCGACGTCTATGTTTCATTCAAACTTCATTTACTTTCGGAAAAAATACCTTATCTCCATTGTCCTTGCCCAAAATCGTTGCAGGGTTTTTGCTCGAAATTCCCTTCCATTTTCGCTATTTGAATATTCCATATTTTGTATTGCAGTGCAATATGCGGGCCCGAGTGCCAGACAATTTCGGCTGAAACCCCTCCATCCCGGAAAGCGGGTGGGAAATAACACTGCGCAACAATGGTCCTCGCCGCCGTATTGTCTATGCTCAGGTTTGTTGCCTAGGCATATTTTATTGACAAATTTAAATACAGATATGTGAGCTTTTCGGACGATCGTGACTTTGTCGACCGACTACACTCATATTTTACCTGCAATATTCTGATCGGGCTCAGTATATTAGTTAGTTTCAAGGTAAGCCAGATTTCGTAGCATCATAAAACGTTTTAGCAATTTGGCGGGAAACCGGTGGAATGTCTAGTGCCGGATATGTTTAGTTCTTCATGGGAACAGGTTGGTGTTGTGATGGGCAAAATCCAATCGAATTCTTGGAATTATAGTACGCAGAAAACTACTGTTGGGCGCAAGACACGTATTTTGTGCCAATGTCCAAACATGTCTCAGTAATGGGAACCGAAGAGAAACGAGCCCGAAAAATTAGCTACTATCAGGTAAGCTATCGAGAAGAGTATTTTTAGCGACGATTTTACAGTGGGTCCCGTTCTTCTTGTTAATAGAAGCTGCGTTCTTTCGCCTTCCGTCGATACTCTGGAAATACCTGGGAAACCATTCAGGTATTTGCTTAAATCTTGGAAAAGTTAAGGTTTTAGGCATTAAAATCCATGAAATTGTCAAATTGACCTCGGATCCAAACAACATCAAACCGGATATAAAGAAGGCCAATTTGAAAGCGTTGTCGAATCATTTGCAGGTTTGTACAGTAAGTATTTTTCGATAAAAAATTATAGGGGGCACTTCGGTTTCATCGCAGAATCCACAAACGTCAAGTGCAGCCTCATAAGTAAGTTTCCAGGCAGCTTATGATTTTCTTGGACCAGAAATTCGTTTGTTGTTTACAATATCCATGTTCCAGGTTGTTCACCGTCTGCAACTTACCGTACTCTGCTTTTTTCGTCACGTCCGTCTACATTATCACCAAGTTCTTCTACCTGGCCAATGTGTGCTTTCAGCTGTTTTTGATGAATAGGTAAGCAAGGGTTTCTTGAAATTATCTGGTGCATTGTTTTAGCTTCCTTGAAACGGATCGATATCGTTGGTACGGTTTTGAGGCGCTTGTTGACCTATTGGCCGGCCGTAACTGGGAGCAAAGCGGAATGTTTCCACGGGTATCGCTATGCGATTTTGATGTGAGTTTCAGTGTTCAATTTATCGGGATGTAGACAATAGTAGCATATATTCACATTTTTAAGGTTCGTGTGATGGGAAACATCCAAGAACACACCATTCAATGCGTGCTAGTAATCAATATTTTCAATGAGAAGATATTTATCTTCTTATGGTTCTGGTAGGTTCACAAATTCCCTGAACATATTCTTAATTGTGTTTTTTTTCAGGTACTGTATGCTGGTCGTATTCACATTGGGCTCGTTTCTCTACTGGCTTTTCGTGGCGCTGACGCCATCGGTACGTTTTTAATACCAATTTTCTGTATTTTCCAATTGTAGATGAGTCGCCGTTTTGTCAGCCGTCATCTGGAGATGGCCGACGTTCCATTCGACTTAGAAAGTGAGCGTCAGTTTTTGAAAGCTAAACGAATTATTTTAGCGCAAAAAGAGAATGTGGATTGTTTCATCGACACGTACCTACGTAGTGACGGGGTTTTTGTAATCCGGATGATAACATTACAGTCTGGAGTGATATTTGGGACTGAATTGGTGAGTTCAGAATAAGAGAGAACATGCTCGATTTTTCAGGTGGCCGATTTGTGGCGAACATTTGTTGGAATGCCAGAGTTAGTAAAGAGATCGAACAGTGGCGCGGAAATACATTGGAAACCAACTGGTAGGGATGAAATTTTTAATTATTGTCATCATCATCCGTATTTTCTGTAGAAATGGAAACCGAACTGGTCCGCCGGAAAATCGCCGAAGGTGAGACGAAGGACCGCGCAGAATTGGAGACCTTTCTCCATCAACCAAGCTGGTAAGTCGAACATCAGAAGCGCCCAAATTTGGATGATACTTTAAAATGGCTTCAATTAGGCGAGCCAGCAGCCCTCCACTCGAGATGAAGTCCCCGATTTCCACTGGGGTATAAAGTAACGCTGCTTTACCTCTTCGGCCCTTCACCGTCTCGTTAAAGCACATCCCTTTCGTTTATTGTTTATTTGGGAAAATGGTGAATTTTGCTACCCACCCCCCTCACATTTTTTTGGGCGTCACCTGGTGATCGGTCTTTTTTTTACTTTCGATTGGGCCCAGTATGCTCTGGCCATTTGACGGCGGCTTGATTTTGAAATAATTAGAGGTTGGGCCCAGTCTAACCTTTCGGGAAGTCACGTAATATTATACCATTAAATCCAAAAATTAATTTTAGGTCAAACCTAATGCCACCACAGGAGGAGTCAATCGACCAACCGGACGGAATCCACTTTACCGCAAACCGGCAGCATGAACATTTACGATTTGCTGATGATTCGACTAGGCCCTAGGGCTATTACCATATTCTGTCAATTTTAAATAGCAATCGATACAAAACATTATAGACCTTGTTTAAAAAAATTTTAAAATGTTAATTTCTTAATCTAAAAGCTTTATACACTAAATTTCATCCAAAATATAGTGTATTCTCCCTCGACATTTAATCAAGTACACCTTTATGCCACGTGATTCCCATACTTCGCATGAAACCCCCAGCACGTAGCCTTCCTAAAACTCTCACGTGAATAATGCCAAAATTTTAGCTTTGAGAACAATAATATCAGATGACTTTTAGTCTACCCCAACCCTACTCGACTATGCTTCTCATTTCAGCTTTAATTTGTGAATTTTGCCCCTCGAACTTGGCAGCCTTAAATTAACGACCACTCATCTCTATTTTTGCCACCGTTTCCCCGCTCAATCTAAACTTACTATAATGTCTGTACAATAAGGGTGCATATCATCTTCATCTGTATTCGGTTTTGATAGCTGTTTTCACTTCGGAGAGCACAAAGTTGTTTTTACTTCCGGCTTCAGCGTACACATGTGACTTTGGAAAAATGGTAATTAGCTTGTTTAGGGGTAGAAATTATCGGGAATTTGTCAAGCGAACCGTAAATACGACATTTTAGGTAGAGATCAGAGTTTATTTATTCCACCTGGATTGTGAGCCGCCACCGTCCTTTTAAAATTCCGTATCAACGTCTCAAAAATAGAGCGCGACGTCTTGGTTTTTTTCTATTCCAGGAAAAGGTGGGCGGCAAATGATTGGAATTGCATCGGACCTATTTTGGTACGGTACTGCAATCAACTTTGCACAATGTCCAAAACAGAGTTGATTTTCCTGGCGGTTCCTGGAAGGAAGCTATAGATATTAGCTAACGCTATAGATTGGCGTAAAGTGGTTTAAAGGCTCGTGCCAGGAAACTTCTTTCAGTATGTTAATTATTCTCGTAGCTCTGAATAGTCTCACGAACCGAGTTAACTTCCGCTATACCCGAACTACACACCAACGAACTTCTTAATTTTCTCAACCCCTAATTCAATCCGAAAACTCGGACAAAATTTGCAAATTTTTCATGTGAACGTGGTTTAACCTTCAACCTTCCCAATTCCTCCTACTACCCATTCAAAGAACTTCCGTTTTTCTGCTCCACCCACTCGCAACCTATTCCTGTCACGCGCCTGGGCCCAAAAACCGAAACTTTCCTGTGAACCGTTTATGCTTTTTCGCACGATCCGAATTCACGGGGGCCCAGAAATCCCGCGAAATCTCAGGTAGCGGGCCAGTTTTTGGGGTGCGCTATTTGCGAGTGGGGAGTTATTTTAGAGTTGTTGGTTGAGTAGGTCGTTTGGGGTGGAAGTCGTTTTCGGTTCGTTGTAGTCGTCTAATGGCCATTTAAAAAAGCACCTGGATGGATCAAAGATTCTGGCGTTTCCGTAAAAAGGCCCCGAATTAATGTATTTTGATCTGTCAAAATTAAAAATTTGAACCAACTAGAATTTTTTAACTGTTGAAAAAGTATCTTTTTATGTTTTCCCAGATAGCTGACCAAGAAGCTGCCATTCACAGTCCCAAACTCCAGCTAAACTGTTTTGAATAAACGGCAAAAAAATTAGACGGATAAATTCTGAGGCAAATTGAACTTGTAGACCTTTGCCACCATTATTGGTCCGAGTTCAAAACATTCTCATCCCCTGAAATCTCCTTATTCCCCTAGAGACATCCCTGCAAAATATTTCTATTCCACTGAACTATCCGCCCAATTCTTCTGCTGGCTCTCCGTGTCACCTTGTGTTCCTCCCCAATACCAATCAGTGCAAAAATAACTGATTTCCGCGCGCCCGTAATTATTTGTGCTCCCCCTCAATAACACACAACGTCCAGCAATTTACGAATTTTTGTCGCAAACAGATCGCGTTGGCTTTTTTCCAGCTTTCTGGTAGGACTAATAATTTTATCGCGCCCGAGAATAGCTGGTCCAAAATTTGCCGAACAACACGTTTTACGGGCCCGTATGTACGAAGATTGCGCGAATGCGGAAATACTTAGGGCTCAGAACACATTTTCTGACATTAACGGGGAGGGGTACGATAAGTATTTTGTACACCAATAGAAACTCGTCTCAAAGTTCTACCCTCACTCCGCCATTCCTACGTAACTTGTACCCAAACGCACCCCTCATCAACCCAAGAAAACACACTGATTACATCGTCTGGGGGATTTGGCATAGTCTACAGTACTTCCTCCTCATATCCTTTTTTTGGTAACCCAAGTGGTCAAACAACCAGTGCTAATTTTTTTGGGGGAAAGGAGGCAGGTGATTTTTCGTTGTTTTTAAACTTTAGTGCTGCCCCTTGGGGGCGCGGCTTCAGCTGGGTGCTGGGGCTATAATAAATACAGCTGATTTTTTCTGGCGAACCACCTGGTCAAGTAAATTTTCGGGGACGAAACGTTTTCTTATATTTGAATTCAACCTCGATACCATCAACCAACCATCCTATATTGCATGTTTTGATCGATGGGATTGTATAGCGAAATCATTAATTGATTCTTGATTCTAGAGAGCGTTATCGTCGAAATGCAAAGGTGGATTGAAGCGGGCGGAAATGTGGATCGACTTGGGCCGCTGTACGATTGCAGGTTGATTTTATTTCATCACTAGTAAATTAAGATTTAAGCCGCTTTAACTTGACTCGGGCTGAGTGGCTTAGCGTCGGGAAAAAGGAACCACTTCTTGGCTGGACGGCTTTGATCTATGGGATTGTAATTGAGGTCAGGAGACGGTACTTGAATCTCTCTCGGTCTGCATCTCTCTCTCTCTCTCTTTCACCTCTCACGCTCTTAAAATGCTACTTCTAGGTCCTCTACTTCCCATGCCTTTTCGCTTTGGCAAAACCAGAATACCTAAAAATGTCTTGTTACAAAGTAAGTTAATTCTGAACTCAGGTTAACCTGCAATTTGAAAATAACAAACTGACTTTTAAGATTATGCTTTTTATCGGCATCAACGATATGGTGGCTATTACGGTAAATTCGATTATCACTGGGTATTCGCTGATTGTTGGTATGCTAATTTCACTAACGCTAAAACGGAAATTGATTTCTTAGGTGTTGTCTACTGTGCCGAACCCAACTTTCAATATTTTGCGGGAGCCATCGGACTGGGTATCTAAAATATGTTTTAAAACGCCCATATTTCTTAGCCACCTGGTGCAGCGCCTGTCTGGCCTGCTTAATTTTGGTGTTCAATCGTATTTGTGCGCTATGGAAACCGACTCTAGTTGAAGCCATCTTTGGAGGTATAATCAGCATTACAGTATTTCATTTCCTATATCAAGAATTCATGAAAATTGTAAATTTAGGGAATAAGGCCTATTTTATCATGGGTTTTCCGTTGGTCTATTGCATGTGGTTCATCTTCTGCACCCCGCCGATCCTATTTTCATCCCCACGGGAGGGCTGGTTCCTGTATCCATTTTTTGAAGACGCCCAAAAATTCTTTGTGAGTAGAACCTAAACTACAAATATAATCTCCGTGTTGTTTAAGACCGAATCTGAATGGAAAAAACTGCAAGTTGTCCAGGACATGGTGCCGGTAGCTTTTTACATGAAAACGAATTTATGGAAGTTTAGTACGCAAATTTGGGCATGATGGCAAACAATATTCTCGTTGTTTTCCTTACCGTTATATTCTATATCATCTTCTGCCTCATCCTTCTCTTCAAATTCTACAATAAAACCTCCCAAAAGAAGACATTTGCGCAGAAATCGGTATGGTTCCGATGCCCGAATTGAGAATATTTTTCTAGATCTTTTATCAAAGCGCCCTGATTTCGGCCGCAAATTTGTATACAGGTAAAGTATATCTTTGTAAAAGATAGTTCTGAAAATATTTTTCGTAATCGCAACTTTTGCAGCCGCTGTTTACACCTACATGCAATTTTTCCCGGTTCCAGCCACTATGGTCTTTATTGGACATGCTGGGTGCATGTTTTCCCATGGTAATTTTTAGCAGAGTTTAAAGAATTGAGACTTGAAAAATATATATTTGGTATTATGAAACAAGGATATATTTTTAGGATTCCCGGCAATGGTTTATTTGACTGTCAACCGCTCTATCCGGATGCAAGTTGCCGGAATGCTTGGTTTCTCGAAATATGGTGGCAGAAGAATTTCCCAGTTCCGCTCGACCGATCAGTCGATGCCTTCTAGCGGTGGGTGTTTAAGGCTCGGCCTTCTATTCTATTTTTCTCATCAAACGTGTTATTTTAGACATCCGCCCCGACCAAATCCATCCCCGCTTCAGCCAGGTTGACAGTGCAAATTGACAATGAAAAAGCAGATTTATTCGTCGTGCTTGTGCTCGGAATGAAAGCGCTTGTTCAGGCGGTTTGTGTGGTGCCGACGGGCTGGATTGGGAGTCCACGTCGGACAAAGCTGCCTGAAAAGATTGTTTAAGAAATCGATACCAGCTAGTGGAAAAGCAATGACCTAAAAACTCACTCATGCCTCCCTGTTCACCGGAGCCGCCGAACCCTCCCCGACCTCCTGAAAAGCTTTTTTAAAGGAGCTGGGAAGTAAAAATTAGCATGTTTGGGCGTGGAATCAATCCGGCGAAAAAGTAAAGATGGTCTGCCGAAAATACCGAGAATCAGAAAAAGAATAATCAATTATCCTGTTGCCCTCCACGCCCGCCCTGCCCTCCTTGGCCACCCTGTGGTCCGCCGAATCCACCACGGAAGCCTCCTTGTGCTCCTCCCATAAATGGCCCTCCTTGACGTCCTCCTTGGAATCCTCCTTGGGGTCCACCCTGAGGTCCTCCAGGTCCACCGTGCCCTCCGTGAGGTCCACCTGGTCCCATGGCTCCGGCCATGGCCAACATACCCAAAGCCTGCTTGGCCATTGGGCTCTCAAGTCCATCGATCAGAGCCTGAAATCAGAGGTTTTTTGTCTTTTCGAAAGCGTGCCATTTCTGTTTTTAAAAGTTAACGGAGGAAAAACCAAGAAACTTACCATGGTCTGGTTCTTGAGCGAATCCTGGCTAAGATCGCGGTTCTGGAGAAGGGTGAGCAGCTAAAACGATAGGCTTAATCCAAACATCAACTCATACGGTTGGCACAGCGCTCTGCAGCTCCTTGAGCGTCTCCGTCACGTTGGCGGCAAGCTCAGCTTGACGGTCCTCGTATGTTTGAGTGAAGTTTTGGACGGCCGCCTGAATATCAGGTACTGATATTTACAAATGAACATACAACATATTCATCTCCATAGCCCTGAGCCAAGGCGGTGACGGCGGTGACCTTCTCGTTGAAGCTGAGGGTCGTGTTCTTGATGATGGCCTGGAATAAAATTTCGAATACGAGAAATTTCAGAGTAATAAATGGTGAAGAAAGTTGTGCCTACCGCGAAGGCGGCCAAATCGGTGGAGCTCAAGTTGTTGAATGGCGCTGGCAGACCGCCAAAGCCACCTAAAATCAACTTGCCCGTTGTATATTTTTCAGGCTACCTTGACCTCCTTGTCCTCCATGTCCTCCCTGTTGTCCGTTAAAACCAGTGTTTCCGGACTTTCCTCCAGCCCCGATGAAGTTGATAGGAGTACCTAAGCGTCACAAAAATTTACAAAGCAAAAGCTGCGACTCACCAGAGACAGCGGTACCATCAACAGACACAGCAGAGGCGGCAGCCACTGTTGTAGCCTTATTCTTCTTCTTTGCGGCTTCGACGCTAAGGGCAAGGGCAACAATACAGATAAAGACCTTCATTTTCGAATATGCAGCTTCGATGGGTGAAGCTGTTGATGACCAACCCACAACCACTGCCCATTTTATAGCCTCGCCGCAGTGTCCATACATCGGGCTCAAACCACTGTTAAATTGGCGTCGTCATCGCGCACGGTTGGCGAGGTGTCGACGATAGATAGGTAAAAGGGCGAATCGAGGGGTTGATCTTTCTCTAGACCCTTACTCACATGTACCAAAACTGTCTGGTCGCACCGGGAAATACTGCTAATAAGCGACCCGATGTCAAAGTACCAATAACACACTATTGAGTGTTAAGATCAAAGTTGTTTACAGTAACCAAATAAATCTGCTAAAATCCATTGCTGCTTTTACGTTAGCACCTCAACAGCCTCGACTCGACACTTTGTATTTGAGTACAACCAGCGTAAACCAGACGAGTCAAACCAATTTCCGCAACAATCCGTGCTAGAAAAATCCGATGTAAATTACACCCCAACCGATCTACGCAATTCTCGTCGCTGGAAGGAAGCAATTATCCAAGCATCTCATCCGACTGGTTCTCAAAAAAAACACGAAATAGACGTGTGATTTTTTCCCGGTAATGCTAACCCCATCAAAGTTTAAGCAACTTTTCTTGCAGGAAACTTGGTCTTTCAGCCCCTCCTTTAACCCCTGTTGCACCCCAAGTGTTCTTGGTCTATTTTCTAAAAATTGAGGGGCTTCCGCGTTGCTGAATACCGTACGCGAAGTTTAGTTTCGACCGAGCTAGGTCCAGTTTGTTAATCCGGTCGCGCTCCGTTGGGGGCACATCAAAACCTTCGACAACGAACCCAGCACAAAAATGACAATCGGAAGCCGGGTGGAAGCCGAAAAATGGCTCGATGATCGGATCATCCGGGCAGAGCGCGCTTTCATCGGTTGAGTGCGATTCCTAGAAGAGGACATGGTTTTGAGAGGTATGCTAATCGCTTCTTTTTACAAATCGCGAAGAAGCCTAGGAAAATAGTATTAAGTAGTTAGAGGAAAATAGTAAATTAAAGAAATAGAGAAAACACTGTGTTCGCGCCTAAGATTAAAAATTTTTTAGAAACACCGTGAGAAATTACCAGATCTTCACCTGAAAAAGCGAGTTCCCACGACAACCTGGTGCGCATGGGCCTCTAAATGTTATTATTATTAGTACTCCCCCTGATAATCACGTTGGTCTATCCAATTTACATCAAAACTTAACTTTTCCTGTTGTTCTCTCCGATTATTTATATCAGTTATTGATTGGATTAGGTCAATGAAAAATCAAGGAACGACAAAGCGACAAATTTTAAACTAAGTCTCGTGATTGCGTTCGTAAACGAATTTTTAATTTTGCTCACTTCACCCCTACACCTGTGCTCATGGGTAATTTATGGCACAATCAAAAAAGACATGCACAGCAGGGGCTTGATTTATCGCCCTTTTGGAACCTCGAGAACTGTTATTGCGCGGATTCCGTACATTCTCCAGTTATCTTCAAAAAAAAAAAAAAAAAAAAAAAAAAAAAAAAAAAAAAAAAAAAAAAAAAAAAAAAAAAAAAAAAAAAAAAAAATTTTTTTTTTTTAAAAAAAAAAAAAATAAATTAAAATAAATTTTTTTTTTAAAAAAATTTTTTTTAATTTTTTTTTAAAAAAAAAAAAATTTAAAAAAAAAAAAAAAAAAAAAAAAAAAAATTTTAAAAAAAAAAAAATAAAAAAAAAAAAAAAAAAAAAAAAAAATATTTTTTAAAAAAAAAAAAAAAATTAAAAAAAAAAAAAAAAAAAAAAAAAAAAAAAAAAAAAAAAAAAATAAAAGAAAAAAAAAAAAAAAAAAAAAAAAAAAAAAAAAAATAAAAAAAAAAAAAAAAAAAAAAAAAAAAAAAAATTTATATAGCTTCAAACCTTGTTTCATCGAGCTCTCAAAGTTCTCCACCGATTGCAAGCGTTTGAAGCGCTCCTGCATCTTTCCCATTTAAAGGCCTCCAAAAAAGGCTCAAAATTGGTCATTTCCCGAAGGCCGCTTCTGAGCTTGAAGTGTTGCCGTTTCTGATTAATTTCCGGGCGGGGTTACGATAGATTCCGCTGTTTTCCTCCGGATTGCTAGCTTGACGTAGCGGTCATTTTCGATGCGTCGATTTTTGCTTTCAAACATCTGTGAATCCAAATGTAATATGGAATTTAGATGGCACTGGAGCTATGGAGGCAGTTGATTTTGTATCAACAGTTGCTGGGAACTTTCTGCCTTCTGACACTTTACGTGCCGATCCTCGTCGAACTCTACCGTAATCACTTATTACATTCGAATTTTAGGCAAGTGTTACGGTTAGTTACTAAGAAAAGCGTTTTTTTTTAGATTGATCCTCGCCATCAGTTGCACATTTGCTTTCTATCAAGAATCGACGGATATTGTCAAAGATTTACACCTGCTCGAAATCTATCAGAACGCCAGTCTGTACTATTTTGTAAGTCTTTTAATACCCGATTTACCAAAATTACTGATAATTATAGATATCAGTTTCGGCGTTTTATATCGGGATTGCGTACCGTTGTTGCACAATTGTTTTGTTTTTCGAGAGGCAAATGGCTACAAAGTATCGTGATCGCTATCAAAAAGCAGGCCAGACAACGACAACAAAACTGATTGTTATAGTCGGAATTGTAGGTGTTAGAAAATGTTATATTAATGTAGATTTAAACAAAATTTTCCAACTTAAGGTTGCGCTGCCGATCTTTATGTACACCGTTAGAACTATTGTTGGCTCAACTCTGATGACGTATGGTGGTCTATTAGTGCAGTTGATAATTCCTGTTATTATTGTGCCGGTATATTACTTACTTTTTTCAACTATCTGATATTTCAGCTTTTTCATCGGCTCTATCACCAAAACCGGAAAATCCACGAATATAGGTTTCATATGGGATTTGATTTACTGTCGACATATCAGGTTCGATATATTTTCAATACTCTATATAATTCTATTCTCTAGGTCGAAGAAAATATGCGTGCTACCAGGACTGTTATCCCAATGTGCGTTGCTCAATTTATATGGTAAGTATCAGACTTTACAAAAAATTGTAAACCTTTAGCATGGCAATAAACACAATGGCCTATGGATATTGTCTATTTTTCACGGACGTGCCGCTAGGAACAGATACAGGCCCGATTTCACATCTATTCCAACAGGTATTTTAACAAAACTAATTGATTTAGAAGCTGGATCTGATTGATGATTTCGAACATTTTTAAGGTAAGCCTAATGGATCGTGCGGCCCTCTTCATACTCCTGCTTCATCGGCTTGGCAAAGGCCGTCAAAAACGCCGTGAAATCTCCGACATCGACGCTGATCAAGCCGCTCACAGCAAAAAATACTTTAATGATCTCAAGATGCAGTGGGGTGATCTCTAGGTACCGAAATAAAGCCATATAATGCATTTTTCGAATACTGGCCAAAGAAGTTATCAAATCGTTTATTCAAATCTGTAGAAAGTACATATGTATTTGAGATCTTTCTCGATAAGAGTCGAGTAGCCGTTCTAGTAGTCGTACATGCCGCCGTTCGCGTTCATTCCGTTCATGCCGTTCATTCCATACATGCCGTTTCCATTCATTCCGTTCATGCCGTTTCCGGGCATGCCGTTGCTGTTCATGCGGCCCATGCCGTTCATTCCGTATCCGGACATTCCATTTCTACCCTGTCCATTTCCGGACATTCCGTTTCCGTTCATTCCGTTCATTCCGTTCATGCCGTTTCCGTTCATTCCATTCATCCCATTCATCCCGCGGTTACCCATCTGACCGTCCATCTAAATTCCAGAAATTTCAAGCTTCTTATTATCACTTACCATTCGTTGATTTCCCATCTGCCCCATTCCTCCCATCTGTCCATTCATCTGACCGTTCATCTGGCCGTTCATCATCACTAAAAAAACACTATATTCTCGATGTTATATTTGGCTTACTCTTCTTGTCACCACCATGTTTGTCCATTCCGTACATCATACCGATGGTCAACTGCTTGCCGAGCTCGGCCAGTTTCGGATCGTTTAGGGTTCTGAGGTATTGCTGAAATGGAAAGGTTGGGAAGATCACAGGCTGACATTTAATGTCAATAAGGTCTTAAAGTGTTCTGACTGTTGGCTTAAGCGAATTAAGCTGGCTTACATCGATCTGGGTCTTCTCCTGAGCCGGGGTCAGGGTCTGGTTATCAAGAATTGCTTGGATTCGGTTGACGACGGTAGGGAGCTGCTGGAGCCATCGAGTTCTGTTCTGCTTCACCTGCTGCTCCATTCGAGTCGAGTTCGCTTCGAATTGTTGATAAAGTCGCTGAAATTAAATACCTTAGCACGAACAAACTTAAATGGTGAGTTACAGGATATAAAATGACATACTTGAGTGTTTCCACCAATATTTTGCGCCCATTGGTCGAGTTGCTGCTGGATCTGGGCCTTCGTCATGTTCTGGCTGTTATGGATATTCTGGAACTGCTGCATCTGCTGTTGAGAGAGACCGTTCAAGAATGGGTACTGTTGCCCTAAAACATTACTGTTATTAAGTTACAGTAACCCTGAAACAGTGCCTTTGCCGCCAGGGCCAGCAACGGCAGCAATCGCCAGACAAGCAAAACTTAGCAGTAGCTGACGCATCTTAGCACAGATTTACCAGCTACTGCCAGTCTCCTCCTTATATACCTGGCAGCGACCAAACATATTTTTGTGCTTTATGCACTCAACATCGCCTTCTCTTCTCTGGGTACTCGGGTATTTCCTTGAAGAAGTGTAAACGGACAGTGCGATGTAGTCTCCCATTGAACTCAGTTTCTCTCTCCCGCTCTCTCTCTCTCATCTCCATATTGACTCATTTCTTTTGGCCCTCCTCCTCCTCAACATCGGCCTCAAACCAATGGCCAAAAGTGTCGCTTGCCAAGCAAAAATTGTTTGGCAGCCAATGGTCGGGCAAAGATTGCGAAAATTGAAAATGTTTTCGGTAGGAAGAAAACAAATATAAGTTGAATTATGGGGCCGCTCGATGAAAAGGGTGGGTTTTTAGGAGTAGAGTGAACGTTTTGACACGGTCTAGTTCCTTGAATAAATTTAAATAAATTTCTAAATGCATCGAAGGACTATCAGTTACGAACATCAACTTCCACAATTTTTTTGAAAACGTCCCATTCCAGCCGCTGTTCAAACAATACATTCGCTATTTTCCCATGTGAAGAAGATGGACGCCACATGGGCATTCAACCCCCGCTTCATCCCTCCGAAAAGCGGGCTGAAAAGTCGATCGAATGAGTAAGCCGATTATTATTTATTTGCATACGATATTTATGCCCGGCCCGGACATCAGAATCGCTTTTGGGTCGTCGCCATATCGAAAATAATTCATAGAATGGGCAGCTGGGTTAACAAATTGGTAGTCAGGTTCGGGGCTAGTGTGATTGGTATAAAATGGGAAGGGTTAGCTGGGGGGAACGCCAGTCAGTTTTGTATTCACAATTTTCCCCAAGTTTTTTATATAGTAAGCTTGTAGTTTTGAAATTATTTGAAAATAAGCATTTCATATAAATAACTCGTTGGTCAACCAGAGTTGAGCTTTAAGCTTTTCTGTTTTTAGTACTCCTCTTAATCCGTTGACCTTTTCCGAAAAAGCTCCCCAAAATATAATAGCCCAATCGCTAGCCACTGCCGTCTATAAAACACCCAAAAAAAATGCGGGATAGACTGAAATTCACTGTGACGAAACCGGTTTCGCTTCAAAACAATTAACGGGGGGTTGAACGTTGTGCAGGTGTATGAATAACAGTGTTTCCGGTGGACACTCATGCATTTTTAGGGGCGATTGACGGAGGAGGCGATTTAAATAAGCTTTCGGAACTTTGTTCACGTTTTGCGATTAATGGATAGAAGCCAAAAAAAGTGTGTACACGGCGCCAATTGGTATTACATTGGTAATACCACTCAGTTCATCAACCACGGTGCCTTCCAGACCAAATTTGATAACCAAAAACTAGGATTGTCAAAATAGCCAGAAGCAACCAGAAACCTGTCGCGCGGTAGCGTTACGGTCGTATCTGGCTATTTTTCACGAATAAACGCGCAGAAGATGTGCCAGACTTCTTAGCACCCTTAAGTAAAAATAGATCAGGGGCAACATTTACTTACACTTCTCACAGACCAAGAAGACACCAGTTTTCTCAGACGACTTCAAACCCCCCGACAGGGGCGTAGCCAGAAAAAAATTTCGGGGGGGGGCCCCCAAAAAATTTTTCCAAAAAACTCAAAAGATTAATGAGAAAACAGCGCCGCAGGCAAAAATTTTTGAAAAAGAGGTTACGTAGCTTACAAATAGCCGTAAAAACGTGAAAAAATAGCGCCGCAGGCAGCAAAATTTTTGAGAAAATGAAAATCATAAGGGTCCCCCCTTATGAAATTTTCGGGACCCGGCCGATTTCGGGGGGGGGGCCCCGGGCCCCCGGGGCCGGTATTACGCTACGTCCCTGCCCCCCGAATTGTTGACTCAAAACATCGACAACCTTCCGATCCCATCAACGCTCCCATCAACATACACGTCGTTTTCTAAAAGGTGGACCCCCGATGGCCTCTGGTGGAAACGGGGGGCTGGGCCAGTGGATGAGTCAGCGTGTGGCCCATACACCTTTTGCTCTCTGCCGCTCCATCTATCTGTAATCCTCTTCACTTCCGGCGGTTCTCTCGATTTGCGTGAAGATACAGTCCCTCCTGCAGTGGTGACTGTTTGTGCGTGCGAGAGGGGTTATCCCATCGCCCACAAAAACCACACGCGACCATAGTTCCACATCGGGGCACACCTCCATTCCTATATAAAAACAGGGGGGAGGGGTGGAATGGACAGTAGGGCACAAGCCTTCATTTTGCATTTAACGCATACTGTAGCCAACATATAGCTATTTTGGAGAGCTTAAATCTTACCATAAGGAAACCGGCAGCGCCAAGTCAATTAGCATTGGACCGGTTTTGTTAAAATTAGCATACGCCTGTGTTTACTGAGCTTTTTCATCCGGTCTTTTTTGCATAGCGTAACCTATCCTCAGTTGTAAATGAGGCCTGATCTTACACGGGCCTTCCGTATCGCTTTAAACATTTACCTTCTAGAGCACGTTAAACCATAAATGTTACGGTAAGATGCTAATTGGGAAGCTAAAAGCATTTTTCGTAAAATTAAATCTTACATTCTAGAGAACTTTTTATTGCGACATCGTGTGTCTCTATGTTTCATCTTTACCTTAAACCCCCCCCCCGTATATCTTATTTTTCTAGATCCAAATATGATGCAAAAACTCTTCTTCGTCTGCTGCCTCGCCGGTCTTGCTCTTGCTGGCCCAGGATGGGGCGGCAAAGGCAGGGGAGGTGGCGGCAAGCACGGAGGTCGTGGTGGACGTGGAGGTACAGTATCCTCCTTGAAATTTATCTTAATCTAGGCCCAATGCTCCCCTTCCTCCGCAACGTTACCGAAGAGCAGAGAACCTCTTTCTTCGCCATCGTCCGCAACGACAACCTCACCAAGGCTGACGTCAAGACTCAAACCGAGCAGTGGGCCGCCAATATTGGAGGAGAGACCCAGGTATGATACTTATTCATGATTAAGGATTATATCCATCTTTTCAGACCATCTTCACCGAGTTCGAAGCCAACATGACCAAGTGGAGAGAGGAGGCCGTCCAAAACCGCACCAACATTCTGAACGAGCTCCCAGCTCAGCTGCAGAAGATTCAGGCCATCCAGGACGACCAGACCCTCACCCGTTCCCAGGAGAGGCAACAGATTCAGGTATCAAAAACAGAAATTCAAATATTCAATTAAATTCCAGGCCGTCTACCAGAACATCACGGACTTTGGATTGATGCGCGCCGTCAAGTTCTTCTCTGGCTTCGGCATGAAGCCCCATGGACCCCACGGTGGACCCAAGGGATTTAAGATGATGGGCAAGAAGGGAGGCCCAATGATGAACGGATCTCAGGTACAAATTAAAAAGCAAAATTCGATATCTATGGTATCTAATGGGCTCATTTTATACCTTGTTTTTAAAGGAAAACGACGACATGGACATGGATTCCACCAACTCTGGATTCTAAATTAACATTGCCATATACCTTGCCAAAGCCTGCTGTGATTTCATTGCGATTGGAATAAACGCATTTAATTTCTCTAATTGGAAGACATTGTGAAAATTTTGAAAAAGAAAAGTTATAATACGCACCAAGACTAATCACAACTTGCTAAGGATTTAAGGTTTTTAACATTCTGGGAAAAACCATAGGAGCTCGTACTCCTGCCTAAAAGGTCCTGATGCAAAAAGGCTTAAGAAACTCCTGCCATTATGATATACTTGAAAAGCCGTGGAATATCACATTACTACAGTGCGGGTCAAAATGATAGGTCCACCTAGTTTTTGTCGATTTTCTCGGCGGAGAAGTAATTTCTGACTAACCCAAATACTAGGCCTTGTAGTCCTAAAAAAGAAGAATTTTTTGATCTAGTTGAAATGTCTTGGAATCAACGGGAAGCCGATTTATAAAGCAAACACTAAAATAGTGGAAAAACCGATGTGTCAAAATGATAGGTCCACACTTTACATATGATTACAATCAACGATACGTATGAATATTAGATGCTATTGATATTCTAATTATGGTAATCATTTTCCGGTTGACTTTTCCGAGATAATGTTGCTGATATGCATATTTTTCTACATTGCATCCGGATCAGCATCTAATATTGATACCCATTGTGGATTGTAATCATATGTAAAGTGTGGACCTATCATTTTGACACATCGGTTTTTCGCCCTATTTTTTTTTTGCTTTATAAATCGGCGATCCGTTTTTTTAAAGATATTTTGAATACATGAAAAAATTTGTCTTTTCAAGGGCTATAAGAGCTGCTGTTTCTATTTGCTTGAAAAGCGTTCTCCGCCGAGAAAATTGCGAAAAAGTATGTGGACCTATCATTTTGACCCGCACTGTAGGCTGAAAATCCAGATAAAGTGGGGAAAAATTAAGCTTCAATTAAAAAATAGTACTACAAAATTTTTTAACGAAGAACCTTTTCCCAAATGGTGTTCAAGCCAGTTTTTTTGCTGCCATTTTCTCGATGGTGCGGAAACGCTTCCGCGTAAATACAAACAACAAACCCCCTGTTCGCCCAAAACGCCTCATTAATGATGCGTATATTCTGACCGCCGCGAACAATGCCTCACCATATTTTGTGGGTAAATACAGTACCACGTCAAAATCCTCTATAAAATGGAGCGGATCTGCTTGGGTGGCAGCAAACCTTGGGGAACCAAGACGAAGCATTCAACAATGCTTCGAACCGTCCTCTTTCTCGGCATATTAGCTACAGTAAGTCTAGCCAATTCGTTGCAAGGGCAGAAAGGTTTGTGAGACATGTCTTTGGCGTATACATTGTGCTTAAGGAATTCCCTTCCTCTCTGAAGCTTCGAAAAAGCATAAGCGTGAATTTTCGAGGATCGTCAAGAATAAACATTTGACGAAAGGCGAAGTGAAGGCTAAAACCGAACAATGGGCAGCTACTATTGGAGGATTGGTTGAGGTATCTATCGCTCGTCGACGTCAACTTATTTCATTTCAGAACCTTTATAAGCAATTTGTCGAGGATATGGGAAAATGGAAAGAAGAGGTCGCCCAGAATCGAACGGCCCTCCTCAACACGATCCCAGGAGAATTTGAGAAACTTCAAAACATGTACGATGATATGAATATCACCAAGGGACAGGAGAGGAAAATGGTCAAGGTTTGTGCTCAAAGTTGCATTCCAAGTATCGTGTTTTAGCAATATCTCAAAGGGCTGAAGCGGAGCAACCGTAACCTCCACCGTGTGATGCGTGCCTTTTCTAAGATGAAGTTTGACTGGCGGCCAAGAGTCGGAAAGCTGGGACGTCGCTGGATTATGTCCCCGGCCAAGAAGCTTCAACAAGATATTCCGGATGTAAGCTTTAACTTCTTAAACTGCCAATCCTGTCTAACACCTAGTCCCTATCACATTACTGTGCAAAATCTAAAAATTTTAGAACGAGCCCGAGCTGACTGCCGAAGAAATTGTCCCCGACGACGAGGTGATTGAGGCGCTATTTTGCTAGCAAAATCATTATGTAAGAGGCTATATATAAAATACTTTATTAGGCACGTGTAAATCCCTGAGAATAAATGTTTTATTTTCCAATCTGGTATGCGCAGCACTCATTGTTGGTATTGCAACGGAAATTGTCGGGGCACTGCTGATTTACACAGGGTCCTAAAATGTTGGAGTTTCGTTGATTCAATTGAGCAAACTGACCAATGCTGGTACCGTAGGCGCAACGGCAGCAGACACCATTCACTGTGCAGGTGAAACCTGAGAAATTTCAATTTTTACGATCTATTGGAAAAAGAAAGAACGGTATTCTTAAATAAGTACCGCTTGGACATCTGTAACCTGGAGAGGTGCAGAAGCCACCGGAAGTTTCACGACCGCCGCAAGTTGGCTGTTGAGGGCCTAAAAATGTTTTGCTATTAAATTCCATAAGTATAAAATTTAAGCCGCATTTTTTGATTAAATTTGGAGATATTTTATTTAAAAAAGTAATGCAAGAACTTTTGAAAAATTTCTAAGGCTGAAAGCTCGTCGAAAATCCGCCATTTTGGTCGAAACCTCGATATTTTTGTACTCTTTACCAAAATTTGTAAATCTTTGCGGTGAGCGTAAAGTTAAGCAATGTAAAAACACTTTCCTTAATTATACTGAAAACGCTGGAAAGTAAAAAAGCTTTTCTCCCCTGATGAACCTCCCGAGAATGTAAAAGAACCACCGGCTAACCCCAATCCCATATTTCTGCGTAAGGATCTTCAGTTACAGTCCTAAACTTACTAGGCGTCGGTCTTGGAGTCGGGCCAGGATTTTGCCGGTTTCTACAGCAACTAAAATCCCTGGCTTTTCTACTGATCCCGAGTTTTACCTGTTGGAGCACTGCCAATTTCTGTTAAAACCTTGGCACCACGAAGACGTCCTGCAGATGTAATTACAGCCCTGGTAGGATGATTGACAGGCTAGATATTTTTGGTACGTTTTTTGATACGTTTCTTACGTGAATTGGATAAGTAGTAGTTGTTATTATTTCCGCATAGGTACAACACGCGGGTTGAGCTCATTGCTGTACTAACACCTTGAGAGGTTCCTTCAGGTTCGTAGTAAACGTTGGCAACGGCCAAGGTGACAAAAAGCAAAGCTGTGATATATTGTAACATCTAAAAAATGCTAAATATTAGGACTTAAAAATTATACGCTTAAATTAGAAGCTTCTAAAAATACTGTAAGACGACCGTAAACCCGTCTAAAACTGACTCATCTATCTCACCTTAAATACCTCAACCCGGTGTCAATACACCCCTCTCCTCGGGTGCCACTTGACCACCAAATTCTTGGCAAAAATAAATACAAGAAGGGGGTCGACGCCCTCCTACAAACAGATATTGTCGCGGCAATTGGGCAACACGGGCAAAATGCGTCCCTGTAAAGTCACGAAAAAGCAAATAGGGAACCTGCGGGCCACCGGAAAAAGATCATCTCACAACCCTCTCCAAGGCACACTCAGTGTACTCGTCATTTTTGAAAGTTTTTCTAAATCAAGAATTCAACGATTTAGAAAGCAACTAAAATTTTATTATAATACAACAAAATACAATAAAAAAAATCATCACAATTCCATTTCAGCCTCGTACATGTCGTGAATCTGTTCCGCAAATTTTTCTCGGCAGGGTTGACGTCGGATTTTGAGGGTTGGTGTGAGAAGTCCAGATTCGGCCGTTAACTCCTGAATTTGGATCCGTCAATGTATTAATGGGTACTCTAAATTATATTAGATTTTTACTAAATCCTTCCTAATTTAAGGTTTTCTATACCTCAGTTGTTAAGAAGACCCGCCGGATTGTCTCAATCGTCTGCAATCCCTTGGATTTACCAAATTGAGCAAGATGGTGTGTGACGAATCTATAAAAGATGAAATAAGAAAGCCAATAAACTTAAAATGAAATTTTTGCACGTAAAACCCACCTGCGAACCGGTTCTTTTTGCAAAAATTCACCAGAATCTTCGGTTTCTAGAGCATTCTGTGCCTGAAATGGCAAGCTACTTTGCGTGGAGCATAGTGTCTACCTCGATGTCATTGCTCTTCTTAATCTCAGCCCTTAATGCTTCAAGATCGACGACAGCTACTCCGACCAAGAACGATCTTGTGCTGAGGCCAGTGACAAACACCTAGGATCAATTTTTAGGCCTGACATCTCTGAGATGAACCTGGTTGACCAGCGCGCTCAAGCCGAGAATATTTTCGATAGCTTCAGCGGACACAAAATCTCCTTGGGCCAGCTTGAACAAGGCGTTTTTCCTATCGACGATGCGCAGTCGGCCGTCAGGGAGCCATTCACCGATATCCCCAGTGTGCAGCCAACCCTGGGATACGGTAATTTCAATAGTAATCAGTCCCTGCCTCGGTGTCTACAGTTTTGTTCGATAGTTCCTGATCTCCAAAATATCCTTGCATTACAGCAGCGCCGCGGAAGCACACATGGATTGAATTTTTTAATTCAGAATGATGCTAAAATACCTCTCCACGATCTTCGCTGGCCATATATCCCATTTCCGGAACGTCAATTAGTTTCACCTAAATACCAAATTAATTATCAAAATCCTCATTAAATTTTTAAAGGGTTTTTTTGCGACAGACCTGTGCCCAAGGGGCGGGTGCTCCGACATGGGTTCCACCAGTAAGATCCCCCGGAATATTTAGCGTACCAGCGGCACCACATTCCGTTTGGCCATACCTTAATTTGTATCGCTTATGAAAGTCAGTGTAATGATTATAGCAATATGTTTATGACCTGATTTATAACCTTAAGCCAACCTACCCCTCAAAAAGCGGACATCCAAATGCAATCCGTGTAAAATCGTGCACAGCCGGCGTGACTGGAGCTCCACCCGTTGTCAAATAACGCACCTCACCACCGATCACCTTACGCACCTTAAAAGCCACGTTTTCTTAGTAGCTCTGCCACAAACCTTTTCAAAGACCAATTTATCCCAGATTGTATTAGGATTGTTAATACCACGGCGTAGCTGCTCGATTTTTGCCTGAAACTTTGTAATACACAAAAAGTATAATCTCAAACCTTTTTCGCGGCAGCGAAAATCTTTTTTGGCAAGGAATGGAGCTTTAGCGATGTTGGAATGAATCTGGAAATATTTAAATTAGGCTAATTTCTATATTCACCTGATCGTACAGTTTGTTGAGGATCCTGGGAACCAGGCTGATCATAGTTGGGCGTAACTTTTGGATATCCAAAATTAGCAGCTTTGCATCTCCCCGGTATATCCCGACACGCCCACCAACGTAGATCATAAATGACTAAAAACAATCATAAGAAATTATGAAATAAGAAACCAAACCTGCATTAAATGTTCGTAAATATGGGCCAGGGATAAGAACGAGAAATAGGTGTCTTTTGTACTGAACGTGAAATGATGGGGCGGCATGCACCTGAAAATTTTATATTGTAGAATACGGAAGATTTAAAATCTTAAACAAAATTTTTGATAAATGGGATTTGATTTTACCATTGTGTATAAAGCCCCGCCATTGCTGCAAGCAAATTCTGATGCGTGAGTTGGACCCCTTTCGGACGGCCTGGAAGAGCTCATCGATGTATTTTATTTGTTTTTATTTATTTCTGTTATTTTTTCTATTTTATTTCACCTGTGGTTCCAGAAGTATGACAGATGATATAAACGTCATTGGTGTTTGGCGGGTTTGGCTCTACGTAATTTTCTCTGCCAAGCTTCAGGAATTGTTCAAAATCGAGGATCTAAAAACTTTTTCAGTTGCTGAGCATTGTAAAACCTTTAGTTCCTCAGCAGCGTTGTTGTTCTCCTCACTTAAAGCGCCGTTTAACAGGATTAATGTCTAAACTGGCCGGATATGAGATACAGATTTTTCATACCTTAACGGAATCGATCTTGCCCTCGGCCTTCTTTGTGGCAAAATCCTTTAATCGCTCCAAGCTATCGCAGAATATCAGCTCCAGGTTGCACGAGCCGATGATTTCGCTAAAATATTTTTTCAATTTGAATAGAACGTAAAAATTACCAAATGACATCGTCCTTTGAATTATGATAAAGTGGGACCAGGGAAATTCCCTGCGAGACCAAGCCCCACATCGCAATCTCATAATTTGTTGTGTGGATTCCAGCAAGACCTAAGCTTCGAGATTGAGAAAGACGCTGTTTTCTACCTGCGCGCGCTCCATGTTGAATCCCAAGATAATTCGTCGCTGCCCCAGATACAGTAGCCAGTTTCATCACCTGTGTTTGTAATTGGAGCTTAAAAATACCCAAAACACACCTCTGAATATGTCTTAAAAACGTATTCCCCGCGAGTTTGGTCGCCAAGAAAATCGGCATCTGGGTTCAGGGCAACCGTTCGCTTCAGATTTTCCCAAACCGTAGTTACGGTAGCGCACGGAGGGCCGGCAATTGGGGCTGAAGGAGATTTTATAAACTTTGCTTCCTATTTAAAGCTACCATTGACCAAAATATTCTCATGAATCTGTTCATCCCCGGGCAATATCCGGGAGTATTTCGTGAATGTGGGTGCTTTGTGCTGCTCGCGCATTCTGAATACTAGGATTTGGAAGGTTTGGGGGATGTAAGTCAGAGAATGGCCTTGAAATGTTGTCAAAATGAGGGAATCTTCAGAGAGAGGTTGATTTTTGGCTTGTTCGCAAGTTCCAAAAACCTTGAAACGCGATGGTGGACCGGCTAATTCGATACCAGAAAGATTTTTGGGACTAGAAAGTTCCTCTTGCCATGAAGAAAACTGAGTTGCTTTCCACACCAGGCAATGAAGATTTTTAACGCAGCTTTAATTTTCCAGCTCAAGCTTTATTAGAATCGGTGGTCTGACATTTTCCATCGAACAAATTAACAGAAATTTGGCTAACAATACGTTAGGTTCATATTAGAGGAAACATTAAATTCTCCTAGAACCAAAATTTTAGAAATAAAAGTTCATGGATGATTCGGTCGCTCCTAGATACTCGAGACTGTTTTTCGGGTCACCTGAAAGAAGTGTGAAAATTGGAAAGGAGGACTATTGGCGGAGGAGTGAAAAGAGGGTGCTTGTCGAATCGGCCCTCAAATCGAGGGCTGGATGGAGGGCGGATGACCCAGATTTGCCTCCTTGCTATGTCCCTCGGGGGGTTGTCGGCCATCGTGTCGACGTGGTCAGGAACCGGACCCCGTCCAACTCTTCCGCAATACTCATTTTCACGAACAAACAAAATAGAGAGGTAAGAGCAGCTATCCAAGAAATTAACGGAAGTTTTGCCTATCGAATCTTTAACGGAAATCTAATACAAAAACTCGTGGGTGTCGGCATTTGTATAAAATTATTTCCGTCTGTATGCCCGGAAGATGGCGAGATTTAAGGTGTATTTATGCAGAAGTTTCATGTTTCATTAGGCGTGTAGTGGCCTGTAAATATCTGCCCAAAAGCATAAGTTCGATTTTCGCCATCCAAATCAAGGTCTTTTTTATTGACAATTCAATTAATCCATTTTGCGTTTATTTATAGAAACCGCTTATCAGATCAAGAAGGCAGAAATTTATTCAAAGCCAAAAAACAGCCCCTCAGCACTTAATGGCCTGGAGAGTCTTGTCAAAATCGGCGGGCACCTTCTTCCACTGGAGCACATTCTCAAACTGGTCCTCCGACCGGTTATCGGGCAGCACCTATAATCACAAAGAATGGGTGGCGTCTGCTTGGGACTTGGGAGCTCCAGACAAGAGCTGGAGCGCCCCAAAAGATGTAGTTTAAGAAACTGACCTGTCCACAGAGTACGGTGTATAAACTACCGCCGTTAAATGATCCTAAATAAGTTTTAGCAACCCTAATTAAATTTCGGTACCGGCGAGCAAATATTCGGTGCCGGCTTCGATAATTAGTCCGCAAGCGGGTGATTCGGATGGGGTGAAGATTTCGTCGGGAAGCTGGCTCATGTTTGCTGGTTTCTAAAATGCTTGAAGATCGATAAATAAGTTTATATGACAAAAATCTTCACACAAAAAATGAAAAGTATTTCTTTTGCGTATAAAATTCAGTTTACCTTGTAAACGTGAACATGCTCGACGCCATACTTGAGATTATTCAGTCCCTTTCGGGTACTTCCGGCTGGTAGTGGCTGCTTTGAGACGCGGACTTTCACTTTTAGATGCGAAACTGAATTGAATGAATCGGTTTTATAGCCATATGAATGGTCTTACCCCATTCTGCCCGGCAGTAGGCCTCTTTGGTAGTCTGTGTTTGGCACTTGCAACTATAAGCCACATAAACTAGCGAAACGAACACAAGTAACTTCAGCATTCCTGTAAAAGCTCTAAATTATGTAGAATTCCATCAAATCATGACACATCCTAAAAAGACGCGGGAAACGCGTGAAATGAGTCGGGCAAAAAGTCGATCCAATCAGATAAACAATCGAAGGTCGGGGGGACCGGGGGGAAAACGGGAAAGGATAGCATCCTCACATTATTGATAGAAAAATAGGAACTAAATTTTGAGCGGTCACCAAATCCTCAAAGACCTTTGAAAAGGGTCTCGATTTCAGGGGCGCTTCTTTCTAGGCGTTAGAAATGGCTCGTATTTCAGGGGATCGCAAAAAAAACGATGGTTGGGGAGTGCTGAGGGCCCTAAGTTTTGAGGATTGCTGAAAATAAATTGTGGATCAAAAGGTGGGACGAGCGGGGGTATATTGGTCGTGAGCATGAGTCACCTTTTCCCCAAATTGTTAGTCAGTCGGGCGGGCGGATCAGGTTGCGAATGTTCCATTGATTGAGTATGTGTTATTCCCGCGTTTTTGCCGCCCATCAACATGATATTTGTTGAGCGAGAGTAACAGAGAGAAAATGATGGAATTCAGCCGCTCCACAGTAAGTACCGTCGGAATATGTTCCGGAAGAGCATGAGAGCCTCCTCATTTCGCAGCTCCGCGATACTTCCAAAAAGGTGGCCTGAAATATTAAAATGGTATACGCCTAAGCCCAACCATCAGTCTCAAGCTTAGTCTAAGCCTATACCGTTCCCTAGGCCTAAGCCAAAGCTCAGTCTCAAGCTTAGTCTAAGTCTAGGCTTATGCCTAAGCCTACCGAAGCTTAGGCTAACAAGCCCATACTTATATCTAAGCCTAAGCCTGAGCTCAAGCTCAATCTCAGGCTTAGAAGCCTATACCTATGCTTAAGCCTAAGCCTCAGCCTTCAGTCTAAGCCCGAGCTCAGTCTAAAGCTAAGCCTAACTTATAGCTTTACCCAGGAATAAGCCTAATCCAAGCTTTTCAGCATCGTCTCGGCCTAACTCGAAAGTAAGCTTAGGCCTAACGTAAGCCCAAGCCCAAGCCTAAAACCTGGGCCACACCCAAGTGGCCCAGTCTCAGACGTTCAGACGCAGTCAATAATCTCGTTCACACTCCAATTCAAATATTTAACACAAACATACAAACAACCATCCATTCTCTTGGTATTTTATGCTTTCTGCAACTGCAATTTTTACCGTAACCATAATCCTAACGCCGACTGTTTTATTGGGCACGCCGTCCACAAAAAACACACATAACCGGGGTAGTATTTGTGGGTGGTTGGGGGGGTCAGCCCTCCGAATAGCCATCCCAGAGCCCTTTTTATTTCCGGAACTTTTTTCTGTTTGTGGCAGGTAGGTGGTATAGAGGGAGTGACTGCCCCGTGTCAACACCATTCCAGCATTTGCCGCATTCTCCCAATGGTCGTTGGGGTCGAAAGAAGCCCAGGATGTAGGAGTTTGTTTCTATTTCGGTTCAAATTTCGATATTAATAAATGTAAAATTTGAGTTTTGTTGGGAAGTCTTTGGAAATTGATACATTGGGTGTGTGGCAGCTGTTGTCCTAGCTGGCTTTTAGGCACCCGTTAGGTGAGCTAGCCGAATGTTCGTTGGTCTGGTTTACTTTTAGGAGATTTAAAGTAGGTGGGCTAGTCTACATTATATTATTTTATATACATTATGAACTAAGTATCCACAGTTTTGGCTATTATCATACATTAGCATATTTCATCTAGTATCACTTCGGATCTCAATTTTTCAATTGTTAAAATTCTTAATTGGTTTCTCGCGATTATTGGAAATTCTCGTTGTCCAAATTTTTGATTTTTTACGTATAAACCGAGTTCTAGCGATTGCAAGATGCTCAAAACCACTTTGAATTGCTATGCGAAGCTTAAACAAAATACGGTACTATTGAAGTTGGGGGGGGGCAAAATTTTTGCGGCCAATTCGTCATTCTCGACTATGTTCAGTTTTTAATGCTGAATCGAATGCAACTAATTTTAACTTTAACTTTAACTCCGAGATATTGCATTGAAAGGCGATTTCCTTGTGAGTTGAGTGCATGCGCAGGTAAAGGTAAGTAACGAGCATCAACTTGTGGATTTTCGGCATGAGCTCGAGCAGGGTTATGTCGCGCAACGCGTCGATTGAGTTGGCCATGGTGTTGGCCAAGTTAAATGCGAAAAGTAAACTTGAACGCCCACGTTGCCTTATACCTCTATCGAGGTCTAGGCACAACTGTATACCGCCCGAAAACCCGATGATAAAACTACTATTAAAAGTTGTTAAAAATCAGAAAACGGACCAATAATTTTAAAAATAGCATCAACAGCATTAAAAACTGAACAAATGCCGAGAAGACGAAAATGGCCGCAAAAAAATTTTGCCCCCCCCAACTTCAATAGTACCCAAAATACTTATAGCGTTTTAAAAATTTTAAATCCATTTTTAACCAAAAATTTGCGTGGTTATTTTTAGGTAATATGATCTGTGCATGCATCTCAAACGACAATAAACATGAAACGGCACGAAATAATTTTCTGTTTTTTTTGCCGATGCCTCTCATGAAAAAATTTACTACTTCTGAGGCTACCTTTCACCTACTAGTACATAACTTAACGATCTACCACTACCTACATCCTCGACCCGACAACACAAATTACACAATTCCCCTCACCAGCACACCACATCCAAACACCACCCAGAGACCGGTTTCGATCGGGAAAAGCCACAGCAAAGCGCGGTTTTCACCGTTTTTCCAGCAGCCCGCCAAAAATTAGCCACCCGGAATGCCAAGAAATGGTCTGAGCCAATCACTCCGCATTTTCCGCTCCATCAATTTGTGGACCCGCCCTTGCACCCAAAAAAGTAAACTAGGAATTTGTTCCATTTATTTTGGGGGATCGTCCTCGTTGGATGTATATTTCGTATAGTAAACCGAGCTCAACATGATGTATGCTAATTGCTTTCAAGAAAAATGTAGAAATTTAACGCATTTTGTAGTTTTGGCTTGAAATATTTATAGGGTACTGTATCTCTTAAATACAGATTTTTGATATTACATTTTCGACGATTATTTTTACCATTTAATTGATCGAACCAAGAGATTTTAGAAAAAGCCGAATCTAGCCAGCCTAGCCAGTTATTTTTAATTTTTTTCTATTATATTATATCTACCAATGCCCTTGACTCGTTGCCGCCTTCTTCTAACTATAACTTTCACTTTTCCTCTCTCCTTTCCCATCCGCTCACCCTAGCTTTTTGCTATTTTGTGCGCTTTTCAGTGCAGAAAATGGATGGGCGGAAACTGTCTAGTGCATGCATTGAGTGTATTCTTTGGTTAGTTGAGCGCCTTCTCTTTGTCGATCCACAAACTACTAAGCCGGCCCCAATGTTATCGCAACGTTTGCTCCGGGAATAGGCTTTTTCTCGCCGGAATTTGTCACGAAAAATGGCGAACGTTCACGTCGCTTTCACTCATTTTGCATAAAAGCATGTACTTTGTTAATGACAAATGGGATAATACATCATTTTATATTTCTCTTCGTTTTCCGCTCTTGATTTTTGTAAAACACCGTGTTTTAGATGCCATTTTGTTGCCCGCCAAACAAGGATGCCCACCAGAAAGAAATCGCAATCGATGACTCTCCGGTTGTTGATCAAGAACTGATGCTTGCTTCAGAATTGCCACCCGGCGAGTAAGCCAATAAAAACTTTTTAATTCACATTAAAATTTAGAAAAAAGGAAGTGGAAGTGAATGGTAGAAAGCTGTTGCTGGTTAATGAGAAAGGATCAATCTACTGTGTCAATGCATTGTGCTCACATTACAATTTTCCCTTGATTAAAGGTATTTAAGAACTTATGTGATAAATTTTCTTCGATTTCAGGAGTGTTTCTGGATGGGAAAGTGCGATGCCCCCTGCATGGGGCCTGTTTCAGCCTCAAAACAGGTGATATCGAAGAATACCCGGGATTTGATTCCATCAATTCATATGCCGTATGTTGAACACTGAGGTTTTACTTTAAATTATCTAGGTAGAAAATCGGAACGGGAAACTCTTTCTCAAAACGACGGAGAAGAGATTGGGAAGTGATCGGCGGACACGGAAGACCGCAAGATTCGTTGAGAAAAAGGAAAATCCTATTGTGATTATTGGTGGAGGTACGAGAAAATACAAAAATTAATTATGGAAACGAATTTCTAGGTCCCGCTGGAGATACAGTTGCCGAACATCTTCGATTGCTCGGTTCCACTAGTCCAATTTTAATGCTAACTGCCGATGATAGTCCACCCTATGACAGAGTGATGCTCAGCAAGGTGAGTAATTAAAAAAACCTCCACGATCTTTGTAGAATTTCGGTGTTGAAATCGACAAGATCCGTCACCGCACTGATGAATTCTACGCTGAACGCAAGATCACGGTCCGAACCAAGGCTAAGGTAAGTTCTAGCCAGTTATACAGGATACCAACCCGGAATTTCCAGGTGGTAAAGCTAGATCCCACGGCGAAAACTGTTGAAATCGAGAACGGGGAACAATTTAAATACTCGAAGCTTGTAATTGCATCCGGAAGTACGGCTCGCAAATTAAGCGACCCAGGCTTTGATCTTAAAAACATCTATTATGTGCGCGAGGTACGGTTTTGGAAATTTTTAAATTTGTGTGTAGTTTTGCGACATAAAAGGGCTGGCGGAGAACGCAAAGGGGAAGGATGTCGTTGTGATTGGTGGTTCATTTATTGGTGGGTAAATTCTGGTAAATTATGGTAATGGATACTTTATAGGTATGGAATCAGCTGCGGCAATCAATTCGATTGCCAAGTCGGTTACTGTAATTTGCGCTACGGAAGAACCAATGCCTGCCTTCGGACGAGACGTTGGAGCGTCATTTAGACATGTGAAAATCCTTTTTTAGTTCATTAAAAATTCTTGCATTTTTAGTATTTTGAAAAGAAAGGAATAACCATTCGTACAAATGCTCGAGTGTCAGCAATTATTGGAAATTCAAGTGATGAGGTTTCGGAGGTATACTTTGACTTTGCTTCAGAAAACCTCCTTTTCAGGTGAAATTGATGGGTGGAATTAACCTGCCAGCACAAATTGTGATTGCTGGAATTGGTTAGTTTTGTCGTTAATAAGTATTAATACCCTTAGGTGTCTCGCCCAACACTGACTTTGCTCGAAAAGCCGGCATAAAGCTCGACACACGCGGTTGTATCATTGTCAATTCCGATTTCGTGGTAGCTTATTCCGTCAAAAAAAGTTTACAAAATTTCAGACTAGCGACTGTAGCATTTATGCAATTGGTGATGTATGTTCATTCCCTCTACCGTATTGGGGCCGTAAAAATGTGAACATTCAGCATTTTCAGACAGCTCAAAAGCACGGTAGGAATTCGAATCCTTCGGTAATGAAAAATTTAGGCGAACTTGTCGCGCATACCATCCTTGGAAAAGCACAGCCTGGCCCGTTGGTTCCGTTCTTTTGGAGTGTATTTTTCTTTGAAGTTGGCGCCCGATTTGTTGGTAGGTGTTGTGGGGGAAATTTAAAGGGGCCCAGAAATGCCAAAAATTGAGTGACGGCCTGAAAATCAGAGGCTGGACGTCGGAGGCCTCTGTACACCCCGGGGCCCGGGAAGCTCGCAAATATGAAATAGCCTGTTGTCACCTCGAAATCACGTTCTCGGCTGTTTCTGGGTCAAGTTTGATGCTTAAAACACCAAAACTATTTAAAATTGAGTGAGGATTTCAAAAATGGACTCAGAATGCGTAAATTATAGTGTTTTCACAAAGAAACCGGGCAAAAACAGTTTCGCACAAAAAGCGATAGAGTGAGGCTCTGGTCCCGCAGCGCCCGCTGGCAATTTGCCAGGAATCAAAGAGCCCTCCCAAAAGGGCTTTGATTTGGCAGTTCGTAGCCCCTTTAAAGGGAGGCTGTCGGCATACCAAACATAACAAGGCCTTATAACAAACTTTCAGGCCTGGCCGATGACTTTGATGAGATGTACATGCGCGGAGATGTTGACAGTTTTGACTTTAGAAAATATTTCATCAAGTGAGCTGGTTTTATGATTGATAAAAAATACTACGGTAAGCATCAATAAGTTCTGATTTAGAAATGGAGAAGTGGTGGCTGTCTGTGATGCCGGCCAAAATACTAACGTATCAATCCCGTTCACTGAGATTTTCAAGCGCGGCCTCCGCATCACCCGAGATGAAGTCGAACTGTAAGGATTTTAAAAGGCGATTATCTAATTTATCTTATTTTCTAGGAACAAGGCGGACGATTGGTCGAAATACCTGACTGCTTAGCCAACCAGAATTACATAGAAAAATACATATACATTTTAATAAAGATGAATTCTAATAGTTTTTTACTGGCACCAAAATGTCGGGTTTTTGCGAATTCAAGACGGCGTCGGAAGAAATGGAAGGGGAAAGAGCGAAGGTTTCGAGCTGAATGAATCTAGGTCAATTCCACCTTGCCATCTACAAAATAACAAAAATCAGAATGCGAAAATAAGATTTCGTGGGGAAAAATGAATTTTTGCAAATTTGAGAGTGCGAAATGGCTAATTTCTGGAACTGAAACATAGAGTTAAGTGGCGCGGTATTTTTAAATTTCCGCTCGAGGCAGTTTTTAATTATCGTTTTTCCCTTGCAAGGCATGTCTGGTCCCCTCAATTTTGGAAATTAATTCAATTTACAAAAACAATCTCCGCCTGGCACTGTCCCCTTCAAACCAAAACGTTAGGAGTAAAGGTGCCAGGTCGGCGTATTGAAACACGTTGATTGAAGGGACCCTAGCCGGTGGTGGGGCGTTCTTTAGCGTGTCTCCCTCCTCTTGCTCCCCTTTCTCCCCTCTTTCCAGCTTCTGCTAGAGGATTGCCGACTGCTGACCATCTTGTCCATCTTGTCACCCACCCATAGGGCCCACCACCCCAACCGGGAAAGTCTCACTCTGTCGCCGTTGGTCGCTTTTTATTTCCGTTCCGCACATTTGGCGTTTATTTATTTTATAAAACAATGTGCTTTTGCGGATGATGCAGTCAACGGCTCGAGACATTTAATGTCATAGAAAATTTATTTTTAAACCTTCTGCGGTAGTTCTTTGTAGCAAAACGGGCATCCCCGATTGCACAAAAATTAATAAATGTTGAACGATGTTTCCAGAACTGGATTATCTATCGCATCCGCTTTGATAAAGGCCTCCTTGTTCGTCCGATAAATCTATTTTAGCTGTAACTGCCTAGATGTTTTTGTAGGCTTTTACGGTCTTCTATACATATTTATTTTAGATGCTGATAATATTAACTTTATTCCAATCTATATTCCTACAACCGTCCCATTCTCAAGAGCTTTTATCAAACACGGCCTGCAATGAGCGACTAGACCCCGGGGAATGCACAAATTTTGCGGTTGCTTGGTATTACGATAGGTAATTATTAGACCATGTTTTTTGGATTTCGAACATATGGCGAATATACGGACGACTATCGGTTTTAAGGTATGCGCATCGGTGTCGTGAATTTTTCTACGGCGGTTGTGGCGGTACAGGGAATCGGTTTTCAACAAAAGATGGTGGGTAATGAAAGCTTTGTTTTAAAACCAAGCGAGTGCTGGTGTCCTAGCGATGGGGGCCGGTCCAGCATTTTTTTTGTCGATGACTTCTCTTTGCTTCAGCTATTTTAATTTAAGTTAAATTCAAGCAAAAATTTTGGTATATTTTTGTTTTTGATACTTTATGGGATCGTGCTCAAACAAACACGAAAAAAATCGCAAAATCGTAAAAAATTGAGATCTTTCAAGTCGTCGCCTAGCCTCTGATCTACCCCCCGGTAATAAACCAGACCGCACCGAAAATAGATATTTTTAGATCTAATTATAAATTGGTTTGCCTCTATTGTCAACATCTGGCCCTTAGTCATCCGAACCTTAAAAAATGTCTGATCCCCTTCCAGCTGTTGCCACAGCTCACCCACCCACAGCCATGCCAAACCAAAAACCCTACAAAATTTATTGGCGGTTCGGAGAACTCCTGGGCGGAAAAATGTGAACATTTGGGCCGTTCGGGAAAGGGGGGAGGCATGGCTGAGGGATGGGGAACCAAAGGGCCATTTGGACATTTTGGATGGAAACAGATGGGTCCTTTCGAGGGCTGTCAGAAACCTGAGAACAGCTGAGGTGGGGGGCCACCCGGGGCAAAACTCGTGTGGACCGTGCTAGGTGTGGAATGCGGTTTACTATTCGAGGGAACTCGCTGGGTATAGTTAAAGGGAGCGGGACAGGAGGGGTCAAATTTCATTTAGCCAAATTATGTCGCCGAATTTGCCTTGGTCTGATCTCCCATTTCACCAAATTTCTTGTGGTTGAAATTTATTTAGCCTTATTTTTATTTAACCAATTTTTTTTTATTAGTGCAAATTAGCTCTTAGAAACATCTACGGGGGGAAAATATAAAATTAAATCGAATAGACCAGGAGGCGAAAATATGTAAATTTACTAAAAAAACAAGTAAGAGGTCATAATATTTTTGACATCTTCACGTATGAAAGCACTTCCAACAGCGAGCATCAACTATTTCATTTTGAAACTATTTTATAGCTAAGTCATAACCTTCTAATTCCTGATGCTCAATGATCAAACCATCACCCCTAACCCAGCAAATCCCAACCCCCTATCAGCCAACCAAAAAAAACGAACCCCTGCAAACGTTAGCCCTCCAGTTTTTGCCTTTTTCTTTCGTCTCACCATCCAGCCAATGCTGATGGCCAATCGCTCTGCCAATTGTCGTCTATACCAAAAAAATGAGGCGTCCAAGGCAACGTCCGGCCCCGGGAAAACGTTGCAAAGAATCGCGAAAATGAAACAAAGTCCATAGTGTCCTAGACGTCAAAGATTTTTAAGAATGTGATCAACAATGTCACTTTGCTGGGGTGGAGGAATCCAGCGAGGCCAGATGTGCACAAAAATACGATGTAGGGACATGTGAAGCTGATATCGAACGGTAGAGGCTTATGAAGGCGTAAAAAAATCTTGCAATTCGTAGGTGGTACTTTGACTGGACGTTGAAACGCTGCGTCTGCAGTTGGTGGTCCGGCTGTGGAGGAAACTCGAATCGCTTTTACTCGTCGGTGCATTGTATGCAAGTATGCGGAGCTCATGCTCAGGCTGATCCCCTGTATATCCAACCTGATTGGATACCGGTTCGCCCAATGGTAACGTTATGTCTTCGATAAGGCATAGCCAATAACTTTAGTACAAAAATGAAGTCTGGGCCCCAACGGCAACCACACAACCTCTTCATCCATTTGCTGGATATCCGTTCCCCCAGGTAAAATCTCCGCAAAAAGTGATGACCGCTCTTAGAATCCGCAGCATCAACCTCCGCCACACAATCAAAAACCTCATCCAAATCAGGTAACATCAAAATAATTTTTTTGCACTGGTTTAGGATCAAAATGCCATCGTACATCCGCAACATCCCCAAGACTTCGAGATTCCACAAAACAACCACCTCTCAGAGGCTCAGGATAATCGAGCTGATCAATTCGCAAATAATTGGATTGTCGAACAACCTCATCCCCCTCCACAATTTGTCGTCAGCGTCGATTATCCCCAATCTAACGTCAAGGCCGATCCATACTTTACCGGAAAATTTGACAACCTACCCGATTTCGAGGATCCGTCAGAGACCAACGAAGAAATAGTAAGAAAAGCCCAAAAATAAAAATCCTTCTTGTTTAAGCAGTTCGCTGACCATGCCTTGCCTGAACTCGAACGTATACCATTCAGTCGCAGAGAAGATGCACTAGAGAATGTTTTTCAAACGGTACCATACGCGCCGGACTATCTAGACGCAAGGCCAGAGGTAGGCAAAATAAGTTTGGAATTAACCCATTGCTTTTAGGCACAGTACCCAGCAGCCCTTCGAATTGGAAATGTAGGCGTCATAGATGGGCCACCGGTTTGATGGTGTCTATACCTAATTTCAAAATTTTAGCAAAATGACACAGAACCGGAAGATCAACCAAAAGCCCGAAAACCGAGGGATTTGGTTTGTAATCGATTTAATACTTGCAATCCCTTTTAGAAAACTGAAACAGATTCCGGTAGCGTCCTGACTACGGTTGTATCGACGGCTGACAAGAAAAAGCGCATAAAAGTATGCTACATTCAATTTTTCCATACAAAAGTTTTCTAGGTGCTCCGTAAAAAGCCGCTTCTCCGCGGCATCGTCCGGGCTTCTGATTTGCTCTACCCCAAAAAAGAACCCAAAATAATCAGAGCCGAAGATCCAAAAGAACCCGAGCCTGAGCCTATCCAAGAGGTCCTAGAAGTCAAGGCCGTAATACCGAAAGATGAAGCCAATGCATATGCGGAAACTCAAATATTTGTGAGAATGGATCGACGGAACCAAACGGCTGCACCAATTTTTTATTATCACTATCTTCCAGCGGCGCCACCAACGGAGTAACGCTAATATTCATAACTTAAGACAATTGAGTTTAGGGTAGGCATGCCAGCCGTTCCACCAACCCCTAAACCTACATTTCCGACAACAGCGTAATTTTCGTGGTTCTATAGAAATTATTTTCAGGAAACCAATCCAATACGTACCGCCTCCAGTATATAAAGTGGAACCGGTTCCCAAGTAATAGAAATCCTAGCTTTATATTTCTCGATTTAGCAAACATTTACAAGACCTCGAAGATGAGGGCCAAGCCTTCCGAGTCGAAATTGTGCAAGGAGATTACCTGGAAGGATTGAAAAATCGCGAAGATTTCTATGATGAGTATTATACCGAAATGGAAGAGCTAACCGAAGAAGAGGTCCCGAAAATTGCAACAACCAAGCTACCGTAAATGCCAGATTACAAAAAATTACCAGACTGATAGATTCCGGGAACGATTACGCGAGGAAATGCCAACCGAAGCGGCCAGTTGGACCAAAGATCCTCGTCTTTTCCATGCTGCCTTGCCATTCCATTTGGGTAAATCCTATACGATTATGGTACGCAAAACGTTTTTAGTTTCTACGAAGACACCGCTCACCGTGCCCCTGAAATTGAAATATACGGAGCCACCGATTGGTCAGATGGTTCAGACAAGTTTGTAAATTTTCACGATTAAAAATTGGATCCATAGCACCACGGCGCGAATTGCACACGAATCGGATTCCAGAAAGAGTGCTTGAAGTGCCGAAAAGTAGGTTGAACCTGTGGGATTGATTTAAATTCAAATCTAGCTCCTGCTCAATTCCAAAAACTCGAGAATTTGCCTGTGTCGACGACGACAACTACTATGGCTACTCCGATTACCACTATAGCAGCTAAGTCCGGACAATTGAAGATCGAAATGGTTACTTCGCCAAAACCGACATTTTTCCGGGGGATGCCGGTGCGGATTCCATTCACTGCAAATGCACCAAAACCGCCGAAAAACCAGGTATGATTTTTTAATAATATAATAGCATCTGTTTTCAGGTAGACGTCTGGTCTTGGATTCGCAATGCACCTCGACCAACATCAACACTAAAACCTGCAGCCTCAATAACCCACACCAGAATAAGCCGAGCCACCCCGGAAACAGAAAAATCAGAAACGAGCTTCTTATCTGGCAGTCTTAATCTGCTGCCCCCAACCCAATAATAATCCCTTACCTAACCGCCTCCTAGCCAAGCTACTGCCACTTGTGATAAACTGCCCGGGCTTGCTCGTGTGTTCTCGAAGCACCAAAAACACCACAGCTCAACCTCCTTGACATAAATGTCGATAAATCTACATAGCATTGAGCCACATAATACATCCGTGGCATATACATATATTAATTTATGCTAATTTGATCCATAGGTCGGCATTGAGATTGTAATGACGTTGCCGGAAGTGATGGTAATTTTAGCTCTGAATCACAGACCGATGCATTGTTTGAATGAAGACTGACCGTTCTCCTGGATTCAAACGAATCATAGCATTTCCGGAAACTGTTTCGGTTTTTCCGTTTGTAACCAAGTCCATAGAGCCATCCTAGAAGAAAATAGAAGAGAAGGAATTGGGAAAACCTTTAGCCATATCAAAAGTTCGTCGCTGGTTAGGGCATGCAATTCATGGCTCCCAGTACCGTACACGATTACAGACGTCTTGTAGTGAGGGGCTCCGTACAGCTCCACCGAGCCTTTTCTAGAATAATTTATTTTATTGTTTGGTTGGTCAAACGGTACCTCAATTGTTCCTCATGTGATTTCAGCCATTCCTCGAGTACAATCGGTTCTTCCAGTTTTCTAGGTATCGGCTCGAAAGGGGCATTGATGGTGAAAGACGCCGAGCCGGGCTTTTCGGTCTAAACGATGAATACAAATTTAACACAAAATGCCCCAGTACCCGACATTCCTCAGATTCCTTAAATTCCTTAATAACTGGTGGCAGATCCTTGACAACATCCGTGAGATGAAGCCAGCGTTCAAATAGCTTTTCTGTCGTGTCTCCAACGAAATAACTACAAATCAAGACGATTTTAGCTTGCTTTGCCTTACTGTAGCACTTACCGTACACATTCGAACTCCGTATTCTTCCTGGTCCGCTCAACCACAAACCCAATTGTGTTTTCATATCGCTGTGGAGAGTGTTCAACCCTTGCTGGCAGCAAGAAAATCTGCCCTGAATTTTCTTTAACTGCGGATTTGGCTTTCATACCTTCTCGAATATGTAAATCCCGCCTCACTCCATTCTCCACGACCTTCAGGTTCATATCACCTTTTCTCTAGATAAACGTAGGTCTAATCTTGGCTGGAAAACCTGATAAAACACTTCCTCGCCTTCTTCAAGGTGGTAATCGGCCCGCTGATTGGGGCCACCGACAAAAAAGAGTTTGAGTTGTTCGGCGAACCTGATATTAAAAATATGTTAAATTCGCCTGGGCACTCACATGCATTTGTTGCAAACCGGCGGCACGAAATCCTTTTTGTTCTCCTCGATCCAGTCGTCAATTTGGCAGATTGTGGTCATTTACGGTCTGGCAGAACAATGGAGAGATAAGGGTAAAATGGTGTTTTAGAAATTTTGGATGATAAATACTTGAATATTTACAGCATAAAGAGAAGAAAAGTTTTAAAGGGGCTGAGAAGCACTGGTCTAATCTTGACTTCCGCGGACCCGTAAATAGTGGCGGAAAAAATTATAGGCTATTCGACAATGGCAACATTCCCTGCATCAAAGCCTGTAGAAAATAAGCGTTCGTGACAAACTATCAAATTCACTGCCGGAAATTGACAACCTGAACAGAGTTTGTCAACCCCAGGCGAGCAAACCCCCCGATTTCCAAGGGGGACGCGCGCGAGGTCACCCGATAAGCCGCCTCCCATTTTTTCGTTTTTGCAGCCCTCCACACACACGTCGGCCGCTGATTTTTGCTGCGGCTCTCGCCGGGTCGCTATCAAATCATACGTCGTGCTCAGCTGACCGTATTTGCATATGGGGTCAAGAATTAGCGGGAGCGCCTGGTCAGTCACGCGGTGGCGGTGTCACTGGGGAGCTATTATCTGTGTGCTAATTTGGCAATTACGAAAACTTTAAGAAGTTAAAAGCAGAGAAAAAGGAATTTTCGGTTTATAACCATCCCTCAAAATTGGTCATCAACCCTTTGCTTACAACATACAAATACTGAAAAATAAGGTGAATTACCGTATCAGAAAACTGTGTTATACTCGGAGTTTTAAAAAAAGCGTTTTTCATTCCTTGATTTAACTGTTTGACTCGAAAATCAAAGAAAGATCTCAATCCTTAAAACCAAAACATGTCTACCATAATTTCCCCCAAAACCTGGAAGTTGTTTCGTTGAACCCACCGTTGTCCCGACAACATTTTTTGAGCAGCGAATCCGACAACGCTCTAGTCCAAATCTCTTTTTTCTTCAATATTGTGGCTACCCCAAAGTCGATAAGTATTTATCATATTTATTAGCTGCCTTCAAACGAGAGCTGTTACGCGGATAATTCGGATATTCGGATACCAGGCCAGAAATCGTGGAAAAGTGCAAAATTAATTAATTAGTCTGTTGTCCCGATATCTGACTTATATCCGTAACGTCTCTGTCTCAAACCCGAAAAGACTGACAATGCCGTAAAATTACTAAAAGAACAATTGGCGGACGCGTTTTCCACTATCTCTCGGCCAGCGCCCATTCCGGCGTACATTCCTGTGTGAGCTATTCCAATTGAAGCGCCGGGTCGGATAGTCTATCCGCCAATTTGAACCATGTTCTGTCTAAATCAATTAATTTGAATTATAAGAATAAATTAGTTCTATAAATAAGCGTTCGATAAATACCTGCAAAATCTCCAACACATTACAGGGCACCCAGAAATAATGCTCAAGCAAGAGTGCTGTACAGAGAGAAGTTATTCTAGAAAATTGCAGGCTTTTGGATTATAGTAAAGTAAAAACACGATTACTGAACTTAAATAACTATACCTTGGATAAGTATATATATATTTAGATAAATCAGCTCCAGTTCCTCCGACCCATGAAGTATTCCCTTCATCATACACGAAAAAGAGATCGATCGGCCAATTGTAAGCCTTTGTATGGATTGTTATTTCATAGCTGTCTTCTTTCTAAAAATAGATTGTCTATAAAAAAACACCACCAATCTTAACGTTTCCACAAAACTAACCACGCCCAAAATCCGCTTGAGTCTGAAATCCGCACTATTTTGTAGTTTTTCAAGAAGCTTCGAATTATATTCTGTTGCTCTGGCGGCAAAGTCAACATCTTGGGTATGAGGAATGATGGAACATTCACGGTACCACCCTAAAAGTTCAAAAACTTTGTATATTTCATCAAAATTAACCCAACCTAACAATGAACCACCATTTAAAAAGGGATGAATCCCAAGGGCGAGTAGGAAATCTCGATATAGGGCCATATCGACGATCCCCTCAAGCTTTAGACGGCGTTTGGCATCTTGGGGAGCGCGAGGAATGTCTGGAAATCTTTCGTAAATGGAAACCGCCGAAACCATGATTCAGCAAACAGACATCAACAAGGTCTTGCTTCAAAAATGAACGAATTTTGATTTTTGAAATTTCTCCATTTTTTCTTGATTCAGAAGGTGCTCAACTTTTAGGTCAGTTTAATCTCACCTAGCCCTAAGCATTCGATCATCCTCGAGCTTTCCCAATACTTCAAGAAAGCGGGTAAATCCGTTGGGTATTCGAATTTGCCCTCCGATTGTGTAAGAAATCTAGAAATAAAGTGAATAAAAACTGGTATTAGATATTTGCGAATTACCGAGGCAGTATTCTCCTTTTCCCATCGTAATCGACAATTTCGATATAATCTCTAGTAGCGTCGTCTCGATAAAAAATGACATCATATTCCGAAAACGTTTTATCTGAAATAATGCGATCGTTACAATATAAATTTTCTCACTATCGACTTGTCCTCGATCTCGTTCTTCGACAGCTATTTTGATTTTCCCAAAGTAAGGCTCAGCGCATTCCAGCGTAGTTTGCTTAAGAAAATCGATATCTAAAAGACAGAGTTATTATGGGATTGCTAATTTGTTAATTCACCTATTATTAACGCTCTAACATTTGTATAAAGTCCATTTATTTGATTGGTACACTCGAAACCAGTAGCTTTCGATAATCGCTGGCCTCGTCGCCGGTGGTGAGGTTGATTTTTGCCAATCCGATCGGCATTTGCGGTAATTTTTTCAAAATTCGAGTCATAGAAGACAGAGACAAAGAATAGGACGGCCGTTATGCAGACAGTAAATAAGAGGCGCTCTCCATACATTCAGAATTCTAAAAAAGATATAATTTAATATTTATAAAGGCTTATTTTTCGTGAAAAACTATAAGAGATTGTTGGAAAAATAGGGCAACGTTCGAATGTGTTGATTAGGCAGCCAAGTCGGCACGAACACACTCCTTTTCAACTATTTTTTGCCCTCCAAATTGCTACCAAATGTTGAGGGGGTTGCACTAAATTTAGGGAAACGAGGGGGAGGGGGAACACTGGGTAGTAGAGTAAGCCGTTTCGAATAATGCCTCCGGGGGGCATAAACATGCCTTTTGTTTATATTTTAGGGGACTTAGACGGAAGTGGGGGGATGTCAAACAACAATAATTCCCTGGAAATACTAACCTAAAATCCTAAAAATATTGTTAGGTTATACTTTGGTGTAGGGAATGAAGGGGCGTTGGTAATATCGGTGGATCGTGACCCTAATTTACATATTTGGAGGCTCAGCTAAATAAACACATGGGGAGGTCCAATTTCGTTTAAAGCGATCTTTTTTAATTGAACATTGTTTCAAGCGTTTTGAAGGTGCTATTTTTGGTGTTCTAATAATTTTTATATTTGTTAATCGTTTATTGATTCAGAAAACTAGTGTTGGTGGGTGCCACTTTGCATGCAGCTTCCGCCAAGATTTGAAGACGTGTGTGATACCTCATTAAACGCACAATGGTCTAGAAATCATCGCACGCGCATCAAGCCATTAAAACATTATTCTGGACACTAAGAACACCTATGCTAATTTCCGCTTAATAGAAATCCCGGCCAGCACCAGGGTTGAAAAGCTATAAACTCATTTTTCTAAGCTGGTTTCATTTTTAATTGAAAAGTTTATACATCCCAATAGTTTGCCCCTTCACTCCACTTCCACCCATATCACTTCTTGGCCCTCGTGGCCAACCTTCATTAATAGGATGGGCCCTCTATTGGGCGGGTGCCCGCGCCCCGTAGCCCCCTTCCTGCACAATGCTGCGATTCATTCGGTTTACCCGAAGGGCCCCTTCCCCCTCTTCGTCTTCTTCTTCTTTTCCATCTAGCCATCCCACCCACTGGGTCCCTAATAAAGCGGAGGAGGAGAAGAAGAAGGCCCTCCTCTGGCCCTTCCGCAAAGAATATCTGACGCTCCATCCCTGAGATTTCCTCCGGGGCCTCCACAAACACCGCCCGGGCTCCCAACTAAATTAAGCCACGCGCTCGATGTTGCGATTTTTGCGTGGAAAGGGTTTATGTCCCTGTTACGGTCTTCTGTTTCATGAACGTAAATTCTTTGAAAAAATTAACTTACTGTAAAGTGTTTTTACTCAGGCTGGCGTTTTAGGATGGGACCAAGCCTATTTTGTTCAGAATTTTTTGCTGATTCCGAATCCGTTTTCCAAATTTGCTGCGGACTTCGCGTTGAAAAGTCATTTGGGGTCTAAATTAAGCTTAAAAACGGCATAAATTCGGATGCTGGCCCACTATTCCCTGCCTGGGCCTAGGTATTCTGCGCCCCTTATCTACCCTCCCGAAGTTCCCTTCCCAGTTGGCACCATGGTGCATTGGTAAGCTGTTCGCTTGCCAAGCACAGGGCGGCGGTTCGAATTCTCTTTCTTTTAATCTTTTAACAATTTCTTTTGCTTTTTTGCAAAAAAAACAAATGATTTTTGTATAAATCGCGTTTTGACCTCTAAAACTGTTACCGAGCCAGTTTTAACCTCGGAGGTGACGACAACTTAAAATAACGCATAAAAAATCCAGATTTAGTCAATTTTTTTAGTATCAACGTCAAATAACTTTTTAAATAAAAGTCGGCAGCAAATTTGGAAATCAGATTCGGAATCAGCGAAAAATTCTGCACAAGATAGGCATGGTCCCATTCTAAAACGCCAGCCTGAGTAAAAACACTTTACAGTTAGTCCATCCAGCCCGATGCAATTTGGTATCCTAATAGCATCATCTCTCCCTCTCTCTTTCTCCCTCTCTCTCTCACTCTCTCGCTCTTGCTCGCTCCCTCTATCTCTCTCCCGCTTTCTCTTTCCCCTACAATTTATACATACCTTAGTAACTCTAATATTTTTCTTGCTGAATTTCGAATATGCTATACAATCGAATATGTATATAATTTCCGGCATTTGAACATTGGTGTAAAAATCATTTCTTTGTTTGAATATGTAATATTTTTAAAATTTCTAAGACTTATAAGATTTTCAATTCTAAGAATCTATTGAAGATTTCTGAAGCTGGATTCTTGTCGGAAACGGAGTTGAAGTTGAAGTCACATACCTGGATAAGGATAGCTTTTGTCGCAAAATTAAACCTCAATAATATGCACCATCCCCCATATGTTCATCTCCTCCTAACGGCCCGAAAATTTTGTTGGTGATGGCCGCCACTTTCCTGTCCCTCCCCCTTCCATCTGCCATCTCGATCTTCTTATGCTGCTCCCTCTTCATCGTTCTCTTTTCCACTTGTCACTCTATAAGATGGGTGTAGAGAAAAAGAAAAGAGTAGGCCCTCCTCCTCCTCCGCCTCGTCCTAAGGGCCCAGGACTTTCCTGTTTTCCGGCCGGAGACCCAGTGTGGGGCCCCCCTAGGCCCCCTCTGGAAGGAGGGCCCCCAAAAGAGGCTCAAACCCCCAAAAAGGGGGCGCCGGATAGGGCCCAGGGCCTCGAAAAAGGGGCTAGGAAACGGAGAGAACCCCGCACAGCCTCTATACTAACATATAGAGGTGGGGGCGGAGGCAGAAGAGCATGGAAAAAAGAAGGCAAAAAAGAAGAAGATATAGTGTTTGAGGTGGACGTGGGCCTTCCACCCCTCTTCTATGTGAGATCGATGGAACGCCGAGGGGATGGCTTTGGCCCTCCACTCGTCTCCCAACCAAAATCAACATCTGATGTCAAGATAAATGATGGCCACTGGGGGGCAGTGAGGGGGCCCAGTTAGGTACCCACACTCGCATCCTATTAATACATGGGTGTTTGCCTATTTTGGCGGCTGCCACATCCACGTTCTTCCTTCCAATTTTCGCCTTGAATTTGCTTGATGAATTCAAAAGTGGTGGCTGCTTTTTGCTCTTCTTTTTTTGTTGCCATTTTCTTTAAAAGGCCAGGGAAGCCATTAATGCAAATAATCTTTCTAAATACTGGATTGATTTTGCATCGTTTCTTCACATGCAAATTTTTTGTTTGTTTGAAATTAATGCCTTTTACCCGCTTAGCCGACCCCTAGGCATAGCCAACGTTTGCTAAACCTACGTATGGCTTAACAAACCAAGCCTAAGCCCAAGCCCAAGCCCAAGCCTCTTCCAAGCCCAAGCCTAAGCCTCATCTTAAGTCTAAACCTAAGCCTAAGCCTAATCTTAAGCCCAAGCCTGACCTAAGCCTAATCCTAAGTAGAAGCATATGACTAGCCCTAAGCTCAACCCTAAACCTAAGCCCAAGCAAGTTTATAGCATATCAACAATCTAGATTTTAGCATTTGCATCTCCAGACATCCTCCCTTCCAGCAAAAACTTGCAACGCGAACCCAAATCTCTTGGCCACCAAAATCGAATCCAATTTCTGCAAAACCACTCAACCACCATCCTCTTTCCCCCTATTTTAGCGGCTGAGATCGAGCTCGTTTTGGGGTCGTTGCCGGCCTGTGTGCGTTGTCGAGAGGGCAGCTTTTAGTGGGCCATTGTTGTTCGTTTTTAGAATACTGCCACTCCGGGGAATGTGGTCGGGGCGCGCGCGCGCGAGCGCTTTACGGAACTACTTTCTATGAGCTTGGGGAAACGGGTGGGAGGCATTTTGAAGTCGTGAAATAACGGGTATGTTTTAGAGAAGGGATTGGAGGATTGAGATGTCCAGCTTCAAAGAAAAGTATCAGTTTTCGTTAAAAACTTGAAATTTGGAAAGGCTTCCCCGCATAATCTCATGGAACCTTTTTTGTGCAATCAAGATCCGGCGACCCGTGATTTGGATCAATGGAATTTTCGGCATTTTGAACTTTTGAACGAAAATCTAGTTGTCACCAAACAAGAATGATGACCAGATAAATCCAGAAAAATCAGATGTTTTCATTATCGGCGCCGGCTTAAAAATACTAGGTTTAACGGATTTAAAACCGTAAATGCAAAAGCCGAAAAGCCAATAAAAATGACCTATATTTTTTTGTTTAATACGAATATCAATACTTTAATCACTCAAATTTTCTAAAGATCGGTGGATTTTAAGACCTACAATTTAGCAGTAACCCATTAAAATTAGTACCAATAATTTTCCAATTCCATTCTCCGATGCCGTAAAACGGCTGTGGAATTGCGGGGCAACACCCGAGTGGCATTTGAAGGGGGGAGCAAAAGAGCCGTGGCGTGTAACTCTGCACCTCACGTCTTGGCCACCATGTATTTCCGGGGCCCCTTCCTCTCCTCCTTGGCCCTTCCTTCCTTCCCTTCAGACCACCCGAAAAACAAGTTGGGCCACCCGGGCCGTGAACAAACGGCAACTCATTTCCTTCCCATTCACTTCTTGCCCCCTTGTCTTCTCCGTTTTTCTCTCGCTCCCTTTGTTTCTCGACGCTCATTTTCGGGCTCGTTTTTTCGTGAGGCCATTATCTTAAAGTGCTCGAATTTTAAGCCGCTGTCTGTGTACGCCAAAAATGGAAAGTAGCTTTGAAGGTGTGTTCTGCTGTTTTTGTCAATTATTGATCAGCGCTAAGCGCTCGGAAATTAACGAGTTTTTGCAGTTATCCAAATTTCTTGAATGCCTTAGACGCTATGAATTAGACAATTCGCCCCAAAAATTATCACAGTATCCGGGCGAGCAGTCCACATTTCAGGCCACGCGCTTATAATTAATTGCGTCGCTGTTTTTGCGTTACCATATGATGGGAAGAAATTCCCCGGGGCGAGGCGACAGCCAACTAATTGGCAAGTTTGTGCCGGGGCCTGCGCGGGGGAATTGTGGAAATGGTGATTTCTGTCTTTTGTCTGGCGCATGATGAGGGGCCAGACGTGTCGGTATTTTCAGAAACCGG